CGATCGTGCGCGAAGGCGGTCTTACAGCCTGCCTGACATACCTTGATTTCTTCCCTACCAGCACTCAACGGACAGCCGTCACAACAGCGGCCAATTGCTGCCGGAGTCTTCCACATGACTCTTTCCCGGTGGTGCGGGATGTGATGGGTACCTTGCTCAATGTTCTTTCCAGTAATGACCCCAAAGTCGTCGAACAGGGTTGCCTTTGTGTCTCTCGTATTGTTGAGAGCTTCAAGCACCGCCCCGCAAACTTGGAAGAGTTGATTAGACCTGCCATGCTCAAGGCTGTCCTTCGCCTCTTGTTGCCGGGCACCACGAACCTGATCGGCCCGCACATCCATACCCAATTCCTTCGGGTCTTGGCAATCACAGCGAAAGTCAGCCCACGCTTGTCAATTGAGCTCCTCAAGATGGATGTTGTGGACACGCTCTACCAGATCCTGACCGGCGTGTCGCCTCCTCAAGACGTGGACAGCACGGGTGTCAAGATGGACAGTGTCTTGGTCCTACAGGCATTGATACACCGTCCTCGCGAGCAGGTCTTTGAGACCCTTAATGTGATTTGCGAATTGCTGCCAGGCGTTCCCAATCGCGAAGCCTCGAAGACCGACAGCGTGCTTAGCTCATACTTTGACAACAGCATGTCCATCGGCCTCAAGTCCTCCAAGAACAAGGATACTCCAGAAGAGAGACAGGCGTTGTTGGATGATTGCAAGTCTGAATTGAAGCGCTTTGCCATGATTCTATTCCCGACTTTGACCGACGCGTACTCGAGTACGGTCAACTTGCATGTTCGCCAGAAGGTCTTGATTGCGCAGCTTAAAATGCTGCACATTCTGGAGCCCAGCCTAATCGAGGATGCTTTGCGCACGGTTCCTTATTCATCGTTCCTGGCTTCTATCCTTTCACAGAAGGATCACCCGTCCCTGGTATCGCTCGCTCTTCGTTGCGCTGAACTTCTATTCCAGCGTCTTGAGCACGTTTATCAGCATCAATTCCATCGAGAAGGTGTCATTGCCGAAATCGTAAAACTTGCCGAGGCTCCTTTGTCTGGTGACCAAGAAGCAGCAACTCCGACTGAGGCGAAGAAGAGCTCTACTGATACCTCTGGTAACGCCGATGCTACCAACTCCGAAGATGCTCAAGCAGCCAGCAACGGAAGGGACGATGATGCTGATGACAACGAAGGTGACGACTTTGATGATGAGGATGAGGACGATGAGGACCAAGACGATAATGAGGAGGATTCTGACTCGGACAGCTCTTCCGTCGATGGTCGCCGGTCTCTTGCCAAGATGGATAATGCTCTCAATGACCTCGTCATTCGCGATGCTCATGCCTTCCTCAAAATTTACGAAGCCGGCCAAGGAGCCACCGTGCGCGCCGAGGCTCAAAAGATCCTGACGGAGTTGCAGGGTTTGGCAGCCAACATCCGAGCCTTCTACTCTTCCGGCAATGAGAAGGAGGGTGTCGCCCTCTTCCAAAGCCTAGCCGCATACTTTGACGGGGACGCGCTGAAGAGCATTACGAGCTCGGAGCTGCTGAACTCGGGCATCATCCAGGTTCTCTTGGACGTCCTCGCTGACTTCAAAGCTTCTGCCTCCATCCGCCACGCCAGGGCAGCCTTCTTGCAGGCGTTCATGGGTACGACAATCTCTGAGGAAGCCCAGAGCCAAAGCACTGCGATCACTCCCTTCAGCGTACTGATTCGGAAATTGCAAGACTTGCTTAGTAGGACTGAGCATTTCGAAGTCATTACCGTCAGCCATAACTCGCTAGAGAATACCCGCAGCAATGCGGCATATATGCTCGGGAAACAACTTCGGCTCCGACTGGTTGCTGAGGACGGATCCGAGGTCCCTCGGCCTTACAAGAACATCATGGTCTCGATTCATGCCATCGCCACGTTCAAAGCTTTGGATGACTTCCTTCAGCCACGAATCGCCATGTCGGAGCGTCCTCGTCAGTCTCGAACCCGGGACTCGATTCTCTCTCAACTTGCGCAAGCAGCCAACATCCGTGATCAGCTTGCTTCGTCGAACTCGCCCCATGCCCCCGGTGGAAGCCTCCCAACTCGGCCCGCGGCGACTCAGGGCAATGCCAACGATTCGACGGAACAGCATCAGGATCGTCGTGGATCAGGAGGTAGCCGCAGACATCAACGCACGCCTTTCCACGAAGAAGACACCGAGCATGACGACGAGCCGCTCGAGTGTGCTGATGAGCGGCAATTGAGCGATGATGAAGACGAGGATATTGACGAAGGCGACGAGGATGAGGAACTCAATGCTATCGTTGATGACCTTGAGGATGACCTCGAAGACGACAATGTTCAGGATCCTACAGCTGTCAACCTAGAGGTTGGATCCTCGGGCAAGGTCACGGCTCGCAAGGAAGACGGTACTCGTATCGGGACTCCCTCTCAGTCTACTCCGGCCTCGAAACCTAGCTCGTCGGCCCCCAGCACCGCTTCATCTCATCCTGCCGGCCATGGCTCAATCGCCACTGCCGGACGTCCACACTCCTCATATGCCGCAGCGATGGCCTCTGTTCCCCAAGACTGGCACATTGAATTCTTTGTGGATGGCAAGCCGATTGCAAGTGAGACCACTGTCTACCGCGCAGTTCACCATAACCGAGAGCATGTAGACGAGGCTAACGCTAAGAATGTCTGGTCTGCCGTTCATACTGTCACTTTCCGCCGCGTGCCAGGTCCGCCTCCGCCCGAGTCCTCGACGCTCGCCGCCGGTGGACAAGATGCTTCTTCGGAAGACGAGAGTTTGCAAATGCCCGCGTCCCTCAGCAAAGACGCTACCACGGCTTCGATTCTTCGTTTGCTTCGTGTTCTCCACGAGATGAACGCGACTATCGACGACATCCTGACAGAGACTCGAGATCACGCCAACATCACACCCGAGCCTCTAGCCCAGTTCATCAACACGAAGCTCACTGCCAAGGTGAACCGCCAGCTCGAAGAACCTTTGATCGTTGCGAGTAGCTGTCTTCCTAGCTGGAGCGAGGACCTAGCTCGGTTGTTCTCGTTCTTGTTCCCCTTCGAGACACGCCACTTGTTCTTGCAGTCTACCGCATTTGGTTACTCCCGAGCTATGATGAGATGGCACAACTCGCAAACAACCGAGGATAGCCGTCGGGACTTGCGTCGTGATGATCGACCATTCATTGGTCGCTTGCAGCGACAGAAAGTCCGCATTGCACGTTCCCGCATTCTAGACTCGGCTATGAAGGTCATGGAACTTTACGGGTCGTCGCCCAGTGTGCTCGAAGTTGAGTACTTTGAAGAAGTCGGGACTGGACTGGGTCCCACCCTCGAGTTCTACTCCACGGTCTCAAAAGAGTTTTCTAGGAAAAAACTCAAGATCTGGCGGGAAACCGATGCCAGCTCAGCCGTTGAGTATGCTTTTGGCAAACGTGGTCTATTCCCTGCCCCGATGAGTGAAGAACAAGCCACTCAGGATTCTGGCAAGAAGCAATTGAATCTTTTCAAGATCCTTGGAAAGTTTGTCGCCCGCTCCATGCTTGATTCGCGCATCATCGACATCTCCTTCAACCCGGCTTTCTTCCGCATTGCCGACACGCTCTCCTCTGTGGCACCCTCCCTTGGCACAGTCAAGGCTGTTGATGAAGACCTCGCCAAGTCTCTCATCATGTTGAAGCAGTTTGTCAAGGCCAAGGATGCCATCAAGAATGACAAGACCTTGTCCTCGCACCAGAAGGCCTTGGCTGTAGAGAACATTCGGGTTGATGGGGTTCGGGTCGAGGATCTGAGCTTGGACTTCACTCTCCCCGGTTATCCCAGTATCGAACTGACCGAAGATGGGTCCAATGTTCCACTCACCATTGAGAATGTTGACCAGTATGTGGAGAGTGTCATTGATATGACCCTTGGTAGCGGTGTTTGGCGCCAAGTGGATGCCTTCCGCGCAGGCTTCTCCCAGGTCTTCCCCTTCTCGGCTCTGCGTGCATTCACCCCAAACGAGCTTGTTATGCTCTTTGGACGGGCCGAGGAGGACTGGTCAATCGAAACACTCATGGACTCCATCAAGGCTGATCACGGGTTCAATATGGACAGCAAGAGTGTGCGCAACTTGCTTCACACCATGTGCGAATTGGACCCGCAACAGCGCCGTGATTTCCTCCAATTTGTTACGGGTAGCCCGAAACTTCCCATCGGCGGTATGTTCATTCTATTTGAGCCAGTTCAATATGAAGCTGAGACTAATTATCTTTGACTACAGGTTTCAAGAGTCTTACGCCCATCTTTACGGTCGTGTGCCGCCCGAGCGAGCCTCCCTATACCCCGGACGACTACCTCCCAAGTGTCATGACCTGCGTGAACTACCTCAAGCTGCCCGACTACAGCAGCCTGGATGTTCTCAAGGAGCGACTCTCGGTTGCCATCAAGGAAGGACAAGGCGCATTCCACCTCTCCTAGGTTCTGCCCAGTGCCCCGAGTGAATGATCCTCATTCTGCACCCTACTTGCAATTCCCCTCTCCCATATTCTCCTCTCTAAAACATTGCTTTGCCGTGCTAGCTACGCTGGTACAGCGAGTTCCGTTACCCCCTGTCTTTCTGCTTATCCTTCTGGAGGGATGAGCGGGATGCTTTTTCATGACGCGACGACGAGTGACTTTTGCTTTTTATTTCCCCAAACTCCATTCCCCCATCTTCAGGTTTTCGGCAGGGCTGTTCTTTCCTTTTTTTCACCTTTTCTCACCAAGTCATCTGGGATGAGGGGCGTCAAGGCGGGCTTCGGTTTCTTTTTCTCCTACAGCATGATACTGATACTAGATAGCAATGGATAGCCCTTTCTATCATCAATCACTTCGTATTTCTCGGTACAAGTCTATGATTAAATAATTAGTCTATGGATATTGGGGTATGATCGTCTAGCTTCTGTCTGGCAATTGACCTGGTTCAGGTCCTGTAAACCGACACCATCGACTTTTAGGGTACGTTGATGTTAGCAAGTCTCGAATATCAACACATTTCTCGAAGGAGACTCACATCGGCAAACTTAGGCTCCACAAACAAGGCTCTCGCCTCCGAAACCATCACGGCGCCTTCACTATCCTCGCTCAACAACTCCACATCCGGTACAAGACTCTTCGCATCAAGCGGCGTGGACAATGGCAATGGAAGATATGTCATCTTGCCCTCAACCCAAGCCTTCCTCCCCTCAACCTTGGTAGTCTCCGCACGCAACACATACACACGATCCGGCAGCGCAGGCTTTCGGAAATCAACATTCAAATTCGCCGTCATACCCAATCCACTCGGGAACGCAGCCGAAACACATCTAGCAAAGACCTCATCGAACAGAACAGAAAGCAAACCGCCATGGACAAAACCAGGATGACCGCAGAGATCTCGGCCAATATGGAAGACCGAGACGACACTGCTGGCGTGAGCGGTTTTTCCAGACTCGGTCTTCGTTTTGCGCGAGGAGGTCCACATATATGGGGCTAGTGCGAGTTTACCACTACCTGCGAGACTACCCCCGACGAAATGATGCTGTCGAATTGCTGGTGGGATTGCGAGATGGGGTCGGGATTCCTTGTATGCTTTCCGCGACTGGCGGAGAGATTGGACGAGGGGTAGTTGGGAGATGACGGCGTCGAGATTGGCGGTTTCATCGAGTGATACTGTTTGGTTTGAGGGTGATTGGGTCTGCGGCTGCGTGAAGAATGGCGATCCCTCTACCGGGGGTACTTGTGTTTGCGTTTGAGGGAGTGCTTGTTCATGGACCACGGCCGAGCGAGAGGGGCCTTGTTGGTGCAGATAAGAGACCGGGACAGCGGGCAAGAAAGCAGGCTTGAAAGGCTGAATCGTTGAGGGTCGTAGTAGCCATTTTGTAGCCTGGGCCAGGCTAGGCATTTTGGAGGCCATTTTGTATATAGTCGAGCTCTCTGAGTAAGGGAGGGAGAGACGAGGTTAAAAACCCAATCATCTTAAAAATGTGACAATACCCACGACTCAAACTCACCGAGAAATTGCCGATAAGCTAATGCACAATGAAATCTCCCGCCACGTGGGATCACGACGATCTGCCTAGCGCACGGTACGTATTCGGATCAAGGTGGTCTCGTATATCGTACAAAGTAACGATCCGCGTCGATATAGAGGAGATGTAACTTGACAAGAGTGCGGATCCCGCCAGATTACTGTACTTTCAACGGAGCTAGTAGGGGAACTAAATTGTCTAATTTAATACGCCTATGAGATCATTTCGGCACTTTTCACCGGGTATTCATTTTCTCAACGGGGCTCAATTTTTTTTTCTCTTGGCCGGTCCCAACAGTGGGGCGTAAAGGGCCGACTTTCGCCGGGATTTTCGGGGAGGCGCCGAGGCGATCTCGGGATGCCGATTGCGATAAGATAAGCTGCCACGTGTATCTATAATGATAGCTTATTTTCTCGATTTTTCAAGCAGCGACACTTACTTTGACAATATCAGTCTCTGCGTGCGTTCATTTTGGTATAAACATGCTCTTTCTAAACTAGGACTATACACAAACAGAGAGCCACGGCTAGTTCCAAAGACAATAAACCACGAGACCGCCTAGAAATCCAATGGATCCAGGTGTCCCAGGAAGGAGTTATTACCCTCGCCCCGCAGGAGTGCCTCAATATCAATACGTCCAGCGGTAAGATACCGCTCACTAACACCGATATTCACGCGCTGAGAGAGTTGATTCTTCAACTCGGCACGAAGCCCAGCTAGTTCACCCTTGGTGATGCTACTAGCCTGCTTTTCCTTCTGATGGCGTCCACCACCACGACCACGGCCCTTGCCCTGGGACTCATCAAATTCTTCACTGTCATAATCGACACCGAGGTCCTCGGCTGCGGCACGGAGCCAATTATCTTCGGCGGAAATCTTCTCTTTAGCGATGGTTGAGTCGGTAATCTTCTTCGCGAGCTCAATACGGGTACGCACGCGAGACACAACTCGGCGATCGATATCGAGGGATTCCAGAGGCAGCTTCTTGACAGGTCCCTTCTTGCCATTTTGGGCGTGAACCTTGGCGGCCAGACGGGCCACGCTGACAACCTCTTCTGGAGCACAGATAATAACACTCTTGCCGACAGCACCAGCACGAGCAGTACGTCCAGATCGGTGGACGTAGGTGTCTGCCGTGCGAGGTGCGTGGTAGTGAATAACGCAGTCAATACCCTTGATATCCAAACCACGTGCCGCCACGTCGGTGGCAACGAGAATAGAGCTGGGGTCTGACGTTGGTGATGAGAATCGCTCTACAGAGCGGAGACGGGCTTTCTGGGCCATGGATGAGTGAAGGGCGAGGGCGGGGAGTTGCAAGTTTTGCAGTAATTGAGTAAGACGACGGACTGCGGAGATGGAGTTGGTGAAAACAAGCGTCCGGTGCTTGGGGTAATAGAGTAGTAGAGAGTATAGGTAGAGATCCTGTCATATAGTTAGTCACCAATCTTCAACTGCAGGGATGGAGCGTTCTTTGCTCACCTTCTCCATGGCGGGACATTCAACAATTCCTTCCTTGAGACCCTCGGCCATTTGCTGAACAGGGTTGACGTCAATGAACTTTGGCTTCTCTTCCCGGAAGTTCAGCTTCTTGAGAAGATATTCCATGGACTCCTTCTTATCCATCAGATCACCTCCGGTCCAACGGCTCTTGCCGGCCAACTTTTGTTGCAAGTCCCGGTGGAAAGTAGCAGAGAACACAAGGGTCTGGCGAACACTCGGCTCTTCTTCCGCGGCCTCCTCTTCTTCATCCATATCGGGGAAATCGCCCTGTTCCTTGCGGTCCAACGCACCCAAAATCTCTTCCACCTCCTTGAAATGACCCTCGCTGAGCAGACGGTCGGCCTCATCAACAACCAGGAATTTAATGCCCTGCATTTTGCGGATGAGGCCAGAACCAGTGCTCAGAATCTCCCACACACGACCTGGAGTACCAATCACGATATCAGCGTTCGCAAGCTGTCTCTGCTGTTTTTGGATGGACAAGCCACCGGTCAAAAGAGCAATTCGTGCATCGGCATCTGGGGCATTTGTGATCAGGTCTCCAATGTGCTTCGCCAATTGATGCGCCAGTTCTCGTGTAGGTGACAGAATAAGTGCCATTGGGTCAGACTTGGGCTTCTCGCTCTCGTCTTCTTTCTTTCCTCGCTTCTCCAAGTAATGCTCAAGGATTGGGATGCCGAATGCCAGTGTTTTACCGGAACCCGTCGAAGCCTTACCAACCACGTCGTGACCATCCAGAATCGCAGGAATACAGGACTTCTGCACAGTAGTAGGTGTAGAAAATGTGAGCTTAGAGAGACTTGTAAGAATCTCTGGAGAGAGACCGAGTTTATCCCATGCAGACACGTCCACGCCGTCGTCTTCGCCAGCCTCTTCGAGCGCCGCAAAGGAAAGACCAGCCTTCAGGTTCGGATCCCGTTTGGGCTGTGCTTCCTTGGCCTTGACCTCCTTGGCTTTCTTCTCCTTTTTGTTTTTCGTTTTCTTCTCATCCTTCGCTGGCTGGGCTTCGGCGGCTGGGACGGCAGTGGGCTTCTCATTCGATTCACCATCGCTGATACCACCCCATTCTTCACCGTCGTCCTCGGCGGATGGCTTCTTCAAGATCGACTTTCTATTTGCTCCTTCTTTGGCCTATGAGATTGCGCCTAAGTTAGAATCATTGAATCCCCCGGTCATGACTTGAAACTTCGATTACATACCTTGAACTGAACCTCTCCCCCACCTGAAGACCGGACGATGTCTACTCCATCAATCTCCTCCAATCCAAGGAATCCAGTCGCATCTTCCAATCGATCGGGCAGAGCAACTTCCGTCCAGTTGAGGTCGTCAATACCGACAACGCCGTCCCAGGAACTGTCGTCCGAGACTGGGCCAGATTTCGCGGCCTTCTTGCGCTTCTTGGACTCCAGCCCCTGGGCCTTTGAGTCGCGACCTCTCTTTTGTCCCATGATCACAGTGGCACCTGTTTCAAATGATCAGGCTTACGTATTTGGGAAGCTGGGAAAAAGCTGATCGGGGAAGTCGCAAGAGAAAAAAAGCGGCAGAAACATTCCGCCTCGGAAATCTTATCGGCGGTGCTCCCCACGTTAAAATTACTCCGCGACAAAAGCCCACCAGAAGCCAATTTCGAATTTCCATTGGGCTTATTAAGTCCCATTTCTCAACATGGGCAAGTCTTCCAAAGATAAGCGCGATGCTTATTATCGCCTGGCGAAAGAGCAAAATTGGCGCGCGCGTTCCGCCTTCAAGCTCATTCAAATCGACGAGCAATTCGACCTTTTCGAATATGAGAATCCGGGCCGTGTGACAAGAGTCGTGGATCTTTGTGCTGCACCGGGCAGTTGGAGTCAGGTTCTCAGTCGCGTCTTGATCAAGGGCGAGAGCTTCGGACGGCGGGCATGGATCGACAAGAAGCGAAGAGAGAAGGAGGTCTTGGACAACGCCGATAATGCGACGACGAGCACGGACAATGAACCCGAAATTCCGTTTGGAGAGAGCGATCCAAGCTCCGAATTGAAGCCTCGAAAGAACGTCAAGATTGTCTCAATTGACCTGCAACCTATGGCACCCCTCGAGGGTATCACCACCCTCAAAGCCGACATCACCCACCCTTCTACCATTCCTCTTCTCTTGCGTGCACTAGACCCCGAAGCCTACGAATCCTCTACACCTTCTTCCGACTCAACGTCACAAACTCCGGTAGCGATTAAGCAACCTCACCCAGTTGACCTAGTCATTTCCGATGGTGCACCGGACGTGACAGGTCTACATGACCTCGATATCTATATTCAATCACAATTGCTATACGCGGCGTTGAACCTTGCCATGGGAGTACTGCGGCCGGGCGGCAAGTTCGTTGCGAAGATTTTCCGAGGCAGAGATGTCGACCTTCTCTACGCGCAATTGCGCACCGTCTTTGAGCGAGTTAGCGTTGCGAAGCCACGTAGCAGTCGTGCCAGCAGTCTGGAGGCTTTCGTGGTGTGTGAGGGATTCATTCCTCCTATTGAGGAGGACGGTGTAGTCGGCATGGCAGCCTTGAAGAACCCTCTATTTGGCGGGGCTGCAGCACCCAAGCCTATTTCCGGAGATGGAAACTTGGCCGTCGAAGTACGTGAGGAGCTGGACGAAGATGCCAATGCTCGTCAATTGTTGACACAACCGTCCTCCACCAAGGGCATCTCGACTCCTGGTCATTCAATTGAGGTGCGGCATCTGCACACATCTACTTCCGAGGATCAACCCCCACCACAGAAGCTCCCCAGCAAGTTTGCAGTGGAGCACCGGTGGATTCCCTCTTTCATCGCTTGTGGTGATCTCTCCGCTTGGGACTCGGATGCAACTTATACTCTGCCACCTGACTATGTTACGTTGGACCCAGTGCAGCCTCCCACGGCGCCTCCATATCGGAAGGCTTTGGAATTGAGGAAGCAAATGGGTGGAGCTTATGGAAAGACCAAGCTCAGGGTAGCTGGACAATCATAATGTCTCATGTGACATGCAGTTATGAATGAATAAAATCAATTTAGATGACCTTGCAAAGATTCACAGTAGAGGGAGTTGAAGTCAGGGAGTTAGGATGATCAACGCTATATATGTACGCGAGACATAATTTGCTTGTGCCCAGGGCTTTCGGTCCAAAGAAATATCATTACGAAAATCGGTCCCAGAGTTTCATCCAATGCCAGTTTTATTTCAATGGCTTGTCCGAAATGGAGCGGTAGGATGATCTCGGTCTAGTGGTCCCTCGTTAAAAACGGGAATTGTTGCACAAAAAAGAGACCAACCCTTTGCTATAGGAGATCAATTCCTGTAGGCGGATCAACGTACGCTCAGGACCCACATTGAGATCCATCCGATAAATTAAAAAACACCAAAAAATGCTCACTGCCAGATTTGAACTAGCGACTTCGTGATTACTAGTCACGCACTCTACCAACTGAGTTAAGCGAGCTGGTCTGATGGAAGAAAAGGGCAGGTTTTTACATTATCACTCAGTCTCAGTGTAATTTTGACCATTTACAAGCAGAGAGCAGAGGTACCAGTCTTCGTTGCTTCTGTTACATGAAATATATATCTCCGCAATTAACATACGTCTGACCATAGGCCCGATGAACATCCACCTTCTAAGGAGAATTCATGCGCACGTATGCTGGTGTATTTGAAGGACATTAAATTGATTAATCAAATTCCATTACCGAACAGAATTACCACAGGCTGCGCCTAATTTAACAAAGGACGCAGTGAGAAAAATGTGAAGTCTCAAATTTCTACTAAAAGGATTACCACGAGCAAAGAGGCACCTATAGCTATACTATCTTACAGCACATCAACCTTAAAGACCTCAGACCTACAGTATCTGGAATAAGGTTACTAAAATAGAAAATTATGATCAAATCATGAATCTCAGATGCATTTTGAAGTCTATGAAACGGCAGATTCGCTAGGCCAAATCAAAAGGATCTAAGGGGTAAAGCGGGGAATAGCAAAACAAAAAAAGCTCATCATCAGATCATAATGCCAACACAAGACGTCTAGTACACCTCCAGAACATAGCGCTCCTCATCCTTGAGCTTCTCAATCTCCTTGCGAGTCTCGACCTTCTTGCCATTGGCCTTGGCCTCGGTGGCAATAGCCTCCTCCAGGACAGCAGTGACGTCGGGAACGGGCCAGGTGGGGCCGCACAGGTAGAAGGCACCCTCCTCGCGGATGTATGCCTGGACAATCTCGGGAAGAGACTGGCGCATGCGGTCCTGGATGTAGATCTTCTCGGGCTGATCACGAGAGAAGGCTGCACCAAGGAGGGTGATGACACCGGCAGCCTGGTAGGCCTCCCACTCCTCACCGTAGCAGTACTCCTCGCGCTGGTGGCGGGAGCCCATGTACAGCAGGACGGAACCAATCTCCTTGCCCTGGGCCTTCTCAAGAGCGCGGTGCTGGATGAAGGCACGGAAGGGAGCAAGACCGGTACCCAGACCAGCCATGATGAGGGGCTGGGTCGACTTGGGGGGCAGCTTCATGACACTGGACTTGACGCTGACGCTGACCGGAGTGCCGGGTTGCAGGCGGCTCAGGTAGCGAGTAGCCAGACCGAAGCGGTCGCGGCCCTTGGGGTCGGTCCAGCCGACAGCGACAATCATCAGAGCGACGATGGTCGGGCTGACCTTCTGGCACGAGGCGATGGAGTACTCACGGCGCTTCAGAGGGCCGACAATGCGGACAATCTCGTGGAAGTCGGGGTGAGCAGAGGGGTACTCGAGCAGCACATCGGCGAAGGTGATAGTGTCAACCTCAGCGCGACGCTTGAACTCGTCGGCACCAGAGGGGCCACCAAGAGTGAGGAGGTCAGTCTTCTCCTTCTCGTCGGTGGCGAACTCGGCCAGAGCCTCGTAGAAGCGCTTGGGTGGGCGACCGAAGATGTCGACATTCTGCACGAGGGCCTGGTAGACAGTGCGGTTCTCGAGCACTGCGGGGTTCTCACGGCTGGGGACCTCGACAATGGCATCGGGGTTCAAGCCGTAGAACTCAATGAACTTGACAACGTCCTCGGGATCGTTCTCAGCGTGGACACCCAGGGCCTCACCAATGTCGTAGGTGAGACCAGAGTCACCAAGATCAAACTCAATGTGGAAGATGTTACGGTCATAGGTGACGGGGGTGAGACGGCGGTTCTCCTTGACGTGGACGGTGAAGGTCTTGGTGGCCAGGTCAGGGCGGAGAGCGGTCTTGGTGTCAAAGGCCTCCTTGAAGGCCAGACCACGGGCAGCAGTCTCCCAGTCCTTGAGCAGAGTTGCGGGCTCGGACTCATCCTTGTCGAAGGAGACGAAGCTGTTGGCGGAGATGTCCTTGGGAAGCTGAGCGGCCTCGCTGACACCTTCGGGCTCCTTCCAGGACTCGGGAACCTCAATCTGGCGCAGAACCTTCTCGAGGGCCTTGGCCACGGTCTCCAAGGTCTCGGCATTGCCGGAGATGGAAGCCAGCTTCTTGGTGGCGATGCCCTCCTGAGTGGGAAGGGCCACGCGGATGAAGGAAGCCTGGAGAATCACGGCCTCCAGAGAAGAGTCCTCAACAGCCGAGGGGTCGACAACGAAGAGGGAGATACCGCGCTGAGCAACAGTCTGGCGGAAAGCGGCAGGCAGCTTCTTCTCAAGGTCTTCGTCCTTAACACCAGGAGCGCTGATGATAACCTTAGCATTGTCCTTGACGGAGGCAAGGACATCAACGTCGTTAAGCAGGGCAATGCTTCCAACGTAGGAGACATCGGCAGCAGTGACGGCATAAGGAGCATCGATGATCTTAGCACTCTTGCGAATGTCAACGCGGATGGCACCGCCCTGAACCAGGTTGTCGTGAACCTTGCTGACGGTGACATTGCTTGCCGAGTCAGCGGCAAGAGCCTGGCTGAGGGTGAGGGAAGCCTCCTCGGCAACAGAGCTGTCAACGTCCCAGAAGGTGTACTCCTGGACAGTGGCAGGATCCAGGAGCTGCAGAGGAGCGGCCTCGTTGGTGGCGCTGTCAACAGCAAGGATGGGCTTATCGAAGATGCGCTGGAATGCTGCAGCAATGTTGACCAGGTCCCAGCGCTGAGAGCGAGAGTACTTGATCTCAACAGTGGATGGGGAGTGCTCGCGGCCGGTGGCAAAGGTCAGAGCGGCAAGGACATCCTCGTACAGGGCGGAGTGAACGCCCTCCTCCTGGACGGCCTGCTCGCTGGAAACCTGACCAAGAACACCGACGGTCTTGGTAGACTGGGGAAGGACACGCAGGAACTCCTCCTCGACGAAGGGGCGGTAGACACGGACGTTGACGACACCAATGTGCACGCCATCCTTGGCCAGAGAGCGAGCAACCTGAGCAGCAAGAGCAGCCTCAACGGTACCGAAGACGACAAGAACGGAAACGGGCTCGGCGTGACCGTGGTACTCGAAAGCACCGTAGTCGGTGCCGAGCTCGCCGTTGAGAGTCTTCAAGAGATCCAAGAGCTTGCCCTGAGCATCGAGGTGGCGGTTGCGAGAGTCATCAAGAGACTTGCGAACGTTCTCGTAAGCGCGAGAAAGACCCTCCTTGTCCAGAACATCAATGACACGGGTAGTCTCTCGGCCGACACGGACACCGTCATAGATGTGGATGGAGGGCAAGACGGAGGCGAGGAGAGTGGTGAAGAGGGCCATGTGCTGGGACTCGTGAGCAGAGCCGCTGGAGACCAGACCCAAGCCGAGATCCTCAGCAAGAGAAAGGGCCGAAGCATAGTCGGAAACGAGGCCGTCCTCGCTAGTATAGTCGACGGCGGCAACATGCGCAGCCACCGGGCTGGCAACGGAGTACAGCAGAGAGAGCTGCTCCAACGCAGAGCGCATATAGGGGAGGGTGGCAGAGGAAGCAACAATTCCCTGGGGAACGTGGCGCTTCTTCAGATCAAAGTCCTGGGAGAACAGATAACCCAGGGCGAGGTTTCCGGCACCCTGGCGGGTCTCGAGGGTCTTGACAACGGGAGATTCGCCATTGGTCTTGGTCTCCTGGGCTGCAGACCACTCACGCAGAGCAGCATCAAGGTCGAAGGTCTCTGGGGAGTAGGAGAAGATCTTGTCGCTCAGAAGGTACGCCACCTGCTGAATGAGGGTCTGGGCGGTAGTATATGTAGGGCCCGAGAGGGCAGACAGGGCGGGATTCGTGGCACCCATGGTGATTATTTGTTCTTGTCTGATATTGCGCCCACAGCAACAATATCTACAATGATGGACAAGAAGGATATCACCCCAAATTAAAAGGAATAATGTGGAGGAAAGAGAGGGGGAGAGACAGGAAACCCATAAGTATAGAAAAACCCCCAGGGCATTTGCCCAAAGCGGCCTAGCGGAGAGCACGCAATCACGCAATTTTCTTATCGATAGGCAAAGTCCCGATGCCGGATGGCGACTTTCTTATCGATAAGGAAATTTTTGTGGAGCTGAGTCAGGGTCTTGGCATGTCATGCATAACCTTAATTAGTAATACACATGCACATAACTTAGTCAATCCAGTTATGCTTGGAGTTGGCACCCGTCCCGTGGGCTCATGTGACGAGGAATGTGCCGCACCGAGCCTCGGTCGCGGCGTCGAAACTGGAGACCAAATGCGGGACTGCGGAGACGATCCCCAAGAAGCTGTGCGGAGTACATAATTAACCACTCCTCTTGCGCAGCCTTGTAAACATTTCATGATATTCCAACATCTCATCCTCATATAGACATCACCTTTCATATCCTCTCAAAATGGCAGAAAACTCCCCTAACCCTGTCCCCTTCTCAGAGCCGCCCTATCTACGTGGTCTCCCATCTCCTTACATCACAGACGCCCACCGCGAGTTCCAGAAGCGATGCCGCAAATTCGCATGGGAAAACCTGATTCAACATGCTATGGAATGGGAAAAGGCAGGCACTGTGCCAGAGCATGTCTTTGATACTTTCTGCAAGCACAACATGCTGTTGCCAAACATGCCTGCTCCACTTCCCGTGGACTGGCTGAAGCGACTGGGAATCAATGATATTCTGGGTGTCAAAGTCGAGGATTGGGATTACATTTACACTGGAATTTACTGTGATGAGGTCAGTTTGCCTGGGTAGAAAGATATGATTCTCTAGGAGATGCCCAAGACACTAATTTGTGGCTTCATGTATAGCTTGCTCGTTCCGGCTTGAGTGGTCCCGGTGGATCATTGAATGCAGGCTTTGCCTTTGGCATTCCTCCGATTGTCAAGTTTGGCAGCAAAGAACTACAGGAACGATTCCTCCCTGATCTTCTTACCGGCAAGAAGCGTGCCTGTATCGCCATCACCGAGCCCGAGGCTGGCAGTGACGTCGCGAACATCGTCACCACTGCCACCAAGAGTGCCGATGGAAAGCACTATATCATTAATGGAACCAAGAAATGGTAGAACACATTTACTCTCGATTTGAATATACTGCTAATCATTGATTAGGATCACCAACGGTATCTGGTCCGACTATGCGACCATGGCTGTCCGAACTGGTGGCCCCGGCCCTACTGGTCTCTCGGTGCTGGTCGTTCCCCTGAAGAACCACACCGGCGTCACCATGCGTCGCCTAAAGGTCTCCGGCCAGATCACTGGTGGTACCACTTACATCGAGCTCGACGATGTCAAGGTTCCAGTGTCGAACCTCATCGGTAAGGAGGGCCAGGGTATGCGCATTATCATGACCAACTTCAACCACGAACGACTTGTCATCTCGGTTGGAGTCACTCGTGCTGCCCGTGTGGCTCTTTCTGCCGCTTTCTCTTACTGTCTCAAGCGTGAGGCCTTTGGCAAGACCCTCATGGACCAGCCCGTGGTGCGACATCGTCTTGCCAAGGCTGGTGCCGAGCTTGAAACTATGTATGCTTGGGTCGAGCAAATCCTCTACCAGCTCTGCCATCTCAGCAAAGAGGAAAGTGACATCCAGCTTGGTGGTTTGACTGCCTTGGCAAAGGCAAAGTCGGCGATGGTGCTTAATGAGTGTGCCCAAGTTGCTGTGCTTTTGTTCGGTGGCAATGGCTTCACGCAGACTGGCCAGGGCGAACTTGTTGAAGGTGAGATAATATCTAGGGTCTCTGAGAGTTTCAAAGCTAACAATGTTGCCTTCTATAGCAATTCTTCGAGACGTTCCTGGTGCCCGTATCCCCGGTGGATCGGAAGATGTTTTGCTTGATTTGTCCGTGCGTCAATTGGTCAAGATCTACCAAGCACAGGAAAAGATGCTGTCCAAGACCTCCAAGATCTAGGTCATCTTGGAAACCTCAAATTGTACCACACATAAATTCGTATCTATAGCATCAATACAACTCCATACCCAGATGTTAAAATTTCATTTTTATCATGCCATAACTCTCTGTCGCCTCCATACTTAGTGGGGGCTGGTGGCTCGGTCGGCTTTACAGGAAAGCTTAAGGTTAGCTCCGACGGATGACGAAACCGCAGAAGACCACAGCCACTTCCCACCTGCTCCTTTCTTTGACACTCGCAACCCTCCATCTGAGTAATATCGAAGAAAGAAACCATGGCGAATGTCGCGTTGATCGGATGCACAGGCATGGTGGTACGAACATAATCTTCCCCTATCGCTATCCTTTTTGATCGCATAAACAAAGGGACGCAAACACCCCCCACTAACCCAATCTCCATCTACACAGGGATCCCACATCCTCACCAGCCTGCTGTCCAACTCGAGTATCAGTCGAGTTGACACAATCTCCCGTCGAACCCCTCAAGTTGCCGGCGGCGCCCCGCAATCCAAGCTCACCACTTTCGTATCCGACAAAACCGAAAGCTGGGCCGGACAGCTTTCATCGCTCACGCCCACCCCGGAAATCTTCATCTCCGCCTTCGCCACGACCAGGGCTAATGCGGGCGGATTCGAGAATCAGTATAAGATCGAGCATGGCTTGAATGTTGAACTGGCGCGTGCCGCGCGCGACGCTGGCGTCAAGGTCTACGTGTTGATCTCCAGCGCGAACGCGAACAAGGCTTCTTCAATTCCCTACACGCGCATGAAGGGTGAGATCGAAGAGGATGTGAAGGCGCTCGGATTTGATCGCACTGTGATTGTGCGCCCTGGTTTGATTACCGGTACGCGGGAGGAGAGTCGCCCGTTGGAGGCGTCTATTCGTTTCATTGCTGGGTGGGCTGGAAAGCTGCACTCGGGATTGAAGGATGGCTGGGCGCAGGACTCGGATGTTATCGCTCGGGCCGCGGTTAATGCTGGTCTGAAGGCACTTGAGGGGGATGTTCCTGCTGGCAGTGAGAAGGTGTGGAATCTTGACGGCAGTCAGATCATTGCGCTTGGAAAGGAGTCTACTACCGCGTCTTAGTGAGTCGGTTATGTTGATTCTCACGGTTGTATCTTGATTCCCCTTCAAAAACATTCTAGTCTTCCTTTTGCATTCTCTAGTGTTGTTGATGAAATTCACAGTGATTATGATTATGGACGGAAGAATATCTAAAAATAAACGAATAACATGATCCCACGAATGTTCAAAATCCCACGCTAACTAGTCCATCAATTCTCGCTCGATAATCCGACCATCTCCAGCGAATCCTTCCACAGTCGAGCCTCGTCCTCGGCGCAGTAAGTATGGGGCACCGCATCCCCACCCAAGGGGTTCTCATCATAGTCTCCTCGAGCAGCTACTGCGCAATTGTCAAGGAGTAGGCCACCCTTGCCTGCCAATTCCTCAGAAACAGCGCCCCAAACTGTAGTTGCAGCTCCCTGCTCAGGACTCTTCTGGAATTTCTGAACCATCGGATTCTGCAACAGTGCCTGGATCTCCTCCTCAGACATGTGTCTTCCCAAAGAAGTGGCAATAATTCCCGGGTTCAGACTGGTCGCATGCAGACCCTGCGATCCGTAACGGCGCTCAATCTCGTTTGCCATGTACACATTGGCAATCTTTGACTGGGCGTATGCACCCCGAGGATCATAGCCGCCTTTCTGGTAGTGGTAGTTGTCTGACGGCCCTAATCCTCGCGCCATTCGATGGCTAGAGGAAGACACGATGACCACGCGAGATTGGAATTCTGAGGAAGAGCCTGCTAGTAGTGCAGGCCTCAGCAGCTCGAAGAAGAGAAAGTGCGCGAGATGATTGGTCGCGAATTGAAGCTCGTAGCCTTGATCCGTAAGCTGGAGATCCTTGACGGCCATGACTCCCGCATTGCAGACGAGAATGGTGATCTTGTCTGTCTTGGAAAGTATGTTTTGAGCAGCGGTTCGCACGCTTTCCAGAGAGGTGTGATCCATGTGGATCAATTCCATTCGGTGTGGATCGAAGATGTCGCCAAGGGCACTCTTTGCTCTGTCTAGGTCTCGGGCCGTCATGTAAAGAGTTGCGCCGGTTGCTGCGAGGGCACGAGCAGTTTCGACACCAAGACCGGAGGAAACACCGGTGATGATGACGGCTTTGCCGACAAGTTTGTCTTCCATTTGCTCGTCATGGATGATTTGCATGGCAGTTGGTCGAGCATCGTTGGCTCCCTGAGGATCTGCGTGTGCGACAGAGTATCGAGACATGATAGATGATAAGGTTGGAGTTTGATGTATAGATAGTCAAGCCAGATAGTTGAAGTATGTATTGAATCTTTACAATGTGAGGTGATGATTTCCATCTCGTTGGAAAATTGCTCCCTTCTTATACCTTTTTCTTCCCTCTTTGAATACATCCCAGATATCGGCTTGCGGCACCCAACTGTTGATGCTCACAAATGCTGGCTGACAGTTTTTACCGCTTTAGGTGAGAGCCGCTACGATCAATAAAGCAATCAAGCAGGCACAAGGCTGGCGCTGACTCGTCCAGGTCTCCACGAATCAACGGTCAGCCCCCGGCTGACGCTTTTTGCCTCTTTAGGTATAGACTAATAACGGGTTTCAATTCATCCGAGTCAATCGGCCTTCTCGAAGTATCGACGCTGACAACTTTGATCCTTTTCCTCATCATCTGTCCTTTATCTGTATAATCAAACTAGCGATGGCTACACTCGCCCCGGCCGACTTCCTGCGGCGCAACCCAGCACCGAATGCTCCGAGTGAGGCTGATCAACGAAGACTGCGCAAAAAGATACAGAACCGGCTAAACCAGAGGGCGCGCAGTCAGTGATCAATTTCATTTTTGACTCGCTCGTCTACTATACCCGTAGAAGTACCTACTAAAAGCTTCCTAGGAATGCGACTACAAGCGAAGAACGGGCCGCAGGCCTACCAAGTACATCGTTGGCGAATCGATACCAATGACGAGCCGCAACAGATAAGCGCCATATCAAGAGCAGTCAAAGACGGTCCTCGTCATGCCACCGGAGGCTCAGAAAATAATGTTCTCGAGTCTCTGCCAAGAAGTCAATCGACCTTGGGCTTGAAAATCAATCCGACGGCATCGGGACCATCACTGCCCGCCGATAATCTACTTCACCTAATCCATTATAATACTTTCCGCGGGCTATACAACAACAAAGTCATACTAGGAACAGCAGCAGTCTCTTGGGAACCAGAGACCCTGCCAGACCTTTTCGACAAGGCATTCCCCGGTTTCTCAGTCGTCTTGCCCTTCGCCCCCGGCCTACCAAGCAATCTAAGCCCATCCGAATCACAAAGGAACATCGTGCATTCGACCTGGATCAACCTAATACCCTTTGCCGCGATGCGCGAGAACCTTATTCGCTGGGAAACTTGTTTTGACCATGAAGCCTTCGCGCGTGATCTTGTGGGTAACGTGGCTGATCCGGAAATCTTCCCTCAGCCGCGGTATTCACGTATAGCGACGCCGGTACGGGATAATTACTCGCTATCTGGTGATGAAGATGATGACGAGGTAACTGCGAATAGGAATGGATTGATTTTATGGGGAGAGTCGTACGATGTTAATAGCTGGGAGGTTACGCCGGGATTTTTGCGCAAGTGGGCGTGGGTAATGCAGGGCTGTGAAGAGTTGATTGTTTCTAGTAACCGGTGGAGAAGGATAAGAGGGGAGGAGCCACTACGTTTCTCGATAAGTGTTGAAGTTCTCAAGTAATCTTGTGATATATCAATAACCCTAATTTACATTTCGCAAAGTGATGCTATTCGTTTTTCTATAGTGCCGTGCTCAGTGTCACTAAACAGTAGCCGCCATTTCACCGACTAAAAACATGAGTACCATCCTCTTTCACTTCAACCCTGCGACGCTTATTCGGGTGCCCTCTTTTGCTCGTCTCTTCCTTATCCGCATTCCTTGCTGGCCCTCCTTCCTGCGGCCCTCGCCAGGTATTGGCTGCCTTATTAGCACCACTCACGTTCAACGTTCCCTGTCTCCCCTTCGTTTTGGCCTCTTGCTCAGCCGCCTCCAGCTCGCTCTCGGGAGATGTATTAGAGGGATCAAATGCAGAGTCGTGTTGGGCAATTTGATCATCGGTGCCGGTTTTGGTCGCTTCTGATGGATGTGGATCGAGCGCTTCGCGGTCAAAATCTCTAGTATCGGCCCCTTGCTTGTATAGGCGAGGAGCGGCAATGAAGTTGCGGGATACGGCGGCTGGCCGGGGTAGGATTGCGGCAGAGTGGGAGGGGCGGTTTGGTCGTGCCTGTCGGCCGCTGGAAATGAGGCTCTTCCACATGGTTTTTGGATCGACGGTGTTGTGATTGGAGTTGAGATGGTCTGTGTGCAGGTGCAGATGGATTGTGTTGATTGCATGGATGATTGCGGATAGGAAAGTGGGAGAGAATGATCACAAGAACAGAATCTCCACAAAATTAGGAAATCCATCGTGGATGCCATTCCAGAGCTTCCTGTAACCCTGTTCTCGCTATCTGGAGAGAATCATGCTGACGTCACATATCCACGTACCAGGTATATGGACTGCTAACCATTTTCAGTAATCTGCTAGAATAGGAAGCTGAGAATTCAAATATAATACTCATCGCTTAATAGAAAAATAGAGGCTGCATGAATCAATTCATTTATTTCCACGATATTTGATATATTGCTAATCCTCGAAAAGGGCAAACGCTGCCACGTCAACCAAGGCCGAAGGGCGTCGTTCTCCATCTAGTCCCGATTACGAACAACCTGCATGGAGATCAATTTTTGCTTCGTTTTGTACGAGCATCAGAGTTCAGCTCATATTGCCTTCGGGATACCATTAATGGAAAATGAAGGGTTGCAAAGCCGGGCCTGGATACTTGTGTCAGTTGCACCGCCTTGATAGCAAGAGGTGGCTTGCATGAATAATACATTGGATGTTTAATGACCTGAATATTTGTCAATAATAAAAAAAATTCGGATCGACGCTACGCCCGAAAGATTGAAAAGGGAAACAAAGTTCCGTGCATAGGTTCTACGGATATGCAGAGACGGAGGACTCCACAAGATTGAGGGACTCATGGCATCTACAGTAGCAGCATGCAGATGCTAGGACCTGTTCATCCTCCCATCGACCAATAGCCGTCGGGCTTGATCTGCCACGGCGTAAGAGTCCATGATATATGCACGAGTAGGCCTTGCACATTGTGGGTGGGGAAATTTGTCGCTAGCTGCAGATGACCAATACCCCCGTCCGGGGTTGTTATTGGCCGCTGTGGTCGACTGCAAGTGAGGCTTCCTCCATCGCCGGGCCAATCTGAGCGAGCAAGTCCAGTCCAGAGGCGGCGGCCCTTTGGCTCTTCAGTCCCAAACTTCACATAGTCTGCCACCATTTGTCGCCAGGCAGAGGCATGCGCGTGGAGGGTGCGGGAGCCTCCGTCCACTTTAAGATCACGGGATCAGAGGAGCCCAGCAGAGTGGGAGCATGTATGCGGGTCTAAGAATCCAATTTCAACGTTGTAGTATGGGAAGGCAGAGTCCATGGCGCACAAAATTCGCCCCAAAAGGGTACTGGCCGAATCTCCAGGTCTTTGAAAGTATCTCCGGCAACTTCGCTTGTTGGGCAGAAAGCAAGCCCGCGAATTTTCATGACTTTGGGTCTGATCCTTGTCCGGCAGAGGTCCGGGTTCACCCAGTATGGAACAGGACCTTTTTCTTTCTCTCTTCGGTGGTAAGACGGGGCGAGAGGCAAAAGGAGCAGGGGGGCTTGGGAAGCTGATTCGAGAGTTTTTGGGCCTGATGCAACCCGTTTGCCGCTCGAAAATGATCGATCCGCTCCGATGTGACGCCCATTGAGGCTGTTCGCCGCCATTCAGGGATGTGTGGATGCCAGCTCAACAGTCTTGCCATGGATCATCGTCCCAAATGCGGGCAGTGGACGTACTGGAGAGCGGTGGTCTCCGATGATCGTGCGTCGTATCGAGGGACAACCACCACCTCTCAGGTGTCCTAACCAGCAGGGGATGCAGCCACTTCCCGCATCAAAAACTGGAAATGGATACCCTCCTGTACCAATTTCCATGACAGGGATAAAAGGTCTGGATCTTCGTGTGGAGTGTTTTCGGGGATCCAAAGATATTCGAATCTTCTTGACCCACGGCCTCCCTGGTCAGCCTCCACTACCAGGAATCTGTGTACCGAGCCAGAAGCAATGTGCCACGTCAGAGTCTCCGAGCTTTGGTGCAGCTGCATGTGGTTCAGTAATATGTGGAAAGTGTCACGGTTCGTGTCTGCGACGAGTGCGGCACGGCATCCCAGGCCCTATCGTTTCCGCCCGAAAGAGCAAATGGACGCCAGAAAACCATACACATGAGTGAGGACGGATGCAGGACTCCTCCTCTGCAGGAAACAAAGATCAGCTGAATGAAAGTGGATGTTCCTCTCGTCCAACCCACAAATGGTTAAACTCCTGTACCGCCAGAAACCCAATTCGAAGGGCCGTGTCCCTGAGTGCTGGAGGTACCACTGACAGAGCCTCAGTGACGCGACTGTTGCCACCCGAGTGAAGGACCATTGGCTCAGACACACGGAGCGGAAAGGTGCGGCAGGGCGTGGGACGAGGATCAGGCCTCAATCCCAATATCCTTGTCATCATGACTCGGCGAAGGAACAGAATGGCGAGAAGGGGCCACTGAATCGGGTTGCAACCTCGTTTCTGAGACCATACCCAGTATCCGTAATTGCCTAGATGCAGGAGGTGTAATATTAGGGAAACGGGGCAATGATGCGAAGGTGCATCTGCAGGCAATCACACGGACGGTAACGCCGGATAGATTTGTTCTGTCGGCAGACAAAAGTGGTGTCGACCCGACGATGGTGTCAAAGCCCATAATGATTAGAATATTGGACCAATGGGAATGTAGACTGGGATGAAGAATATGGTGTGGTAGAGCATCCCAATCCAGGTGGGGTCGCAGGGAATGTGCCGAGTGTTGTCGCAATCGGGAAAGGTATCAACTTTTCCTTTCTTTTTTCCCCTTTGGTTGGAAGACAAGGTTATCCCGGAGTGACGGTGTCTGAAAATTGCATCAAATTGACAGCTGGCAGAGGCTGAGAGCAACTCAGCTATGCAGGATCGTCGATGCAAAACGCAACGCGATCACAGGAGCCTGATTCCATGCGAACTTCATGCACATGGGAGGCGGGGAAATGGAATGGCGAAGGCATAGTTGCAGCAGCTAGGACTCAAAAGAGGAAAGCTAACAGCCATCAATTGAGGGATTTTCCACCCGTTGTGAATCATCACGGGGATAGAAAGTTGCCACGACCGATAGCTGCATGCATCCTTGAAGCAACCGTTCATCCTTGGTGGCTCCATCCGAGAGACCTTGGGCATCTTACAGTCTCCACTCATCCGGAGAACTGCTCACAGCCAACCGGATCGACCTCGACCACGATGAGAGATGGATTGCGAGGAATGGGAAGACACGGACGATAAGCCGTCCCACACCAGCAAGCGTCGATCCTGAGAGGGCCATACGAAGTATGGAGGATCCAGGCGACGAGATAGAAATGTCGACCGAAACATAAATAGGACCATTCGGATCCTCTGGATGGACCACGAAGTTCAGAATCATCCCCTTGAGTTTCAAAACCATAACCTAGAGTCATCAATTCAGGTCCATAGCTCTCCTTCCTCAACAAGCTTCTTTTTATTTGGACGTACCGTGAAGCTTCCTTGGTGACACTCCCGAAAAGCCTTTCACGACGTCCACTCAGAGTGACCATTTCAACTGGTCAAGTGAGCTTCGGAAAGAAATCAAAGCCAATCGCGAAGCCCCCCTCAATCATCTGAAACAAATTCACCGGGTCCGGGAGTAAGTGGGTTTGATCAGACCTTAGAAGCGAGTGGCACTAAAGCATCTGATAGGCATGTGTTTTTACAACCAGAAGCGTTTCTCCTGTGGAGACTGGAGCTGGACCAGCTTCGCCCACCGGTGCAATTACGAGTATCGCACCGGCGAAACTTGCGGGATGAAGCTCGTTAATATGACCGAGAACGACAACAGCAAGTGCCGCCTCTGCGAGAAGATTGAAACCAAGTTCAGGCGGCGAAGCGCCGAGCTTGATCGCCTAGAACGGTGGAAGCGAGAAGGTGCCACTTTGGTTGCCTCCATCGATCGGTCCCACAAGCTCATTATGGAGCTGGATAAGGAAATTTGCGTTCTGCAACGGGAACGCGAGGATCGACGTCGAACGCTGCTGAGATAGCACCACTCTGTGTATTCAAAAATCTGCGCCCTTGATTCAGCGAGTGTCTTCGGTGTTCCTTGTCATTTGTCCGTTTGAGTTCTTGTGTTTCTGGTCCCATCGATTGGTGGATTGTTCAAGGCGTTTCATGTTTCACCACGCAGAATATAGTCTGTGACATCAAGTCTGAATCGAGTGTGCAATGTGACGAACATTATCATTTTTTTTCTAAAGAGTCTGAAGACCCCCCCGTAGAATTTTTCTCATTGGATGAGATGTGGTATTTGTCCTTTTTCAATAGGCTGACAGCGTCCAATGGATATATTGATGTGGGCTAGTCATGTTATAAGCGCCCTGGTTCTCTGGGTGAGCGTTTCGCTGAGACGGCTCCGTCTCATCGGAAGAAAGGGGGGCTTGTGCTGCAAATTCCCGAGCGAAAGCTCTAGTAAGCTATTGGAGCCTAGAGAAGGAACGTTTTTGGCCATTCAGTCCAGTGAGAACTTGAAGAACTGTCGCAATGGTGGCAGAACGAGTTTGGTTGCTGGAAGGTGGGATGATGAAACCCCTCACGCCTTTCGTCACGTGGAGACATCACGCTTATGTAACCTAACAGGGGCTGATTACGGCCCTAGTGGCTGGTTGGGCAGACTGCCACGAAGTGGAAGTAGACAAGGACTTGTTCGTTGAACTTCTTCATAAGACCGAATAACTATACGACCAGTCTAAGATGGTTGCTGTACTCGGGTAGCTTATCCGTGCCTGAAGGGAAGTGGGTCAGTACCAGAGCTAGCGGAGGATTGGAAGTACATAGAGTGCCTCATCTGATCACTTAGCCAGAGCTCGTAACCAGGCAGGATACGGTAGGTATCGACATCTGAGACTAGCGGTATTGCTTCGAAACTGTGCAATGAAGCTTCCGTCTCTCATCGAGCTTCTTGGGTGGTCGAGAGATTGGCAGCAGAAGAAGGGCGGCGCAGGAGATATATATCTTCAGTCAACCCCGGCATACCAACGGGTTCCATACCTTAGGCATGAGGTGTCAGATCGGAGAATTTACTTCTGTTGGCCCAATTTCAGACAGCCATTGTCCACGAGGCCCCTTTAGACTACGTGTACCTACGCCTGACCTGACAAACATCGTCAAGTGGCCAGCAGATCAGGACAGCGGGTTCTGACACCCAGCCGTTGAATGTATGCCACGTCACGAGCAAGTAATAGGTGCGCAATGAAACTATCACAAGAGAGCAGATATATCCCTTCAGGATATGGAATGGGTGGGTCAACACGGGTATATGGATGGAGTGCAGGTCTCATTTCTCAAGTATCTGAAACGCAGGCAAAGGTATTATTCTATTTTATCTCACCAGCCTCGGGCTCGTCATCCACCTTGGCAAGCCCTTGTTCCCGGAGGAGCGCATCAATCTCATCGGCACTCCAAAGGTGGTGGTAGATCTTTCCATCCTTGGTCTTGCCCACCGTTGCGAACTCGACTAGACGAGGGAAAACCGTATGTTAGTAAACTGAACACCGGAGCAGTCAATTTAGGACAGTGGAGGGCTCGGAGACTTACTCTTCTCACTGCTCAGCTTTGTCGAATCCATCGTCTTGCTCAGGACCTTGACGGCCATTGCGCAGGCCTCCTGCAAGGTGGAATCCTCCTTGTAGTCTTGCTTAAGCAGACTCTGTGCACTGGCATTGTTGGCGCCGACGCTGGTGGCCTTCCAGCCTCCGTAATTTCCACTCGGGTTGCTCTGGTACAACTGGAACTGGCGCAGGTGATCCCACCCAGCGTAGATGAACGACACACCGAACGGACGGAGACCACCATGTTGGGTATATCCTTGCTTCAGATCACACAGTCGACGCACCAGCTGTTCGCAAGGAATGTCTTCGTTGTAGGTGAGGAGGTACCGTTGGGCATTTTGACGTGCGTAGTTGATAAGGATGTTGGCATCGGCGTTCATACCAGCGACGGCGCAGATCATGTTACTGTAATCGACATTAGTTTATTGCCAGATGGAGGTCAAATATAAGAGCCAAGAAGACGCGAGAAATCAAGGCATTCTGACGTACTCGTTGATGGTATACAGCTTCTCAGCGGAGGTATCCTGCTCCAGCAGCTTGCTGGTGACCTTCCTCTCAGCAGCAAGGACAATGCCGTCCTTGGCTAGAATACCGAGAGCAGTACCGGCATGTGAGATGGCCTCGAGAGCATATTCGACCTGGTACAGTCGACCCTCTGGGGAGAAGATGGTTGTCTGCCCAACAGCGTCATAGGTTAGCTGGGAGCTGTCCCAATTGCACCGCAGGAGAAGGGCGGGCTTAACTTACCCGTGAATCATATCGCCGAGACATCTTGCATGTAACAGAAACGCAGTATCGAAATAGTAAAGGTCAAAAATGGAGGATCGGGAGGAGGGTAGAGGGTGGATGAGAGGGTCGGAGTTGGAGACAGTTGAGCTCCAGGAAGTTCCAGGCAACTCGCCCTGGCGCGTCCTCTGTCATCCGCCAAGCTCGGACCACCTCACCACACCAAAGCTTCACCAGCGGCTTTCTCTCTCTCAGCTTTGGGCCACGAGAGCTGGCATTTTGCCCTCAACGTTTAAGATTTAGCTATTTTCTGGTACAATGCTCAAATCTACTTACGCCCCTCCGCCGCCTCTTCCCCCGGGGTGGTCGGAACACCGGGCGCCTTCAGGTTTGTCCGCCTCTTGCTAGCCGGGAAAGGATTTGGCTAATTGCGATGCGCTCACAGGCCATTTATACTACTACAATGCTGCAACAAAGCAATCCACATACAAGAGACCACAAGCGCAAGATTCCCAACCTGCGCAACCTGCGCCGCCTGCGCCACCTGCCGCAGAACCCTCACAATCACTCCCGTTTTATTCGCCTGAAACATTACCACCATTTTCGTCGACGCCATATGGACCGGCTGGTTATGCCCCGGGCGCCGCGCAATATGGGCAACACCTACAACAAGGGCAGGGTCGTGGTGGTTTCCGCGGGGGAAGAGGCTATCATGACCGCGGGCGGCGTGAGCCCCAAGACAGGCCAAAGTCTAAGGATTTGATACCCAATTGTGCACCTTGGGTTTTGGTGAAAACCAAACTCGGCAGACGATTTGTGCATAACCCGGACACAAATGAGAGTTTCTGGAAAATCCCAGAAGATGTTCTCAAAGGCGTGGTCGAATACGATCGCCTTGAGCGCGAGAAGAAGGAGAGAAGAGAGCGCGGCGAGAAGTCTGAGGAGCCCGAGGAACACCAGACCGATATCGCAGGAGCACCGACTACATCTCGATCAGAACGTGAGGATGTGGCGCACGAAGATCTTTACGAAGGCGCAGAAGATAGCGATGAATATGAAGAGGTTGAAGTTACCGATGACGAAGAGGAAGACGAGGGCCAATTGTCGAAGCGGGCACGCACAGAAAGTCCTGGAAGACAAGACCGGCCGATGGAATTCACCGAAGAGGATATGGAATATCAACTTGCGGCCATGGGAGAAGACTATGGTCTAGAACCAGGCGAGTACGGCGAGCCTGGGGAGGACTGGGAGGAGGGCGCGGAAGGGCTTCCATTGACAGATGCCGATGCCGAGGCGCTATTTCGTGATTTGCTCGATGACTACCATATCAATCCCTTCTCAACGTGGGAGAAGATCCTTGAAGAAGGTCGCATCATTGAAGACTCAAGATATACCGCTCCTTCAAACATGAAAACCCGCCGCGAGATTTTCTCCAATTGGAGCAGAGACCGCATCAAGGACGTCCAAGCACAGAAAGAAAAGCAGGAGAAACAGGATCCTCGCATCAAGTACTTGGCCTTCCTCCAGGAATATGCAACGCCCAAGCTGTACTGGCCCGAGTTCAAGCGAAAATATCGAAAAGAGGCAGAGATGAAGGACTCGCAACTATCGGACAAAGACCGGGAAAAGCTCTATCGTGAATATATTTCCAAGCTCAAGCTTCCCGAAAGCACCCGCAAATCCGATCTTTCGACCCTTCTCAAATCCGCTCCATTGCACGCATTGAATCGCTCCTCGAATCTTGAGGCTTTGTCGGCCACGATCATTACCGATATTCGATACATCGCCCTTCCAACAAAGGTCCGAAATCCTTTGATTGAGGCGTTCATATCTACCTTACCGCCTCCGCCTGAGGAGCAGATGACTGCAGAGCAGCAAGAAGAGCATGACCGCAAGCAGCGAGATCGGGAGAAGCGCGAAAAGGCTCTCGCAGAGCGAGAAAAACGGGTTGAAGAAGACAAGCGCAGACAGCGCAGCGACCTTATCCGGGGCAAGCACCTTCTACGAGAAGGCGAAGCCGAAATTGCGGAGGCCATGAAGGTCCGAAAAGATGGCCTTCGGGGTTACATGGAAGTTGATGAGATCCCAGCCAAAGAGCAAGAGAAGCCAAGCAACGACTGAAAAACGGAGATCTTGTACCTATCGGCATATACCATGAAATATTACGTTCATAATTCCCCGCCTCAAGGAGCTTTCAATGAAAACTAGCTCTGTGCTTTGCAATGTCTCATTGATGGTATTCAATTTAGGAGGGTATCACTGTATATTAAAGGATTCTATATCCTTTCATGTAGAAACCGTCATTTTTCATGGTACAATAAAAATCATTTAAATCGCCAATCATCCCAGTCGTCATCTTCTTCGTCCTCACTCTCACTCTCCGGTGCCCGTTGTTCCTCAACCATGGGGATATCCCGGGCTTGGTCTTCAGCGCGCTTTTGCCGTAATTCCTCTCGCATATGCTTCAGTCTCCGTACTCGCTCCTCAAGCTGATCCATCTCGTCGAACTCTTCCTCCATAAAACGTGCAGCGTCTTCTCGTTCGCCCTCCAACTCAGCCTCGCGAGATTTTGCCGCTGATGCCCTGTCTCTTTCTTGCTGTGCAGCCAATTCTTCGGCCGTTACGGGAGCGGCAGATATTGTGGCTTCTGCTGAGATTGCAGCCGGAGCATGTGGCGTTCTGGTTGGAGCGGCGACTTCGCGTTCGAATGCGGCCCATTCGTCCTCATCCACGGCCAGTGATGTTTCCTGGCGCGCAGCGGGTATATATGTAGACTCCGATGCTTGTGTCGCTGTAGTAACTTCCTGTGCTTCTTCGGCAGGAAGCTCGGGACCGGCAACTTCGTCTTCTTCGACAGCTTCCAAGACCTCATCATCAGCTGTGTCCTCCGCGTCGTGCACCTGGGAAACTTGGGCATTCGCCGCGGCCTGAACAGCCTCAAGGTCCGTTGATCGCAGTTTCTTCCTCATCACCCCGTCGCCGTTGTCGACCTTGCGCTTTTTGCTGACGCGGTTGCCGGTGGTATTGGGTTGTGACGCGCCCTTGCGCGAAGCTAGTTCATTCCGGAGGAGCGATCGCACGTCCGCCATAGTTTCACGAGGCTAACTGTAGCTCGGCCGATGTTTTCAGAATGTGTTCAGAAGAAGCGAGGTGGGTTGAGGGGAAAAAACGAGGTTTGCGATCACGGCTAGTTTCAGGTTGATTCGAAAGTGGATTTTGCCTTCAGGTGGGGAACCTGGAGAAGCTCATCAGCTTTGAGGCTGCGCGGCGCCCAGGGGTGGCTGATGAATCACGTGAGAGATGACATAAGCATCTCGCGCGGCAAGCCACTTATTCATCCTTCCTCTCCTGATCTTCTCTTCTTCCAGATTCCTCCTGTCATCCACCCCTTCATCCTTCGATTCATCGCTTCTGTGTGTTCAACAGAGCGACAGTGGCCCATATCGACACCCGCGACCGTCAATAATCCCTCAAAATTACAGAGAGCCCGCATTTGAAATCTCACGCGACCCCGCTCCAGCCAAGTGTCGCGACTGACGCGCAGCAAGGGATCGCAACAAAAAACCCAAAACACGATTCGGCGCTTCTCAACTTGCCACCAATAGTCCTTGGAGAAGTTGACGCTTTCCAGGTCTGGGGACAGCTTCTGGTGATCAAGTAATACCAGGGATCAGGCAGCGACGTTGCTCTTCTGCGGCGTCTTTTCTTCTGTATTACTTTAGCCTCCCTTTTGAACTCGTAGAGAGACGGTCTTTTGCGATCGCTGGGTATCAAGCGCACGCATCTTTCAATTCTTGAGCAATCACAGAATCCTTATCAGTTATTGCGCTGTAGTACAAAGAGGGGACCCAAGCCTCCCAGCCTCTTGAGCCATGGCCGGTAAGCAGTCGTACACAACATTCGTCCCTACAACCGCCACCGTCAGACCACTCACAGGTGGCACAAAGAGACGATACCGCGGGACGAAAACATCCTCAACGGAACACACCGTGCTAACCATGAAGCCAGACGAACCGCGCCGCTCCGGTCGGGCCACCAAAGGCCAGCACAAGAATCTCGAACTACCCGACGCTCCTTCGAAAAAGGGCAAGAGCAAAAGCCCCAAAGACCAAAAAGACAAGTCTAGCAAAGCCTCCGCCGAGCCTACCCCCGGTCCTAGCGATGGAGAAGAGGAGGAGATCATTCGATGCATCTGTGGAGAATACGAGGAAGAAGAAGATGTCGAGCGCGACATGATCTGCTGTGACCAGTGCTCTGCGTGGCAACACAATGACTGCATGGGATTGACCTTCGCCAAGGGGCAAGAACCCGATCAATACTATTGCGAGCAGTGCAAGCCCGAGAACCACAAGATCCTCCTGGACAAGATTGCAAAGGGCGAGAAGCCCTGGGAAGAAGTCGCCGAGAGACGACGACAGGAGGCCGAGGACAAGAAGTCCAAGCGGAAGAAGGGCAAGAAGGGTAGCCGGAAGAGTCAAGGCAAGACTGAAATCAGCACTCCAGCTCGTGCTGGAACCTCTGCCACACCAGGACCTGGTCCATCCCCTGCCACTGGTGCATCTGCTTCAGCCGAGCCGGAAAAGAATGGAAACGGTGGCGACTCACGGCGATCAAGCACCAACAAGCGCAAGCTTGAGGAGAGCGTGGAGGCTGATATGGTGAGAAATTCTGTTGCACTTCATAGCACGAAGAGACATGCTAATCTGTTTGACTATCAGGGCCCGCAAGTTAAGCAGCAAAGAGTCTCTTCTCCATCTACGACGGGGCTCGCTTCAAAGCTCAAGGCAGAGTCTCCAGCAGAGACCCCGGCTGGGGCTACTGTGGACGCGCTTGTGAACCCAGCTCGCAAGAGTGCGGCTACCGCGCTCATCAGGCTATTTGTAGATCAGATTACGGCGGCCCAGAGGAGAGGCTCATACACGCCGTCTGCTGGACACTCGGCCGAAGATGCTGCACGGCAACTTGGGCTCTCTATCGAGGATGCCATGTATCACAGTTTCTGCGGACGTGCGGGCGAGCCTACCGAGCCATATAAGTTGCAACTACGAACGATCCTGTTCAACGTAAAGAAGAATCCTTCTCTACGGGATCGCTTGCTTGTAGGTAGTTTGTCCCCTGAATCTCTAGCTAGGATGAAACCGGAGGACATGGCTAGCGAGGAGTTGCAGCAAAAGGATGCAGAGATCAAGAGGGAGTCTGAGCGCCAGCACGTTATTATTCAGGAACAGGGACCCCGGATTCGACGAACGCATAAGGGCGAAGAGCTGGTGGAAGATGAAACCCACAATGCTGCAACAGAGTCGGTCTTCTCTGCAGGCCCTCGCCGCGCCACGGAGGCCGATGGCATCCCAGGAAACCAAAGCCCACTTACTCCAAAGGTTCAGCAGTCGAACCACGGCCGCGGCCATTCACCTACCGGCGGACATCATGACCATGTCTTCCCCGAAGTTTCGACCAACATTCGCGAGCCTGTCCCTCATGGTGGCAAGATCCAGGCCGATGCTGAAATTGACCAGCTGCTCCGCGACGACGAGCCCGAATCTCCTCCTTACTCACCAAAGGACTTCAACAATGACGATGGTCTCGTCTGGCGCGGCAAAGTCGCCATGATCCCCGTTTCGGAATTTACATCCTCTGCGAAGCATGTCGGAGGTGCAGACCTGAGTGGACGAATCTCATGGAGCCAGCTAGCGCCCCCAACGTTGCTGGTCGATGGCCGTATTGACATTCAGCTCGCCAGCAGCTATCTTTGCGGTCTTCGATTCAGCTCCTCCACAGATGTCTCCGTGATCGCCATCAGCAGCCCAGATCTACCCAGCGAGCGTGCGGGCTTTGACAAACTATTTGACTACTTCAAGAATCGCTCGCGTTATGGTGTTATCGGCAAACATCCGTTGTCGGCTGTTAAGGACACCTACATCATCCCCATTGAGGCCGGTACCACTACGAAACCTGAATTCATCGAGCTGTTAGAAAACAACACCCTCGACGACGTTATCGACGAGCGTACTCTTCTCGTTGTCTTTGTCGTCAAGACAGGCGAATCCAACCCACCTTCAGTGCAGCCGCCATCCCATCAGCCTAGCCAAGAACCAGGTGTCTCTGCAAGCCCGCTAACCGCTGCTGGTGCAACACCTCAGCAACCGCCGTTCATGACTCCCGGACACGGCTCAACTCCCCAGGTGGCGCCGACACCCCCTACCACTCTCGGTGTAGCCGCCCCGAATCCCGCTGCGTATGCTCAACAGCCAGCTACACAGCCAGGCCAGTTCCCAGGATTCCAGCAACAAGCGCTCACCGGCGTAGCCGCCGCTATCCAGGTGCTGGGCACACAAGTCAATGCGCCGGCTATTCAACAACTTCTCAAGACGGCGCCCAATGTGGACGTGGCGCAGTTGAACGTCGTCCGCGACATCCTGGTTCGACAGCCAGCAGCAGCAGCCAACTATGAGGCCCTCATGCAGGCGCTGTTCGAAACTCAGGCGAACGGCCACGTCCCTGTAGCGAATGCCTAAGTTCTTTCTTTTTCTACTTTGACGACCACTGAAGCCCCTTGTCATTTTTACGTTTGCACTGTACAGTCGATTCAAATCACGGTTTTTTGGTGGACAAGCTGGATTTCAGCAGTCGGTGTTTTGAGCCTCGAGCTCCTGGGATAGGATTTCTTTTCTGGATGGACGTGGGATACCCATGGCTGGCAGTCGTGTATCAGCTCTGCTGGCTTATCCGCAAATAAGGCCATGTTTATTCATCTTTACTTTTCATTGTGTAGGAGCTAGTGCTTTAAGCTATTCTTTATCCCCCGAAAGGGGGAGTGTATGGCCTCGATCAAAACTAGATCATACTCATGGCACTACGAACAACTTTCGTGACACTACAACCCTAAACCGAATCAGAAACGCACCTCCCTTACGAGTATACAATGGAATAATGATACAAAGACTATCCGCGAACAGCATTATGTATAGGCAAATACAGTGGCGTCCTATAGTTACGCTTAAACCCATGACTAAATGTTTAAATCCTCTTATTAGATATGCTTCAATAGATAAATCGAGAGATCTTACTACCGTATCCATGTAATCCTTCTAAGTGAGACAGCGACAGAAAAGCATTGTGCTAATTCGACCAAGGAAGGTTCCTAATTAAGATTTGTATGTAGTGCCAGGAACCTCTCCGAAGACCTTTCGAAAAAGATATTTAAACTCATGACGGGCTTAGCACGATTTAGCTTGTCGGGCAGAACCCTTAACTAACTAATTAAAAGCTACTGACATAACCGTAAGATCGTCGGCCCTAACTATGGGCTCGTCTACTCGCAAAGACCACCTCCACAGAACCTTAATCTTTTGAATCAACACGCCCTTCGTGAGTATAACATTATCTTCCATGAGGCCTGCCGCTTGGTGCCTAAGGGGCATATTTCTGCACGTCCTAGATATCCTCGGCGAACATTCTCAGCTCTTGCTCGGGTATCACCAGGTCTCTCTCCAGGAACTCTCCAGTAACAGACGTCGCGTTATTCGTTCGAGATAATTTGACGAATACAGTACAGCACGCTGCATTTACTCGTGGACCAAGTTCCCAACGGTGCAACATGATCTCAGGCTTCGTGCAATACTGATCGTAACCGCAAGTTTCACTGATGAGGAGGCCTCGAGCCAACCGTGCGCAGCAAGAGCAAGATATCGTGCAGACTCTGATAATCCTATTTCCACCACAAAACTCAGCCTCACGTTTGGTGAGGCCGGAGCCCAGCTGCAATCAGCCTCCCTTTTCCGATTTCCAACCGTAACTGTTGTCGAACCTAAAGGCGATATATGACGACGGAGGTTCATCGCCCGCAGCTCAAGTGAAATTAGATAATCGAATGATCTTATCGCAAGGTGGTGCGCAGGGAGGGTTCGGTATGATTTTCGCGATCATAATCCCCGTTTCTGCATTGAAAAATAATCGACTATACTTGCTTGTTCGTGACCCGTCCTCACTCAGTCTGGAAGCTTGCGCCGAGGGAACAGACGTGAAGACGAGGTTAAAGCCCTGTCCTTAATTAAAGGCTACTTAACCATAAGTCATCCACTACACACATCACCAACTAAGAGGCGGAGATGTGACGTGTGGTCCTCGACATACATCATCACCTTTTATCAGTCGCAAGTGCCTATTCTAGCTGCCTGCCTTCTCACCCACCATAGACATCTCTCAATCCACGTCTCATTCTTCATCGTTTGAGGATCCTCTTGCGCTATTAGCGAAGGATGTGGAGCAGCAGCGGCCTTTCACCACACCACAAAGCTTACCAAGGTCTTTGGAACGTCGTCAACGAGAGCTTCAGCAAGACCAAACTCGCGATCTTTAGATCTCTGCCTGGACGAGCACAGATCTCTTTCGGAAGGTCCTTTGAAGTATCTTTCTCCATAACCCGCATAATATCTCTCGAAGTAGGTAACTATCTTTCAAAGGATGGCCGATAAGATGATTTTGAAGTTTAATCAAGATTCTGAGCTTACCATACTCCACTATTTAGAAGACTACTATATAGAATACTATGTCTTGTTATACCAGGCAGAAATCTAACGCCGCAGGGGGTGCGAGCGGGAAATCTAGAGGGTGGCAGCAGCTTCGCCCTTAATTAATTCATACCTTCCATTAGGTACCACTCAGTCCTTGAAGATATAGTTTAATTTCAATCGCTCAGTTCGTCATAAAGAGAATTCTTATTAACATATCCCAATAATACCTTCTAGAAACGCGCTGTCTCTAGTACTGGTATTTCTCGAAATAGCGATGCCTTCCCTTCGCCACTGAGCATCATCGCACGAAAACGCCTGCGCTATGCAAAAAGATCCGAACCCGAGGAGAGAGACAGAGAGAGAATGGAAAGGAGATGTGAGTGGCAATCTACCACCTTCCACCCCGACGGCGATAACCTCCTCCACCACCACCGCCGCCATAGCGCGGGCCGCGCCCGCTCTGGCGGCCGCCCGCCGCATATGGATCTTCTTCCTCATGGTGACGAACGGGTGGTGCGCGGCCCTTCAACTCGGCGCTAAGCTTCTTGAAGCCCTTGCGCATGTCCGAGTACCCCATGTGCATCTTTCCGAAGAAGTGATCCGCCAATCGTCGGTCGTTATCAAGTCGACTGAGGTAGGCCCCGCAAACGTCGCAGACCTGCAGCTTCTGGTGGCCGGACGGACCGGAGGTATCTTGGAGGTTCTTCAAGTCACGCTCGGCATTTTCCTTCTGGTGTTTCGCGGTGCGGATCTTGTGCATCTCGTTCAAAGCTGTTGCGACGGAGCCCGTTTCGCCGAGGACGGAGACCTCAAGTAGGCCGGTGTTGATCGTGTTGTTGAGGTCGGCTATTTGCTTGAGCTGTAGAAGCGTTAGTAATGCCATCCGGGGACTTTGGCCATACTAGGCTGGAAGTGAACATACCAGGTTGTTGGTTTGCCGGATCTCATCCGGGGTCTTCTCCAACCGGCGCTGCGCAGTGTCGATTCGCCGGTCACAATCGTCAATGTACTTCTGCATATCCCGCATGTAGTCGAATTCGAAGCCCCATTTCGCCTTATCCGCAGAAGACGCAGTATCGTACTCCGTCTTCAACCCCTCGCTATGTACTTTGGGGCAAGGTCCAAGGTCTTGCTTGGTATTGGTGAAGAGGTCGTGCGGGCAGGTTCCGACGAGGTAGGAACGGCAGACTTTTGAATCCGTGATGGAGAGCTGAGAATTGCGACCTTGAGCGCCAGTCCCAATGAGCTGGTCAGCTATAAATGAAGACCCTGTTAGCTTGGATCGGCGAAGTGGAGGGACGTTGAAGCTCGTGGTGATGATCACGAGTGGGCTTCAAGTTGACGAGACGTACCTCCCATGAGCTGTTCCAGCAATTTTCTCTGCTCCGCCGCCATGATGATTGCCGATTCCTGAAGGTTAAACCGAGAGCAACACGGTGGAAAGCTATTGGAAACGATCGGACAAGTCTTGCGGTTTTTTGATGCTGGCGCTAGGAAAGGCGGAAGGCGGTGAGGCGCGACAATCAATAGACCAGATGGACAGTTCCAGACGAGACACTCGATACGTTGCATTGGCATTTGCGTCTGATGTCCAGATCGCTTGGCTATTCTCAGGGTCTCTCCTGGTGACGCAGCGTGTCGTCGGTCTTGGATGTCTAACCCTACCGAGGCCCTAAACCCCCTCTCTACATACATTGAACATCTCACGGACTAGGGGCACCGCAGACCGAGCTCCGGCATGAAGTGATGACGGTCTACTCACTCTTTTCTTTCCTGCTGGCGCTAGCTGTCACATTATGGAGCTCGCCAGTTTCAGCATCCTCGGACTATCATGAACAGCTGTTCCTCCAACCGCTCCCTCAATCCTCTCTCCTAGCCTCGTTTAATTTCCGGGGTAACACCTCCCAGCAATCGTTCGACAACCAGCATTTCCAATACTTCCCACGGGCACTGGGCCAGATTCTCCAGCACGCTCACACCAAAGAGCTTCACCTTCGTTTTAGCACGGGAAGATGGGACGCTGAAAGTTGGGGCCCTCGGCCATGGAATGGCAGCAAGGAAGGCGGCACTGGTGTCGAGCTCTGGGCGTGGATTGACGCGGCAGACGATGAGGAGTAAGCTTTCCTGGGAATATATTTGGAATTTCTTAGGTCTTGCGAGTCTAACTATTTGCAGAGCCTTCGCAAAGTGGATTACTTTGACGCAATCGCTATCCGGCCTGTTCTGCGCCTCGCTGAACTTTGTCGACTCGACCCGTACAACTCGTCCAGTCGTTTCCTTTGAGCCCACCGGTGATCATCCGAAGGTTGATGGTCTACATCTTTTGCACGGAACTCTCCCCGGAGAAGTAGTCTGCACGGAAAACTTGACTCCCTTCCTGAAATTGCTTCCCTGCAAGGGCAAAGCTGGAATCTCAACCCTCTTTGACGGTCACAAACTATTCGATGCAGCATGGCAAAGTATGTCTGTGGATATGCGGCCCATCTGTCCCTCGGATGGCGACTGTATTGTCCAGATTGAACAGACCGTGGACATGGTTCTGGATATTGAACGGTCCAAGAGACCCCGGTGTACGTTGTTGGCCTTTACCTACACCCAAATGTGCTCATTCATCAATTGCTGACAAAATTATAGCCAATCCAATTCCACGTCCCGTTCCAAATGAACAGTTGCTTTGCGACACCTCCAAGCCTTACAATTCGCACGATACTTGCTACCCTCTTGAGAAGGCTAGTGGAAATGCCTGGAGCCTGCAAGAGGTATTTGGGCGAACCTTGAATGGCGTCTGCCCTCTTGCCGACTCAGATGAACAGCAGTCTGTCTGTCTTCGTGTGCCGCATGAGCGCCAAGTCTTCCACTCTGAGGGTGCGGTGGAACAGAAGAAGGCGGACGGGTTCACTCGTTGCTTCTCTCTATCATCTTCCCAGCCATTTGATCTCTCGATCCCAGAACAAGCCGTGCAGACGGAAGTTGCTCTAGAGGAACCAGTGCTCCATGCAGAGCGAACAATTGTTGGCCATGGCCAGGAACGTGGTGGCATGCGGATTATCTTCGGCAATCCTTCCAAGACCACTGATGTAGACTTCATTCTGTTCGAATCCTTGCCTTGGTACCTAAGACCATATATCCATACACTGCAAGCAACCATCACAGGTCCCGATGGGGTGCCACGCGAAGTGCCTGCTTCAGAGCTTGTGACTGGCACGTTTTACCGGCCCGCGATCGACCGCGAGCGCGGCACTCAGCTGGAGCTGGCACTTTCGGTTCCAGCCGCTTCGACCGTCACCTTGACTTATGATTTTGAAAAAGCCATTTTGCGGTACAATGAATACCCGCCAGATGCCAATCGCGGATTCAACGTTGCGCCTGCTGTCATCCGAATCCTTAACGCGCCGGATAGCGCACCCATCTATATCCGATCGACTAGTCTACTCCTGCCGCTTCCGACTCCCGATTTCAGTATGCCGTATAACGTGATCATCCTCACTAGTACTGTGATTGCTCTCGCGTTTGGCACTGTCTTCAACATCCTGGTGCGACGAGTTGTCTCGGTGGACGAAGCAGCTGCGCTTGGCGCTCAGAGCCTCAAGGGCAGGATTCTGGGCAAGCTGGTGGCTATTCGTGACCGGATCAAGAAGAAGGAGACCAAGGTTGAATAGTATACTGTCCGATGATTTAACTCTCTTATTCGTCATAACGTCATAACATTTCGCCTGGGCCTGAATCCTAGAATACCTAACATATAATGAGCATCATTACTATTGTACATACATGCACCACCTAGCACTTTTTTTGAATGCACTGCAAAGCAGCGTCTTTTCATATGATATCCAGCAACATATTAACCAAAGCCCCCAACTTAGAAATCAGTTTCACGGTATGACCAGACTCGGGAGAGTGCTATCGTCGCGATATAGGCAATGGTTGTCGATCTAGTGGGAGTGTCCACCATTGCTGTGCCACTCAATTAGCGCCACTCTGTGATGACAGCAGATCAACAATGATGATATTGAAACCTACCCTGGGATAATGTTCTTCAAGGTCTCCCATCCTGGAAGAGTGTCTGGGGTCCCTGGCTTCTGGCGACTGAAACTATGGTCCTCGGTCGTACAAGTTGGTCCAGCATGTTCGGTAGACTTGAGATTGCCCGATACCAGATCTGCCTGCGCGAGGAAGTTGTTCTCTGCACGAGACTTCTGATCTTCGAGTCCAAGGAATTTTCCAAAGGTAGATCGCGGGTTATGCGCCTATCCATTCACAGGAAAGAATATGTTAGTCTGGAAGTCTGAGACGGGTGGTCCAGAGTGTCGGAACAAGTGTGATACATACGGTTATATGGCCTGGGCCCTCATTTAGAAGATCATGCGTGCCTCCCTTGTGGAAGGGCTTGCCAGTAGACTTGCCGCTGACATTGTTGGCTGGTGTGGGCTGAGAGCCAGTACCGCCAGAGACGGAGGTTCTACGACCGGGTGATTCGGACATGTTGATACCTAGAGGACGCAATGTGAAGCTGTGAGCAACTGACGACTTATTCCACGAGTGGCCAAATTCCACTCATTATTCGTGGATAGCTGAGTACCACACAATTCCACAAAGGTATTCACTAATATGTAACTCACAATTGATAACTAGGATTGTCGATCGCGCTGTTTCTCGGGTCCTTTCTTGATAAAGCGAGACACACACTCAATCACGGATAATATGACGGAGATCATTCTGAATTGGAGAGTTCGTTACTCCGTGATTTTATAGCTGGTTACAGGTGACATTGACCTCATGGGGTTGCGAATCTTGGAAACCGAGCCACTGGGCGATGAAGTCATAATGAGCCTCGAGCGATCGGCCTCCCCAGGGTTCAATTCCCGATGCGATTGGTGCCCGCCCTGATGGAGAATGGATGAAGTATAGCTGAGTCAGCTGTATAGACTTCGACCATAGGTAACATAACCAACGTTAATTATTTACTATAGTAGTAGACAGAGAATGGGAGAATATGTTGTCAATAGCTAAGGCTGCAGTGTGACTTCGGAACTATAACGTTCTGTCGAGTATCCGTGTGTTCCAAGATCAGACATAGAACACACATAGAAAAGAGACAGCCGATAAAGTTGAAGGTCTAATGCAATGTTATCGGTCATCTTGTGAATACCCTAGAGCTTACGTGATGCGCTAAATGGACCGGGGTGACTGTGGCTCTGGTTGTTCTTATCTCATGTTATCCTTATTCCATCTCCACGTAGACAGACAAACAACATTGGCAGAAGATGTCACAGTTAATCCCAGACTGGTTAAGAATGTGCGTCGCTAGAACCCTATCTTTCCAGGGTAAGAGACTGACTCCCACTTAGAATCCTCCTCCTGTTCAGCGGGGCTTCCTACCTGCCCCAGCTGCACCGTATCTGGGTGCACAGGGATTGCCAGGGCATCTCACTCGGCAACCTATTGCTCACCCTCATCACTGCGACTGAACAACTCACGCTCGGATTCTTCTTCCTGGTGAATAACACGCAAGAGTCGGACTTTTTCATTGAAAACCCGCCGACAACCGGCGACTGGCTGAACCTGGCCCAGTTCACTCTTGTTTGGGCCCTTCAGCTTCTACTGTCAGTTTCTCCCTACACTTAGGCCCCGACCCCAGCTTTATGAAAATCTCATGGATAAGCTCCTGACAAGAACAGCTTTATACTGTGTCTCTGGTTCCCATCCGGTAGTCGCGTCTGGTACAAACTTGGACTACTGGCTGTTTATATCCTATTCACCTCTATTTCCCTCATGCCCCTTTTCATTGATGACATCAACCATGAGATCTTCGGACCCCTTGACGACCCCTATCGCAAATGGGCCGAAGCCCTCTTCGGCGGCTATCACCTCCTTTTTCTGAATCCGATCGTTACAATCATGGCCCTATTCGCATACTCCTTCCAAGCGCGAGCGATACGTACGCTGCCCGCAGGAGATCTAAAAGCCCTCAGTCTCCGGGGGCTTCTGACCCAGGGTGTTATGTTTGTCGTGGTGGCAATTTCCTGGACAATGCGGGTGAAGTTCGCATCGTTTGGGGATGTTATTTTGTACGGGGCATTCTGGAGCTGGTACCAGATGGTTGGGTGGGCAGCGGTAGATAATGCGATATTTGCACTGGGGCAAATATTTTTGTTCGTTTTGGCGAGAGATTGGGGGACAGTGAAGGCGGCTGATGAGGAGAGGGAGCCTCTGCTGAGAGTTGGGCTCTAGTAAGTACAAATGTTTAGTGCTAAAGTATGGATTACTTGGAGGGTGATAATAAGAAATCAAAGATAGAGAAAATGATATCCATCCGAAACCATCATAGGTGAACTCGACTGCATTCGACTACCACCCATCTAGATATAGAACTGGCTTTGAGGGTGAGTCTATTTATAGAGTTAGGATAAGATATCGAATGTATTGTTGAATAAACCTTCGTCTCAAACAGTAGCAAAAGGTTGTGTTCAAGGCATAGTTCATGGTATGCGGTTGGAAAACCTCGGTGATATAGACAGAATCGGCCAGATCTAGCAGTCTGAGTGTCATTCATTTACTGCCTTATTTTTTTTGGAACTCCATGGGATGCGGCTATACAGTATTGAATGTGGCGTCGTAGAATCTCATTTTCGTAGATTAGACTCGGGTGAGGTGACCGGTATGACGCCAAGGTTAGTCACCAATAAAAGATCCCTACTTATTCCAGGCGGTGTCATCTTAAATGGAATGTAACGAAACCTAGAAGAAGAGCCTGTAAGTTGAATTATGCGACTCGCATTGACTTATCGGGAAGGCCTTCCCGAGTACACGAAAGTACCATTTGCCTACATGCATGCTGTTGTACTAGAAGAACCTTGGCATTTCCCCTAATTGACCCTCGACCCGAACACTATAAGTCTTACAGCAAGTATATGCATGAGTCGGTCAGCAATCAATGCAGTCAAAGCATTATCCTCGAAATTATGCCTGCTATCGGGCCGGGATTTCGTTTAGCCAAGCCTAATTCTTGGCGGATAATTGCCCAAATTTAGGAGAGTAAGCGACATGACAAGGTGTCAATTGCGCGAAAAGATACCATCATGATGAAACCCTTTTTCTTTGCTACTAAATGCGCATCCCAAAATAACTTTATAAATCTCCTAGATGAGCCGTGAAATTGGCTGGTAAAGAACGGTTATCCACACCAAAGTGAACTCGGAAGATACAATAAAAGCAGGCCGATTCCAACATTTAAATCAGGGACGGAGCTCACCGAGCCCTATCCAAAACGGGGGAACTAAAAAATCGGTAGAGCTCGGCTATCGAGTGCCGATTCAGCCGGAAACGAGCACCTCATTGGCGTGACTAATAAAAACCCCGTGGGGAAAGCACCTCCAATTTGAAGTGATGGGGTAAAATGCCCGAACCTATAACTAGTGTCGCAGGCTTCCAGAATTATTCTCCGGTTCATTTTTGCAGTCGCATCGGAGGCGTGTGGAAATGACTGAGAAGGCGACACTCCCTGAACCCGAATATGAAGCCGACAATGTACAACCGGACTCGACGGTCGCGGATCAGAATCAGTCTAGCCAGCTGAATGACGATGGCGCCAAGCGGAGAATTAATGGGGGCACGCTGGCGTGGTTGAATGTGCTGGCTGGGTTCTGCGTTTTTGTAAATTCTTGGTGAGTTTATCAGCATTAAAGTTATCTCCGTATCGTATCTGATAAGTCAAGCTGATCGATCTCATGCAGGGGAGTTTTGACTACATTTGGCGCGTTTCAAGAGTACTACCAGACTGAACTGTTGCCGGATCAATCGCCCTCTGCAATTTCCTGGGTGGGCAGCATTCAAGCAACGTTGATCCCCATGGTCGGCCTGGTGTCTGGCCCATTGGTTGACTCGGGATATTTGCGCCCGTTGATGATCTCGGGGAGTTTCCTCACAGTATTTGGATTGATGATGACTAGCCTTGCTACGGAGTACTATCAGGTGGGTTCTCCTCTTTTGGTACATCAGATCTTTTACTAATAATGGAAATACTCAAAGGTCCTCCTAGCACAAGGCTTCTGCGTCGGAATGGGTGGTGGAATCAGCTACATCCCAGCCTTGACTATGATTTCGACAAGTTTCACTACGAAACGACCAATTGCCATTGGTATAGCGTCAATTGGATCTAGCGTCGGGGCCGTCATCTTTCCAGTGATGTTCCGGCAACTCCAGCCCAGGGTGGGATTTCCTTGGGCAGTCCGGAGCATTGGTTTCGTGACCCTTCTTATGGCCATCGTCGCATGTGCTATCCTATGTCGCCAACCAATTCTGAAAACACGTGCACGAAGTCTGATCGACTGGACTGCTTTCCGTGAAGGCCCATTTATGCTATTTTCTGTATCCTTGACCTGTGTGATGCTGGCATATTATGTGCCAATCTTCTACGTCGCCTCGTACGCACGCACTGTGATCCATACGACAACAAGTCTTTCATTCTACATGGTCGCAATTGTGAATGGAACCTCTGTGGTTGGTCGTGTGGTCCCTTACCTTCTTGTCGCCTATGTGAAGCCGATCACAATTGTGATCTTCGGTGTTATCGGCTCAGCTATTGCCATGTTCACTTGGATTGCGGTATCCAATATCCCAGGCTTCATCGTTTGGGCCTGCTACTGGGGTAGCTTGAGTGGTATCCTTGTGACTGGACCTACCTCTATCGTCGCTCATCCAGTCTTCTGTCCGGACGTTAAATTAACCGGCACTCGTCTGGGCATGATGTGGGGAATTTCTTCGTTCGGCGCACTGGCAGGAACACCGGTTGCGGGGGCATTGGTCAACCTGGATACTGCCGATTTTCTGCATGCTCAGGTCTTCGCTGGCTGTGTGATGGCGGGTGCCGTCCTGTTGCAGCTATGGCCTGCTCTTAAGGTGCTGCAATATGATCGAAGTCACCCCCGGAAATAGAAGGTGCTGGCTTACCTTCCGTCGGATTATGAGTGCTGTCACGACGACTTGAGGTCTACCAAAAATTCAACTGTAAATAGCATCTGCATCAATCGCATAAATATAAGGTACATTTATCAGCATTCTTTCACATCGATCAGGGGAAGTTCTGTTATCACAAAATAGTCGAGCCCAGCATGAAACTTTACCCAAGAGGCTCACGTCTCTACAGACCCAAATGAAAACTGTTGTAGCAGGTCATATCCATACTTTTCTCGAATAGCCTTTATCTAAGATCACAGCCCCGCTCTAGGGCCTGTTTAGTCACCTTGGCTTGCCATACGATAAGGGTTTAGTGCTGATTGCGCAGCCTCGTATAAAGGTCCCAGCCCCCACGCCTTCCCTCAACCTTGCTGTTGAAACCCTCAGAGCTCTTAATTAATGGTAGTTATGGCCATACAGAGTAACATGCCCAATTGCCGACTGCGAAAGTTCCATCGAAAGTCTAGAACGGGTTGTGGGAATTGCAAACTACGGCGGATAAAGGTATCCTGCCCTCGAGCCCGAAGCCCGAGACGAGGCAGCATGTACTGACTTTTGTGCAAGTGCGACGAATTAAGACCAAATTGTGAAAAGTGCCGGTCTTATGGTGTTGTCTGCAATTATTTTTCCGCCTCCGAGTTACAAATGACCGCGGAGATCGAGACTCCCAGGCCAATAATCGGGGAGGGGACCGTTACCATCGAACTCGATGATAATCACTTGCGACAACTTCTATTCTTCAAAGAAGGACCAACGGCCTCTTCAATCGTGAATGTGTCTCAGTGCGAAGTGTTGAGACTAGCATACTCGGTAAGCACGCTCGAATAACCAACCAGGTTGGGGTTAACAGAAGAGCAGAAACCATACTTGATGCATATCGTGTTGGCAATCTCTGCTTTGCACCACAGATATCACCGAGAGTTATCACTTGATGAACCAAATGCATTTGAAGCTTACCACGCATACAAGAGTGCCGCACTTCTCAATCAAGCATTATCACGGACCATAAGACCCGAAGAGCGGGATACTCTGTGGATGGCAGCAACTTTTCTTGGTGTACACGCCGTGTCAACGCTATCAGCAATGACCCCTCGAGAAGCCTGGCCGCTGAAATCTAACGACGATTCAGACCTAGCATGGCTGCGATTTGCTGGCAGCAAAATGGCACTCTGGGAGTTGGCAAACCCGGTACGGCAAGATAGTCTATTTCAAAACATGAAGGACGAGTATGCAGAAATGTTCAACTCTGTTGCTCTTAATGGTATAAATGGCATTCCGTCCTGGCTTGCTATGCTTTGTCACCTGCACGAGGGCTCAACTATACACAACAATCCTTATTTTACAGCCGCGCATACACTTTCTTTGATTCTAGATCAGAGAGCTGGAACTTCTCGATGCAGAATTCTGGCATTTACCAGCCAGATGGAGTCATCATTCAAAGATTTACTTCACGCAAAAGACCCGGTCGCATTACTTCTATTGGCGCTATGGTATGAAAGGGCAGGGCCGGCGATATGGTGGATTCAGCATCGGGCAACGGTCGAGTATCAAGCGATTTGTCTTTATCTCTGTCTGCAACGGAATGCCCTTGCAGAAATACTAATACAAAGTAACTTGACGTGTATTTTAGATGAGGTAGAATTGGTTGATACTGGGTCATGTTGATCAATGCATTCCTTCGAGATGTATGCTACCGACCAAATATTTCTCGAGAATTCTTGGTAAATGTCGATCGCTTCAAATTTGATGCAAGAAATTTACCATTGCTCGGACTGGTTATTGCCAAAAAGGAAATAATTATGGTTAATGATCTACAGACTATAGTAATAGTGTGGACAGCCTGGGTGCCTTATTGCCTGACTGTCCAGGCACCAAAATTTAAACTTTTCTTGGCCACGCGGAAATAAAGTGTCCACTTGTTCCTAAACACGACGATTCAAGATTGCAGATCTCGATCCTGATGTTTACTCCCACAATAATTCAACAATCTAGCCAGTCCCTCATGGATTCAACAGCCTTGCCAGTGAAGATTTCTTTTTTTTCAGCCCAACCAAAGGCCCAGCCTGTAGTCTCCAGGCCTGCCCTAAGTACCCTTGCCCTAGTGTTGCGCAACTCGCTGCGTAATGTCGCAGCCTCTTTCAGCCCCGCTGACAGCCACGCCGGACTCCTAAACGGTGTTCGCGCTCCACACGCAACAGGATGACGCCGCGGTCTGGACTATTTGAAACCCAGTAAGGAAATTTTGGGCTTTCTTGAACCAATCAGCTTGACTCACGGCCAATCCGGCCAGCCCATCCGCAGGTGCCGGTCGACGACACCTCTAGCTCTGTGGAGTCCACAAAACCATTTGTGAGGTGTGCCTGGCGTAGTGGCGCTATTGACCACACTATAGGTCACCAGGAAGCATTTTTCAATCCGATCTGGGCGTCTAGCCCTAACCCAACTCAACTCTGGGACCACTTCAAACAAAGCCACAGCCCTTGAGTCCTCCAATGGTCTCTTGTTCCTGGCTCAGCCCAGGAACCACATGGTTTCTGCAATGCTTCTAGCCATGAAAATTGGCCAATCCATGGATTGAAGGCGCTTTTTTAAGATACCAGTGCGCGTTTCAGATGCCCTGAGGGCAAAGTCTTGCGTCGAGGCACACACTCCACCATGGAGGATAAAGACCAGGGGGTCTCGTCCCTGAAGTCCCCTTTTGATTCTCTCGTTTCAACCTGTCAATCCCTACCACACTCTCTCACCCTCATTATCACATTTTCCGAGGCTGTGCCTCTATACAATCCTTTGTGATATCCAAATTCATCGTCTGTAGACCAGACAAGATCCACCAATCCTTCAATTCCGATATCTACTTCGGACCATTTCATACCTTCGTCGATCATTCCAGATCTCGCCAACTCCATCGAATCACTCTTTTCGTCTGCTCAAAATGGCATTCCTTAAGAAGCTCACTCTTTTCGCCGCCTTCGCCTCCCTGGCCGCGGCTCTTCCCCACGGCGTTCGTCCCACGGCCACCGTGACCCTCACCCCAGTCATTGCTACCACCACTACGGCTACTTCTACCTCTACTACCGCCACTGCTGCCGCCACCAGCACCAGCACCGGTACTAGCACCAGCTCCAGCTCCAGCAGCACCAGCAGCGGTATCAACATCATCAACAACCTCAACCAAACCGTCTACCTGTGGTCCACCTCCGACACCAGCAGCGACATGCAGACCCTGACTTCCGGCGGCGGCACCTACACCGAGCAGTGGCGCACCAACTCCGACGGCGGCGGTATCTCCATCAAGATGTCCACTACTACCAGCGAGAGCAGCGTCCTGCAGTTCGAGTACACCGAGAGCGACGGTACTCTCTGGTGGGATCTGTCCTCTATCAACCTCGACTCGGACTCGGAGTTCATTTCGTCCGGCTTTGCTGTTAGCACTGACGACTCGAGCTGCTCTAATGCGTCGTGCGCGGCCGGTGATACTGATTGCTCGGATTCGTATCAGCAACCTGATGACGTGGATACTCGTAGCTGCTCGTCGTCTGCCGCGTTCACTATGACCATTGGTTAAGTGTGCGGTGGGTGAATCTTGGTTAGACCGTGTAGGGTGGAGGTATCTTGCCGATGTGTTTTAAGCTTGTTTTTAAGGTTATCTTCTTTTGAACCCAACTTTTTTTTCTTGTTTATAGACTTGTTTGTGGAAATTCAGTATAGATGTTTTACCTTTCGAAAAAGAACATCAAGAAAAAGAAAAAAAAAGGCTATATACGTTTTAGAAAAGTTTTTATCCCGTGTTGTCACTCTTTCTCACTTAAATTGAATTTAGAGGAAATATGTATAAGAAAATGTAGCCTAGCTAGCGAGGGGAGAAGATAAAATACAACCCAAAAACACCAGGCACAGCAAAACGTGCGCCTAGACGTCTCCACCACAAAAGAATCTCACCCAAGATTCCGAGAATGCACAGACTTAGTACACGGGAACCTTGAAGGCAGGGAATTCATAGGTCCAGCTCTCAATCGACTTCTTGTCGTAGACACAGTCAAAGGTAGAGTTGCTGCGCCACAGAGGACGAGAAGGCCACTGGCACAGCATCTGAGTCTCACCCTCGTAGGTACCAGAAGAGACGGTGGCATTCAAGCGAGTGGGCTTAACACCGTTCTCAACCCAGTTGATCATGATCTCCATGTTATCCTCGGGGTAAGGGCCGGGCTGCAGGGAGTTGGTTCCGCAGTGGGCCGCACCGGGGATCAGGTAGAACTGGTACCAGTCCTGGAGCTTGGCGAGGGCCTGCTTCTCGGTGGCGTCGGGGTACATGATGGAGCGGACGGACTGCCAGTAGTGCACGGAAGAGGCGGAGGGGACTGAGGGGTCCGACTCGCCGTGGTAGTGCAGCAGCTTGCCACCGGAGGACTGGAAGGGAGTGAGGTCGGGCAGGGTGGTCTGCAGGCTGTCCATGTAGCGCACCATGGCGGTGTTCATCCACTCAACCAGAGTATCGTAGGTAATGCCGTCCAAGTCGGACAGGTTGTCCAGGTCCAAAAGCTGGACGAACTTGGTCACAAACTCACCGCCGGTCGAAGGGATATCCAGCTCCCACTTCTGGGTGCTGTTGTTCCACTCGGTCTCGGCATCGGTGAACTCGGAACCAATCTGCCACGAGAGGTAAGCGCGCTCGCCCTTAGAGTTGTGCAGACCATCGACGATAGCCTGTGCAACGGCAACGGCCTCGGCAGACACAGTGCCGCTCTGAACGGGCTGGTAGCTGGTCTGGCTGCCCGCTGCCTGGCGCTTAACCTTGCTGCTGAAACCGAAGCCCAGAGAAGTGCTGGTCTCGGCGGCGCAGTAGTACTCCTGGCCAATGACGGAAGACATGTTGAAGTGCAGCTTGCACAGGTCGGTACGAGAAATGACACCGTCAGTACGGCCGTCGAGAGGGTCGCAAGCCTTGATAGTGGCGTTGACAATCTTGGCGAGTTCGCAAGGAGGAGGGTAGTAGTCCAGAGTCTTCTCGACCTCGGCGGAGAAGACGTGGTTAACCTGCTGCTGGCCGTAGCGGAAAGCCGGAGCACCGGTGATAACACCGTCGTACTCCTCACCATAACGCTGAATCTGGCTCATACCCTCACGACCACCATCGGAGCATCCCTCGTAGTAGGTGTAGACCTTGGAGTCGGTCGAAAGGTCGTAGAAACCCTTGGTGAAGTACTTGCCCAGCTGGGTCATCTCACCCAGAGCCTGGTAGCCGAACATGTAGGTCGCATCCCAGTTGATGGAGCCGTTACCGTACAGCACAACGTCATCGTAGCTGACGCCGTCCAAGGCATCGTATCCAGCAGAAGTGGCACCACCGGCGGCACCGTACTCCAGACCGCCGGTCGCATCAGTGCTCAGAGAATAGCCACCGCCGCCAGCGACGTAGAAGCGCTTCTTGAAGTCGGAGGGCTCGGGGAGAGCGTACTTGACAATGACGGTGTCACCCTTGCCGGGGTGAGTGTAGGTGAGGGTCACGTTGCAGTAGCTGTAAGTCGCGCTGGTAGTGCTGCCCATGCCACCAGTGCTAGCGTTGTAGACAGCAGCGGCAGTAGAAGAGGAAGAAATCAGGTTGATACCAAGCAGAGTGCCGTTGGAGGGCAAAGCAGACTTGACATTGGACAATGTGCATACATCGGAGAGAGACTTGGCACTGGCGGCCGCGGCGAAGGCCGCGACAGAGGCGCCTGAATGGAGACGCATGTTGAAAGAGATTAAAAGAGAGGAAAGATATTACACAAAATGAGCGTGTGAAAGTGTGCCTGAAATATAATGCAGAGAAAAGGATTCGGGATAGTGAGGAACATTAGGTCTCATTTATAGGATCAACCTCTTGAACATAAAGGAGCGGTCGTATGCCCCCCGTTTAGGACCAGAGCATTCCCTGACAAGACGCTGATCTCCCGGATAGATTGAACTCAAACCCTGAAACTATCATCGGTATGTGGCCCTACCAATGCCAAAGCCCCAATCGATCAGCAGCGTCGTCATCCTGTGACGAGCCAGACGGCCCAGCCATTCGACCCAGGAAGCAGGCGTTTGGAATAAAGGCAGCAATGGATGTTGGAGAGACCGGACCAGACGGATGGCGCGGCTGCGGCTCTGGTTACGCCGATGTTAGTCCGCGAGAATTAAGGTAATAAGGTGGTGGGAAGGTCCATTGTCAGAAGGTTGGGCCAATAGTAGACCCAAATCAGATTAGGCAAGCGGAGTCGTACACGCCCCTGAGAATATGAGGGTGTTGACTTTAACGGTGGTGATGGAGAACCCTAGCCAGGGGACCACTGAGACAGGAGCCTTGGGGTCGTGGCGGTTAAAAACTTGCCCGACGGGGCTGAAGATGTTGAAGATCTGCAGAGGCTGAGCCCACTTTCGAGCCACTCTAAATAGGTCGCAGTCCACTTGCGAACGGATTTGGTAGGGCGAAGTGGGTCAGTCCTTCGTAGCCCTGGTGCTTCGCCCTGTAAGAAGGGCCAAACACTGGGGAGACCGCGTCAGTGTCAGGAGTCCAATCGTTCAGTTGATGTGTCTAGGGTTTGTCCGAGGGGGATCTTCGGAGGTCGCAGATCTGAACCTGACTTGGGCTCCTGAGGCCGAGCCTGGTATCTCCGAGTCCGAGCTTGCATTGATGCGAGAAGAGTCTGAGTTGATAAATAGGGCCACCTGCTCTCAAAAGCTTTAGGGAAAGAGCAGCTTAGCTGGTCAATTTATTAACTTCAGTTGATGTAAAACATGCGATACATCACTAGGGTCATGGTGGGGGAAGTGTGGGAAATCGGGACGAATGCCAGACACCAGATGCCTCCAGCGGAAGTGAAATTATCCGACCCGCCAGTAGAGGCGTCGTCACCTTGTATCAGTGTCCTTGCTCAAACTGATTTTTATCAATCAGTGATCATTTCCAGCCCACCTGGCAGAGATGAGATTCAGAAACCGGGAATTATCTCGTCAATGTTCACGGACAAGCCACTGCTGACGGGCCTTGGGTGGCTTCCTGTCTGAAGTATAGGGCAAAAGTATACGAAACAGGGTACATCGATCCTAATTTCGCGACCAGGTGCACAGCTGCTGCAAAAGCCAGTCGTCTATGGCTAGTCAGATATTATTCCCTGCACGATTTCTGGGGAAACCTCTCAAGCCAATCGCATTCATACGGACAAACGGAGATTTGTTACCATCGGCTACAATGTCATTCTTTCGAGACGAGGACCAGCCTCCCCACGCCCATGGCTGACGAACACGCCAAAGATTCAAGTTGTTCTACGCGAGAAAAGGTATATGCACTAAGAATGAATGGCCTGAGCACTACCAGAGATCCCACTTCTCGCAGGAGCGAGGGCGGAAGATCCAGAATGATGACAGGTATGATCATTATCTGCATCATCAACCACACTAACCACAGAATGGATTGCGTTGCCTTGCACACTAGTATTGCCACTAGTGTAGTTATTGATTGTGGGGAAGCTGGTCATTTGTTCGCTCGTAGAACTATGAGTCCTGCACTTTTCAATGGGTTGGCATAAACCGCTCTTTCCCCCGAAGAGAGTCACTCGATGTAGAACATCGTGATCCAAGTACGACTGAAAAAATACATCTCAGACATACAGAATATTCCCTGAGCGAGCTACCTATGAGCTCATTCGCTGTTAAGAACGATAAAGAGGCGACATACAAGGGAGATCGTGGTACCGCACGAGCTGGTATGTGGGGACGGACGTGGCTGCTATCAAGTGGAGACCCTGTTGGAGTAGATTATTTTAACAAAGAGGGGGAAGTACAGACGTGTGGAAGGGGCATAAATGCACAAAAGTAGTTTCCAACACGCGAGTAAGTACCAGGCCAACCCTGAGGGCGGCGAGGTTAAGAGTGGAAGAATATCCAAAGGCAGATCGAATGTCCGGACGGATAATAAATATTCATTGAGTAACCCTCTCTTTGCAAGGCCAAATATAGAACGGGGATATCAAATTAACAAGGGCATGTTTAGAGGTATTTTCATAGCAGGAGTAATGCATCAAGGGTGATCGTAACAAAGCCAAGTAAAAGTCAAAAGGGCCAAACGTTTTAATGTTCCCAAAACACCGTCGTCTATTCCTCGACCTGGTCAGCCCAAGTGCCAGTCAAAGGAGACATTGTAGCCTCAAGCTTCTCCATAGATGGAGGTTGTGCGACGGCTTTCGTGTCCACGGTTGTCGTGGGGGGAAGCTCCGGCTTCTTGCCTGCCGGAAGGGAGGGGAAATCGGCTTCGTTGTTGACAGCCGGCGTAGCAGTCTTCTCCGATGGTTCTTTCGAAGACGCTCGGTCTCCTCGTGGCCCACGGGAAGGCCCACGGCCCCGACCACCGCGACCACCACGTCCACGCCCACGCCCGGGGCTGGGGTAATCGCCAGCTCCATCTTCAGATGGCCGTTCGTCAAAGTCTCGGCGAGCATACCCAGATACACCACCGTGCATGCCTCGGCGGAACTGGCTACCACCTCCGCGTGGGTTGTAATCGTCCTCGGTTTTCTGAGAGTCCCATTCGCGACCAGTCTGGGCTTTCAGCTTCCGCTGTCGATTCTGTTCACGCTCGTTGTCCATGACCCGACGGTTGGCTGCCTCCTTGCGTCGTTTCTCAGCCGCAATTTGTTCGCGTTCGAGGAATGATGCTTGGTCGGCTTCTGCACGAGCGTGGGCGGCGGCTTTCTTTGCAGCGTGCTCTTTGGCAGCAGCAATGCGCTTTGACAGCTCTTCTTCGGTGAGTTTGGGCTGAAATCCACAATTAGCTCAGATTCCGTTTACAGCTCGAGATGGTGCTTTCTTACCTTCCGTACTCCTCCAGTAGCGCTTCGGTCTCCACGGACAGCCGGTACTCGTTGAGCTTCAGTGCCATTGCCGGTTGTTTCCTCCCCTTGCGGTTCTTCCGTCTGGACGGGCTGCTCGGTTGGCCCCGCCTCAGGCTGAGCAGGAGTCGCAGGCTCGGTTTGTTTAACTGGAGCTGGCTCCTTTGCGGCCTTGGGTCCTTTGCGGCGTGGGGACTTCTCAGCTGGCTTCTTGTCTGCCCACTGTGAGTCCTCCAACCCGCGCCCTTTCGCTTGAGTTTGAGCCCGACCCTGGCCGTGGCTCTGGCCGCCCCGCCCGCGCCCACGGCCTCGGTCTCGATCTCCTCCACGACTCCGGTGGGAAGTTTCACCTCGAGGAGGCTGCTGTTTCTCAACAACGGGCTCTTCCTGCCGCGGGGCAGGTTCTGGCTCTGGCTGTGCTGGTACCACCACTACCTCCGCCTGGGCTTGCTGTTCCTCCGCTGAGACGGGGATGATTTCATCGTCGAACAGGTCATCTGCGCCGCGCGTTTGTGCGAATTCGTCCATGTCTGCCATGCTTGTCTGTAGTTATAAGTTGCGATGAATCAATGGCACGAATTGGAGCTCTGTGCGATAGTGGGAAACGGGCTTTCTTGCGAGCGCGATCGAGGGGAAGCTTTGATGGGGGCGAGAAGAGGTGATCCGTGCGGCAGAGGCTAGAGAGGGGAGTAGGCTGAGGGCGTCGGGACTAGTGTTGATGGTCCATGGAACTGATAATCTGATTGTTGAATGTTATAAGAATACCGTCGTCGCTTTAAGAGTGAGGGATTGCTCATAAGGAGATGATTCCAAGTTGCCAGTTAACAAAACCCAAGAGCAATACCCCAGGCGGTCTAGGCCTTCCAGTGGCGGAGACCCTTTTTGCCGCCGAGCTCCGCCTGATTTCTGCCCGTATGACGTGTGCGTGTTGACGTTTTGGAAGGCGGTCCAAATATTCTCCAAACAAATTTCCAATTCTGGGGTCTTCTGAGGTTAATTACCCTTCTATGATTTGGACTGATATATCATCTTATTGAGAGATAGCAGCTCATGTCACCTCACAGGAATGACTTAATAGGCAAGAACCTTGGACTCCAAACGAGCGGCTACATCCCGCGGGTGGAAGTACCTCCTGAAAATGACAAAGATGGACTGATAGGAGATATTGACTGATCCAGCAGTTCTCGATTGTGTGGACATGCTAGGTTCTTTCTATGATCAGCGTATGAGGACGCAAAAATGAACTCACTTCTGCAGGAAAAGTGAATATATATTTCGCACTACACTCTCACATCACTCTATCTACACCTCGAACTTCCGAATATTCTCACCCACCCACTGATCAAACCTTACAGGAACTCGATGCGAATACTTGAGAATATTACCTCTCGCCTCCTCAACCACAGTAGTTTTGAACTCATATCCAGCATTCTCAGTGATATACCGCACAATCCACCTGGCAGTTCCCTCCGGAGTCCCATTCTTCTGCAACTCTTCCAGCGCCTCCTCCGCACTAATCTTGGTGACCGTGATCTCCCTTCCAAGAGCACGAGAAACCACCCCAACTGCATCCTTAAGTGCCATCTTCTCAGCACCCATCAGCCAAACGACCCGATCCTTCAAACCCCGCGCCAGGATCGACCCACACACTCGACCGATGTCCTCGGGAGAAATCCAGTCGTACTCGGCTTCCGGATTGGCATGTCGGACTTGTCCAGCTTGAATACCCGCCTTGAACCAGAGTATATTGCTGGCAAAATAATTGGGTCGTACCGCGACGAAGCCGCCTTTGCCATAGATCTCTTCAAGCGAGATTTCCACTTGGGCGTGTACCCATGGGACATGATCATCTGGAGACACGGAGTGGATATCGGTCTGGATTGTGTAGCTACTCAGTAGCACGATCATCTCGACACCGGCCTCTTTGAGAGCCACAATACTGGCCCGCATGTGGTCAGGCGTCCCAAATATCACATATATGAAGGCAGACTTTGCTCCGCTCTGATGGACGGCTGGCTTGATTGTCTCGGGCTTTGTGAGATCGGCTTGGACCCTTTCTGCGTTGATACCACTCAAGGCTGGAATTGGCTTTGTGGGATCGCGCATTGCAAGAGTGACTTTGACCCCGTCCTGATAGGCTTGGAGAGCTGTGGCCGAGCCCACGGAGCCAGTTGGACCAAAGATGATCACGCTGTTGGGAGTAGACATTGTAGAGCCTGGGTAGGTATTCAGAAATAGAAGGATAGTCTGTCACCCCCTCGTGGAATAAGCTTGAAGCTTTGTAAAATAGTGGCCTGGCTTTGATGGGTGTGTGTGGAAAGTGACCAGCGGTGAGAATTCCATTGACCTTGCAGGATGCATTTTTGGTGCAACCTGTCCCTCTAGGAAGAGATCTGCGTGTATATTGTTGTCGACGAAAATGACAAGGATATGCAAACTCACAGCAAAAACATCATTCGACTCGAAGATGAGCTTACTCTTTCTTCATGACATGCATCTAATAGAGGTATCATAACGAGACTGCCATATCTTGGCAGTTCACTTTAAAATCAATCGATAACGACTAATTTTGCCATGGATGAATAGCCATGTTCACTCTTATGTACAATGCTTTGCGCATACAATAATTCAGCTCATCACCTAGACACACTCCCAGGCATTCTCATCGGTGTATTTACCAGGACCCACGTAAACATTGCGACGGGGATAGCGGCAGTGCTTGCGACGGTACTCGACTTGTGTGCCAGGCCCATTAACGAACTTGCTACCACGCACAGTCTCCGGGGCCTTGCCTTGCTCCACCCACTGGACCATAGCCATCAGGACATTATCCTGCGGATCATTACCAGCATAGGTCTTGAGACCCTGTCCGATACCGTACGCACCGTCACCACCACTGCAGTGACCCATACCACTGATGCTGAAGAAACGGTAGAACTCGTCCAGACTAGCCGGAGGCAGGTTCATCGTCTCTGCAACGCGAGAGTAGTACCACTTTGAGTCCTCGGAACTGATCAGCTGGTCCTGCATGCCGTGGTAGTGGAGGACCTTGCCGCCAGCCTTCTGGAAGGGAGACAGATCGGCGTCCCAGGTCTGGATGTTATACGGATTCTGCGCGAGTGCGACGGCGGCATCCTTGATCGTCCAGTTCTCACCGCTCCAAGACGGGTCACTGTAGACAACATACTTCCACCAGTCGTTGCTGTACTTGAAAGGCTGACCGTTGTACATGATAGGCGCAGCGAGAATCTCGGAACCGGGTTGCATACGAGGATACAGCTGAGTGCCGTCCAAGCTGTACAGCGGGGACAGAACCTGTTGGGCCGCATGAACCTGAGCACCGGAAAGGCAGCTGCTTGTGTTCTTTGCATTGGGCGCACAGATCAAAGTATCTAGGATGGGGTGGCAGAGATCAGTATCTTCGATGATACCGTCCTTCGCGCCATCAATGGCATCGCATTGTCGGAGGATCTCATCGTGAACAACCTTCCATTCAGCAGTGGTCAGGTAGGTCTCCGAAGTATTAGAGCCAAGGATGGGATAGAAATGAGCACTCCAGGACAGCAGGCCAATGAAGTTAATGGCGGGAGCACCGGCCACGACACCGTCAAAGTCATTGGGATATTTCTGAATCGATTTCCATCCCTGTCGACCACCCGTGGAGCATCCAAGATAGTAACTCTTATTGAAACCTTCCTTGTAGAACTGTTTCGTGAGCTCTTTACCGATGACAACGCCAGTGTGGATTGAGCGATACGCAAAGTCCTCAACCACCTCAGGATGCTGGTAGAAAGGCAGTCCAGAGGTTCCGTTATGGCCATTGTTTGCACCGACCGTGGCGAACCCCAATTGAGCAGTGTAGGCAAGATCATAATATTGAATGCCTGTGAAGGGGTCAGCAACATTATCTCAATGTGATGGCCAGACAGAACGCAGTACATACATCCAGAGAGCCCGCCATTGCCAGTACTCAAGAAACGACCCTGGTAATCACGCGGGAACCAAGCCTCCAAAGTAATCTCACTGCTGTTGGAGGTAGCAACTGCCATTGCGACTCGGCACAGATCTACCGAAACCGCCTGGTATGGTGCAGCACAGCTAGCAGCATTGTCTGGCAGAGACAGATTTGTACCCCCAGAGACATACTCGGCAAAATTGACTTTGACGTTGGGGAGATTGATCTTGTGTGCAAACTGCGAACACTTGGTTTGAAAAGCATCCTGGCTAGCCACGGCCGTTGAGGCTGCCGCACTCAACAGAGAAAACGCAAAGAGCCGAGTCATGGCGATCACTTTGGCTAGAATCGAGCAGACGTTCAGGATCGATTGGCATCTCGGAGAAAGCCGATGGGAGAGGCTGCGTTATATACCCCAGGAAGCTTCACGCCAGGGTCCTCTTCTTGACCTCATTGCGAGACTTTTGATCGGAGGATGGTCGTCTGTACCAAGTATCGGCAAGTGTAGGTCAAGCAGTACCCGGATATAATACACGGCGATGGTACGTGAAGGAGAAAATCCCGAGGTTGACCCGGCCGGCAGTGGGGAAGGAATGCCGATTTGGTGTAAAGCGATTGGATTTAGGGGAGAAAGTGGATCTAGATACGGTATTAGCTGCCGTCTAAGCCTCTAATGAGGGATTTTGAGGAAACAGAGTGGAGACTGGGTGACGATCAGGGAAATCCGAAATTACCAACGGAAAAGCCCGTCCAATGCGTCCACACGATGAGAAATCCGGGGACTCCACAAATGCGGGGGTGCTTCATCCGCCGAGTTCAAGGCTCTTGATATCGGCATTTAGGGTTGCGTTTAGTCTCGGTGCAGAGTCACGTCGAGTACTTGAAGGTATGGAAATGCCGCAAAGCTTCGACAGCCCTTGGTGTCTGATTAGTGTATGGATTAGCAATTGAGCAGAGTGGGTTCCAAGCACCAACCTTGATCGACACTTTCAAAAGCTCCAGCCTTTAGGAATTTGACCATCTTGTCTGGAGGGCCTCCAGCTCACTTTTGTAAATAATCCATTCGGCCTGCAATTCTCTTATTTCCAAGATGATCGAACCCTTCTCAAATGTGATAGCTCGCAGCTGGACAAAGATTGCAGCATCAAGCTCTCGTGCACACGGCATTGTCGAATGAATAAATTTGGTGAGGGCATCTTCTTTGCGACTATGAGCACTGAGTCGATCATTAATGGCCCTGGATCGCTTCGTCAAGGCAATGTGACGGTTGCGAAGCGCATGTTTGCGGGCGCGAAGAGCCTTGCTCTCATGGCCTGGGTCGGCAGGATCATCGGAGCGGCCCAGATGAGCCTTCAACAGCCCTTTCAATTTCACGACCCACAATATGCCAATAATGACCGCAAGTATCAGTATCACGATCATCAGCACCATGATTTCCATGGTTGTTTGAACACGGTTGCGTGTTAGAGTCGAACGAGACATGCGAGCGCGAAGGCGAGATGAATATGATATGACTTCATGGCGAAGGACTGATAATAACGTACCAACGGGGAGAGGATGGAAGGTAAGAGAAAGGGGAAAGAAGCAGATCCTGTCGTTTGGAAAGTGAAGTCACATGCCTCCCAGCCCATGATGACTTTGAACGGAAATGGAAGGAACGGACTTAGGTTGCTAAGGGTCTATGAGATCCGAGATTTCTGGGAAATAAAATCACATTTCACTTGAAGGATTACCTATGTGCGAACTTCGTATCAATACAATCTCCTCATTATACCCAACTAAACCACACACCAAAAAATCAATTATACATCAGCCCTCGGAGTCTCGGAAGAAACCTCGCGTTCTCGTCCCTCCTGAACCACAACCTCCCTCCTCATCGCGATAGCATTGGGCTGCATATCGTTCACCAGCCCAACCGTATCGTCTCCATCACTCTGCGACGAGCTCATCCCAGTCTTCACTTGTGCCGAGTAGTTGCCCCGTCCCATCTCAATATCAGCGTATGGGTAGTTCGGCCCGAACCGCTTCTTCGGCGGATCACTGCCGATCGTATGCTGGGCTTCCCGGAGTTGACCATTACTAGGTCGCTTACGAGACAGAAGGGGCTCAACGTAGTGACGGAATAAAGGTGCCAGGACTGGCAGACTGACGATGATGATGCTGAGCCATAACTCGAGGAAACTAACCAGGCCGATCTTGTAGAGTCCGTAGACGAAATCTGCGGCGGTTTCAGGATTGAGAGTGATAACGAGGCGCCATATCATGACTGCAACGACACTGCGGAGAGTTAGTATCTGATTTTCAATCAATACCTAGTCATCTTCTCTAAAGATCCTTACATCAAGCCCATTCCAAACATTACAGCAATGGTAAGTTTATTGCGGAGGGACATTCGCAATTTCCATATCGCTGGAATTGGGAGGAGGGCGATTGTTGAGTCGAGGAAGATATTGAGTGTGATAGACGCAATCTCTTGAATACTCAACGATCGACAAGCGCCACCCGAGACGGGATGCCATTGATATGACACAGGATGGCATTGAGTGAGAAAGAGCGGTAGGAAGGTAACGAAGTAGCCAACAACCAGGCTACTCACCACCCAGACAAGAATGCGAATCGGTCGAAAGGTGCGGAAGAGACTGGTATATAACGATAGGATCGATAGCTTGCAACAAACAGTTCCAACCAACCATGTCATACTCACTCCGACGATCAACTTAAACTGGACGTCGAGTTCCTTCTTCGAGAGTGTAGCGGTATGCCCGCCTAACCCATTGGCAACCGCCCAGTAGTTCAACCCTACCATGGCACAAGCGCTTGTCTAGAATGAGATTAGCACAAATCATTGCAGAAGCGTCAAAGTGGAGTAGGCGACTCTCGTACATGAGCGACGATTACAAAGTAATCATGCAGCTGGAGACTCTTGCGGGTCAAACGAATCGCCCAGATACGCAAGGCAATCACCACACTCGTGATGAAGGTAAACACAGCCATCCAGATGGACAGCTGAACGCCATTCGGACTGACAGCCATAATGCAGGGTGGCTAAACAAGGGCAGGGAGTAGGAATTGACAGCGATTGCTCGAGGGAAAGAAATATCGAGGATGCAGTTCTTGCCATCGTCTTCTCCCTGGCATGAAGAATCCGCAACGACTCGGCTTCGGCATGATGTCAAGCAGCTTGCAACCATCAGCGCTGACTGGTGTAGGACAATGCAGATGAAAATGCAACCTTACTGTAGCTCTCGACTCAGAACCAGTCAAAGAAGGCAATTGAGCGCACGACAGGGATATACCCGGCACCAAACAGTTTGTCATTTGGTGGTGGCGTTTTTGAGTTGAGGATCCGACAACAAACTTGAGGACTGGCCTCAATTTCGGGGGATGATCTTGGAGATTTCTTTGTGAGCTGGCGATCAACTGACTCGCAAAGTTCACACCCGCGGCCAACCCTGGAACTTCCTTGGCGAGCCTTGTAGGTCTGTCAGCCTCACCTGCTGTCATCAGACTGTCAGCCCCCTCCTTTGGTCGGAATCCTTAAACTCTACATTCATCATCTTCATTAAAACCCTGTCAACTTCCCTCATCAGATCATTTCCTTCGCCTGATTACCCCCGAAGAGCGTGTTACACCATGAATCCTCCGTTGCCCTCTCTGACCTCGACCTGGCACAATGCCACCTACCCGGCCATCTCGCCGTCGCGAGCCGAGCTCAGCGCCGCGGGAAAGACAATTATTATCACGGGCGCTGTAAGATCCCAGCAGAACCTTCATCAAAGCTTGCTACCTGCCTCCTCTGATACATTTCTGAATACAATCTACTCAACTCTCCGTTTGCTAACTCTAATCCCCAACACTCTAGGGAAGTGGAATTGGTCGCGCAACAGCCCAGTCCTTTGCCAAAGCAGGAGCTAGCAAAATCGTTCTGATCGGGCGTAACGTGGCCACGCTTCGAGAGACCCAGGCCAGTCTGGAATGCAGCTCTTCCATCCACGTAGCCGATGTCACGGATGAGAAGGCACTTGCTGCCGTTGCAGCTGCCACGGGGACTTGGGACGTGATGATCCTTGCTGCGGGATACATCTCACCGCTGGCGTCGATCCGGGACTCGTCCGTGGATGACTGGTGGCAGAGTTTCGAGGTATGCACAAACCCGTTTACCCAATGTTGATACCCGTGTCCCTAGTGGGACTCGGCTGGTCACTCCGATTGGTACTAACTGCATATCACGGCAGACTAATGTCAAGGGGACTATGATAGCTTCCAAGGTCTTCCTGCCAACAGCCAATCCGAATCGTGCGGCTGTCGTCGCTTTTACTGCAGTGGTTGTGTTCCCGGCAGCTCAGTTGGTAAACCTGTCTGGATATATCACATCCAAGTTGGCAGTGATCAAACTCATGGAGTTTCTGGCAGCGGAGAATCCCAACGTCTTTGCTGCGGCCCTGCATCCGGGGATGATCGAAACTAAAATCTTCCGTGGGTCTGGTGCCGATCCCAGTAAACTCCCGATGGATACAGGTGAAGCGGGCCTGATCAACACGAAAGTGTGTTCTGAAGCTAACTCATTACGATTAATAGTGGAGCTTCCAGCAGATTTCTCAGTCTGGCTAACGAGTGTCGAAGCCGCATTCTTGAACGGGCGTTCTGTTTGGGCAAATTGGGACGTGCAAGAACTCAAGGCCAAGGAGGATGAGATTCGGTCTGGACTGCTATTGACCTCGGGGGTGTATGGCTGGCCATTCACATCATCCTAGCATACTTCAACAGGGATGCAACATGGTAGCTACTCCCTTCCATGCTAGGCACACACAAGACGTTTAATCAAACTCTAAAATACACATCGATATCCCCGGACTATGTCAGCCTCAACGCAAGAGCCCGGCCCAGGTTTGCTTTCCCCCTAGATTCATTGTCTCCAAATTGGCGAAGAGGCTTAGACTACAAGTGTAGCTGGAAAAAATTAGAAATAGAAAAAAAAATCAAAAAAGAAATCGTGGTGTTAACTTGCAGCCATAATGATGTCATCGAACTCTATCAGAAGAAAGGAAATCAACAATCTAACATACAAAGGCCACAGCCAGCGAAATGGGGAATGGACATCTAGATCTCAAGCCTATACATACGTCCCCCGCAGCCCTAGGTTGGAGGTATCGGAGTTCCTCGCTGTCGATCAAGGGTTACTCTTGGTGTAACGTTCCTTGAACGCCCGGCGTTGTCAATAGCACATTGGGCGAGACGTTTCAGCTCGTAGGTGACACCTGCCGCAAATCGAACTTTGGCCGTGTAACATTCCGGGTCCATTGGCCTCAAATTGCTTTCAATGAGTTGAGATATCTTGGCAATGATTTGAACGTCCTCATTATTTTCTGTATCGAATGGACTGGATAGAATCTTGCAGAATAGGTTGATGCTTGCTTGGATGAAATACGATAGAGAAACTCTGACGGTATGAAGGTCAGCGAAACGGAGAACATCGGGGAATATACAATCAATAAAAAGGGGCCACGAACAGGAGATTTTGAGACCCTAGCTCAAATGGAGTATGAATGAACCCCCCGAGTAGAGATCGGCATGCAGTAACCGAGATGGCAAGGCTGGACCCGGTGCCTTGAGTGTCCAAATTCCTAGCCCAAGAATCACAACGGCTACTGGCTTGGTGAATCATGAGCATGCAATGATGATATTGAACGTGAAAATCGAGGCCCTCAAATCAACATTTGGAATCGTGTTGCCTGCATAGGCTACCAGCGAGGGCCGACTGACGATGGGAATCGTATTCCTCCATGCTTCGAGGGAATGATCCAAGTCTCGACTGACTCTCAGCAAGTCCGCATTAGACTGTTTTAAAGCACAAGGCGAGTATAGTTCACGATGGATTTTCGACTGAATGAAAGCCAAGCGGACGTATGTGTGAAGATACGACCTTGGATATGGGTCGCCAAATATATGAGGCTTCTCGTTTGATTGGTCAAGAAGCTCGGGTGGAATCATTGCGAAGCTCAGGTCACACTGGGAATCTTCAAGCATTGGAGGGAGACCCGTGACCAAGCTGTAGCCTTTGTCACAGACAAATGCTATCCAGAATAGATGTCTCGTATGATAATGGATTGCGGATGGATTCTCAGTCGCCATACGAGGGGAAAAGTTGCCCTTCAGATCATATATCAATCGTGCACCCGCTGCTAGAAGATGGTTGATAGAGTGAAAGTCACCCGCCAGTCCTTGGGAGACTCTGTAAACGTAATATTAGCGCCACGCATGTCAAAAACGCGATCGGTGATAGGGCTTGACGTACGAGCAGGAGAATGGCCTGGAGGCCATCTAATGTGGCTGCTTCGCTGAAAATATCTGGGAAATGACGATGTGCTTCGCGAGCATATTCAAGACTGGCATGAAAAGGAAGGTGGTCAGGCCCACCAAGCACGACGATAGCAAGTGAGTGAAAAGCAAAGATGCAAGCTCTGGCACCCGCAATTGTGGGAGATTCTGTAGAGACTTTCTGGTAATATGCAGCGTTAATTGTATGTTGAATGAGGGATGAGTCGATGATAGGGAAGAACAGTGCAAATGTTGAGGATTGATAACGCTTGATCTCGTCCTCCAAGACCGAGAGCTCAGGCAGACTGGGAGTCTCCTTTTTTGTCATCATTGCAGAGGCCGAGTAATGCCATCGAGGAAACTCAATGGGGAATCGATCTAGGTCAAAGACTTCTCCTGTGCATGCCTTGATCCACTCCCGGCTACTTGCAGACAGGACGTGGGTGCCATCAAACGTGCAGGTGTTACCCAGATGGCGGGCTGCTGATTGAAGACTTTGGGCAAATTCGGGAGCCCATTTCTCTGATTCTTGAGACCGGGCTTGAATGCGGTCAATAGATGGGATGCTTTTCCTTTCTACAAAGGTCGTCAATATCAACCATTCCTATGCAAGGGAAGTGTCAAAAGTCACCTGAGTGCGAGGAAGTTGCTGCCAGTGAAGAAAACCCAGGACTGACAGTGGAGGTCATAGGAGAAGGGGTTTCAGAGCTGCAAGGTTAGCATTAGATTCAGCCCTAGGCAGAGAATGGGGGCCGACTCCGGCACGACATACTTTGAGGGGCTCGCAGCCACTTTCCGCGATCGGGTAGGTTTTCGAGAAAATGTACATGGAAGGTCCTGATGGGTGCACCAGTTACATCTTGGTTTCGCTGTATCACATTGGATCTGACCCTGATGTTAACACGGCATGTAATGTTGGACAAAGGGTTGTCGTCAGAGGTACACTCCATCACCAACCTTTCGAGTGAAGCACACATCGCAGGCGCGGAGTGGTCGCCTTCGACGCCCTGCTGATGAGTTACCGCCAACTCGCCATTTATTGATAAGCATAGTCGATCCTACAGGATCGATCATGCACAATGAAATATGAGGGATTCCATGAAGATGGGGTGATGGATTTGATGCTGAATGACTAATGGCGGGAAGAACCGATGACGCGTATTCAATTAGGCATCAGGCTAGAGACACCTGAGGCCCACATTTTTAGTGGCTGTGTCGATAAAGTTTTCCAGTTTTTTTATCCCACTAACAGTCAATAATATGGGGATTTCAACCATAGTCACCATTAATAATCTCTAGGACCCTATAATAATGCAGACCCTCCGTCCACTTTCCGGGGAGACACTCAGGGGTTCCCTAGTGCTTAATTGGAAAATTGGGCATACGTAGTCGCCAGAGGGTCCATTTACCAAACTTTCCTTTGATACTTTTGGAAGGGAAATATCCGAATGAAAAGAAATAAATATTTATACAATGAACGTGAATAAAACATCCACAAGAAATTAAACCAGAAACCCCGAGATCTATATACGCTTCACGTGTTAGGTACCTGTTGGTAGCTCTTCTGACCCCATTCGCTCTGCCTCCACTGGAGCTTATAAGCTTCCAAGCTTTTCAGTTCCGCTCCATTCTGTCCATCGTCCAAAGCGCGTTGCAATCGGCCCTTCTTGCGCTGTCGCTGGCACCACCAACCGAATGCGCCGAATACGATCACTCCAGCTGCGGCGGCTCCGCAATACACACCAATATGGACACCCTCGGACAAGTCCGCCCACTTCTCGGCCAATGTCTTTTTAGGAGTCTTTTCAATTTCTTGCTTGGCTGTGGAGTTTCCACTGTAAAAACCATCATGGTTAGCATGAGATAGGGTTATAAAACAACCTCAAACAGAACAAAGCTTACCTGATCACTTCAATACTCTCGTAGGTACCAGTGGTGCCCTCGTATTTATACTCCTTTCCAGAATGGAAATCCTTGACACGCAGACGTTGCACAGACATGGTGAAGGGGACGTCGGTCCAATTGACGTAACCACCGCCCCATTCAAGGTTTCCTTCGGTCTGTCCCTTGATTCCGACTGGCCAGAGACTAATCTTGACTCTGCAAGGCGTTTGCGGATAGTTCTTGCCATATACCGTCAATGGCTCCGAATAGTTGACTGTGCGCATCAACTTGCCATCAATCCACCATTCCAATCGATCCTTGTCCCAGTAGGAGGTATAGTTGTGGTACTCGGTGTCCGCGTTCGACACGGGATGATATCCACCGCGATCACTCGTCGTGGTATTGCCCTTGCCGAAGAAGTCAGATTGCACCTCACTCGTGTTGTATCCAACCCATTCCCAGTCAATCTCGTCGAGGTCGTCTGATTGCAAGATCACACTGCTAATGATTCCTGCGCCTTTTGCCATTTTGACGTGGGCCTCCATCACGCCGAAGAAGATGTAAAAGTTGGACACCAAAAGAGTGGATGCATTTTCGGTTTTGATTGAAAAGTCGGCTCCGGTGCTCGTGTAGTCGATCTCTCCGGTGGTCATGTTCCATAATTTGTCGTCAAGTGTTGAATTGAACCACCATGTGTGCTCCGTGCCAAGCGCAGCGTCGTTTGGACATGTGCCATTGAGGGGATTGCAGTCGGTCTGACTCTCTGCGTAAACCCCGGTGCTAATGAGGCACACGAAGGCAAAGAGGAATCGGAGAAGAGAGATCATCGTGGCAGGAGGCTCATTGGCGGAGTGAATAGAGTCGTTTTTATTCCAGTCGACCCCCGGCAGGCTCTATCACTGCTGTCGCCAGCAAACAGCGAAATGGCGAATGACCAAAGTGATCAAAAGAAGAGCCTCACACCCTGCGTTTCAAATTATGAAGAGGGCGGCCGCTTTGTGAAATACATATATGAAAAAGGGGGGGGGGGGGGGGGGGGGGACGCGTCCCATCGCTATCGGTAAAAACAAACCCATAGGCCCATAGTGGCATAGACGAGTCAAAAGCTCGTCTAGCGCAAATATGGAAACCGAGAAGACACTATCGCTGATTTGACTACCTTGTCCGGTGCCATTGGCTTTTGATAAAGCCGAGATTGCAGCACCAATGTCCGAGACCCACCACGCCTGTCCCACAATCTTGCCTTCGCAGCCTGTCGATTTAACCTATAGTGTGATGGATTTTGGTCTGGGAGATGGTGGTAACCAGGTGGCAGTCAGACTATATCACGAAACTCTTTTATTTATCAGTTCTCTCTCACCGTCCGTCGTAGAATTCGACACGAATCCTTCTGGAATGTTTCCTAACTTAATTGTTTCCGATAGATGACCTGACTAAGCGCTTTGGAGGGATGCCCGATAAGGCTAGACGTTTATGACCCACCTATTAGTCCCACTTGGTACCTGATCAAGCGATGTATTTCTCGTTCCTATTGGTATGACTGGAGCTTGGCTTACGTGTTCACGAACGGCTTTCAATTTGCGGATGATGGATGCCGAACTAAAATTAGGGACGGAGAAAGTGAAAGCTGGATTGCAACCCAACATTATTATCGCTCATCTTTTGGATCCCTCTTTCCAGGGACACCAAGCTCTATGCAGGGTGCATAAGAAGAGCTGGATATACGGGATCCATAGGGACCGTCTCCAAAATCCGCGTCCAACCCTTCGATAACTCGCCCGTAGCTCCACTGGCCACTCTATGCGTGAGGGTAATCTACATCTCTATCGCATGATTCGCATCAGAGATACACAGGAGCTGCATGAAATAAAAATAGAGGTTGGACACAAGCGACGATCCCTTCGGAGATTCTGTCAAATAAAAACAAGCAAATAACATAACAGAGTTTCGTTCCTGCATAAGGTGGGGGTGCGAGATATCTGCTCGAATGCTACACACCAAATTTCTCCAATGCTGTCTCTGCAACCTTTCTCCATTGACCCACACGGTCCTGAGCCTGTCCCCTAGGACATACTTCCACGATAGCACGAATGTAGTTGACGACAGTCTGCATCGACTCTTGTAGTGGACTGAGCTGCATTTCATCCAACATCTTGCCGAGCCCTCTCTCTTGACAAATAGACTTGAAAACATCCTCCATGCGACTCTGCTCTACCTTATCTTCCGGGGACGTTCTTGTGTTCCAAAGGAAAGCTCGAGGTGGATTCCACCGTGGAGCAGGTACCACGCCGCTAAACTCCCAATCCAAAATCGCGGTGATAGGGCAATCCGGATGGTCAGGATCACACATAACATTGCCGAAATGCAGATCTTTATGTGCAAGAACGTATGCAACGTTATTGAGTTCCTCGGCATAGGCAGGGGTTTGGATAGTCGTTATGAACGACCGCATTCGTGGGACTATGTCTCGAAAGGCTTCGAGCGATGGGTGTTTTTGGATAGCATGTATATAGCGCTCCAAACAACCTACGGTGAACTCCACATAATTTGAGAAGCCACTCTGCGGGATTGAATTTATTGACTCGAGGGTCTCCCCCAGGTCTTCCCAATATCGCTCCAAGTCAAGAGCTTGCCAGTAATTCTCATCGATTGGAGGACCGGCTGTAATATCATCCCCACGAAGAGCTAATCCACCCACAAATCCATCCTTCCACGGACCCGTATGTAATTCGTGCAGAAAATCCACTAGCTGGCCGACCAGCTTGGTACGAGCGTCCCGAGAGAGCGCGGAGTAGATTTGATCTACACTCGAACCCGGCACTTTTTCCAGAAGAGTAAACTCATGTCCGATCACGTTAGACTCGGTGTCATCGTAGCGAACAACTGCCGGGATTGGGATGGTCGTGTTTTCTCGCACCCACTTCATCACACCAACCTCATTCCGCGTCTTGATGCCTGGCAGCTGGCGGCCAGATACTCGGAGTACTAGAGTCACCGAGCCATCACCGTTGGGGCGAGCAGGAATTTTTGAGGCGATAGAAGCAGAAAAATTTATCAGATAGATGGAGTGAAATGCTGCTGATACCTGTAGTCGCCCTACAGAAATTGGAACTGGGAGCTTTAGAGAAACTATGAGTTGGGTAATGGTTTCTGTGGTCAGATCTGGAGACAGATAGCTCTCTAAGGTGCCCATCATGTGTGGGAGTGCAAGTGGTCAGAAATGGAAATTAAAATGTCTCAATATAGAATGATAACCAGAGGGAGGAATATCCAAAGCTTCCAGGGGCTCTCAAATCTTACATACCCCTCAGTTTGCTGGTCGGTTGGATTGTAAATGACATTTGGGGGCCGAAAGAACCCATTCCAGCCCCAGCCATCCACGGTCGTTCAAACGGCCTATGGTAGTAAACCTAAATTTACGAAGAATTAAGAATTTGAATCTATCCGAGATAGGCAAAATGCCGCAAAGAAAAGGCTCGAGTGTTCCTTAATGCTAGAGAAGAGTACGGCGGACGATAGCGGGGACTTCCTCAAAACTTTTAGCGATAATCTCAAGACCAATCCCAAGACCTAGAATATTATAGCTAATCTCCTGAATCACCCACGTTAGTATATATAAGACTAGTAAACAGGGCTATAGATAACGCTTTGGTAACGAGCTATATGACTTATGACATAATCTACATAGTTAGACGCACGTACGTACCCAGGTAAGGGGACTATGGGTTATTCGGGTAGAACGTATAGGACGGTGGAAGATATGGCGAAAGAACACAATAAGCCACTTCCGGTTTCCCTATCCACGGCGAGTTGCATTATGAGGAAGCCCATCTATTCGCCAGATTTCTAGTTTCTGTATCTACCTGTAAGATCTTGCAGAATTTGACACGACTATTGTGCAGAATGTGGAGAAAGATGTAGTTTGACTATGCTCAGCTTCGTTGATCATCGTCCCTCGGCCCGCCCCGATCGTGGGTACTTGAGTCATTATCGAGACATCAGATAAACAAGGGGACTAAAGAGAAATTTTTGACCATCCTTATTGTTTCAATCATAAATCTGGACTGATTATTTTTGAAGAATGTATTCACAACGTAGCCAAAAATATCTGTTATCTTGCTAGGCCACAGAAGAGGAAGTCCGGCCTGTCGAAATTTGTATGCGCCTAGTGACAAACTGCATCATGCGGTTCCCCCTGCAGCTCTGGCAAACAAGCAAGGCTCAAGTAGCACAAAAAGGATTAAGATGTATGTACTGCAAAGCATAGGTACACGAGCAAGCAGGCCTTTGGCCAGTAGCCCCAGAAATTTAGTTTTCACGCAACTCGAAAACCAGGCGCAGGCGACCGGGGTTCGAGGTAAATTGATCCTTCAAGTCCCGCAGCACCTCTTCTCCAGTCTCACCCGGTGGGAGTCTAAAACGGTACCGCTGGACGAGTCGTGCAGTAATCAGGCGCATATCATTCATTGCGAGTGCGCGGCCGAGACAGCTATGGTGACCTGGCAAGTGTTAGAAACATATAATTCCCCTGGATGCAATATTTCTCGAAGAAAGGGTTATGTAGACTTACCTAGTCCAAATGGTACAAAGCCAATTTTGTTGCGCACCATTTCGGGCTTCTTGTACCAGCGCTCTGGAACGAATTTCTCTGCCTGTTCGAAGCTGTCTTCTCCTAGTGCGAGTTAGCATCTATACATCCACGAGGCGATGGATATGCACTCACGACGGGAGATACAAAATCTCGGCGCAACCACAGTTGTCTCTGGTGGGATGAACGTTCCTGCAACTATGATTCCTTTATCAAGAGTCTTTCTGGTTCCTCCGGTAGGCAGGGCAGGATACAGCCGCAGGGCCTCCAAAATGGATGCCTCAAGGTGAGGACAGCTTGCTGCCAGTTCCCGAGAATCCGTAATGTTGATGGCTTTGATCTCCTTCAGAATCATTTCTTCATGTAGCGGCTCCTTTGCTAACTCGCAAAACAGACCCACGAGAACGGCTGCGGTGGGCTCACTACCGGCTACAATGGCGAGGATGCTGTCGCCAGTAAGCCATGGGAAGCGTCGGGGGTCATCCCGCGCGTCTTGAAGGAGGTAATGGGCGACATCGCGGACTGTGGATGTATCTTTCGGAGCCTTTCAAATGAAAATATCAGCTAGATATCGGAAATTTTTGCATCCTTTCTGTGTGATCATACTTACTTGCAATCGTTCGAGCATCTGCTGCTCACACCAGGCCACCATCTGGAACCAATCCTTAAGAATCCCCACCCGAGGGAAAAGCTTAAAGGCAATGTGGATAAACCAAGGAACTGGGCTCAATGGTCCAAGGAGAGAGAGTGCCCGTTGCATAAGCAGGATAATGTGGTGCCACTCTTGACGGGGCAACATGTTGAAAGTCCGGCTGAAAATGAAGTCTCCCATACGATCAAACCCAAGCCAGTAAAACAAATCTGTAGCTTCAGTCACCTTCTTAGCAGCGATATCTTGATCAATGCAGTGCTCTAGCTGATCGATAAGCGGGAGAATTCGTTCCTGGTATTGATCGAGTGCTGCGCATGTCAGCTCAGACGTTTGCATTGTAGGACTCGACAATAGTACCCACCCTGAGATGTAAATCCTTTGTTCCACTGTCGACGTCGCAGACCATGGGCCTCCTTGTTCCGAGCTGTCACTAAGGATTGCTTAGGGTGTAGCAAGTCATACCACTCGGACTTGACGCAGCTGCCTTGAGGTCCATCAATGGCAATGAAGACACCCGGGTGGTAGATGGTGATCTCGCTGGGACCTAGGCACTCGGATAGTTAGAATGTTCCCCATAGCAAGAGTAAAGCTCGACCATACCAGTTCTGACAAAGTCTCCGTATTTCCGATGCAGTTCCGACAGAACTAGAAAATTCTGGCGATGCCGCGATTGCCAGGCGTGCCATATCTTGGTGACGCGAGCCCACTTGGGTCCAGGAAAATGGCTGAGACGGTGGAAATAGACACGGTAGATGATGATACTAGAGTAGACTGCAACGAGATATCCAGATATCACCCAATATGCGTGAGTCACGGCCATAAACAAACCCACAAAGTAGATGAGATGGTAAATCAGAATTTCTGGTGCCCGAACATGCCACTCGCCGTGGATAAAGACGGCATGGTGCAGTACCAGCCCTAGCAGAGCACCTATCAAGGCCGAGACGGTAGGAGCCATGATGTTCGAAGCTGTCAGAAAGAAGTTCAGTTTCCAGGAGAGTTGAAGAGGGGAAAAGGGTTACTCACATTCAAGAAATCAAGGCGTACAAGGCGTATGCAAACGTCAGGCCAGGCCATTCTCCAAGATTATCTACTTCAGAAGAGTGAGCTTCCACGACGCGTCTATCCAAGAAGATTGACCAGCTCTCGGGGCGAAGGGGTTTACTATCTCTTTACATCTCACCCCGCTGCAATGTCTCCCCCGAAAGCCATGTCGTTGCCTGCTTTACTACAACTTATCTGGCACTTTACCGAGAGTAACTTCCAGACTTTTGTACTCCCAAACTCGGCCTTTGGTTTGCTCGCAGCCCTCGCCGCGCCTCTGCTCACCGACTGTTCCGAGCGTCCATCCTTCCAAATCCTCCTTATCCGCTCACTCCAAGTGATCCTCTTCAACTGGGCCAATGTTTTTGTATTCGATCTTGCTAATCAGCGCCTACCGGAGTCGAGATTGGAGGACCGGCTGAACAAACCGTGGCGACCCCTGCCGACCGGACGCATCAGCCCGGAGACAACGCGTCGGTGGATGTTGATCACCATTCCCCTCGTTTTAAGTGTCAGCGCCATCCTCGGAGTGGCAACGGAGAGCGCCTTTATCATGATCCTGACCTGGCTCTATAACGATCTGCGTGGCGGAGATGAAATCATCCGAGATGGGATTATCGCATGTGGCTACGCTCTTTATCTGACCAGCTCCCTGCGTATTGCCTCCGGTCTGGACTATAATATCTCGGAACATGGATATCGCTGGATCGCAATGATGAGCGGGATCATCTTGACAACGATGCAGGTGCAGGACTTGAAAGATCAGATTGGAGACCGGACTCGAGGACGCAGGACTCTTCCGCTTGTGCTGGGAGATACGGTCTCACGTTGGACTATCGCCGGTTTCACCTTGTTCTGGAGCATCTTGTGTGCTTACTTTTGGAGGATGTCTCTGTGGGGATATGCATTGCCCGTGCTGACAGGCATCGGAGTCGCATTCCACGTGGTAAGCGGGTCTCACGATGCCAGAGCTTGGCGATGCTGGTGTGCGTGGCAGGTGGTGGTTTATGCGCTCCCCTGGTTGGGATCGATGCAGAATTAAGAGTTGAGACTGTGGTGCTTTGGTTTCAGAGGCTGGCTGTCGGCAAATAACAACCCCTGCTGAGCGGAGCAAGACTGATACTTGAACAGTTCATCGTCGGTGCATAAATTCTACCTGGACATACTCTGTGACTCGGAAAGATCATTGCCAACATACAGAATCTAAAAGAACATTAATATCGAGAATTGCTTCCAGCTGTTTCCTCTCCTCGTAAGACAAGTATTTGATGGTCTGCAGTCGACGTCCTTTGTACTTCCTGCACTTCACTCCCGAAAGAGCGATCTTCCCACAACAAACAAATTTCCTTTGTCCTTTATCCTCCATTCTCATAATCCTCCTAGAATCTCTACTCGCAAAGATATTTACCTCCCAAATGCAACCACTGATTTTCCTCCTCCTTGCCTTGACACTCTGTGTCAACGCAGCCAATAGCACGAACTGTCGCTGTTTCCCCGGCGATCCTTGTTGGCCCTCGTTCCAGGACTGGGCAGACTTCAACACCACTGTCGGTGGCAAGCTAATCTCGACCGTTCCCATCGGCAGCGTCTGTCACACCAGGGGCGACTCCTCGGCCTACAATGAGCATGCATGCGCTAATTTGATTGCCGACTGGGGGTTTCCCGCCACCCACTACACCACCTTTGCCTCGCCAATGGCTTCCTGGTTTGCCAATTTCTCTTGTGACCCGTTTATGCCACGAGACTCGCCATGTACCATCACCTCGCTGCAGCGCTATACGGTCAATGTCAGCGGGGTTCAGGATGTGCGAAAGACGATCCAGTTTGCGAGAGAGCACAACATTCGCCTGGTCATTCGCAATACCGGGCATGATTACCTCGGAAAGTCGACTGCACCCGGTGGTCTTGCTCTGTGGATGCATCATCTGAAAGATACGAAGTTTTTGGACTACAGTTCAGACTCTTACAGCGGCCCTGCTTTGCGACTGGGCGCGGGCGTCCAGGGCTTCGAAGGGATGGCTGCCGCGCATGCACAGAATAAGGTCATCTTGGCTGGGAATTGCGAGAGCGTGGGAATCGCAGGTGGATATAGCCAAGGTGGAGGCCATGGTCAACTTGCTTCTCGGTTTGGTCTGGCAGCGGATCAGGTCCTCGAGTGGGAGGTGGTGACTGCCGACGGACAGCATCTTATTGCATCTCCCGAAAAGTACTCTGATTTGTTCTGGGCTTTGTCTGGGGGAGGTGGTGGCACCTTCGCTGTGGTCATGAGCGTTACTGTCAAGCCACATCCCGAAGTTAGCACGGCTTCGGCAAATCTCACATTCAGTGGAGCATGTGTCTCTGCGGATGTTTTCTGGAACATCATCCGTAACTTTGTCGTTGACATTGCTCCGCTGGTTGATACTGGAGCCGTGGCTATTTGGGCTGTCATTGGGAAAACATTTACTTTGACGCCCATCTCCTGGCCTGGCGGTACCGCGGAGCAGCTACAAAACGGTCTGGCGTCTACCCTAGCTCTACTGGAACAAAATAAGATCAATTATGGTACGTATCTATCACCGGTTTCATGAGATAGCTGGCTATACAGGCTAATTATAGATATTTGTTAGCCTATCACATCCAACAGTTTCCCACCTTCTGGGATACCTACGCCGCCATGAATCCGCACAGCAACATCACAGAAGCCCAGGTTGGAGGTCGACTCATGCCGCGTTCGGTCCTCGAGTCTACTCCATCTAGCCTCATCACAGCCCTGAGAGGAATTGCTGAGTTGGGAGTTGTGGTATCGGGTGTCTCGCTCAACGTCTCACGTTCCCCAGTTCCCTACAATGCTGTTAACCCAGCTTGGCGAGATGCTGCCATTTCAGTCGTTCTTGGAACGTACGTAACATACACCGTGAGAAGATTTTGAGTGTAGTAGCCGAACTGACCAAATCTAGTGGCTACAACTATACCAATCGCGAAGAGAACGTCAAGTGCCAATCATTGATGACGGATGTCTTGATTCCTCCCCTGACGGCAATCAGCCCTAATAGCGGCGCATACCTTAACGAAGCGGATTGGAAACAGCCAGACTGGCAGAAAACCTTTTATGGCAGTCATTATTCAGCTTTGGAAGAGATCAAACGGAAATTTGACCCGGATGAGATGTTCTACGCCCGTACTGCGGTAGGAAGCGAGGCGTGGACCGAGCAAAGTGATGGTCGACTGTGCCGAGCTTGAAAGCGATATCTACGTCGTGCAATTACAGGTTTAACAACTCATTCTTAGAGTACATGTTAGGAGTGGAATATGTTTGATATTTCTAGTCACATTGCTGAGCTAGATCCAATTCATCCTAATGCGAGTTGTATCCCGAGGATATCCCGATATGTCTAGCCAGTAGTACCACGAATCAGGTCAGCAGCACGCTCGGCAACTGCGTAGACCGTGGCCAAGGGGTTTGCATGAGGAATCAACGGGAACACACTGGCATCTACAATGCGCAGATTTTGCGTCCCGTAGACTGTCAAATTCGGATCAACCACACCTCCCGCATCCTTGGGGAGCATAGCAGCCGTTCCACAGGCATGGTGTGCTGACGATGCTGTCTCACGCAGGTCCTTCTTAATAGACTCGATATCCAAGTCTGCCGCGTTCGGTTCAAAGATAGAGCTTAGACCGGGCGAGTTGATCAACTCGTAGCAGTTCCGCATGTGTCTAGCCAGTATCTCAAGATCCAGCTTTTTGCTAGCTAGTCCCGCGTCAACAGTTGGCAGTGCATCGGGATCAGTGGAGGAGATATGGCAGCTCCCACGGGACAATGGGAAACTTATGATTGGTACTAGTAAAGCCAGAGTTGGTGCCACGGCACCCAGGAAGATCGAAGCCGAAGCTTCAGTGGGGCTGGAGATAATTGAGCGAATTGTCTGGTCGGCGAGGCTATCAAGATTGCCCTCGTTTGCGGATAAAAGTGTGCCTTGTTCCTCGGGGTCCAGTCTAGTCATGGCACAACTCTTCAATCCGGGCGTGATATTGTGCAAACCGGGATGTTCCTTGAGTGGAGCAATGATTGGGCGCATGAGGTGATTCTGGAGTTTTTCTCCTACCCCGGGTAGATCAAGGATAACAGGAATCCTGAGGTTCTCCAGTCGCTCTTTCTGGCCGATCCCGGATAGCTCGAGAAGCTTGGGTGTATGGAATGAGCCAGCCGCGAGGATGACTTCTTTCGAAGCTTTGGCTGTTACAAGTTGCCCGTTGTGGGTGTATTCAACTCCGCTCGCAGTCACGCTGGGACCATTCGGGTTGAACAGGATCCGACGAACTGTCGCATCTGTAATGATGCGCACATGGGGACGCCCGAATACCATAGACCCATACCCACGATCCGCTCCACTGCGCTGACCTGAAATCGGGTCAATAGTAGCGGCATAAGCACGAGGTCCAAGGGAGTTCTTTTCTGCAAGGATATCTGGATTGAACTCGTATCCCTGAGCGGCGAGAGCCTCATTCCACGCATCCAGTAGAGGCTTGCTACCGGGGTCAACAACAGCGGGGAATGTCAGCTGTACAGGTCCTGTCGACGGAGTGCGCTGGGTTTCTTTCAGGTCAGGGCGCGAGTCTGGCGGCGTCACGGTATAGCTCTTCTGAAGATAGGGTAACAGCGATTTCCAGTTCCAGTTTGGATTACCCAGCTTAGCCCAGGCGTCGATTCCAGCGGGCGATGGAGCGACATATGCCATTCCATTGATGGCAGAGGATCCGCCCAGTACTCGTCCTGCTGGGTGGTCGAGTTCGCGATTATTCAAATTGACCTGTATTATGGCAAACGCCTGGTCAGTACCCACAGTTCTTGTTATAGTCTCGAGATAAGCTGTACCTGTGGTCCGATTTTCACTTTCCAGTCAAGCTCGGATCCGCCAAGATCCCTCCAGGCATCAGGGTCTTGCACTTTCAGGTCTTTGGTACGGTCCGGGCCGCTCTCGAGGACAAGTACTTTGGCATCAGAATATTCGGACAGACGAGCTGCAACGACTAGTCCGGCGGTTCCACCACCGACGATGATGTAGTCTGCTGTTTGGGGTGGATCTGTAGAGGCCATATTGACGTGGTTTGTCTGACGAAGTGGAAAGCGGAAGAAGAGTCGGGGACAAAGTCTTAGTTGAAAAGTAAGCTGGAAGTTTCCCGTAGCACCGTAAACAAACTGGCTTTTTACGTACTGATTCATTCTGCTTATTTTTAGCGTGATACTGCAGGGACCCCCGGCTACACGGACCCCTGCGTAAGAATTCAGGTAGAAGTTCCTATTTAGGATTAGTGTAAGACACAAGTTGACTGGGGCCTCACTTAGATTGACACACATTAAAATATTTTACCAACTTAACTAAACTCATTTGCCAACTGGACTATATGTGTTTCATACCGCGGACTAAATCGCGGCATGCGGCTCATCATGAGTTGATGTGGCTCAAGGAGGGGAAGTACAATATAGGAACTATAGGCTCTCGCTCGCACTAGATGCTAACACTAGTCTAGAGTAGACTACAATACTCTAAATTCTCTTACCGAAAATTATTAAATCGATTGCCTAGCCATACTGTATATATTGTATCCCGCTAAATAATTGGCTTTATCGGATATTTTGTTTCGTCGTGATTTAAAGCAGAGATATCATCCTTACGTTCATGACTGATTCTATAGTTTTAATAATGTATGGCTGTATAAATTCAGCATAAACCATTGCGAATATCCTTCCCCATAAATGACGGCGAGGCTTCCACTCGTCCTTGGCACCTCTGCTGGCTCTCGTATCCACAAGAATCCTTCGAGGTCAGTCAAATGGCTGCATCATTTCAGGTCGTAGAGATCGGCTTATGAGAGCTGTTGACAACGAGCATGACAGTCTGGGCTGCAGTAACCATGAATAGCAGCCATTCTAGCGCCCCGAGGACTGTCGCGGCGATGAGGACCCCACATGAGTCCTTTCCATTTGCACATGTGTCGGCTGAGATCTGAACAGCTACAGCAATAAACCCAGCGAGCCACGAGAGGACAGCCACAGCCTCGACGGCAGCACGAATATAGCGAATCAACAGACAATCCAGAAAGCAGACGGCGATAGGATGAAAGATAATAATCAGAACTGTCCAGCCAGCACAGAAAATTAAGAAGCTCCATCCATCAGGGACGCCCTCGTAATCGTAGAAGTTGCCGAACACAAAGTGCTCGTAGACGGTGTGGCCGCGAAACATGTGAATAGCTAAGTGATAATATCAGACTCAATGGTATATCAACAGAGTGGGCTATGGTAGTTCTGCGTACCGTATCCATCTGTCCCCATGACAATAATAGCGAAGATGGCCTGCAGCGCTCGCAGGGCATAACCGATCGTTGCATTCTCGTTGCTCACAGCCATGATGTGCAGGATTTTATGATGGAATTTGCGCGGTGAGGGGGCACAGCGAGTGACTGATGAATTCGAGAAATGCAGCGTAGACCAAGAAAGAGAAAATTGAGCTCTGGAGACTACATGAGAGAACCTACGAGTATATATAGCTTGACTGAGTCTAATAGTTGGACTTGAAGAAGTACAGGGAGGCCTACAAAATAGTTTATGAATATGGACCAATCAGGTATTTCCAAAAGACCGAGGTGGTCTCCACCGCTATTCTTAGCTATTATAAGCCTTGCCTAATCCAGCTTTAGCTCGACAACAACGAGCTAGGCCCCACTACCCGTTGGCTGCAAATCAAAATTCGGGAACGCCATTCTATAACTCCATGGGTGATGGGCGCGATGCCTTGATAATTCCTTCCTAATTGGCCCCCACGTAAATTTTACAAAACAGGGTCCAGTAAATTTTGTAAAGAGCTACGTGGCGCCAGTTACTATGTGTAGCTAGCAGTAGTACATATCATACGAAGTACTAGCCACCTAGATGTTATTTCTTTTTGTTCAACTAATGTCTTTACAGCTTCTGCTGGGTCCTTATAGGGTAGTGTTTTGGAAATACCAACCTGTGTAGACATGTAAGTTTCGAAAAATTAATAAAATTACGGGTGTCATCCAATCCGCTGTAGCCACGGCTAATGGACCTCTCCGCTGATCTTACATCACTCCGCAGCAACCATGGAGGCGCTAGATACTCAACAACAGCCTACAAATCCGAGATCCAGCAGTCAAGAATCCGCTTCTACACCAAAGCGGTCTCGCGTCGTGATTTCGCAGTCGAAACGAGGCTGCATCACTTGCAAGTATGGGTCTTTTCCCTGCCATCGTGGCGCGAGTTCGACTGACCAGATACAGGACACGCCGGGTTAAATGTGACGAGCAAAGGCCTCTATGTTGGCGATGCATCCAAGCAGGCCGACTATGTGGCGGTTATAACCAAGGAAGCAAGGTGTCATCGGCGTTACGGCCTGCTCTGAAGATCGGCGTCCCAGCAGACAGCCATACAGAGCGGCTGAGCTATCTCGCCGCCCACGTGCTGTCGCTGGACAGCGACGACCGTCCTCTTGCCACGGACGGCGTCTGGGGGCGCATATTCCTTCAACTAATGAACCAAGTCGAATGTGTGAAAGCTGCTGCCGCCGCGTTTGGGGCCGCGTGCGAATCATTGCTCAATAATGCAACCGTGGAATACCCTTCCCCCGCCTGGCGCTACTACGGCTCAGCTCTGGCAAGGCTCCAGTCGGAGTTGAACAACGAGACGGCCATTCCAGAGTCCCTGGCTCTGGCATCACTGATCCTCGCCGCCGTTGAGATTCTCAGCCAACACGAACAAAACGCATTCGCCCATTTCCTGGGGGCCGTACAGATCCTGACCAAAACCCATCCGAATTGTCGGGGGGCTCCATCTGCCGATATTCTTCGCACCTTCAGAGACGAGCTGGTCAACATTGACGTTTTGATTGGCAGCTATGCCTTGTCCCGGACGCCGACGGTTGTGTACTTGGGATCTCACGAAGCAGTCTCTGGAGACGACATGCTCCGGAAACCGGAGCTTGCGATCAAAGCCGCGATGCTCTGCCTTCACCAATCATATCAATTCATAGAGTCGGCGGACCGACTGCGTTACACGTATCCTAGCTGGAAGGAGGAGCGTGATCCTATTATGTGCAATGCACAGTCAGACGTAGTGGCCCAATGCTGTTCGATTCTCGATACTCTTGCGGCACTTTCCACAAGTCTACAAGCCCAATTTTCGTCCACGACGTCGACGCGGAGCAATACGGAGACGCTGGCGGATATCTATGTCATGCGCGCCCAGTTGACGGTGACGATAATCTTCCTCTTGTGTGTGCACAACCCATATGAAACGGGGTACGATAAACACCTGGAGCGATTCCAAAGCATTGTGCGTGATGCTGCAGCGGCGACGCGGCTGAGGCGGCGGACCAGATCCGGTGCCTTCAAACGCTTCTCAATGCGTCCTGGCATCGTAAACCCTCTCTTCATCGTAGGCCTAAAGTGCAGAGATCCACCGCTGCGTGCGTTGGCGACGAGGATGCTGCGTGAACAAGGCCGCGAGGGCCCTGTCGACGGGCAAATAATGGCGGCAATCTGTGCTCGCCTAGCTGCCCTGGAGACGGCGTCCAGTGTGCCATCTTCTCCTGGCGCCCCGCTGGCTGCCTGCGACGTCCTAGAGACCCAGAGAGTTCACGGCTACATGGTGCCCCCTCCGCGGTTGGATGACAAGGGTCGCCGCGTCGTAGACGTCGTTTTCATGTGGCCATACCCGCCTCTCGCGCAAGGATTGGGTCATGTCGACTATTCAGGCCGGGATAGCTGGATCTACCGGTCGGAGCCCATCCATATATAGACTTGTGTATTGCCGAAATGTTTACAAATCCTTTTCGATGGTGTTCGTCGAAGGCAATAAGACCGATCACTTGGTGGTTTTGAACCAAGTCATTTTATCTTCAACTCTATATATAGTTCAGATCATGTCATGTACGGGAGGAACCTCCCTCTACCTGTCCTCTATTATACTGCGAAACCATGCACCTGCAGCCCCAAAGAAAAAATTGACTTTGTTTTTGCTTTATAAACGAGGTCAACGCAGACCATGTAACTAACTTGTCAATTCCATTGACTATATTCAGCTAACTAGTTCATTCTCACGCCTTCTCGATCCACTTCTCATTTGCCTTCGGATCGCTCGGTTGATTTTCACCGGCTCTGTAAACAACGTTAGAAGCAATAAAAATATTTAAAAAAAAAAGGGCCAGGCTCACCGTTCTACCTCGTAACTGTTCGAAGGTTCCAGTGGCCGCGCTAGCAGAACTATCGGGCGTTCGAAGATTCGGTTGATCTCCTCCAGACTCATGCCTGATGTTTCTGGTACCATGAAGTAAGTGTAGAGTAAAGCCACTACACAAAACCCGATAAAAAGAACGAATGCTCCCCACTGATGGAGACTCGTCAGCATAGAAGGAGCGGCTTTGGTGATAGCAAAGTAAAAGAGCCAGTGAAAGCATTGAGACAATGCTCCTCCAAATGATCGGATCTTATTAGGCCAGAGCTCAGCACCAAACAGATAAGGCAAACTGTACAGGCCGATCGCCCATCCAAATGCATGGATGTAAATAAATGCCAAAGCTGCATCAGTAGATTCTTTACCCATATACGCCTTGTGAGTTTGATAAATTTTGAGATACCCGGCAAGGTACGAGTGGCAGACGATTTGAACCGAGATGCCTATCATGAGAGACTTTCGGCGGCCAACAAGGTCGATGAAAAACAGCGATGCGGCCACGCAGCATACCAGTTTCGTGATTGTATACAGCCCCGTCGAGTAGACCTTGACATCCGAGCTGGTAACCCCAATCATTCCGAAAATGGTGGGTAAGTAGTTGGTGATTGCGTTGGCCCCGGACATTTGCGCGAGAATGTAAATGATGATCGTCAATTGCACCCGGCGTAGATTGGACTTTACCAGGAAGGTCTCCTTAACAATCTGCAGGGAACTGGTATTGCCGAGCCCGGCGTCTCGATCTTCGATATGAGATGCCATGCTATGGAACTCGGTGGTTACAAAGTCTGCATCTGCTGGCAATCCACGAAGCTGGACCAACGCAGTAAGAGATTTGTCATGCTCATGATCAAGGAGAAGCCACCTAGGAGACTCCACAGTGAAGAAAGAAAGCATAATGCTCAATGCTGGCGCGAAGGTCTGAGCAAACCAAGGAACTTGATACTGCAGAGCCTTCGTGGGTGCGACGTGAAGAGAGCAGCCGTAAACAATAAAGACGCCCAAGGCTTGGCCAGATAACATGCAGATATTGAACCACAACGTCATCAAACCTCTCACGGCAGGGGGAGCAATTTCGGATATTGCCATTGGACAGACAACAGATAATGCCCCGATTCCTAGGCCGGCAACAATTCGACCAACGTAGAGTGCACCGGCATTGCCCGACGAGAAACAAGAGATGAGAGAGCCGATAATGTAGATGACCGAATATACTCGAAGCGACATCTTTCGGCCAATGCGATCGTTGAGTAAGAACGAAAGGAGAGCTCCAACTCCAGCACCTAGGTTGACGAGAGATACGATATTTGATATGGAACTATTGTCGAGATGGTAGGATTTATGGAAAGATTCAAGCTGTGTGATCGCAGCAGCAGATCCTTCATCCCATCCTTGAAGAGTTTTAGCCTGTTAATTCGACTTTAGGACTCAAGAATCTCACCTTTTGCACATCCTCCAAGGGCAAACGCAAACCCTGTTAGGAAGAGCCGCCGATTGAAAATATCCCGGGGCGAATTCTTGATGGCATGGACATATTTTGCCAACGAAGACTTTTGCTTTACCATTGTGGAGATGAACGAAGCCGTCCCCTTGATTGTATTGTAGATGTAACAACACAATGACCAGGGCTCATCGCCCCGACTTTATGTCTTGTTACCGAGGAGTGCGTCACCCCAAACCCCAGGTTCCCCAGAATCGAATGAGGGGATCCACCTCGTTCTCGTATGTTCATCGGATACTTCCGATGGCTGTGGCGAAACGACCGAGTAGACTAGATTAGCTGTTGACATGTTTAGACTTCAACAACGCAAAGTCAAACTCAAACCCATCGGAACAGCCGACTGGTTTCGCGTGAAGCATTTGTTCCATTACATCAGTCAGTTGTTTTCGACATAACGTAATTCCTGCCCGATCGAGTCACCCCAAAACAACCTACTAAATGCGATAAATTACAACCTAGTAATACCGAAAAAGTGGTGGTTGAAATATAGAGGAATCAAAATATAGCATATTCTATGGTGTTCTGACTCGACCGGACGGGAATTACGTTAGAACCAATCTAGTGATCTTATGAGCTACACCAGGCCGAGAAGAACATCTCAACAATGCTCAAATCTCGAGGGCTTTACCCAATGGAAATAGTGCTACGGATTACAAAGAGTGAGAAAAGGTGTCCTAGAATTTATAATGTAGTAATTTGGTAGTCAATTGAATATACTTTCTATGAGAATGATACAATAGATCCCGATTTACTGCTTCGCCATCATGTTCAACGCACTCCCTGCCTTGAAGTACTCAATCTGTTCCAGCGTGAATGTATGATTGAGAGTAGCTTCCCACTCTCCATTGACTGACAGCACCAAGGGCTTTCCCGGTGCCAGTTCAGCCAACCTAAGAATGCTGACCCGATCGGAGGAACGAATGCGATCGTAGTCCGCCTCATTTGCAAATGTTAATGCGAGCATTCCTTGCTTCTTCAGGTTGGACTCGTGGATCCGAGCAAATGACTTGGCGATAACCGCCTTTCCACCGAGGTATCTGGGTTGCAAAGCTGCGTGTTCTCGAGACGAACCCTCACCATAGTTGTGATCAGCAATCACAACCCATGGTTGGCCATGCGCCTTATACTCTCGTGCAGTACCAGGCACATCGCCAAATATTTGGGTAAGCTGGTTGCGCACGGTGTTGACCTTGTCGTTCTCGGCATTGACTGCCCCAATAAGAGTGTTGTTGGAGATATTCTCAAGATGTCCACGGTAACGGAACCAAGGCCCAGCAGGAGTAATATGATCGGTGGTGCATTTTCCTTTGGTCTTGATCAAGATGACACAGTCTTTGAAATCATCACCAGACCAGGGCTCGAACGGGGCCAATCTCTGTAAACGCTCCGATGATGGGTTGATTTTGACCTCCACATTGTGTCGATCAGTCGGAGGTGCTTGATAGGCCGCATCAGAGTCTAAATATCCATTTTCCGGGAGAGTATCTCCAGTTGGGGGTTGGAAGCGAAACTCTCCTCCCGAAGGAGTGGGCAATGCGTCGACGCTAGGGTCAAAAGCTAGATCTTCAGAGAAGACCTTGGCCATAACGATCTCAGGCGAAGTCAAGAAAATATTGGTAGCTGGATTGGAGTCCAAGCGACCGGAGAAGTTGCGGTTGTATGAAGTGATGATAGAATTAGGAGTGCCCTAGAAAAATGTCAGTCACTCCACGAGACAAAATGGTGGATTGACAAGAAATACCTTTGGCATATCGACCCGGTCCCAAGATCCACAGCATGGACCGCAGGCATTGGGAAGCATTATTGCTCCCAGTTCTTCGAAAACTGGCAAAATACCGGCCTCGTCCAGTGTCTTACGTGTTTGAAGACTTCCTGGCGATACCAGAAGGGGCATCTTAGGCCTAAGTCCAGCAGCCATCGCTTGTCGTGCGAGGCTAGCAGCACGACCCATGTCTTCAAAGGAAGAATTAGTGCACGAACCAATGAGGCCAGCCGTCAATTTCTCCGGCCATTTGTTCTCTTCGACAGCATGGCCAAATTGGGATAGTGTTGTAGAAAGATCTGGAGTGAACGGCCCATTGATACGTGGCTCTAGAGTCGATAGGTCAAGTTCAATCACTTGATCATACTCGGCGCCAGAATCAGCCTGTAGCTCTGGTGCAATGCTCTCAATAGCACTCGCCATATCATGACGACTATTTGAGCGGAGATAGTCCGCCATCTGAGGGGCGTAGGGAAAGATTGATGTCGTCGCTCCCGTTTCTGCGCCCATATTGCAAACAGTAGCCATACCAGTCGCCGAGAGGGTCTTTGCACCAGGGCCGAAGTACTCGATGATTGAGCCAGTGCCTCCTTTGACTGAAATCATTCCAGCAACGGCGCTAATGATGTCCTTTGGTGAAGCCCATTGAGAAAGCTTGCCAGTTAGACGAACACCTAGCACCTTCGGTGCTTTGAGCTCCAGAGGCAGACCCGCCATAACATCGACAGCATCAGCACCACCGACACCCACGGCGATCATTCCCAGTCCACCAGCATTTGGCGTATGAGAATCTGTCCCGATCATCATCCCACTGGGGAAAGCATAGTTTTCGAGAACAATTTGGTGAATAATTCCCGCCCCGGGCTTCCAAAAGCCCATGTTAAACTTTTGGCAGGCACTCTCCATGAACTCATAGACTTCACGATGAGCCTCCAGAGCTCTGGGTAGGTCTTCCGCTTCACCATCTCGACTGACAATCAAATGATCGCAATGGACTGTTGTTGGTACGGCTGTTGATTCCATTCCAGCAGACAGAAATTGAATAAGTGCCATTTGAGCTGTCGCATCTTGACAGGCAATGCGCAAGGGACGTAATTTTAGCTGTGATGTGCCCCGTTCGATGCGTTCATCGAATTTATCATCGAGATGGCTGTACAGCACTTTTTCGGAGTATGTCAAAGGTCGCTTGAGCCTGGAACAAGAATTAGAGATACCGATCTGTAGATGACCGTATTAGTGACTTACCGCTCCCTCAGTCCTTTCACTTTTGAAGGAAAACTGCTCAAGTTGATTGTTTGTGATTCGAGTCGACTCAAGGGTACTTGGGCATGGGAGGCGAAGCCTCTAGCCAATTTTGGATACCCCAGCCTCATACTGAGTATTTGGAGGTGACTATACCAAGGTAATAGCCAATTCAAAGTAATTTAAGTTGATTTCATCTCCGTGGATTGTCTTTGTAATGCTATTTCTCTCATTTGTTTAACGTACTGTTCGCCACAGAGGATTTCGGATGCTTCCGTCGGCTGAGCCGACAACTGTTGTGGACGACAAATGCCATCTTTGATAAAAGCATAATCTGGCATTTATCCAGATCTAGCCAGCATTGCAAAGAACTTGGGACTAGCTAAAAGTTTAACCACATCTGAAATTTAATCGAAGCCTGTCGTCACGAGGGCCCTTTCGAGCGGATGACTTAGCTCGAGATGCCACGGAAGTATCGTAACTATAGTCAACCTACGGGGACAAGCACATAATTCTGGGATAGTCGTTATTTGTAGTTCCTTGGTATTGTACAGCTAGCTCTTCCAAAAAATATTCCCGTCAAATAACCGACGGGCAGTGCGAAACACGGTCGCTGCGGTCAACTCGCCCTTATCGAATTGAGCTCCAACTAGCAGATGTCCACTTGCATGACCAATCGTAATACCGGAATCACTGACTTTTTCCTTGCTCACTGTAGCCTCGACGATGCTGCCAGCTACACGCGCAGCCGAGGAGAGGGCCAGTGCGACAGTGATTGGCACGGCTTTATGTGGTTGTCCAACTGAGATAGCCCGGACAAGTAAATCCACAGGCTTATTCTTATTGACAGACTCTGACGATGATACCATGCCAATCTTCGGAATACTGCCGGGTACATCGTCGACAGTCTGTGCAATACCCATCTTGACTGCTGCCTGACGCCGAATCGAATCCAACCGCTGGAGCAGGGTTGGGTGAGCTGTTATTTCGTCTGGCGTGAGGTCACCCCGGACGCCAAGGTCACTTGCTTTCACAAAAACGCATGGATTGGCCACATCAATACAGGTGGCTCGGACACCATCAAATTCATCTTGCACATTGCCAGTTGGCAATAGCTTCCCAGTGACCGAGCCTGCTGGGTTGATGAAATCCAACTGAATCCGGGCAGCCGTTCCAGCGACGCCATCGATAGAAAAATCGCCGGAACTTGCAGCTTCTCCATCCACAACTGGGAAGGTGGCAGTGATAATCTTGCCAGTGTTGGTGTTGTGGATGTGGATGGTCGCCGAGTCCGATGTCTGTGCAGAGACAAGCTTTTGGTCAATGGCGAAAGGACCGATTGCACTGATCATGTTGCCACAGTTACTCGAGTAATCAACATCGGTATTTTTGACCCCTAGAGAGACGAAGGTGTAGTCAACGTCGGCGTCGGGGTGTGTGGATGACCCCACCACGCACACCTTAGAGAGGCTGGAGATGCCCCCTCCTAAGCCATCAAGCTGTCGACCATACGGATCGGGACTACCGATAACTTTGCGGAAGATATCGTCCCATTCTGACCGAGGAGGCAAGTCAGCTTGATTGAAAATGACGGCGCGAGAAGTGCCGCCGCGGTAGTAGGCTGCGGGAAGGCATCGCTGTTTCGAGAGAAACCGCTTAGTACTGGAGACAGCGCGTTTCTGGAAGGTATACTGGAACATCTCAATAAGAATTTTCGTTTTCCTTTGTGACAGACTGAGCGACTGAAATTGAACTGTGTATTTAATGACCGAGTAGCACTTAATGAAAGGAGGTAGGTTGGCATCGGATGCATCCGATGCAGGATCTCCACTCTGCCTAACGGGCTAAATCTTACTAAGCACGTTATGAGCATAACTAAGTTAGTTACTAGGTGAGTATATCGTTTGGGAGGTCTGTTGAAAGATCTTTCTAGATGCCGAGCCCACGTAATAGCTCTCAATCTAAGTAGATAACCACCTTTTAAAGTATGACCAATAAGATGGTTTTATAATTTAGTCCAGATTCTGAACTTATCATAGAACTCCGCTAAGTGTGTACAGAGTTGGTTAGATAGTAGTGGCTACCAAATTGAATACTATATAATTTTATGCCAGGGAATCTAAGGCCTCAGGTGGTAGCACCAGCCTTATCCTTGATTGAGCGTTACTTGCGCAACCGCAAAATCGTTGGCCCCATCGGCTCGCCCGCTCGCAAAGCCGCAAATGTCTTTTCATCAATCTCGAATCGCTCCTGGCAGAGTTCCACCGCTTGCTCCATCAAAGATGGAGGTACCACGACTACTCCGTTCTCGTCCCCCACAAGAATATCACCCGGATGTATCCACAAGTCGCCTCGGAATTGCAACGGAACGTTGATTTCGGAAGCGCGTGTAAAAGTGTTCGAGCGGAGGGGTGCCACGCGCAAATACCTGTATGTATTCGTTAACTGAGGGTATGTGTTTGTCAGGACATAGTGGATTTGACATACTGGAAACGAGATATCCCGATGCTCCTGCGTGTCTCTCATTCGACCGTCGATGACGACACCCATCGCGCCAAGCTGCTGAGCTCGCGTGGACATAAGCCCTCCCCAACATGCCGATGGTAACCCCTTAGGTTGCTGAATATACATCACATGGCATTTTTTGTTTGCATCTGCAAAGTGCACAGATGGTGTTGGTCCTGGACTTTTGCTCTCGGCCATCTTCACTGTGATCGCAGGGCCGTATATGGTGGTTCCTGGCTCAGGAGAGAACATCTTCAGTCCATCTAGAAAGCCCCCGTAGGGATATTTTAGTTTGACCAGGGCGTCGCCAATCTAAAGGAAAATTTAGCTAAAATACTTTTATTGTATAACATCATCTGGAACATACATCGCATGTCGAGAATCGCTTCAGGTTTTGCAGAACCTTGGAGGCCATCTTAGCTCAGCCTAGTCCGTACTGAGTGGGTAGATTAGAGTCGTCGAACTGAAGGCGAAGTTCAAAAAAAAATAGCAAAGGAGAGTCGAGATGACTTGCAAGTCTCGGAGCGGGCCGGTCGGAGCAAATCCGACGTGAGGAGGAGGAATAGATTATTGCACTCCTCGCGAAGCGGGTCTTGGAACCCCCGGGGGCCAAAAATAAGTTTCGGAAGGAATGGTGATTTAGCGCAAGCATACAAGACTATTAGTCTGCATCTTCTGCTGATAGTCGCTTGAGTTTCTAGGTTTGAGGAGGCTGGGATAGCCGGAGAGCAGCGATCGAGGTGGACAACATTTCAAAGCGGTAGTTGGGAGAGATCGTTGACCGGAGGAGGGCATGACTTATCATGGAGATTCTCAAAAAGAACGCTCCAAACGTCTGCAGTGCCCATATCGATTCCCTCGGTGAACAAATCAGCCCATGGTAGATCGCCTTGAACATCCGGGAAGTGCGAGAGCGAGCCATGAAGATAATTCTCTGGATCTTCTATACCATTTGCACATGGGTTGAATGTGTGTGTTTGAAGTCCAAACCAAGTCTGGAACTCAGTGTCGATGTTAGAGTCGGCTTGGTCTTCGTTTTCGAATAGCGATAAGATTGAATCGCCAAGTCGTTCAACGATACCGCAACATTTTTCGCCCACCAATCGTCCATCACAAATGCCGCGGAACAAAGTAAGAAAAGTGGATATGTTGGTTTTAATCACAGGTTTGGCCAATTCTCTCCTAAGAGGAGCAAAGGCTCGCAAAGAATAAAGCATCGTGACCGCCGCCATGAACAGTGAGTGGATTGCGACGAAAGTATATTTGATGCGATTCCGTGCGTATAGTGCACTGTATGAGCTGATCAGGCCGATTGAAGACTCGGTGCAAACACGCAGGTCATCCGGGGATGGCATTGGAACAGCTCGCGATGGACGATACAGAGAGAGAACGGCATGATGAAAGGCAATCTGGAACCATTCAGTGGACTGGAAAGTCGACAGTGTCTGCATATACCGCGGCGCAGTAATCAGCCATTGATTCAGTTCCATGAAATATCCACGGCGAAGTGTGTCGATTTCCGTGGTATCTGCCAACGTCGATCCGATAGAATGGAAAGTTGTGTAAACTCCTGCATTAATCTGGCGTAGCTTGATGATATGGATAAATGTTGATGTATCGGCCACATTGGGTATCAAAGTCTCTTCGACATAGGGGCTGCGAACAGATTCATCGAGCTGAGTGTCCGTCAGCTGCAGAGGTAAAGGCATGCTGATATCCGACTCTCGAATTCCCAGCGGTCGACCCATATTGATGGCCATGCTGCAGCTCATGACATAGGCACACCAAAAAACACGTTTGCACATTTCCCCGTCCATCATACCTTGACTCGACAGGCTTTCCTTGCGATGCAGATCGATGCCGATAGCGAGGTTCAGGGCCAGCCCGGTGGTATACCACATGTTGACAGACTGAGGCTCGTTATGGCCGTACATGCACAAAAGGAGAAGACACTGGATGCACTCAAAGTTATCGGAGCTCATGACGAGATGGAGGTCCTTCACTGCTTCTCTGAAAAACACCTTGCGGGTCTTGTCGCAGGCCTGCTGGGACGACCTCTCGGCTGATGCAATAGCGCAAACGATGTTGACAAGAAAGTTGGACAAGGGTCTCATGTCAGAATTGGTCAGAAATGGGGTCAGGTGTTGTTGGAAAAAGGACCCCCGATGTAGTACCGGCAAATATGGCCACCGCCTATCGAAAAATGCGTTCACCAGGTTGACGTACGTATCATGGTCGAGGCCTAACCCGCTTGCCTCCGGGACCTCAACGGTGGTGTCGTCTCCCCACAGCTCCCAGGCACTGCTCAACGCGCTGCTATTCGATTTTCTAGTATTCCCCTTCAATGAAAAAGTCGGTCCCAGAATACGGCTGGTGAAACGATTATCCGGGTTGCTATTCAGCTGATCATGCTGGGAAACTGTTCCTGTAATTGTCGGGGCCACCGAACAATTTTCAGGATTTGGAGTATTAGTCGCAGCCTGGGCAGAGCTCAGTGCCTCGAAGATCTGAATTTCAAGTTGTTGGCATTTTTGAGATAGCTCATGGCCTCGCTGCTCGGCAGCGGCAAGTTGAGACCGGAGGGATTCACATTCACAATTCGAACTGGTGTGCTGAACCATAAGTCGGTCTGACATGATACAAGGGACCTCGACGGCCGCACATGGGCCACATGTCGGCACTTTGCCATCACACTATTGAGTATTAGCGATTGTTCGCGCAAATCTAGGGCCGGCGAACCTTTTGCTTTCTTCGGCGGCATCGCTGGCATGCGGCCACGCTCCGGGGAATGCCCCGTCGGTGACGACGAGGAGCGGAGGTTGGTGAGCTTTCACTCACCATGTCACGTATCATGAAGCCTGGCAGGTGAAACAGAAAATCCCTGACATCATTGGTCGAGGTTGATGGTACTCGCGGTTGGTGCGGAGAAACGCTCGTTAACACCAAGGCAACCCCAGGCTTGGCGTTCCCTTACTAATTGTGGACAGCCTCCATCCATTCCATTGGTATACAGCCCCCAAAGTAATGTTGGTATTGCCTTCTGCAGGCATTCACCTAACTATTATATTCTGCTTCTTAATAATTAAAAATTTCACAATTGCCTCGGTGTTCATTGGGCTCTAGATGCCTTCTATCACACTGATTTGTTCAAGATTTCTAGCTTTTTGTACTTCGACGGCTTTCCTAGGTAGACTTGCAGCGCTGATAAATTGGATAAGAGAATCATTTCCATTATATCCCATATGTGATGATTTTCCTAATCAAAATATATACGACCAGGATTTTTCACAAGCATTCTGTCGTAGACATTACTTCCCATCCACCCATGCAATTTCTCAAGAATGGCGAGATTATCCAGCACTCGAAAAGGCTCTTTAACTTCCAAGGAACCATTCACTCTGTCATGTCCATCCCCTGTATGTGGCCAGTCACTTCCCCAAATAATCTGGTCCGGAATTTCTTGGGCGAATTTCTGGATGATAGGCTGTAGATCTTCAAAGTTGGACGAAATATCGGTGGACATGCGATATAAGCCAGAGATCTTCACAATCACCTGAGAATTTCTCGCGAGCGACAACAGGGATTTGAAACCAGGTTGCGACGTTGGCGCTGACTGTAAATCCGTAGAAAGCCTGGTTGGGCCAAGCATACCACCAAGGTGGTCGGCGATAACCTTGACTGGAAGATGGAGAATCACGTCATGTAAATCTATCACAATTAGCAAGTTCTACCGATTAAACAGTGCATGTGCTAATCTTACCATCCCATGACCACCCTGGGACGAATACCTGGATCATCCAACCAGGTAAGTAGCGTATGCGCTCCGCAGTCTGGTGCAAAGTTGCCACCAATCTGTCAGTACTGACCTCCTTACCATCCGCCTGGAAGTTCAGTCGGATACCACGTACACCGAGGGCGTGCATTTCCTTCAATTGTGCATCGGTGGTGGTGTCAAGGTCCAGTACAGCAATTCCGAATGCCCCGCTGTCTCTATTTCTCAACATTCGCAGGCATTGGATCATAATAGAGCAGTCATACTTATAAGGAGACGGTTGGACAAGAACCAATTTAGTATTCTGAGAATCTGCCGAGAGGCTTTTGTTGAACGCGATCAACTTTTTTAGTGGCGCGTCCTCGGGGGTGTAGGCTCGTCCAGCAGCATATGGCCCTAGTTTTGGGTCAAATACATGTACGTGGGTATCAACGGCGTCTTTTGGAAGCAAGAATCTGAGAAGGTCAGATTAAGCAAGGCAATCTGTGAAGAATACTTACTGAGTTGTTAGACCGCTCCCTTGGCTACTACCAGTTCCTGGGGACATTTTGCAGGTTGAGATTTGGTAAAGGCTGGCGAAAGTTGGTCCGTGATTAAAGATATGACTTTGCTTCAATGATCTCAACATTACTCCCGAGCGGATCGTTTCTGAATCAGACGGTATGATTTTCTCTTCTTAGGGGTCCGTTGTGTTTGACTATCGGCTTAGCCGATGGGGGTCCCGCCATCGGATACTTCCGACAAACGATTGGACCCCAAAACGGCGTGGGCAAATAGAACAATCTATATTTTGACCAAGATTTCTGCTAAAACAGAATATACAAATTCAATATGTCACAACTATCGTTACAAAGAGCACCAATATTGCAAGGTAATTCCGAGCAAAAGCGCCCTATTCCGTACCGGAATCTAGCGGTCGGGGCGTTGATGAACGTCTTTCAGGGTGTGTGGTGATTACCTCAATAGCCGATACACTTGATCAACTTAGATCATGTTCTAATTGAACTAGTCACTACCCTCGGGCAGCCTATGGAAGTACTCAAGACTCATGTAAGTTTACTTCAACATGACTTGGACCCTAAGAGGTGTCTGACATATTCAAAAAATTATTAGCTGGCAGCAAATCGACAAGACACACTGAAAGATGCAGTTCAAAAAACTTGGTCACGTGGAAGATTTGTCGCTTTTTATCAAGGGCTGATTCCTTGGGTACGCAAAGTCCCCTACTGTTCAAAACTTCAAGTTGTACTCACGGAGTGAACATCGCAGGCGTGGTTGGAAGCATCCACCAAGGGTGCCATTTTGATAGTAGCATCAAGTGAGGTCGAGTATCACGCAAGAACAAAGCTCAACGCCTCGCCTACAGTATGTGGTGTTTTGGGCGGTATTAGCGGTGGCATTGCTCAATCCTATCTCACGATGGGCATGACAACATGCATGAAGACGGTCGAAGTGACACGCACAAAGATAGGTGCCCAGGGCGCCAAAGTTCCCGGTACGATGAAGACTTTCTTCAGTATTCTCCGTGAAAAGGGAATTCGAGGTGTCAATAGGGGCGTCAATGCCGTTGCATTGCGACAAGTTACCGGGTGGTCTTCCAGAATTGGAATCTCTCGCTTTGCCGAGGAAAGCATTCGATCTATGACTGGAAAGGGTAAGAATGAGAAACTTCAATTCGGCGAGAAAATTTTGGCATCAACCATTGGCGGTGCCCTTAGTTGCTGGAACCAACCTTTTGAAGTGAGTTTTCTTGTGGATGGCCAAAGTATTTTCACTAACTTGCATTGCCTAGGTCCTCCGAGTGGAAATGCAATCTATGAAGAATGATCCCACTCGCCCCGCAAATCCGACAATTGCATCCACATTCAAGCACATTCTTGCAGTATCTGGTGTCAAGGGCTTGTTCCGTGGTGTAGTGCCTCGGATTGGAGTGGCAGCCTGGGCTACAATTTGCATGGTGGGATTTGGCGACACGGTTAAAGAGGTGGTTGCAAGCAAGTGAATTTCCAGTTGGATCACGATGTACCAGTAGAGACAATTCATGACAGAAGAAAAAAGAAAGAAAAGAAAACTTCATCTCCATGAGTTGAACCTGCGACTTCTTATCCCCTATATACCTCATGACGATGCTCCATGTACAGCCCGCGACTTCAACGCGATACCGCACCTAATAAAGAACACATGATATAACCATCAGACGGCCGTTTTTATTCTTTGAATAAGAATCATAAATTCTATAGAGCTTAGTGGTTAAAATGATAATAAAAAATTATAATAAAAAAGACTTTAAAAAGGAGAAATCCTGTAGGGTAGTTAGATATCAAAAAACCTCACCCGCCGGGGGCCGCACCTGCTCCACAGAAGCTTCCTCACAGTTACGACCGCCGAACCCACCGAAGTGGCTACGGGCGCCTAGGGGTTAACCCACTAGACAACCGGGCAGGATCAGTTGCTGACTTCAACTTGAAGTAAATGATAACACCTCATGCGATTCCCACCCACGCTATCAACCCGGTCATTTGGATCCACGTCCTCACACAATATATCGTGCTCGAGACATATCCTCTCTCAACCCTTATAGGCTACTCACCACCATATGTCGAGGCTTCTCCTTACGAATGTAAATTATGAATATAGATCTGTTCCTCAGTCAAGTATCTTAGTTCGCTGACCGAATAAAGTGTCATGGAGCGGTTCATAGATCGGAAGCGGCTCATAATTGGGCCGTGCCGAGTTCTCCGCATGGCGGTCTCCACACCCGGATCCGCCGCCGTTGAAGTCCGAGCTTGAGCTTCATTTTTCCTCTTTCCCCCTCCAGCACGTCATCTGGGGGATTCGAATTCCACTGCCGGGCAATCGACCACGACAGTCTCTAGCACAATGTCTTTTGACGAGCCTGCAAGAGCACCGGCCTCAGAGGAGACGCCTCTGCTCCATGATGCTGACCCCGCCCACGCGGATGAGACAAGCGGGCAAGAACCGCTGACCGAGGAGCGCTCTACCAAAGAGCTCATTTTGATACTCGGCAGTATTTGGCTGGGTGTATTCCTTGCTGCGCTCGGTATGCTTATGGACAGGCTGGGCAATTGCTATTAAGAGTGTACTGACGGAGAATTTACCGCAGATACGACCATTGTCGCGACATTGTCGGCACCTATCTCCTCCTCGTTCAACTCGTTCTCGTTGCTCTCTTGGCTGGCTACATCCTACCTGATATCAAATGCCGCGTGCCAGCCTCTGAGCGGCCGATTGACCGATATTTACTCGCGTCGCTGGGGTCTGGTCTTTTCCAACGTCTTCTTCGCCTTGGGAAACTTGATTTGCGGTTTGGCCCAAACGCAATGGGCGATTATCCTAGGACGCGTCGTCGCGGGTGTCGGTGGAGGTGGCTTAACTGCTATCTCGACTTTTGTTACCTCGGATTTGATTCCGCTGCGTAAAAGAGGCGTCTGGCAGGGTATTGGCAACATCTGCTACGGGGCTGGCATGGGTCTTGGCGGGGTATTCGGTGGGTGGATTAATGACACGCTGGGGTGGCGATGGGCCTTTTTGATCCAGATTCCTTTCTTGGTGGTCTCGTGCATTTTGGTCATCTTCACGGTGAACATTCCCGTGAAAGATACGGATAAGGCGCGCATCAAACGCGTTGACTTCCTCGGAGCAATTACCTTGGTTGTTACTCTGGTTACACTGCTGTTGGGTCTCAACACTGGTGGAAACCAAGTGCCATGGACTCACCCGATTGTTCTGGTCTCGTTGCCGCTGTCGGCAGTTTTCCTGGGTGTCTTCATCTATGTGGAGGCCTACATCGCGACCGAGCCTGTGATTCCGGTGAAACTACTCCTGGACCGGACGGTGGCATCTGCCTGTCTGACCAATTGGTTTACGACCATGGCAGTCTTCGGTTTACTTTTTTACCTCCCAGTCTACTTCCAGGTCCAAGGCCTCTCGGCTACTGCGGCTGGAGCTCGCCTGATCCCACAAGCCATTGGAACTTCAATTGGGTCGCTCGGCAGTGGTTTCATTATGCGAGGCACGGGACGCTATAAGGTCCTCAACTATGCAGTCATGGCCCTGCAGGTACTCTCGGCAGGCTTGATCTGTACCCTGAAGTTGGATACGCCGGTGTGGCTGCCATTCGTCTACTTCTTCTTGGGCGGTGTCGCGTACGGAAGCATGTTGACTATCACCTTGGTGGCACTGATCTCAGCTGTGGATCACCAGCATCATGCCGTTGTGACCTCGGCCTCCTACGCCTTCCGCAGTACTGGAAGTACCATTGGTATCACTGTTGCTTCGGCCGTGTTCCAGAACACCCTCAAGACTGGATTGTGGGCCCGATTTGGCGAGCGCGAACATGCGTCAGAGATCATCTCCCGGCTGCGTGATAGCTTGGATGAGATCCGCAAGCTGCCTCAAGACTGGATCCCTGGTGTCTTGGATTCATATATGGATTCCTTGCGAGCAGTGTTTGTGACGTTGCTTGGATTGACCATCTTGGGAGCCGCAGTTAGTATTGCGATGCGGGAGCATAAGCTACACAATAACCTCTCTCGTCGGTGAGACAGAATAGAAGGGAAGAGGTTTGCGAGAGAGTAGAGTGCAGTATAGAAGGCAGAGCACAGCTCATACATGTCAAGTATATAGATAGACCATCATCATGATGATATTCACATTGGAACTGCCCATAGTTATGGATCGAACCCCACTTTAGTCAAGAGTTCCACTTTATTCACCGCCCCGGCCACCGCCCCGCCAATCACGGCCAAGCGCTGCTGCACGGCTGCCCGCTGGTAAGCGGCGCCTGCGACTTTTGGCTGCTTTTTGGTCTCAATCAATTCCTTTAGCAACTCTTCATTGGTCCACCGCATGCACTGGTTGTCTTGGGCGTGCTGGTCGTGCTGGACTTACTGCTTCTTGCTGCATCCCCTCCGTTTCTCCTGAACGTTTGGAGCTGAATATCGCGAAGCCCGCGCACTATCCGCCGGTTTTGAAGTGGCGAGACGTGGCGACCTGGAACCAGATTCTCCGGCCAACACAGACACACTACACCGCTCAGAGCAGGGAACAAAGCTCGAGTCAAGCAGGTTACGCAACGGAATCGCTCGGGGGTAGAAAGGTCTAGGTCCTGTCGTCCTGGTGGTGGATACGATTTGAGGAAGATAAAGTCCCGTCACCGCTTCGATTGCCTGATCTTCAACCCAATCTGCTGTTGTCGGATAAGCACTTGAAGGCTTACAATTGGACCGCCCTGTGACTTGACTCGGGACACTGGATCGATTTCCTTACCAACAATCGGTCTTTTGCCTCGAACATCCCTTGCCATCCTCTCCTTTCTCGACTTGCGCAATTTCTTATCAGTATATCGAGTGTACAGAACCTGAAACTCACGAAATCTTTATCGGCTCGGGCATGGCAGTTGGTTTTTGGCCCGATAATACCGTCCCGAACGCCCCGAAGACCGGCATTACGAAGCTGGACCGGAACAGTGAGATGGAAGTGGATGGCGAAGGCGAGGAGACGGTGATAGGAAACAACGAAGGCTATCGGGTTTGCCCCGACCAGTCAACGCGCGCTGTCCCGGCGAGTCCACGGCGGCGACGCTTGCTGCTCTCGACTGACAGCGCCTTCGCCGACACAGTCCTCCCCTCGCTCGTCAAGAACCCTTATATCGAGCTGCGCTTGATCACCGACGAATCCTCGGCGCTGCTGGCCGGCACAAACAAAATCCCCCATTACACAGACTCAGTCGACAGTACAACCTTCGATAAGAAGACCAGTGCGCGGAAATGGCTCAAGGCGAAGACGGCCGAACTATGCGAGTGGGCGGATATGCTGTTGGTCGCTCCCATCGACGCGGGCGCTTTGGGTTCTATGCTGGCGGGGTTGACAAACACTTTGACCTTGGCGCTCTTACGGGGTTGGGTGTCGAGCAAGCCCGTGATTTTGATTCCCGGAATGACCGTTTCAGAATGGGATCATCCATTGAGTGCGCGACAGCTGGAAGAAATAAACCGATTCTGGCCCTGGATTCGAATCGTTCAGCCCGTGCTCTGGAAGTCCAATGGGCCGGAGGACCTCACGCCACTGCCGTGGGATGGATTACAAGATTTGCACAGAAGTCTGGAGAAAGGCTTGAGCCTACCTCCTTGGGAGAGACCATTCTCCCAGAATGCTTCCAGTGCAAAAGCAACACCATCTTCGAAATCCATACCTTCACTCGCAAAGCCGTCGGGAAGTGACACCGCCATGGCACTTCGCCAGCTCCAAACACACTGGCCAAATCCAGAAACAAGAGTCCGATCCCTCCCTTTTGAGATCTGGCTCAACATCTTCGAGGATCAATTAGGAGATTGGGAGATTGCAAAAGCCGTGGGTATCACTACCAATCTCCCGGTTCCCCAAGAATGGCAAAGTCATCTTCTAAAGATGTCCACACCGGCTTCATTGGAGTACACCATTCTCCGGGGATCATTTGCCGCGATGAAGAAACGCATCGACAGTCTGCCTCGGTGGAAACCACTGTCCGACCTTGCCTGTCACCTCATTGTGAAATTCTCTCGTACCGACATCCTCTCCTATCTTACCGAAAATCACCTCGACCTTCTCTGGACTACCTCTCGCCTCACAAACATCCCTTATCGAGCGTCCGCAATTTATGGAAACCCCACTGTTCTCACCTGGTGGCGTGACGCACCCGCGCTTCCCAATAAAGAGTACGCTGCCGATGCCATGGACGGTGCCTCTCGCGCTGGCTTCATCCACGTTTTGAACTGGTGGCTACATTCAGGTCTTCTGCTCCGATATAGCGAGCGAGCCCTCGAGTCCGCTAGTGCCGAGGGCCGGGTCGCCGTGTTGGACTGGTGGAAGGCTGCATCAGCAAACGCACCGATCCACAAGCCCATACCTCTGAAAGTAGGCAAGTCTGTCCTACTAGCGGCGCAATCCGGCCGCATCGCCTCTCTCGCTTGGTGGGATGCATCCGGTATTCCATACAGCCACGCCGAGAATGTCGCTCGTATTGCCAGTACGCACGGCCACGTGCATGTCCTGGATTTCTGGTACCGATTGAAAGGTCCAAAGATGATCTTCGATAATCAGGTTCTCGTTGGACCCACGAAAAATGGACACGACCATGTTCTGCAATGGTGGAAAGACTGCGGTCTGCGGGTCGAATTCAAAACCTGTGATATCGAGGAAGCTCTCGAAGACGCAGTCTCCGGTGCGGACGGCCGCGTCCGTCGCTGGTGGGAGTGTAACGGTCTCAATCTCGGCGTTGGCACACGCGAGTGGATGAAGACGAAGGTACTTTAATTTGCATATGAACATTCTAAGGTGTTCAAGGAAATCTTTTTGAGTTTACATTTTGGGGGTTTCTCTACCATTGGACAAAAGGCCAGCATTCGTGTCTTGTTTTCAGTCGTGCTTTAGTTTCTTTTGGCCTCTGTTTGACTCACGACACCAGATGATGATGATCCATAATACCCATTTGCCCTTTTTTTTCATCAATTCTGTCATTTACCATTGCGAGTGATTGACCGGTGGCGCCGGAAAGGTGCTTCTTTTTCATTTCTTCTCGGCCTTGTATCTAACTCCATTTGTGCTGCACATGGACCCAACAATCTCACTATCTCACAAATTACCCCCACTTCTCCAAGTGTGCATGTTTAATTTCCGCACCCTTGATAGCACTCTTGATCTTCCCGAATTCCTTAAAAGCATCGGACTCGGCAAACCCAAAGTGATCTTCGACTTTGTTCCAGCCACTGAAGAGCACGAATTCTTCATCCTCGCCATCTTTATCGATGCGCCAGCCACCAGCGTAACTGTACGGAGCAGTGTATTCTCCGAGATGAGGAGCCCCTGCTTGGAAGATACTTTCGAATTCGTCTTTCCTGCTAGCCTCGACAAAGTACCGGGTTATGCCAAGAACCGGTGCATCGAGGGGGATATTTCGCGCGGAAGGCTGTTCCAGGTCAGTTAACTCGGTTTTTATTTAGTCACGTAGCCCACACTTGATGTGCACCTACATCAATATCCAAATGGAACAGCCATTCTATATCAATAGCATCCTTGAGTTCAGCTAGTAACCGCTGATTCGGCGCAGATGTAATCCAATCTCCGAAATGCTCGGCCACAGACGCCCATCCACCCAGAAGATACACTAGACCCGAGTCTTCGATTTGACGAAGGAAATTCACTGGATGCTTTGACCAGGCGGATTGTTGTTTAACCACATCTCGAAGACTAGACTTGGTCTTTGCTGATGGTTCCTGTTCTTTGAGACGTAGGAGGGCGAATTCAGTGATTGGCATGGTGAAGAGGTTGGATTATTGCGGGTATCGCGGTACTGCGATCTTGATCGTAGGTGGATTTCTGGAATGTGATTGCTGATATCAGAGGTATTGTACTTTATATAGACTTTTGTATGCAGTTACATATTCGGAAATATCGCTGTTCGGTGGCCGAGTGTTGATGCATGAAGGTGGTGGAGCCTCGAGGCAACCATTCATTGCGTGTCCCACTAGAACTAAACAGATCACCCCATTTTCCTAAAAGGGACGTCACAATACGAGATCTTCATTGGCATGGTTTTAGGCATCAAACGCCCGTCATCTTCTTTATCTTATGGCCATGTATTCTAGAGAACGTTTCTCGTAGTTTATCCCGTCCGTAGTCAGACGTAGGTCTTATGGACTGCGATGTCAACAGTGTTTCAATGAATGAGTTGAATCTGCATATTCAATAGTGGTATGTTCATTTCCAGCTATGCACTGACTCCCCAAAAGGATAAGATATAATATCGCGTCAAGTCAACAAAAGAAAAGCATGTCTCATCAACACCCGCACCATTGGCTCATTTGGGTATCCCGTCAAGGTATAGCCAATCTAACGATCAAGTCAAGTTCAGAGCTATCCAGTTATAAAAACACGATTCCACGGACCATTGCCTATACTTCTTTCCTGTGAGTTTGTTAGTAACCTGCCCGGAACGAATTAAATGAATGAAAGACGTACCAAGAATATCCAGCTTTCTCAATTCCAGGTGTTTTAATCGCATTCCGGTCTCCGAAGGGGTTGTCTTCATCGTCATCCTCTTCTTCCTCCGACTCGCTTTCACTTTCGAATATTTGCCGCCCGTGCTGCGAAGACGAAGCGACGGGCAGACTAGGTCGAGGCGGCTTCGGCGGGTTGACAGACAACCCACTAAAGCTCTGGTTCATTTCGGATTCGATATCAGCCCGGGACCGCCAGTTACCGGACAGTACATCGTCGTCACTGTCACTGTCGTAATCCACGCTCTTGTCCAGAACCTCGAATGCCATCAATGCGGTCACCAGTTCTTCATTGGCATGGATCAATCCACCAAGGAATTCCTCGCTCTCGATGTGTTGGATATATCGCAGAATCTGGTGACGGAGCTTCTTGCATGTATCGAAGCGGTGGCTACATTCCGCATCGTCGCTGACGCGAGTGGTTTCGCGGTTAACCAGTTTCAAAGAGTTGAGCAAGTTCGTACTCGCCACTGATGCAGATGCGATGGTCTCCAGAATCTGCGGGCGTTCCCGCTCCATGTTGAAGCTCTTTGAGCTAATTGACAGCTTCTTGTCTCTCTTCTTTTCCTTCGATTTGGACTTTTGCTTTGGGCTGCTGAGTGTTGTAGACGGACCATTGCCGGCAGAGATGGTGACAGTATGGCCCATTGGTGGGTCGTTATGGGTTGACCCTTCTCGAAGCACCTTGGCCTTGGCCTGCGAGGCCGGTTGCTTGCGCTTTGGAAGTTGCTTGTAAAGCGCCGTAATCTTTGCCATACCGGGCGTGTCCTTGTATGTTACCGCCCATTGCGCAAATAGCTGTTTACACTTTTGCTTCACCAGCGGGTCTGAGACGGAATCGGTAGCGGCGATACGTAGTCGTTCCAACAAGGGTTCGTCGGCGAATTCGCGCAGGAATCGTTCGCCTGCATTTTGAATCAAGAAATCGAGGATCGTGAGCGCCCGTAGTTGGCGATGGAGGTTTCCATACTTCCTGGAGAGGATATTAGTCGGAATCACATGGAAGAGTGTTCGCGATCTACCCACAGCTTCTTCCGCAAAGCCCGGCTTGCTTCTGTCGGGCCACTGGCTTGAATGCGAACGACTTCTACCAGATCGACGATACCACTTGAGTCCTCCACCTCATATTGTTCGCTGGTCAGGACCTCTATTTGGACCGTGACGGCCGAGTAGGGTTTCTAGAGTCAGTACAGAGACCGGGTCAGCTCTGATCGGTCACAAGACCCCTTATCGCGGGGACACGAAGGACTTACCGAGGATTGAAACATTTTGGGATGAAGAGAAGAGTTACAATCAAACTAACTGGCAATCAGCATGGTCCAGGATGCCAGGATAGCCAGTGAATAGTCTTCGAACCTCGTTCAGGTGTAGAGTACCCCGCGCGTTTAGGGATTCGGCCTTCCCGTGTTAAGCCCCGCACGGGTCGGACCACACTGGCGAGTTGCAGGAAAGAAGGACGGGGTAGACGGGCGATTCCACCGCGCGTGAGCTATGGCTGTGCTCAGTAAATCCCCAATATCCACCTTCTATGAGAAGATGGGATCAAAGGACGTGGGTAGAGCAATGGGGTGATCGCGTGGATGACGGTGACGTCGGAGGCCGCAGGGTTTCTTAGCGCTAGTCGGCAGGCCGATCAACGGGTTTGGAGGGTGGGTTTCGAGTGGACTCAGGAGAGTCTGTTAGGCGCTGATGCGTCTGGATTATTGTTAAGGCTGATAGAGCTTGGCAGGCTGAGAAAAAAGGGCCACTCCTGTAGCCAGTCAATAGCCAGTAGACTCTAAAGAATAAAACACAAGAAGTAAATTCCAACACGATGAAACCCCAAAAAAAGGCCAACGCCCCGAAAGTTTGAGCAACGTGACTACGCCGGACCCCAATTGGGACTAGGGCGGGGGTTTGTTCCACTGGAGAAACGAGGCTGAAGAAAGTAATCAATACGAGGAGAGAGAGAAGAGAGAATAGAGAGATCAGTCAGTACAGTACTAACCGAAGCAATTAGCTTTCTACTTCATCTCGTTTGATGCCCCTCTCTCCCTCTCCATCCCCGCCAAAGCAGAGCTTGTTGCGCGTCCTGTCCCACTTCCTCCTCTTCTCCACCCTCATCCTGGCCCTCAGCGTGGCTCTCAAGACCCGCTCCCGTCTCTCCCTCTTACTCCCCTCCTTCTCATCATCCTCTCCCTTCTCCAGCTCCCACATCCCAACAATGGCTTACCAACAAGAACGCTACATCGCCGAGCTCGCCGTTCAGCGGGCCACTCTGCTCACCCAGAAGGTCTTCTTCGAGAAGGCCAAGGGTACCGTCAGCAAGGACGACAAGTCCCCGGTCACCATCGGCGACTTCGGCGCCCAGGCCCTCATCATCCAAGCCATTCGCAAGAACTTCCCCAACGATGAGATTGTTGCCGAGGAGGAGGCCAGCTCCCTGCGTGAGGACAAGGCTCTGAGCGCGGAGATCTGGCGTCTGGTCAAGGATATCAAGCTGGAGGATGCGGAGAGCGATAACGTGCTGGGCGGCCCCATCGCCAGCGAGGAGAGCATGTTGGACATCATAGATGAGGGCAAGAGCGCCGGTGGTCCCAAGGGCCGTATCTGGGCTCTAGACCCCATTGACGGCACCAAGGGTTTCCTCCGTGGTGGCCAGTACGCCGTCTGCCTGGGTCTGATCGTCGACGGTGATGTCAAGGTCGGCGCCATTGGTACTCCTAACCTGCCCGTGGACGACGCCGCCCCCATCGATGCCAGCACCGGCGCCCAGCAGACCAGCACCTCTGCCAACGGTGTCCTCTTCTCCGCTGTTCAGGGCGAGGGTGCCACCAGCCGCCCCCTGTCCAACGGCACTCTCGCCGAGAGCAAGTCCATCTCCATGCGTCCCGTCCCCAACATCGCCCAGGCTGTCTTCTGCGAGGGTGTCGAGGCTGCCCACTCTGCCCAGGGTGACAACGCTGCCGTCGCTGAGCGTCTCGGCATCACTGCCCCCAGCGTTCGTCTGGACTCGCAGGCCAAGTACTGCTCCATTGCCCGCGGTGCTGGTGACATCTACCTCCGTCTCCCCGTTAAGAAGGACTACCAGGAGAAGATCTGGGACCACGCGGCTGGTGACATTATCGTCCGTGAGGCCGGTGGCCAGGTGACCGACATCTATGGCAACCGCCTGGACTTCAGCAAGGGCCGGACCCTGGCTGCCAACAAGGGTGTTGTTGCTGCCCCCAAGGCCCTGCAGGACCAGGTCATTGATGCGGTCAAGGTTGTCCTTAAGCTTTAAGTTAAGGCATAGCGTTGCTACTGGCTAGGATCACGCTTGATGCGTTCAAAGTACATTTGTGATACCACGTGGAGGGGAGATGAAAGAGAAAAAAGAAGTGCTATTGAAGTACATCGTACATATATGACGGAGATAGAGTATAAAATAAGAATACAAGGAACCAAAGATGCAATGTTCCAGAAAAAAAAAGGACACGAGCGCCCACCCTCTATTTAATCTTCTTCGCCTTGAGCTTGATAGTCTCGCCATTGACGAAGATACCCTTGCCCTTGTAAGGCTCCGGCCGTCTCCATTCACGGATCTCGGCGGCGAACTGCGTCACCTTGCGCTTGTCGACGCCCTCCAGGAGAATGCGGGTGGGCTGGGGTGTGCTAGCCTTGATTCCCTCAGGAATACCGAGTTCGATGGGGTGGGAGAAGCCGACCTTCAGAGAGACGAATTGCTGGCCGGGATAGGAGGCAGTCACGGTAGTGGGCTTGGACTCGATGGTAGCCCTGTAACCGACACCAACCATACTGAGAATACAGATGTGACCTTCCGAAACGCCGATGATGTGATTCTGGAGGAGTGCGCGCGTCGTGCCTAAACAATTGAATCGATAATTAGCCATGATCAACTTTATTCGAATCGCGCGTCTCGTAGACAATACACACCCCACATAGCCCGCTGGTGAGGCTGCTCCGCGTCCGAAACAGAAAGAGTAGCTTTAGAGTTGGCGGCATCGTAGTTTACATCCAAGAACGAGGGAATAGTAAGAGACATCTCGCCTGCAATCGAGAGTAAGAAAAAAGATTAGCTTAGCTCCAATGTCCATCCACTCCCTGTTAAACAAGCAACCACACATACCCTTGGGACCCTTAATCTGCGCGGTAAACTTGGGCACATCCTTTCCACGAGCCCGGGTAGCAGTCTTGGGAATATCGACCAGGTTCAATGACACTTCGGGGGGAACGGAGATGGCGGCGCCGCCGACTCGGGATTGCATCGGGAATGAAGTCGAGAAGCATTGCGTATGGGATGGGGAGAAGGCGGGGGTGAGGAAAAGAGGTAATGAGCCGCGCTGGAAGGGCTCTCGGAGGAGCTGCCGGGCGCAGCGTTGGGGTAGACACGACATGGTGGCTGGTGATGTTTGATTGACGACTTTGTTGCGGACTCGATGATTTTGTCAGAGTAAAATGCGGGTTAGTATTCACGTGACTTTATCATCACCGCGTGAATGTGGCCTGAGGAATATGGTGTCGATCGACATGGCATGTGCTTGATATTCAAGGTTAACTATACGGTTCTAGATTCTTCTCTGATTCATATTCCGAAAGCTTTCAGTTTAATCTGGGCATAGAAATCAAGGGATTAAACGATAATCTATATGTAAAAGGTTAATTTGCGCTGTTACCAAGCGGACCCGAACTAATTGGAAGAGACTCACATTGCTTCTAGGGCCAAACTTGCTCCAAGCAAACGCGGTGTGGCAGTCCTACAGACTTCGATTTGGAGCTATCTACGAGAATGATTTAAAAGGGATTTCCAGTCAGCAGCTGTACCACTATCAAGGTCACACTATCTACGAAACCAGGTAAGCTGTCATTTCAAGTCATAAATCTCATTCAATCATTAGGTAAGTAAAGATCTCAACGTCTTTTTATATCAATCCCATGTACTATTCAACCACAACATACAGTCGTCTCTTCCACGCCCTTGATCTCCTCCTGTATTCCCTCGATTCCAACCGTAACAACCATCCAATCACACAAAAACTTCCCCAACCCGGCCCCAATGAAAATACAAATAATCACATAAACATTGAAATACATCGCCAACAACATGATAATATAAGCACCGGCAAAAGTCAACGCGTGTATAACAGCCCGAACAAATTGCTGCAAAGGCGTCACTCGAAACTTGAGACCAAGACCCGCCGACTCGGCCCTGGTCACGCAATTGTCCTTCTTGGCAGCGAGCACCGCGGCTTGGCGCTGGAATTGGCGGGTCAAAAACGTGTCGTACTCTTTGCCAAGTCGACGAAGCGCCTCGACAAGGATGACGAGCAGAATAATCCCGATGCAGGTCGCGGCGAACATGCCGTTATTTTTGATCTGCCATCCTGTAGAAAGAAAACAGGCGTCTATCGTGTACCAGTTGAACAGCATCTGGGAAGGAAATGGTTAGCGGGGCCTTTGGGCCAAGTGATCCAGCCTTGGCACTTACCGAGATTTTACACTCGCTGCTGTCGCTGCTTGAGCTCATGTCCATGCCTTGCATATTGATTATGGGATGCTTAGGGCAGGCTCTGGGGTATGATGGGTGTCCGCTGTACTAGTGGGCTGAAAGTATCTACTTTCAAAACGAGACCATGGTGGTCTTATAGATCTCGGCTGTTGAATGTCGCAACCGCGTCGCGGGGCTGCCCCAAGTGGAGCAAATCTCCGTGGGCCTGCTGGAAATCTGCTCAATTGCTCTCAAAACGTGGCTTGCAATAGGTTGAGTGTTTCGCGAGAAGCACGACTTTGGAGACCTGGCTCTCGATTCCACGTATGTATATCCTGAACGTCCTGTACATATTCCCTTCTCTCCTTCTTCCCAGCTCTATCACACGCAATATTTTACTCATGTTGTCATAATCATCTACGCTGAGAATTCTTCCCAGCCTTACGGCTCTTTATGAGAATCATATCTGTTCAAGCCATATATCTCAAACTGATCATCTAATTCGATCTGATTGGTTTGGAGAGACAATATGCCCTTCTCAGAATTGCATGCCCGCGCGCACATCCAAAACTTGAGTGCTGCAACGACGTTAGAGCCGCACTGGGGCTACGCAGACCGTGCTGTACCTTGCACAAATGACGCCGGCTCATGTGCCTATCTAGATGTTGTCTATTCGGCCCATGACCGGGGTATGCTTTATACCGGCATCATATGGTCAACTCTCGGAGGTATCCTTTTCCTTTGGGCTATCTGGAGGCATTTCAACGAGCCAACGATATCTCCATCGTTGACTGTCCCACGTCTGGCTGGATTTCGCAAGCTTCGAGTCTCTCTTGCGGTTTTTATCCGTACATATCTCCTCCCTGATGCACTTCGCACAATCTTCGGCCGCACGACTCGCCTACAAGTTCTCGTTCTTGCAGCTCTGGCGGGCTATCTTCTCATATTCAGCTTTGTCGGCATTGGTTATAACACCTGGATCACCCCTGTGTCAGGTATGGACGGCGTTTATAATACTCGTTCCAGCATCGGCCCATGGTCAGATCGCGTCGGCGTTCTTGCATATGCACTCACTCCTCTGTCTGTCATGCTAAGCAGCCGCGAGTCTTTCCTCTCTCTGATCACGGGGCTGCCCTATCAAACATTCAACTTCCTGCATCGGTGGCTGGGCTACATCATCTTTGTACAGAGCTCCCTGCACACAATCGGTTGGTGTATAGTCGAGTTTAGACTATACCAGCCACAGCCGTCCGTCGGCATTGAGTTTGTAACTCAGACATACATTGTCTGGGGCATTGTCGCCATGATCCTACTCCTTCTGATATTTGTTCTAAGTACGCCCTGGGGTATTCGACTCACTGGATACGAGGCCTTCCGCAAGCTGCACTATGTTCTTGCCATAGTATACATCGGGGCATGTTGGGGTCATTGGGAACAACTAAAATGTTTCCTGCTTCCATCACTCATCTTTTGGTTCCTCGACCGAGGAGCTCGTTTTATCCGCACCGCTATGCTGCATTATCACCCTAGCGAAACATCTGGAATTCTAGGCTTCAAATCTATCGACTCTGCCATCACCCGTTTTCCGGACGAGGAACATGGAGACGTGATTCGCCTGGACATGGAAAATGTTCAAGAAACCTGGAACATCGGCCAGCATTATTATCTGTGCTTCCCACAGTGTAGTGTGTGGCAATCACATCCATTCACACCACTCAATGCACCCGAGGTCGTCAAGGGAGTGGTCAAGCATTCATATATCCTACGTGCCAAAAAGGGCGAGACAAAAAAGATCGCAGATCTTGCCTCGAAGGGTACTTTGGCCACCCCCGTCATCTTGACTGGTGCCTATGGCGAGTCTATTACCAAAGAGCTAGCACCGAATACCAACATCATCTGCGTGGCGGGTGGAACTGGAATCACATATGTGCTACCACTACTCCTCCGCCTCGCCCAGCAGCCTTCTTCATCAGACCGAAGGATCGATCTAGTCTGGGCAATCAGGCATACGAGTAACGTGCAGTGGATCCGTCAAGAGCTGGGCATTCTCCGCAAGGCTCGCAAGGCCATGAATCTTAAGATCCGCATCTTCGCTACCAGAGACATCAGCAGCCCGTCCACATCCAAGGAGAGCATCGTACCGGCGAAGAATGATGACGAGAAATTCATGCAGGCCTCTGAGCAATCATCGTCCGCGGCTGACCTTTGCGATTGCGATCTGGATGTCCCAGTTAAGCTTGGCGGTGGATCGGCGGACAGCAGCAGGCATCCTGATTTGCAAAGGTTGATCACTGATTTCTTGGATAACGCAGTCACGGGTCCAACAACAGTATTTGCCAGCGGGCCTGGCGGTATGTTGAGTGATTTGCGGGATATTGTGGCTACTTGCAATTCTGCTTCTAAGGTGTGGAGTGGACAGGAGAGATTTGATGTTAGCCTGGTGTATGATGATCGCCTTGAGTGGTAAATACTTTACGAATTCAATGATTGAAGATAGGTTGACCGTGTAATGTTGCATCCTTGATCAGTAGATTTAAAATGGGAAGAGTGGCGTCTGTTTGCCTCGTCTCCAAGTGAGAGTGTGGAACGAGTGTGCTGAAGCCATACACTCCTGCAGCGGGCCTGAGCATGAAATGAGGGCTTGACCCAGGCATAACTTACATCCGACAGCAGGATTCGTAGGATCATGACCTTCAACATTAGCGAGGCATTGTGATTGCTCGAATCATTTACCAGAGATCACCTGGTTTCAATTTTCCTGACTTGCGAAGTTCCTCCTCACCCACCAAACTTCAACCTTGACACTTAACCTCACCAACAATCCCCCAGAATCCTACTCTGTCCCGCACAATCGACACCAGTGCAGATGTGAGCCTCTCGAACCCATCCCAGAAACGTTGTTCGAGGGAAAAGCAACGATATACTGCCACAATGAAGTGGGTTATCTCGCGACTCCTGGTGAGCTCGATATGCGGCGCTCTCACCTGGAGCATGATGAGCTCAGCTGAGATTCAGCCACCTGAATACGGTATGTGTTTTTCAATGATGTGGTCGAACTTTATCACTGACTTTGCAAGAAAACCCTCGTCTTCCTACCGATGGGACACACGGCAGCAACGCAGTCACATACCTCACCTCGAATACTCGACAAAGAGACTCGATCTTCTCGGAAGCAGTTCAACTCCTTGAATCCATGAACGCATCCCCATCCTGCAATCGCGTGGCAGCAACCAGACTCGTCACCTCATGTCAAGACCTCGGAGGCAAGGGAAACACAGATCCCGACACGAATCAAGTCCTCGACGTGATTAGATCAGTATACGCTGCTCGACTGGCAATCTGTGAGCTGGAGAGTGCTGGCGCCGTCGTACCTCAGCCGTGTATTCCAGTAACGGTCCCGATTCCCTCGCCGTCAAATTCGGGTTTCAGATTCTTTCGGAGATTCAAGTCTATGGATTGCGATGAGACGTTACTCCCGAAGAAGGACCTGGAGCAGTGTCTCAGAAGCCTTGAATCGAGGCCACAATGGTGGACATCCTACAGCAACAACAGACAGAATGCGATGATCATCTGCCAAGCGTCTCGCATCGAGGCAGAGAAGGAGGAGATGCTGATCCTTCACCAGTCCCTTGCTAAAAGCACCGTTAAGCTTGATGAGGGTCTGCAGGAAGCTCTGCGTCGGGCTGCGGAAACCTCAGCAGAGCATCATGCATTCCTTTTAACAGTTCAAGCGCTACAAGAGAGACTCTCGAGTGAGCTGGAAGAGAGGGGATCGCTCCTCCGTGGTCTTTTGCAAAATTTCCTCAACGATATCGAAGCTGGCTTCGAAACAGTGGCCGCAGCAGTCACTTCGGCATTGAGCAAGGTGCAGATGGAGACCTCACTCCTCAGCGAGGTCAGTCTCACCCAACCTGTTGATTCGTCGAAAGATATACTAATTTCTATCCAGAATATACAAAACACGTCTTCAGAAATCGATGTACTGCAGCAGGTCCTGCGAGCCACTTCTGAAGATACCGCTGCCCGAAGTCATCAAGCACTACGGGTGCAGCAGGAGGACTCGCTTGTAGCGAAGGAGCTTGCATTAGATCTTCATGCCTCACTACGCTCCCTGGCGGAGACGGATGTCGCTCAGCTTTCCCAGCAAATGGCCAACGTTGACGTTGCCTTGGTATGTTCACGTCCATCACTTCCTGGACCTATACTGATAGACTTAGGAATGGCTTATAAGCCGACTAATGGTTGCTCTTGAGCAAGAAAGCAAGTTGACCGAGGTTGGTATTTTCAAGTCTTTCACACTGAGATAGCAACTAACCTCAATAGCGACTCCAAGCCATGGATGCTTCTATGCACAAAGCCCAAGCGAGAGCAAATGAGCTCCAAAAGGCCCAACGCATCCAGGCTGAAGCCTTGACTATCCAACAACAAGCCCAAGAGGCAATCAGATACAACACCCAGGTATCACAAGCTCTGCTGGACAGAGCCACGACGACAGCCGCCAATCTACATACTATAATCGACGAAGCGGCAACGAAGTTCAAACAAACCCCCGGATTGCACCAAGGGGGTCTCTCCATTTGGACAGTTTGCCTGGTGCTGCTTATCGTAATCGGCGCGCAGAATTTCAAAGCTGCCTTTGGCCTAACATTCTTCATTTTCGGTCAGTCTGAATGGTTTGGTCTTTGCCGTGATAGTGGCTGATGGCTGGAATCTAGGGCACTTGATCGCGACGACAGTTTTTCCTTTTTTCAAGTTATATGGCTCTTCGATGATGGCTATTTGAGGCCTCTTTTTTTAGATGCGTTATCGTCATAATTATAGCGTTTTTAACGCTGGGAATCCTTTTGGTTTAATCTCATGATTAGCCTTGGGTATTTTATTTGCGGTTCGACAGCGGGTTCTTTCAAGCTCTTACCCACTACCCTGGCTACAACTTAATATCTATGCTTTTTCTTCTCGCAAGTACCTTATCGTCACCTCGAATCCCGTTTCAAAGCGTTGAATGCAAAGTTTCACAATAAATAAGCCACTTCCATTCCTACAGGGTATCATAATCTTCGAATCAGCAACAAGAAAGCGCGCTGCTCTACTCGTCACCTCCAGACGAGTCACCATCTCCATCTACCATGGCAACATCCCCATCACCACCAGCACCAGCCGCAGCAGCCTTCTGCTCACGAGCCTTTTGCCGACGCTTAATCTTGCGCTCCCGATTCTTGCGATTCCTCTTTTCAGCTTCCGACTCTTTAGCTGCCACCGCAGCAGCAACCTTCTTACGCAATTGAACGCGGCGTTTCTTGCCGGGCTTTTTGCGTGTGATTGGGGACTTGGATACGGGAGCACCCTCCACCACGTAGACTGGGATGTCTTTCGAGGAGGGAGGTAGCTTGGTCTGATGGCGCTTGAGGTGGATAACCCGCCAAGGTAAATCACAGCCGGGCTATATAGATACGTCAGTGATCAGGGCAGAGAGATGTGCATGGCGAAGAGGATAGCTTACCCATGGTTGAGCCTTGGCCCAGGTTGTGATATGCTCGCCTGTGACGGCCATATCTTCGAATTGGCGCCTTTGCTCGGCTATCGTCTCTTTCGCCGCATCATTCTCGTCTAATCCAAAGAGAGTAGGTGTTGAGAAGTAGTACTGCCATCCACGGAAGGCCTTGACGAACCGCCCCTCGGAGGGGTCTCCGGAGGGAGAAGGGGACCGCAATCGAATGCGGAGCTTTTGTGTCCCTGCAGTGGTATCCTTGGTATCCTTTCCTGATGCCTTGTCTCCCTTTGAGCTTATACGGTCTCCGTCTGTTTTTTCTTGGTCCTTTAGCGTAGCGTCTTTCGGCTTTGTGGGGGCGCTGAACAGGCGGAACTCGAATTCCTGCTCCTCCTCGTCATTGTTCTCGTCGGCAGGCTGCATTGCTACATTGTTATCTTGCTCGGCAGCTGTATTCGTTCCAATCAGTCCATCGAGATCCAGGAGCTTGCCCAGTCGAGCGTGAGCGTCTTGCAGGTCGGTCTCATCAACCGGGGATGGTTCACGAGAAGAGGCAGGCGATTGGACCTCATCACGGCGGACCCTGGATGTCAAAGTCAGCATAGCTATATGAAAAATGTACAATAAGTGACTCACCGTTTAGCATCAGGTAGATCAAACATGATGTGCAGAGAGACGGAGACACAATGACCAGATGGACGTTGCACAACGGAAGACCGCAAGAGCCAAACCCAAAAAATTGGCAGATAATGCAACGCTCCGGCCACGCACTTTCTTATCGCATGACGCCCAGCGCACGGACATCAAACCTCCCCAGCCTTCCATTGAGGCACTGCAACCTGAATGAAACTTTTACCTTCTCGACGATTTACTCCCTTCACCAACTTCGGAGTTACGTTCCCTCGATTTTTACCTGTTGCTGCGCCATTTCTCTCTCCTGCATTTTCACCTCACGTTCCTTACTCCACCACCAAAATCCCTCGTCGCTATTGACCGCGCCGCCCACATTTCCCCGTCCGAGGGGGAAAAGGGTTCCACCGCTTCATCATCGATTGGGGTGATTAATGCCTCGTGCCTGTTACATCGTGTCCCCCCTCTGAGCCTTGAATTGGGAAGCGCCCATCCGGTATAAATGGGTGTCTGTGCTTCGTGCCTGGGCGGCAATCGCCAGGAATCCCCCGAGGTGAGTTGTTGATGCTGCTGTGGATATACCGTCATGTTCAGCGCGCATTACCTCGGTTTGATGCGGGACGCATGGAATTCGTGTCGAAGGGAACACTATGCTGACAAGTCATTCTTCAAGCCTGAGTCCTCGCGTCTCTTGGATGAGGATCCCTATCAGGCGGGCTACAATTATGGCTCGCTTCATACGCAGCAGGCCAACCAGCCGGATCCGGAATATGTGAGGCGTGAGCGTGAGGCTTTGGATGCTATCTGCCAGCGCACTTCAGAGTGAGTATACCCCCGAGAACACTCAGACCGGGATTCCTGATGTTCTAATACCCATTCCGTCGGAGAATCACCGCTAACCATCGAGTTCAGCTCCGTCATTGATATCTGGTCCCTCCAACCTCAACCACACCTCCAACCCCAAGCCACTCTCCCCGGCCCAATCTCCGCAGCAAATTCACCAACCCCATCTCGCGAGAACGCCGTCCTCACAGTATCCACCACCGACAAGGATACCAGCCGTCCTACCTCGGGCAACACCGCGCCCAAACACTGGGGCGAAGTGGTAGTCAACACCAACAAGAAGCGCTCCCGCCAAGACCTCAAGGACGACGGAGTCGTAACCCGCGACGTCTTTGGTGTTCTCAAGGTCACCTAAGCTTGTCAACTATTCTATGACTAGCTACCTCTTTCCCTCTTCTTGCATGATCACGATATCAAACGAGCCGCATACGAAGAGGACGGGGAAGACGATGACGAGTATGGGAAGGGGAACGGAATCCGCACATTATTTCATATGACTTTCGAGTCTGCACTACAAACGGGTATAAACCCTTGTATTTTCTTACACTCCTTGTTTATTTGTTCTTTTCTTGTTCTTTTTGCATGGATCGCAGGCCGACTGTTTGTTTGTTCACATAAGTAGCCACTCACTTTGACTTACCCCCCGTTTCATTGACCTGTTAATACCCATGCTGCAAGGCTGTTTCAATAATCTGATTTGATTACTCTCCTCGTGTTCTATGTTCCTTTCTCGTTGTAATAGTATTCTTTCTGTCGAGCTGTGGCGCTGGTGGCCCATTCTTTGATTGTGACGGGCCGTTTACTATTCGGGTTCAACTTGATATCGTTATTGTCATGTCATGCCTAGATGAGTAGATTATTCAAGTGAAAAATACCAAGTTGAGAAATGCTTCTGTTGTTTCCGACTCAACGTCACTAGGCAATCTCATTGTCAGTACTAGAATTCTCATTTTCCTAGTTATGTTACCGCAGATGACAGGATGGTTTACATGGTCAAAGCTTAGTATATCTGAAAATGAATTTATTCAAAGCCCCCTCGTGGAGAACAAAAGGAAACGTCAGTACGACTCCACTAGACCGCGAGAAATTGCGCTTCGGCTTGTCCTACCCGTGACTCCAGCGACGACCATAGCAAATGCTCAAATGAAACAGGCAAAGAATAATAAAAATAAGAGAAACTCCACAACGAAACGCCCGCTGGTCCTGTTCTGATGAGGGGTAAAATCAAAATATAGTAGGGTTGAGAATGCAATATGTTCGTGCAGGTCCGATCTCGGACTGAGGCGATGGCGGGAACCGAAGGAACCGGGTGGGTTGGTTTAGACATCGTCCATTGCGCCCGCGGGCTCTTCGCCGCCAGATTCATAGCTACCGGCGGAGCTGAGCTCGTCTTCGGATTCGGTGTCCTCGCCAGCCTCGTCCACGGCCTCTTTACTGGCATACTTGGCTACGTACTCTGTGCACGGTGGAGTTAATACCCGTGTGGTGGGACTGGAGAGAGAGAGTGGACTTTTGTACCTTTGACCTTCGCCTCGTAACCCTTCGGCTCGCGCATCATCAGTGCTGCGGCCTCGCCATTGAGCGGGTCCGAAGGGTTTGGGTAACGGAGTAGCTGAGGCAAGAAAACCTCAAAAATGTTGATCATGTCATACATTGGCGACCACGTTTGATTGATCACGTCGAGGCAGACGGATCCCGAGCTGAGATGGGCAGTCAATATCCGGAGTGTAGATGTTGTACAGAGCGTAGGTCAATAACTCACAGCTCGTCAATGTTTGGGTGGAAGATCCGGTTCACAAATCCAATACTAGGACTCTTGTAAGGGTACTGGTCGGGCAATTCAACGTGGATCTTCCAGTGGCCACCGGCGAAGGGCGCTGAAGGATTATTAGCCATGATGTGACAACAGGTTGTGATAGACAAGACTGCACATACTCTCTTCCGGGCCTTTGAAGCGAACGTAGAATTCTTGCCTATATGGAATCATTAGAAACATCCCCATTGGCAAGTCGGGGAAGCAGGTCCGTACACTAGTCACGAATTAGCGGATGGTTCCATAGTTCGGAAAATGGGAAAGAATCTCACTGTTATCATTGACCAGGGTCACCTCGTAGTCACTCATCAGCCTATAATACTCGATAATCGTCAGCTGGATCTCAACGCAACCACTTGTCTGGTAATCGAGTGATTGATCGCGTGCCGGGCGGGGTAGATAGCTCGGGGGAGGAGAATCGGTGGGCGTACATCCTAGCCGAAAGTCAGTAACCATTTCGACAGGATACTCTCGAGGGAGCCAAAGCTTGAAGACATACTTCATGACCTGTTGGTACAAACAAAAGCCCGGGTTAGCACATGCGGGGACCTTGAGCGCCTTATCGAGCTCCGTCATGAGGGGAAACTCACATCGGTCTCGATTCTTCGCTTGGGGCTGCTCATGATAGCGGAGTAGGACCTATCTAAGGTCACAGTAGGGAGCTTCGGGCGGCGAGTTTGCTGTTGCGGGCTCGAGGGTAGTCGGTTCGGAGTAGCGTAATGAGGTCACCGGGGCGAGATAGATTGAGAGCGGGGAAGGAGTAGGCGGGGCAGATAGGCGAGGGCAGGCAGGCGAGGTCGAGGGTGGGCGAGGATACTATTCTCAGTCAACAGAGAAAGAGATCCGAGTGTCAAAGAGATCTGGTAGACAAACAAAGTAACAAGGAAGGAGGAAGGAACAAAGAGGGGAGGCCGTTGGGGATGATCATGATGGGCAGATGAGTCAGCGGTATCAGGCGCAAAGGTTGATCCACGGATTGGAGACCAACTCCTATTCTCTTTTCGTCCTTCCAATTGGAAAATGGCCTTGGATTTACCTTTTCCCACCCGCCAACGTGGGACCACGACAGGTCCGCACGTATATCACGCAACTGCTCATTGCCCGCCACGACACCACTGCTGAGTTCGCCGAGAAGACCGCCGAGTTATGGCAACTGGGCCGGGGTGCCGATTTCCGTCGGGCCACTGTTGCTAATACAACGGCTGCCTTCACGAAGATCTTTGGGCAATCCGTTGGTCCGTATCTATATTACTCGGCCAGAGAAGAACTACGTACAGAGTATCTTGCATCTCCTCTTGCCATTTGGAATTGTTGGGGCTTAGCTATCTTGACCCTAGTGGGGGGTCTGCTTCTGATACGCCTTGCTCGCTCATCAGGCTCTAGAAATGTGTTTATAGCTCTCGGGAATGCTTTGATGTTTTTAGGGCCTGCATGGACGACTTATGCGCTGATTGAACTGGCCAATAAGCCCGGATGTAGTGCCGTAGAAGGAATTCTACTGGGCTTAGGATTATTTGCCTGTGTCCTGGCATTTTTCCATTGTCGAGTGCAACTCTGGGCCTTTACCTTGCTCGAATTTCCCCAAAAGAAGGGGAAAAGAAGGATTAACGGATAACCTGTATTATATCTGCACATATACTTTGTAGTCTTGTACCACTATCTACTGTTTTCACAATCTAGTAAACCCCCGGACTACCGGCGGTGGGCAAAATAAACTCGGCCAAAACGCAATGTAGCCATGGTTCTCCCTCATCTTTCCTCAACAACAACCCATTATTGATTCTTCATAACACCATCTCCACCCAGACTACTCTAATTTTCGAAAGCTCGTGCCGATCTTCGGGCTCCACTTCACACCTCTATCCGCCATGAGTTCCCCTTCACCATCGTCACGCTCCTCGCGCGACTCCCCCAGGAATCCGCCCGGGTCCAGCTATCATCCCAGCCCAAACCGTCAAGGGACTCAGTCACAGTCCGCATCTCCCAGGATGGTAGATACGCCGATCCCGGACGATGATCATGGCGCCGACCTCCCGATGAACATGACCGCGTCGGTCATGCTGACGGGTCTACCCCGCGATGCTCATCAGGCACTCGCCGACGTGGAAGCTATCGATGCTGGTAAAGGTAGGCCACCTTCTACGGATGAAGCTTTTGAACCCATCACATTTTTCCCGAAATATGCGGAACTTTCCAACTAGCTTGGCCAATTTGATGATTCAAGCTCGCTAACACAGCTTCCAGTGACCGTTCGCTTCCAACCACTCCCATCAGCCCCTATTCTCAAGAACCGGGTCTTCAAAATCAGCGCATCGCAAAAGTTCGAAACCGTAGTCAAGTTTCTACGAAAAAAGCTCGACTGCAAAGAGACAGACTCGGTCTTTTGCTATGTGAACAGCGTCTTTGCGCCCGGCCTGGATGAAGGTGTCGGTGGGCTCTGGCGGGTATGTTTACCTACTCTTTTTTGTTACGGGGTGTTATTTACTCATCAATCTCTCGCGGCAGTGCTTCAAAACGGATGATCAATTGATTGTCGCTTACTCGATGACGCCGGCGTTCGGCTGAGCAGGAGACCAGATACACTGGCCTGCCTCCAGCGCGAACAAATGAATGAGCCTATGTACAGCTGAATAAATGATACCAAAGCGGACCAAACACAGAATGGACATGCAGCTGATGAAAAAATGGGGCATTATACAGAGGGTTTCGTTATTTTTGATACATCTCGTCAACCGTCTTCTCGAACTTGGCTAGCTCCTCCTTCGAGATGGGGTAGGTGTATTCCGGCGAGGGGAATGCTCGACTCTTCACCTCCTCGCGGTACTGAATCATGCCGCGGGTCGCTTCGCTCCAGACGTCGGCATACTTCTTGACGAACTTGGGAATGAATCGCCCGGGCTGGAAGTTGCCCGTCATGTCAACCTGCACGAGTACCTGTCCCGAGCAGCCATTTCCAGCGCCAATCCCAATTGTTGGAACCTTCAGCTTTGATGTGATGAGAGCGGCGACCTCCGGAGGCATCGCTTCAAAGACAAACATGAACACGCCGGCCTCTTGCAAAGCCAGCGCGTCACGCAGTATCTGCATCGCGCTGGTGCAAGTTTTACCTTGGACGCGGAACCCACCAAGAGCATTTTGTCTTTGTGGCGTGAGACCGATGTGTCCAACGACTGGGATACCAGCTTGAGTGATACGCTTGATGGTCGGCGCTAGTTCCTCGCCTCCTTCGATTTTAACTCCGTGCACGTGGCCCTCCTTGATGAATCGCAGGGAGGATGCGACTGCTTGTTTGGGAGAGATTTCATATGAACCCATGGGAAGATCTCCAATCTGTGCGCTTGTCGATTAGCCTCCAACTCGAGTTCATACACGCGGAAGGGTAACCTACGAGAAAGGCATGCTTCGCGCCACGAGCCACGCTTCGACAATGGAGCAGCATTTCCTCCATGATCACTTCTGTGGTATTCTCCAGTCCCATTGCCACCATGCCCAAGCTATCGCCAACCAAAACCATATCCATACCCGACTCATCTGCGGCACGGGAACTTGGGAAGTCGTGGGCAGTGATCATGGCGATAGGCTCTCCCTTCTTGTAGAGGTTGCGCAGTGTGTGCATGGTGACCTTCTTGCGCGCATTGGGTGTATTGGGCGAGGGTTCGGGCGAGTGATAGGAGCTGTGTCGGATCTGGGTGTGGGGAGCGAGCGGCGAGCTCAAGACGGAAGAAAGGGAGGAAGGTTGGCGATTGATAAGGGACTGGCGGATTCGGCGAGGCGCGACACGAAGGGTGCTCGCATTCAAGGCAGGCGATGCAGTCAAGACGGTCCTCGAGAGCGGCCGCAAGGCAGCTCCTGGCGCAGCCATTGCGACGAAGGGTATTGAAAGATGTCGGCACAGCACGAACAATGTACAAGCTCAACAATCCTAGTTGAAGCTTCAAGATAGCTGTACACAGGTAGTCTCCCAATCAAGGTTCCAATCTGTCACGGCTATCTGCAGTAAAAGGGCGTTGGGCGGATCTCCTGCGCAATGTCGCGGCAATGACCTCACTTGGTCTGCAAAATTCCGAGGCAAATCGGCTTTGCGCCACAAGACAGGACAAGCGTTGTTATGATTAAAAATGGGAGCTTGTGAATGTAGCGGCACGCGACAATTATATTCAATCTCGAGAGAAACTCTCCATCTGTCCGAAGAAAACGTGCTGGGTTATGCGGCGTAGATGGGAGCATCTCCATAGGAAAAAAAGCGGGCGTGGAAGTGAAACTCGGATAGGTCACAGGCGCCGATACTGCCGCTGCGGCTGTCACGGAGGGAATGCCGGCTCGGTTGTCCACGGTATGCACACATAGCTCGGAGATCGGCTTTATGCATGTTTGGAATTTCCCCGCATTTTATACCGTTAGACCAAGATGTGCTTTTTGTTTCTTTTCAATCGGCAATTATTCTAGCAGAACTATAGTAAACTTCCCCGCTATCCTCGGCGTAATTTACAGCTTTACAGCTGATGATTAATACCGCCCGAGGAACGAGGGGCTTCACCGCCTCCCGTTTACGCCGAGGTTATTTCCTGGTTGGGACTAGGGCGGGGAGCCCACTTTTGTATAAAGACATGCAGCATGCTACGAAGTACAGCGTATACTTGGGATGAAAAGACTGTTGGTGCTCGGACGAAGGGATGTGATATATCCAGAGGCTGACTTGGATCAGAAAAGAAAGATCTTGAATTTGTTGGGAAATTTCTTTAATTTCCTTGTAAGGACTGTCGTCCTGATATTAGTGGAGGATGGCTCAACCAAAACAGAGAGGAGAAGCTATAGGGAGTGAAGGTTGAACTATATCATTAGGCATGATTACATATATAGGTCACATCCATTTTAATGTTTTTCGATAGATTGAATTTTTCCACGTCGGTCTTGGGGAGCGTTAATGAGGATGGACAAGAGATATGTTCAAGTTGTCGGGGTTGCATGAAGTAGAGACATCTCAGAAATGATAGTTTATGTACTGTCTAACCATATACGGACCTGATACGATACTGTCTATATGCTGCAGTTCTACGGCTGATGAACTCATTTACAGTCATTATTACTATCATATTCGGATGCGGTGTACCTTTCGTAACCCGTGAAATTCACATATGGGTATAGCCAGACATAGCGCTTGCTAAACATGAAGCTTTTGTTTTACTTATGACTCACATTCGAGTGCCTCCATGGCGATGCTCTAAGATTCTCTTGATCGAGATCGTCCCCTACCGCGGGAGCTAAAGAATGCCCAACTCGATTCAGGCGCCCCGTGGGAGAGACAGTAGCAAAGCATACTTCGCTTTCTTACTAAGGTCGGCTTACTTTTTCAGCTTTTTTTTAGGCACCACCAAATTTAAACCTTACTCGACAATTTTCTTCTATAAATGGCCGTGTGACTTTCATGTCCTCACAAATCACTTTAATTCTCTCCAGCAATTACACCCCTAAACCAAAGTTCTTGCCAGCATGGAGAGTATCCAGCTTCCAGGTAACTATTTCCACGCAAGATATCACAGCTAGAACTCACTCAACTCTGTTTTAGATTACCTTGCAATCAACAACATTGCCTTTGAATGGGCCGATAGCATCGACAAAAAGGTAAGCTAGACCTCGCTAGATGTTGAAAGTTCACGAGATTGACCCGACTCAGGAATGGACCAGATTTCTAGACATCTTAGCGCCAACCCTCATGGTATCATCAATTCACTTCGGACCACCCGATTTACTAGTTGTGCTAAGACCCTTTGCAGGTGGATTATAGTATCATTGGTCTAAAATGCTTCCCAGACATGAACGCCGAGGAATTCCTTGCTATGGTGAGCTCTCCTACACTTGTAGGAGATCCTCTGATTCGCACGCAGCATCTTATCGGTGCTGCAAAATATGAAAAGGTGTCAGACTCGGAAATTGTGGCAGTCCATCAGATTCGTGCTGCGCATCAGCGCTACAAGGACCTTGATCGGACTACGGTGGCTTACCAAGGCCATAACTATGGCAGCGTGAAGCATTGGTATAAGAAGATTGATGGGGTTTGGAAACTTGCTGGAGTACAGCCTGAAAGTTATTGGCTTGAGCATGACTTTGATAAGATCTTTGTCCAATCGTCTGGAGAGAGTTGAAGAGTATGCGAAGTCTACACATACATCAGGAACGGTATCTGCCTGGTCACACAAAGAAAGCTTTCTAGAAGTGGAAGATGAGCACTCTTAAAGAAACAGAGAATTGTTAAATTACAACTCAATCCCTCTTCTCAACACATCAACCACCTTCTCTTGAAAATCAACGGCCAGAGCTGGACCCTCCGTCCCCCTAAAATCACCCTTTAGGCAGGCCATCACAGCCTTTGTATAGCCTACGCCCATCTCCATCGGCAAACGCTGTGCTACCAATGCCATTAAATCCTCAGCTACCTTCCTCCGATTCGGCAATCGTCCACTATTCTCTGCCTCTCGAATTTTAGCCTCCATCAGCCGCGACAGCGTCACCCACAGCCCAATTTCCAGTAGCACCACACCCAGCGCGTATATATCATGCAGACGACTGAATTGATGAGTTGGTTTTCCTTGTCTGTTTGGATGACGATAGAGATTGGGCTCAACTTCAAAGTCGGATCGCATGTCGGTGCCTTGTTTGACTGATCGTGCATAGCCCCAGTCACTAAGATACGAGACAATTCTGTTTCCAGGACTGGGTGTGGAGAGGCGTTGCTCGTAGAGACCCGCAGTGCTGACTCCAGAAGAGGTCTCGAGGAAGAGAAGGATGCCCCGGCTCCAGATGTTCTTGTGAACCCAGGCTGAGGCATGGACGTTGGAAACTGTCAGAGCAAGGCTATGTGCCATGCTAAAGCGGTCATTCAGAGAAGGTTTCTTGAGCGGCCTTTTGTTTGCACTGTCGACGGCGTTGATGAAAGCGTGTAGGGTTGTTAAGGATGCACCGTCATCGGACTCGGATGCCGGCAGCTTATAGAGGAAGGCGCTGCGCTCTTCAATGGGCTGATCAATAAAGCCAAAGCATTCCAGCGCATATATCTTAGGCTGGTCCAAAGAGTCGGATGAGTCGCTGGCGAAGGTAGTACTTTGAAGTAGCCAGGCCAAATTGCGAATTGGTGTCTTTAGCTCGTCGATTTCGTCCTGTTCTAGATCGTCGCGTTTGAGCTCGCCCTCATACTCGTGATATTCAACAATGACTTTCGTTGTTTCTGATGTGCCAGCAGACCATGTTCCCAGCTGGAATCCCTTTGTCGACTTTCCTTCTTCTATAAGGGTGCCAGTCAAGCTGTGATAATCTGCTGGAGCCTCGGCTTCGGCGAGCATCTGTCGCTTTATCACTGGTTCCAAACCACTGCTCTTCATTCCTTGTTGATCGCTCTCCGCTAGCTTAGCCAGTGTATCCTGGGACATGTGCAGCATGAGATTTCGCAGATCCTGCGACCACTGGGTGTATGTCTCTAGGATTCGGTACAACTTCTTTTTGTCGAAGAGTGACCAGTCATACCCCTTGAGCTTGAGCGATTTCGCCTTGCTCTTTGCTCGCTCCAGAAGCGACTCTTGTGCCTTGGGCTTCTCGGGCTCAATGGTGAATTCCTCGTCCACAAGGCCATACTTGGCTGCGACAAGCTCATACTCAGCCAATGTCTTCCTCATCTGCACAAGTAGCCCTTCCACCGTGTCGGCGATGAAAGGGTCTACTTTCCCAGGGACCATCAATCCATGCTCGGGATGGAAAAAGATCTTCCTGAAAAAGAGGAGGGAGGATAATTGGAGATTCAACTTAAGCCGAATCTCGGCGCGATCATCGTCGAAGGCCTTGATGTCGGAGATGACGCCTTGGATAAATACCGTGACTTGGTAGATTTGGGTAATTGCCGTCGAAGCAGTGCCGTAGAAATCCATTTTGCACTCGAGTACAAAATTAATCTCAAGAGGGGGAGTCCAAAAGACTCAGAAGTCTTCGGAGGGGTCCCGCAATGGGCCCCCAAACATGGCGTTAAATCTGTCAGCGCTAAATACGAAGTGGGAAAAGGCAACTATTCGCTGTTCTGCATTTATTGGCTGATGGTTTCTGGGCATTTGTTCAGGCCTTTAACTTGACGATGCCCCACCAGTATCACGCTATTTCTGTTGACTTCCTTAACTTTGGTACCTCAATTTACGAGCTTTGGCGGGGAAGAAATGTCAGACTCCTACGACGATATTCTCAACTCTCTCGACGATGACAACAACTATTACTCTATCGACGGGGACAATCTCTCCCCTTCTCTACAAGCCTGGTCCAACTCCAACGACATTGAAGAACTCGACCTTGACAGTCTCAATCTTTCATCGGACTCAGATTCATCATGGGTCGACCCTTTAGAATCTGCCATCACAGCAACCCGCAACGGGTCAGCCCCTATCCTTAGTACTCTCTCCCAATTTACCACGATCCTCTCGCAGACCGGAGTTCATGGTCCCCGTCTCCTTAAAGCAGGAAATCTCTCCGCGCGAGCTACCAAAATTGGCGCCGGCGCCCAGTTTACAGTCTTCGAAGATCCAATCTTTCAAGGAGAGGTTGTCAAGCGCGTCAATGTTCCACTTACTAGTAGGGCTGGGCAACGCTTCGCAGCAAGCAATGACTATCGCCTTCAACTCAAGACACTAGAGCTAGAGATTCTATCTCTTTGCAATCCTGTGCTGCGCGCACATCCCAACATTACTAGCCTTCTGGCATGGGGCTTTGACTTCCCTTACGCAAATTTGGCCGTGCCAGTCCTGTTTATGGAGGCAGCGCTTATGCCTTTAGGGGATTTCCTTAGCGCGGAGAGCAGGTCAATAGAAGTCAGATACCAATTCGCGCTAGATATAGCAAATGGCTTGGAAGCGCTGCATCATCTCAAGATCGTCCATGGAGATGTTAAACCAGACAACGTGCTTGTGTTTGCCGGCCAAAGTGAGAGTGTCCCTTTTCAAGCCAAGCTGAGCGACTTTGGCGTCTGTGTTGATCTAGAGGCTCCGGATGGAAAATTCTCCTTGAGCGACTATCGGGGCACGCCTGCCTGGCTTGCACCCGAGTTGATAAGCGGAGACATTTCCAAGTTTGGACAGTTCTCGCCGGAACTGATGTTCCAGTTTGATGCATACAGTTTTGGTTTGGTGCTTTTGTCTATATTCACAGGAAATGGACAGATACCAAGTCTAGACAAGACTCCTGAGAAAGTCCCAGATCAGGTTTCCAAGTTTCTGAACAGCCAAAAAGACATTTCCTCAGATATGCGTATGGAGTTGCGCAAGGGAATTATGAGTCTCCTCGCTGAGAATCCCAGAGACAGAAAACTTCCCAGTCCAAGTTTGCTGAAAATTGACAGCCCTGCCTATGCATCTTGGTATTTGAATCATTCCTCTGATCTGCTTTGCTTGGTCACTGACGCGTAATTTCAGGCTCGCATCAATCCAATCAAGCTCTGCAGGAACACACGTTGGCATCATTGATCCCATCTACAATAAGGGTCCTTTATTCTGGTACAGACTTGATGAGAGTATTCGAAGTGAACTTGAGGCACAGTATTTGCTCGGCAAAGACGGCAACGCTCCTCCCTTCGGAGGGAATGTGCTCTTTGGAATTGCACAGACAATTACTGGCGCGAAACCTTCATATCTTGACAGAATGCTGACTTATCTGGGTGACGCAGCAAAGGCAGGGTTTTCACCTGCCCGAGCCATATATGCGCAAATCATGAAGGCGCATAATCAGCCTTTAGAGTTCAGCGAAGAAGAGTTGAAAAAATGGATGTTGCAAGCTGTCTCCGAAGGGTATTTCTTCGTGGATTCCCGCTACAGTCAAAAGGATATTGAGAAATCGAGAGATCAATTCAGGAGACAGGGTGGTTTCTGCTCAGACCCATTCCTAGCCAAAAAAGATATCAAGGCTGCTGTGGTGGCAGACAAGGCCTTGGAATGGATAACCAACAACGGCATCGTGGTCGACCGCAAAGGAAATACAATACTCCATGCTGCCGCTGCTTTGGGGGTGACTGACGTGGTTCAGGAACTGCTAGATTCTGCTCAGGTGGCAGTGGACGTGGAAAATGACGATGCCGAGACACCTCTTTACAAAGCCTTCCAAGCCGGTCATACTGATGTGATTGAGATTCTACTTGATGGTGGTGCTAGTGCATGCACAAAGACTCGACAAAACGTTACTCCTTTGCATTGGCTGTTCATGGTCCCGGATTCTTCCATTGATCGAATAGCAAAACTCATGATCAAAGGAGGCGCTGATATCAATGCAGTCATCACTCCCGTCGTGAAGGAAACCAGCGGTGGATACCCAGAAAAGATTCAGATCTTCCACTAGTAAGCCTTTTTCTTTCCAGTTATTTGTACTGAGACTAACAGCTCAGTCCATTTGAACTTCCTCATGGCACACCTCTTCACTGGGCCTGTTTCTTCAGGAATATGGCAGCTATGGACGCTCTTCTCTCCCTTGGGGCCAACATAAACGCGTGCTACCATGGATTAGATGCATCATCAACACCGCTTGCATTGACGGCCTACTTTGGAGAGCCTGAGATAGCCCGATATCTGATATCTCACGGTGCAGACGGAACTCTGCTCGATTCGATGGGACGAAACACTCTGCATGCAATCACCAAATACTTCCCTGACCGGCACGGCTATCTACCTTATCACTGGCATTATTGGATCCGCCACGGACCGTGGGAGCAACATTTGACAAACATGACTGATCTGGTGCAAGTCCTGATCGAGGCTGGTGCAGACATCAATGCCAAAGACAAGGGGTATCCTCCTTTAACCCCTATCGCCGCCGCCGCCGATCTGGGAGTCTGGGATGGCGGTATGATATGTGCCTTATTAAATGCAGGCGCTGATCTTAAGGAATCAATACTATCAGCCGGAGATACAATTCTTCATTCCTGGGTGTCTATCGTAGGACCCCGTTTGGATTACCCCGAGGCCTACCTACCCACTCTCAAGAAGATAGTCGATGCCATGCCAAACATCGACATCCGCAACCGGTTTCAAGAAGATACCCCTCTCCACCTGCTAGCAACTACCTATCATCCAGAGGATGAATTCGAGGAGGCATGTGATATTCTACTCAATAACTCTACGCCAGTAGATATCAACACAAAAACCCGTCATGGAGAAATTCCGCTCTCCATAGCCTTGGAGACAAATCTCGATCCGATACGACGAGGCCGCTTCCTACTCGAAAAGGGCGCCGATCCGCTCATACTTCACGCCCGAGAGCGAGATATCTTCTATTCGATCGCCAATAATGTCGTTATTACCGATCAAGCCAGTTGCGACCTCATTGAAACCTTCCTCCTCCGATTGGGCTCGGACACAAAACAGGCATACAAAAAGCACTATCTGTCCAACGCCAATAGTCACGAAACCCTCATTGCGGCCGCAAGTCGCGGAAAGTCATTAACAGTGCAACTCCTCCTCTCCGTCGGCCTAGTCAGTCACATCAACAAGGCCGACACATCAAAATCTCCACCGTGGACAGCCCTTGACCAAGCCCTCCACTCCGCCGAGATAAGTCGTCGTCTGCATATCCAACACCTAGCCTCTTACAAAGCAGGTGCAGCCAGGGCGAACGCACTCGAAGCAAAGCTCGTCTACGATTCAAATCAAGGCCCACCGACGCGGGCAGCGGAGGCGTATCGATGTTTTCCGGAAGTTATTCGGATTCTACGAGATTCGGGGGCAAAGAGGACGTGTGAGATTGAGAGATTGTCAAATGGGGATTATATTAGCCAGCCGAGGGAGTGGGATGAAGAAGAAATTGCTCAGTATGGGTTTACTCCGGATACGCAGCCTAATCGGGAGGTATGGCAGGGGTTGTATGATTTGGCGAAGTATAGTGGGCGAGGCTGGTTGGGTGTGTTGACTGGTGGAAGATTTGGTAGTTGAGGCCGTGGAAGATCCATGTACCACAGGAGTTTGGACTTGAAGGAACCTCGTGAAAACGATCTAGTTTAACTTCCATGAGGCTATCGTAATTCAGGCTTCCCCAGGGTTACTCTAGTACAGAACCGGATCAAGACTTTTCAATGAAGGGTGGAAAGGGCAAAGGCAGCTACAGAAAACCTTTCCTACAGACGCCATACAGAAAGAACAAGAAGTGTCTAATAGAAACAATACGTATTGAAGCTGAGTAAAGCTGGAGTATCAAAAAGCACATTCGGAGAGAACCTCCGCCACCTGCGCCGGGTATAATCACCCGTTTTGAAAGACAAACAAAGACTCCGCCAGATGGAAAGACCCGAACATAAGGAGACAACTAGATGAGACCATGTAACAGGATGCAGCGCAATGCAATGCGAAGCGATCGGATCCCTCCTCAAGGCAAGACATGCCCAGTCATCGACTTGATGACTTATACCACATTTGAAGCCACCGACCTGCCCAGCCCACATTGAACATCATGGGTAGACGAGGCCGGCTTCATCGCGTGGCTGTCGGAAAAATAAGAAAAGAGAAAGGAAGTCATTATTGAAAAATGTCCTTGGCTGCTGATGCAAGAGTAAAAAATGATGATAGGAAATACAAGGTAGAAAGAAGAAGTAATGAACGAGCGGACAACTTGCGTCAACGAAGTTAAAGTTGATAAAGAATTGCAAGCTCAGTGCGGGCAGGATGCTGTCGTTTGCGCAGTACTGCTGATGCGAGGTGAAAAGAAAAAAAGAAACTCCCCATATGCAGATGTGTCGATGCCACGGGTATGGTCATGCAAGCCATGGTGTGTCAATACCATGAGGCAAGGCATCATAAGTAGAAAGCAGATATAAGAATGAAAAAAAGACGAGAGGAGACAAAAATGGGGAACAGAGAATCCAACAGGCACCGGGATGCAAATATGGCTATGGCGGGGGCCAAGGAATTTTGAGGTTGAATCGTGGCGGTAATCGAGAACATCAACAAATTACTCGTCAAATTCGTATTCTTCCTTCAAAGGTCGTTGAATCTCGAACAGAAGGGCGTCAAGTTCACCCCAGTTGGACGCATTCTGGGCGAACCGGCGGTGCTTTCTCGTCATGGTGTGCTACTCGTTTGTCAGTATTTTCGAGATCCTCAAGGCTCGGTCCAAATGTCGGATGTGACTTACCTCTTCAAAGTCATCGAACTTGTCCCTGCAGTTCTCGCAATAGCCAGGCTTCGGGTCTCTTTTTCGTTCGGGTTTTTGTGGTTGGGTATCATTGTGTTCATACCGTCGCCTCTTGGTTCCAGCTCCCTCCATTTGGTGAGCATCTCCAAGGCCATTCTTCTCAGGAACCGCCGTTTTGTGAGAATCGGTCTGCTTAGAAGAGAACGAGGCAGATCCAGTGCTAGGACGTTGGGGGGCAGCCATCGATCCAGCCACGATGTTGCCAGTGCCTTTCTCAAGAACTTTCCTCTTCAGTCCGTGTACTTCTTTGCTCAATCCTGCTTTAGCACCTGGTGCGGCCGCGGTAGATGAGATCATCTGGGAGCGGATGGCGGAAGTGACATTGGATGGCTGTACGCCTGATGCAGCAGGCTCACGTCCTGTATAGAATGGGCCAGTGCGAGGGAAATGGGGAGGAATCAAGCTTTCTGAGCTCTTGCGTTCATGCCCATCTTCGAAGAGTGGCTTGGCAAAGACATCCACAGGGTTTGCAGTAGGCTGATCTTCTGTGCGCTTGGGTTTTGAGAGATCCGTAACGAGTTTATTCTCAACAGCCCGCTCTGTAGGGACAGTCGTGGAGGGCTTGCTCCGAGAGTCCTCTGCCTTTTGGATGGCCGCCTTCTTCTCTTTTTGAGCTTGGCGTATCCGGTGTCGGTCATATTCCTTCCGGCTTGGTGGTTCGTCAATGAATGGGCACTTGCCTAGAGGCGCACTTCGGAATTGGGGCCAGGCACCGTCCTGACGTTTGTTTACCCGGGCGTATTCTCGCACCATGACCGGCTTGGTCTTCTCATTCATGTCGTGAATATAGATAAAGGGTCCCTTGAACATCACCATCTCCATTGACGCGAATGGATCACGATCAGATGGTCCATTGAGGAGTTCTTGTCGAAGGACGCGGGAGAGGTCGTTTTCGCCCCGACCATGGGCTGTATTGCCACCGACATTCTTGCTTCGAGAAGCACTCTCATTTTGGCCACCAATATCATTGTCATTGATCGTGGTGATCATACGCTGCAACTTTTCCAGGGCCCAAATTTTCATACCCATCTGGCGGGCTCTCTGCAAGACATCCATGCTTCCTTGATCACGACGAGCTTCAGTCTTTAGCGAGACGTGTAAGTGGGAGTCTGCATTCTTCTCCAGAAGAGACGGGTTCACAGTCTGCATGTTGTCGCCATTGGCTCCGTCTGCCCCGGTGGTGGATTCTTCAGTCGGATTCGTGGTAGCCGTAGCTTCCGGGGGAATGGGACGTGAAGTAACGACATGGGTAACGAGACGAGAGAAGAATTTCTCCTCACACTAGTGGGGGATTTGATATTTAGTAAAAAGGACCAAAAGCAAACGCCAATGCTCGAACGAACACGTCGATTGACGAAATGCAAAACAAAGCATGACGAGATCGAAGCAGATGAACTTACAGCTCCAAGGGCAACAACTTGGCGCGAGAATTTGCGGCGAACATCCTCGGGGATACTGTCAAAGTAAAAGACAAATTGGGGGAACGCCTTGCGGTAGTGGCGCTGCCATTGTCGAATCGTGTCCATAGTATCCGCCGAGGGCTTCTCAGTTCTAGAACCCTTCTGTTGAGGCATTCTCTCCTTTTCCTTTGCAGCTACCAGCTTCTTTTCAAACGCGCTAGGGTTTGCGTTGTTGCTGCGACGCGCAAACAATTTGGACTCGGTGCCTTGGTGTACAATGAGTCGGCTTCGGTCTTGTTCCACGGCGTCCATCACCACTTTCTTTGGCGGTGGCTGACCAAAGGGAATCTCGATTTGACCGGATCTTGCTCGTTTGGCTGGCACGAGCCCAGCCCGGTGAGGAGAGTTGGTAGCATTCGGCACGTTGGCGAGCGGGCGGCGAGTCGACATGTTCAGGGAGGTTTGAGGAGACGGCGGCACGAACACAGCAGCCATGTGTGATCAATTCCTCAAGGTTGAACGCGTAGGAAGCTCGGGTGTATGAGGACAAAGAACGATCCTAGAGGAGGGGTATTCGAGGTCGAGCACGCGACGTGCTACACGTCTTGCAGGGCTCGAACGAGGTCACAGAGGGATCATGGTCATACAGAAGAGAGCAAAAGGGGCACTAAAGAGGTCGAGACAATTCAAACCCTCCAGGTTCGGACGATGAGTGGAGGAGGGTGAATGGGGGGAGTGAGTGGGAGTTGGGGTAAGGAGGGAAGATCAAGTCGAAAGGGCAAAGTCGTGTGGGTGTGGAGCCCGTTCAAGTTTGTTTTGGGCGTGCGCCGGACAACCAACGGCGTCGCGCGAAGCATGAACATCAACAATTACATTCCTCCTCGACGGGCGCGCCCTTTTCTCCGGGGGCTTGAATTTCATTCATACTTTCGATCGGACCCGATCGTTACCTCTGGTATCTAGGCCCAGGTCTCATTTTTCCCCTTGGCTCCATATCTATACCTTTTTGTACCGTAACTTCAGATGTTTACCCCCAACCTCCCCGACCAGCCACCGCGAATTGCCCACTAAGCCTAAAAATCACTCAAAAACAGCCCCCATGTTACGTGAAATAAAATGAAAGAATGGCTGGCGTGGATGCGTGTATTGTACATTGGTTTTTGGAGGGTATCTGAAGAATACTATAAATACAAGATGGCCTTTCTAACTTCGCAGAGCCTCAATATCGGCAACCTAAACAAATGGTCAATGCATCGTCAAGCAGGGAATCGCAGGCGGCTTACCTCTTTGACAGCTTCAGGAGTCAATACGATGGGATGATCATCACCCACGCACACGCTGTCTTCAATTCGAATACCGATGCCTCGGAAATGCGCCGGCCACCGTTCATCATCAGGGACGTAGATACCACTAGAATGAGTCAGTTTATTTGTTTGAGATTAAACGAGAGGAGTGCGTCGACGTACGGTTCGATAGTAATACAGTTGCCTGCCTTGAGGTCATATCCTCGGGAATATCCAGGGCAGTCATGTACATCCAGGCCAATATAATGGCCCAGGTGGTGTGGGAATAGGACGCTCATGGCCTATGCAAGTTAGCAATGATCTCATACATAACGAAACAGGGCTCGTACGTTTCCAGAAAGATCGAATCCGAGCTGCTTCAGCTGGTCTCTCAACCCATTCTCGGCGACACCGTGCAGCTTGTCTAGAGAGAGTTTGGAGCTCTCGCGGCACAGGGACAGACAAGTCCGGTGCACATTGAGGACGGCGTTGTACAGATCCCGCTGGGGGTCCGTGAATTTGCCATTCACAGGCCAGGTGCGAGTGATATCCGAAATGTAGCTTCCATGCTCCTAGTACTCTGTAAGTCATTGAACCAAAATCAACATCGAGGCAGTAAAACTTACACCACCGCCGTCTACCAGCACCAAGTCTCCGTCCCTGAATTATCTCGTAAGCGAAATTCCGCAGCACTTGAAGTCTCCGTACGTACCGTAGGACATCATCGTTCCTTGTGTAATGAATGCTCAAGGCGTGCTATTACTGTCAGTTTGGGTAATTTGACCTTGGGGAGGCAGAGTGCTTACGTTTCCACCCGCCACAACGGGAACAAAGGCGCTACCATCGCAGCCATTGACCTTGAACTGGTACTCGAGGAACGAGGACAACTCCTTCTCGGTCTCAAAGGTCTTGCGCATCGAATCGGTGAATGCTCTTCCGGATGCCTGTCCAAGTAGACGCAAGTGTACAACCTCGTTCTCGCTCTTGAAGACCCGCATTTCATTGAGCAACGGCTTCAATGGTTTGACTTTCCGGTGGTCAACAATCTTCTTCAACTTCTCCGATGCGACAGTAGGGCCGTAGAGGTATCGGTGGAGCGAAGATCTCGATCCATTGAATGTGGGAATGTCGGAGTAGACTTCGGTAGCGCCAGTGATGATCTTGGGCAAGATGTCACCAATTTGTTCGATATTTCCTGTCTGTGTTCTCCGGTTGGTTATTCATACTGCTTCGACTGTCTCCAAGGGGAGAGTACCTACCTCGTCCGCATTGAAGACGTCCACGGCAGCTTGCGTGCCAGACCGAGCCCCATCCCAAAGCTCCGCCTTGGGATCCTTTTCGCGCACATAGAGGTGGAAGATATGGTTGTCGCCGGATCCATCGTTTGCGATCACTGCCAGAGCATTCGGTTCGTTGAAGCCTGGAAGAGAAGAGCAAGTAAAGATTAGCCGGGAACCCGTCTGATGTCTGCAATTCCACTCTTACCGGTCAAGTAGAAGAAATTCGTTTCTTGTCTATATTCGTGGAAGATCCCTGAAGCCCGATAGTTCACCTCCGACGCTGCAAGTACGGCGACAGCTCCCTTAGGAAGCTTGTTGGCAAGTCGTGACCGACGCTGGGCATATTCGAGAGCCGTAATGCCAGGGGTGACTAGGTCGCGATCATATTAGTTCGACTTGATTAGGTTACTCTTGCGCGCAATTAATCACGGTCACGTACGTTCTCCGGGACTGAGGAGGTGGGGATGTGTCTCGTGCAAGGGCTGGCCGAATTGAAGCTCCGCGGCGGCGTCGGAGGTTGCATACGCCCTGCGGAGCGGCGTTTTACCAGGCGCAAGGCAATGGCGCGTCGGGCGGGCAAAGGAACGGAGCGAAGGGCGCAGCTGGAGAGCGCATTGCCTCGCGAGCGATCTGCATGCTGCCATGCTTCGAACAAGAGGGTCAACGACGGTGATATTGAGGACTCGACCAACCGATTGGATGTTATCCGGAGATATCGCGAAAGGTTGGCTTGTATGGTGACTGGGACCGAGTCGGCGGTGAGAGCCAATCACCTCGTCTGGGTTTCGCATCCTCGTTGGATTTACTTCCCCATGCTGTAACATCTGTCATTCTTGATCACGAATATCAATTTACAATTGACTAGGTTACAATTGATAATTCTATCAGGCTGCATGTTCTCGGACGAGATAATACCCCTGTCTGAGTCAATAACTAATCACCGCTGCATCGTCCACGTTGACTCATGGCGCAACTCCTACCGAGTCTAGGAATCGCCCTAGCAGCCAATCGTTCATCGCGGGGAACGCCGACACGGATAGGCCTTCTCGTTAGGGTACCAAGAAGCGTGTCACGAAGCGACCTTATCATCAGTTACGAGCTGCCGGACTATATATTGAAGCCTATTTCCGTTTGATGCTGACTCCCTCATCCTCCATTACTTTGTTTTCTCGTACAAGAACATTTACCATGGGACGAACACTTACCTATCCCAAGCGGGTATCCAATACCGCCAACAGATATAAGCATCGCGGTTTGTTTTATTCAATGTCTATATACGTTATTCATTGGTTAAGTGAACTGACAATGTGCCAACAGCCACCTATGACCTGGGGCCTATTCACTCCATCATCAACGGCTCTCAGGTCCTTCATGTCTCCTTCAATCCAGGGCCCGAGGACCCTTTCCCGGCCATCCTTCCTATGATCGGCCAGATGGGATCCTACGAGTTCCCGTCTGCGAGTATTGACGAGCCACTGGACTGCTACCTCCACGGCTACGTCAGCTCGCGCATCATGAATTTGGCCCGTAACTGCGAGGATGAAGGCCTGCCCATCTGCGTGGCTACCAGCAAAGTCGACGGCCTGATTCTGTCTCTTACCCCCAACTCGCACAGCTACAACTACCGCTCGGCCATCCTACACGGATATGCGAAGTTGGTCACCGACGAGGAGGAGAAGCTGTGGGCTATGAAGCTCATCACCAACTCCGTCCTTACCGACCGCTGGGATAACTCTCGTGTACCTCCAGACCGTGCAGAGATGCAATCAACGGTCATTCTGAAGGTCAAGATCGTGGATGGCAGTGGCAAGATCCGTGATGGCGGTGTCTCGGATGAGCGAAAAGACTATGGCAACGAGGAGATTACGAATCGTATCTGGACGGGTGTAGTCCCCGTCTGGGAGACGTTTGGACAGCCCGTTCCTAGCGGTGATGGCAAGCTAGGCGAGGTTCCGGAGCACATCACCTCGTTTATTGCTAAGAAGAACGCGGAGAACCGGGCGTTAGCAGAGTCCGCGATCAAAGTGACTCTTCCTGCCGAGGAGCAGCACTGAATGGCCTTCACCGTGGTCAATGTTCTGGATTCATACTTATGACATGCGCTTTTTTTATGATCTACTTCCCAGTATCCATGCTATCTACTCGAACGTAACCACAGACCTTAGGAGCGAATAGGCATTTAGTTTGGAGGATATATCAGCATCCCCGATCAATTTCCTGTATTTCTCAAATAGAGTATCCTCAAAGATTAGTAAATACATCGATCAAGGGAGATAGTGTAGCTTACGATTGGAGGTTCGGTCGAGTGCGGGGCTTGGAAAGTCTTCCCAAAGCCCCCGCAAAAACAAAACGATCCGCGCTGATGAGCCCCACGTCATGAGCTCCAACGGAACTTAACCTCATTCTCGATAAACTAAATTCAACCTTGTTCGTACTCGATACCTACTCCACGTCCGCACAAATCACGACTATGGCCTCTAAAGCCAATAGAGTCATCGCTCCCTCAACAGACATCCAATCATTCACCGAGTACTTGAAAGGCTGCCGGCGAATCCTCGCTCTTCTAGGAGCGGGCATTTCCGCGGCTTCGGGGCTCCCCACGTTTCGTGGTGCTGGAGGACTGTGGCGCCAATATGATGCGACTTCTCTAGCAACTCCAGAGGCTTTTGAAGACCACCCGGGGTTGGTCTGGCAGTTCTACAGCTATCGGAGGCATATGGCCTTGCAGGCACAGCCGAACAAAGCCCATTACGCGCTAGCGGAGCTGGCTCGAAGGAACAAGGATTTTATCACTCTATCTCAGAATGTCGATGGTATATATCACTTTTCATCTCTCTCTTGAAGGCATTGACGATTGGAAATATCTATTTATGCTAACAATCAAATGTTTCAGGCCTCTCGCAACGAGCGCAGCACCCCTCGGAGCAGTTGAATCTGCTTCACGGGTCTCTATTCAACATCAAATGCACCTCATTTTACTGCAACTACACTCGCGAAAATGATTTCACAGACCCAATCGTCCCTGCCTTGGATATCCCCATGCAATCTTCATCACCGACTCCATCAGAAACAGACAAGACGGGCGAAGAAGCATCCAAGTCACTCCACGAGGCTCTAGAAGAGACCGTCAAGGCAAAGGAAGTCGACATCTCCGACGCAAGTAATCCGATTCCCAAGTTGGCTCCAGCAGACCTGCCTCAGTGCCCCAAGTGCAAGGGCCTGTTACGGCCAGGCGTCGTCTGGTTTGGCGAGGCTCTTCCCACCGATACTATCAAGAACGTTGACAGTTGGATCGAATCTGCTCCCGTCGACCTCATATTGGTGATCGGCACGAGCTCGAGCGTGTATCCGGCGGCGTTGTATGTTGATGTGGCCCGCGAGCATGGGGCGAAGGTCGTGGTTGTTAATATGGAGAAGGACATGCCTAATCGTGGGCGGGGGACGTGTGACTGGTTTTTCCAGGGTGATGCAAGCGTTATCGTACCGGAGATTTTGAAGAGCGTTATTGGAGAGGTTTGATGAGTTTTGGAGACATGGTAAATCCTAGATAATGGCATGACATGAATATATAGAAAGTTGACGGTAAGGAAGAATATATATCCAATTGATGTGGCTCCCATCCAGCAACAGTCGCCACTCTAAAGCATTCTACCTGCAACTGTTAAGCAGAAGGTCAACCTTACCAACACATTTAAGATGTAATTAAACAACTGACTAAGAAGTAAATGTAACTAAACGTTGCCCAACCCCTAACAAAAGCACGATGGATACCTGATGCCTCAGGCCACCAGCGTTGCTGGGGAATCCAGCCCGCCTTTTGCCCAAAACAAAAAAGCGATTATCGATAACGTCGCCGATAGTCAAATCCGCGTTTCTTTCTCTCCCCTCCCCCACTCCTCTCGCCAACCATTTCCGACCGACATGTTATGATCTGAGGTGAGTCGAAGCTGCATAAGCATTTGCTCTTGCTTTTATCTATTTCTTTGCTTTCTTCGGCTCTCGATTTCCCCCTCGGGCGAGTGTGTTCTCCAGAATACGGAGAGGGATCGTCATCGATCAGGCCAAACAAGCAGATTCAAGCTAACACTCACCAGACACGTACAGTAAAGTCGCATCTCGCCGCTCATCAGCAGAAAACGCGCCGCCGCACCCTCGATCTCTCAAATATAACTCGACCTTGCACTGAAATTTAAGGTCTTCGATTAGACCCGACTTACAACTATGGCCAGAGAAAGCAACGCACCGAAAGAGCCCCTCACTCCGGGGAGGCCGAATGAGCAGCATCGTCCATCGGTGTCTCAGCAGCCCGAGTTTGGCAAATCTTCGCCCATGGGTCAACCTCAGTATCGGCCTACTCAACCAACCCAACCCTCTCAGCCGAACAGATCGAGCGAATCGAACCACCTCTTCAATATCCCTAAAGCGAACCGTCCCCGGGCAGAGCACCACCGTGACCAGCCTCGAGCCCAGTCTCAGCAATATGGTCAGCAATATGGTCAGCAATATAGTCAGCAACGATATGGCGCTCCCTCGACCCAACGGACCCCCATGGTCGCGTCCACGCCAGCCAAGCGTGGTCCCTTTGATCCTTTCAAGGCCGTCCGACCCTCCGGTTACAACGACCATCGACCGGGATATGGCACCGGTGCAACCCCCATAAAACGCCCCGAGAATACGGATTGGACAACGCCTCGAGCTCCGAGGGCCCTCTTCATGTCGAAGGGAACGGCACCTAAGCCCTCGAACGCATCGAAGAATCTTCAGGCATTCATTGATTTAACTCAGCATGATTCGGGCTCTTTCAAAGACTTTCAAACCGTCCCAACAAGCTTTGGTGCCATGGATGTGCACGGCTATGTTGATTCTGAAAAGGCGACTGAAAACATTAAAGCGCTGCTAGAGGGTGCGTTCGAGGATGAGGAGGAACAATCTCGTCAAAAGACCAAGAGCAAGAAGAAGGGCAAGAAGAAGAAGAACCAGTCAAAGAAGGACGAACAGGGAGAATCTGCTAAAGCGGTTAAGAAGGCCGAGGTTGATGGCCTCGACGATTTGGCTGCTCAACTCGAGAGCGTTACTGTCAACGACCCGAAGCCGCTGGACCCCGAAGCAGACTCTGAGAAGACAGCCGTGGCAGCCGAGGGCAAGTCCAAAGCGGATGAAGACAAGAGCATTGCTGCCGAGGAGGGCGAGGCTGAGGAGGATGAAGAAGAGGACGAAGAGGAAGAGGAAGAAGACGATGACGGAACTGTGGAAGGCTTGAAAGTCACCCTCTTGCCTCACCAGATCGAAGGAGTTAAGTGGATGTGCGACAAGGAGACGGGACAGCGCACCACCAAGGGAATCTTCCCGAAGGGTGGTATCCTTGCCGACGACATGGGTCTAGGAAAGACCGTTCAAGCAATTGCTTTGATCCTCCGAAACCGCAAGCCCGAGAACGAACACAGCGAGAACATCGACAAACCCGAGAAGAAGGAAACCGAGAAGAAGGACGACGACGAGGAGGAGGCACCCCCAGCCTCCAAGCTTTCCAAGAGCACTCTGGTTGTCGCTCCCCTTGCACTCATCAAACAATGGGAAGCCGAGATTGACGACAAGGTCGAGAAGACCCACAAGCTTAGTGTTTGCTTATATCATGGAGCCAACCGCGCGAAGACCGCTAAGGATCTTCACACCTACGACGTGGTTATCACGACCTATGGAACACTGACCTCGGAGTCTGGAACCGCTGCCGCCGACAAGGCCAAGAAGTCTGGCGTGTTTGCGAACTATTGGTACCGCATCATTCTCGATGAGGCCCACACTATCAAGAACCGAAATGCCAAGGCTACGCAGGCAGCTTGCGCCTTGGACGCCAAGTACCGTTGGTGCTTGACCGGAACCCCGATGCAAAACAACCTGGATGAATTGCAGAGTTTAATCAAGTTCCTTCGAATCAAGCCGTTCAACGATCTTGCTACCTGGCGTGACCAGATCAGCCGTCCTCTAGCCAATGGCCGCGGTGGATTGGCTATTCAACGTCTACAGGTCTATCTGAAGGCCTTCATGAAGCGCCGCACCAAGGACGTGCTGAAGGAAAATGACAAACCAAAGCCTGGCGAGTCCGCATTGGACGCGGATGGCAAGGAAAAGAAGTCATCCAACGGTTTCAAAATTGTCAAGCGTGAGGTTATTAGGGTAGATGCCGATTTCATGGAGGGGGAGATGAACTTCTATCAGCGCCTGGAACAGCGTACTGAGAACAGACTTGATGAAATGATGGGTGGTTCTAAGGTCGACTATGCTGGTGCTTTGACACTGCTGTTGCGCCTTCGCCAATCCTGTAACCACCCCGATCTGGTCAAGAGTGACTTGGCTATCGACAAGGACGTTCTCTTGCAAAATGGCAGCAGTGGGAGCCAATCATCGCAGTCCAAATCGAGCAACGATCTCGACGACGTTGCCGACCTCTTCGGTGCACTCAGTGTCGTGACGAAGAAGTGCGATGTATGCCAGAGGGATCTCAACCAGGCCGATACATCGAAGGGGGTCACTCGCTGCAGTGACTGTGAAGCCGATTTGAACACCGACTTCATGAAGAAGGATAAGAAGAAGCACAAGTCGAAGAAGACCCACAAGGAGAAGAAGCCCGCCGAGTCAGCTCGTTCCCGAAAGAACCGCAGAGTCGTCCTTGACAGCGATGATGAAGATGAGGACGAAGATGCTGAAGGCGGCGGTGAATGGATTGGCTCCGATGATTCGGAGTCTGACGATGATGTGATCGACTCTCCCTCCGGCAAGCACAGGGCCCGACCAATCATTCTGGATAGCTCTGAGGACGAGTCCGAGTCTGAAGCAGAAGAGGATATCTATGAGAACCCCGAGGGTGAAAATGGAGAATTGCCTTCGACCAAGATTCGCCACCTCATGAAGCTCCTCCACAAGGAGTCGGGTGATTACAAGTTTATCGTCTTTTCCGTCTTCACTTCCATGCTTGACAAGGTTGAACCCTTCCTCAAGCGTGCCAACATTGGCTTTGCCCGTTACGATGGTCAGATGAGAAATGACCTGCGTGAGGCCAGTCTCAACAAGCTTCGCAACAACAGTGGCACCCGCGTCCTGCTTTGCAGTCTTCGCGCAGGTGCTCTGGGACTTAACCTGACTGCCGCCAGTCGTGTGGTCATTCTGGAGCCATTCTGGAATCCCGTAAGTTAACTACGTTGAATCTCGAATTTTGCATTCGCTAATTTCTCCACACAGTTCGTTGAAGAGCAAGCTATCGACCGTGTCCACCGCCTCAACCAGACAGTCGATGTAAAGATCTACCGAATGATCATCAAGGGCACCGTTGAAGAGCGTATTGTCGATCTCCAAGATCGCAAGCGCGAGCTAGCCAACATGACCATCGAGGGCAAGTCCGCCGCCGGCAAATTGACTATGCGCGACATGATGGCCCTCTTCGGCCGCGACGCCGAGCACAAATTCCAGGACAAACAGGGTACCTTGGATTTCAAGCAGCCCACTCGACTTTTGAGCTCGGGCGATGACACTGGGCCTGCGCCGCAGTCTTTAGCTCGATCGGATTCACGCGACCGGAGTCGTCCGCAACCATCCAATCGGCCGAAAACTGAGGACTCGGTGTATGGTCGGCGCTGGTGAAGTGATGGCGTGAGCTTTTTATGGTTTTTTACTGGATCCTGTGCGTGCTTTGTTTTTTAGAGGCGTCAATGGTATTTCGGGGGACGGGATGGATGGATGGGGGGGGGGGGGGGGGGGTAGATAAATCTTGAACTCTATCTATGCCTTGGCTATTTCTGGTCTAGTATTCGATGTTTTAGCTCTGTTGATACTCATGATGAATGACGTTGTCTGTGATTCAAAAAGCTTAGCGTGCAAACTAGAGGCTCCAAGATAACAACCGCAGAGAAACACTCCCTCCTTAACTGTATGTAACCTTTGGCTCCGCTAAGGCCAATTGATTGGTCGCTGGCAAAGGCAATCGGAACTTATGCCCACGAGTTAGGTGTCATGAGGCAATGCCTACGGATGGCAACCTGCAAGTACTGGCCCGGAAAGCAGGACCGGAAAAGGTGACTTTGGAAACGGGAGAAGTTCACCTTGTCCAGTGAGAGGAGGTGGGTGTCATTTCTTGGGTGGGCATGCTATGGTGATTGTCTCTGTCCAAGAGCATTTAGATGCCAGGTAATCTGAGGCAACTGTTGTTTGTAGCCCATATAGACTTGGACGACAGTTCTGAGCTCGTTGGAGGAATAACGAAGACCTAGAATCAAATGGTCATCCTCGGAAGTGTGCAAGCGACACCCGTCGAGTCCGAGCGAGAACCGTGGACGAGAAGTGTAATGGACCTTCGTCTAGACCAACTGCGGACCCTGGTCCATCAGATAAAGTGGAATGATTAAGCTTGTTTCCCCTTTGAGCGGGGAATACCCCACAGGTACTACTAGTATACCTCGTTGGATAGCCACTGGTTCATATCATTGACCCAATCTGTACTCCTTTTCCTGTGCAAGTAGTTCCATGGCTCGAATGTATTAATTCACGGATCTCAATGGAATTCCCGGTGGTAGTCCCTGGCGAACCAGACGCAACAACCGCAAACACATGTCTCGTGGTAAGCTTGAGCTCCAGAGCTGATAGGTGCTTCATCACGCAGTAATATGACAACGAATGGTTTGGTTCTCGGAGGCAAAAGGCTCAAACTCCGCAAAAATCGAGATTGCCTCCTTGGACACTGGCCCAACTAGCCTCTTCAACATTCTCATTCTTGATAACTATTCCATCGTGTAATCTTCGTTAAACTTTGACAATATATCGTGCTAACTACGTCTGTCTTGTTTGAGTGTGGCATAAAACATTCCGTGGTGAGCCAGAGTCATTACCTTATACCATGCATGCCGGTTATTGCAACATGTATCATCAAGTTAATCAAACTAACCACAGACCGTCCGACAGAATGCACCCCCGCTAGATCGTATATTGGCGGTATAGGCCTATATCCCGAAAAATGAGCGAGTCTAAGGAAACAAAAAAGAATGGGGGCTGGAAGGTTTTCTTCAAAGGCCAGCGGGAGGATGGTGATAAGCAATCTGGCGAGAACAAAGAAGCTGCTCGACCATTTCCAGTCCCCAAGTTTAGCGTATCTTCCGACAAAAAGACGGAAGCGCCTAAGGTCACGGAGCTCCCCTCTTCAGAAATGAAGTTAGAGCTGCCACAACTGGGTAGCGACACCACTGAGCGAGTGTTCCCTGTTCGATCGGTGGTCTCTTTCGACTCGAATCCTTCGTCCGCCCTACAGACACCTTCGCTGGATAAGCTTGAGAGTCCCATATCACCATTCTCAGACGCTTTCAGGAGAAGTTCATTGGCAAACGAAAATGCGCCGAAGCAGACGAATGCAGATACCGACGAAGAACAACGTGTGACAAGGCCCGATTATCTGACCCAGATGCATGAGCAGCGTCAAAGGCTTGCCGGAATGTCCCCATCGTCGAAGGTGCCAACTCTAAGCGACCCTTCCTCCATGAATGGTTTGCTTCTATCCTCGTCTAATAGGGATTGCGCCTCGAATGGAAGCACTCATCAGAGTACCGGACCATATGAAAGGCTACACAACACGATCAGCGAGGGAGCTAAGATCCTGAAACCAATTCGAATGTCTAAGGGGTTGCAGTTTTTGCATGAAGACGAGGACGATATCATCATTCAGTCTTTTGGTGCACTGCTTGTCGTCACACAGTCTGAGGATGATTTCCCCGTGGAAGTTGCTAGCACCAACACGGAGGAGATCTTCAACATCGCCCCAGATGACTTATTCGAACTGAAGTCTATCTGCGCCATATTCTCCGACACCCAATCCCGAATCTTTCGTGCACATGCTGATTATGTCTTGAGCGACGAATACGAAGTTGAAGAAGTTGGCCCCGAGGTCTTCTGTCTCCCCACTCTGGACGGAAGCACCCAACGGCTTTGGTGTACAATGCATACTAGTAAAGCATACAAAAACTACATTATCTGCGAGCTGGAGCCTGAGATTGGAGGCTCGCAACAACTCATGGACAGGATCGATTTCGAGGGCCTGCGTCATCGAAAACCACGACCTCTTAGCCAATTCTCCCAAGATGAGGCTCCCCAACGGAAAAGCCTTTCTAATACATACGACAATCCTCCTCAAGAAGCAGATAGTATGGACTCGGAGCTGTTGAATATTATCCCCCGAATTTTGAAACGAATCTCAAGCGCTCAATCGCTAGATGCCCTGATTCAACATACCATTTCGACACTTCAGGATATGACCAAGTTTCACCGCATCACTGTTTACCATTTTGACGGTGATCGAAATGGAATCGTCGTAGCAGACGCCCTTGACCCAGAGAGAAAATTGGAATCCCATCAAGGCATGCATTTCCAAGAATCCACCTTCCCCGAGGATCTCAAGTGCCAGTATTTAAGGGATAGGGTTGCCTTCTCTTATCGAAAGGGCGAGGACGTCTCTGAGCTGGTATATCGCGTGTCTACCAACAAGATGGCCTTGGACTTGTCGCATTGCTACCTGACAGCAACGCCAGATGACCCTGCCAGTGACACCACACAGACTTCGGCCTGTGCCTGCATGTCAATCAGCATTAACGTCTTCGGCAAGTTGTGGGGGTTAATATCTTGTCAGTCTTACGATGAGAAGCTGCGACTTCATCCTCTGCTTCAGCGAGCAAGCTGGTTCATCGTGAAGCGGTTTCCAGTAACATTGAACGTCTTTCATATACCTTGCCATTTCAGTTGAAAGATCAGAGTGCGACGGAAGGCACTTCCACCTCAGAGGAGATCTCTTGTCCTTCCGGTGATCTTCTAGGCCTTTTTGGCTCTGACTACGCCGCGGCATCCATCATGGGAAAAGTCAAGGTCTTGGGCAAACCGGCCGACTCGCAAGAAGTTTTGGCTCTGCTAGAATACATACGAGCCAAGGAGATTGAGACTGTGTTGTGGTCTACAGATCTTGCGTCCGACTTTGAAGACCTCGACTATCCTCCTGGCTTCCATCACTTGGCTAGTCTGCTCTACATCCCGTTGACAACAAATGGCCATGATTTTATCGTTTTCTTTCGGGGTCAGCCCAGGATAAACCAGGATAATGGTGCTCTCGACATCGGCTCGCGGCCGTCAGAGTGGTCGGCTGCAGAATTCGGCAAGGCCTCGATGTTAACGCTCTTGTACCGAACGTTCACGGAGATTTGGCAGGAGAGAGAAGTGGCGATGCAAAACAACCAGTTGATGAGGCTCTTGTTAGCCAACACCGCACATGAATTCCGTACACCACTTAACGCCATCCTCAATTATCTCGAAATTGCACTAGACAGTTCTCTCAATCAGGAGACCCGAGAAAACTTATCCAGGTCTCATTCCGCTTCAAAGTCATTGGTATACATCATTAACGATCTCCTTGATCTCACAAATGCAGAGAACGGACAAAAGCTCACCAAAGATGAAGTCTTCAATCTATCTGAAACTCTTTGTGAGGCGACCAACCTCTTCTGGGAGGAGGCCAAGCAAAAGAATGTCAATATTCAAGTCGTGCAGCACTCGGAGCTCCCTCCAGTGCTGGGTGATCAACGACGCGTGCGACAGGTCATCACCAATTTGATTAGCAACGCTGTTCAGCATACTTCCTCGGGCGCAGTCACAATAGAGTCATGCCTCATACCCGAGCCTTGCGAGACTGGGTATATTTCAGTTGAAGTCGCTATCCACGATACCGGCGCCGGGATGTCTCAAGAGACAGTGGAGACTTTATTTTGCGAACTAGAACAGGTCTCCAACACGGAATACATCCAAAAGCCAAAATCAAGTGGAAGGACCTGCGAGACAGGGGGTATGGAGTCAAGCAGTGTCCTTGGATTGGGGCTTGCTCTGGTCGCTCGCATTGTACGCAACATGGATGGCCAGCTTAGTCTCAAGTCAGAAGAAGGGACTGGTAGCTGCTTCAAGATTCGACTTAAATTCCCATTACCGTCTGAGGAGGATGGAAATGCAAGGGTAGCACGCAGTACCAGCTGTGGACATCAAGCATGTCATCAAAAGAACGACACGAACCAAGCACCAAAGGAAGACACGGCGGAGAAAAGGAAGGGCATACCGTGTCACTGCAGTGATGACAGTTTCCCTGGCCCTGGGCCTGGAGAAAAAGATAGCAACTGCTTGGAAGTTGAAATCGCTCTGACCAACGGCGAATCCCGCAGTATCACCTTGGCTGCCCCGCACTCATCAGACAAAAGTACCCAAGCTGTAGAAGTGAGTTACAACTGACATCATTTGAATTGAGATATACCCCCAATCAGTGAAGAGATACTCACAAGTGTTTCAGAGCCTTTTCACTGCTCCTGATCAAGAAAAAGAGGAAAAGACTCGTGTTGTGCTCAAAGAGCCCAAGGCGCCAACCCAAGAATCTGACACCCCGACGACCGATATGGACGCAAAGTCCAGACTGCAAGTTTTAGTCGCCGAGGATGACCCTGTCAACAGTACCATACTGAAGAAACGACTGGAGAAATTTGGATACCAGATTCGTTTGACGGGTAATGGAAAGGAATGCGCTGCTGTGTATCGCGAGAGTCCTGGCTCATTCGATGCAATCCTGATGGACCTACAGGTATGTAAAGTTCCTTATACTCAGACTCATTAACTAACAAATGACTTTAGATGCCCATAGTCGATGGTTTATCGGCTACCAAGATGATTCGAGAGTACGAAGTCCAAGCAGATTTACGCCATGACTATGTACCCATATTCGCGGTTTCTGCCTCGCTATTGGAAAAGGACCGGCACACTTACATCAACTCTGGCTTTGATGGCTGGATCATGAAGCCTATTGACTTCCAAAGGATCCATGAACTTCTCAAGGGTGTGAAGTCTACCGAAAAACGAAGTACTTGTTTCTATCGATCGGGTATGTTGGAGCAAGGAGGTTGGTTTGCAGCAGATTAGTTGAATGGTTGATGACATAGATAGCATATGCATATCCATGAATACCATACCTATGTTCACTAAAAGCATTACGGAAGGTTAGAGTCATACCCATCCTATACTTGCCTACCTATGGGAGGTCTTTTTGAGGCAACGTTTATTGACTGTACCCGAAATGAAGCCAACTAAAAAATGTGCGCCGATATTAAATGCTCCTCGGGTGTAAGTGGCTCATTTCCCGTGAGTCCTTCCTTTTGTAGAAGATCAGCTCGATGTTCCAGAAATGCTATTTCGTCGAGATAGTCGCAAATATCACACACATGGGTGAGGAGATCTTACGCCGACGAGTCAACACACTGAACCCATTTGTGACGATGTTCTGGAATGCCTACCTCTCTTGTAATGGTCCCCGAATATATCCATCAAGCATCAGTTAGAGAGACGACTGCGTTGTGATACCTCGACGTTTCCCAAGAAGAGGCCAGGGACAATCTACCCGATCCGGGCCTTGAATGTCATCTCCCACTTCTTGTTACTGCCCTTTTCAATGTTTTCTCTTGCTGCGTTTCCCTCCATTATGATTACTTTGTGCTCTTCCCTTGCCTCGAGCCAGGTGGTAATAGCTAAGGGTTTAGAGATCGCTCTTAAGGATGTGGTGACTACAGGTAGTTCCCTGACTATCTGAGGAAGAGAACAATCTGAAATCGAAACATGACACGAGCCCTATACAAGCCCGATGATATGCATAACCCCATAAGATGCAAACTAATAAATGTATAACAAGAACACAAATATCCAAATGATATCACATATATCGGAACCATAACCTTAATAATACTCCGGCAACCCCAAACTCGAGAAATCAGGCACAGTATCACCACACTTGAACGAAGGAGAATAAGCCTTGTTTGGCATAAATCCATTCTTCCACGCCGTGCGATAACTCCACTGAGCAGCAGACTCTGTCCGCCACGTCCAGTAGAACCAACCCTGAGCGGTCTCAAATGCAGACATTTGGGCTTCGGCGTAGGTTTGAAGCCACTTTTTATACTCGTCAGAGTAGTCGGCGACGTCGGCGTTGGCGTTGTTGCAGCTACATGTTCCTGCGTCGGCGGTGGGACAGTATGCGGTTGATGAGCTGGTGTCGTATGATCCTTCCCAGCGGGTACCACGGCCCACGTTGTTGAGGTATTTTGCGCAGTCGGTGTCTGCTTGGGACCATTCACCGCAAATAGTGGGACCCCATCTGGCGAGTTTGTTAGTTCGAGTTTGATGCTATGGGGAGGGGAGGCCGGTAGGACTTACCCAGAGCTGGTGCTATTAATTTCCTGAATCATGGAGTACCAGCTATTGCAGATGATTTCCACCTTAGCAGTGTGGTTGAGAACAATCTCACCAGTGTTAAAAGTGGTGTACTGATGAGTGTCGAGGTACATGTTGTCGGGATGGTCCTTGAACATATTATCCCACTTGTCGAGGTTAAGGAATCCGTCATGGAAGGCTATCGTCGCATCCACACCGTTGTTGCGAACAAGCTCCGCCGCTTCTTGGGTCCAGTTCAGAACCTTCTCTACGGGGAGAGACAGCATGAGGGGCTCATTTACAAGACCGTAGATTGTCACGATATTCTTGTATCGATCTTGCGCAAAGAATTGCGAAAGCTGATCGTGAATCTCTAGAGATCGTTTCCGGTTCAATGTACCATTTGTTCCGTCGATCCAGTCGATTTTCCCTTGGTGTCCGCTGTGGTTCCATCCATTCTGACTACCTGGAAGACCGTGAAGATCCAGCTTCACGCGAAGTCCGTATTTGCGGCAATACTCAATTGCCCGGAGCAGGTAGCGCCAGGAGATCTTGGCCACATAAGGGTCGCCGTCGTAGGTTGTGACTGCCCAGTAGGAATATTGGATACGTACATGGTCGAGTCCAGCTTCCTTGATCTCGGCAAAGTCAGATTCCGAGAGGAATTCTGCATAGTGTTTCTCAATTGTTGTTGAGGCAGAGGAGCCCAGCTGTTCCGTGAGCGTCCATTCATCAATAACGCTAGAGGAGTAGCCTGAGAAAAGAGATGGTGTGATGAAGGGTTCGATAGAGAGCCATCCTCCTAGGTTAACCCCGCGAATTGGTTGTGAACCATATGGGAACTTCTGGTTTAGAGGTGGGACATTCGCGTTTGGCCTGGCGGAGTCGTCCCACGAAGAGTTAAGACCCATAACGTATAAGCCGCCGACGGTGTCGTTAGTGAAAGTGATATTAAAGCCTTCGGTGTCGTACCAAGTGAATGGATCAAGATAAGTGCCTTGGGCCCATGACTAGAGAAGTCAATTAGCAAGACCATCGGAGCAAGGTTTAATCAGACTTACCGGAATGCTATCTCGACTGATCCCATCGAGATTTGAGTTGGACGAGCTGGACGAGCTGCTTGACGAGTCGGAACCGCCTTTATTCTTATTCGCTTCCAGTACAGCGATGGGAATGACAATAGCCAGCACCAACACGATACCAACGATGCATCCAACAACCAGTCGCTTCTTCTTCGACCAGGAGGCCCAGAACTTCCACTTTGGCGTTTGATTGCCGTCCTCGTAGCTGCCATCCCAGCTATCTTCTTGCTTCCAATCTTCCTCCATCGCAGCACCACCTCCTCCACGACGGCGCATCTTCATTTCAGGACTTCGACCTTCCTCTAAATACGCACCGGAGACAACCCGAGCTCCAGATTTATGCCGTGATCTCCCCTCGGCGATGTCTGCACCAAGAGCAGCGGCACCAGCAGCAGCAGTAGCAACTCCAGCACCCGCCAACGCAGCCTTTTTCTTCTGTCGTCGCCGCTCCCGACGAGCTTCATCTTCGTTTCGAGACCGTTCACGCCGATCTTCCTCCTCATGCTCAGATGCTAATCGCGCCATTGCATCCGCCTTCAGCAAATGTGACGCACTGCTCGTCGACTCCGTGCTCCGATGCTTACTAGCAACGGCCGCCGCAGCAGCAGCTTCACGCTCCCATTCACGATCACGCCGTTCCTCACGCTCACGCGCCTTGCGACGCTGCCTTCGAGCTTCGGATTCGATATCTCGCGATCTCTCCCTCTCCTTCTCCCTCTCGCTTTCCTCCCCGCGCGTCCGGTGCCGTCTCTCTCTCACATCCTTCGCCGGACTCCCCTCCTCTTCAGCATCTCGACGCCGACGATGTCCATCCCGATCTCGCTCGCGATCCCGCTTCTTGATAGGTGACGTAGCAGGCGACTCTTTCGCCTTAGACCTCTCCCTCTCCCTCCGCCGTCCCTCCACGGCATCACTATAAGCCCTCTCTTCTTCGCGCTCACGCTGCCTCCTCCTCTCCCTCCTCTCCCGCCGCCGCCGTTCCTCATAATCACTCTCGGCCTGCTCGCCATTATCGTAAGAGTCGTAGCCCTCCTCGCCGCGGAATCGGTATTTCCCACGTGCCTGGCCCGGACTAGACGCAGCGCCCTCATCGTCTTCATCGTAGCGACCGCGAATATACTCACGCTCGCGATCACGTTCCCGTCGGCGCTCTCGTTCGCGCTCGCGTGCCCGGTCTCGTTCTCGCTCGCGCCCACTGTGGCGGTCCCGGCTGCGAGATTGACCCGGCATGCGAGCTACCCGGTACAGGGAAGAGGCGGCGAATCGCTAGTAGGGGATTCCTCGTACCCTGCAGCGGGGCGATCTTTGACGTATTTGACCGTTCAGGGGGAAGATCGCGGGTGATTATTTCTGTGGCGAGGAATGCTCGGCGAGAGATGTCTGGGAATGGCTCGATTTCCCCGCGCAAACGAAAACGTGGCGTGTGGTATGCGGTACGAGACTAGGCCGTCGGAATTGAGATACGGTCGATTAGGAGGTCGTAAGCCGTGATTTGAGTAGGAGCGGAGCTTTGAAGAAGCTCTGTGGGATTCAAGTCGAGCTGGTGGTGGAATCTCGGCGATTTGTGTTTTGCTTTTTCCCCATGCGCGTTAGTGCCGAGGGCGACGTAAACAGTAAGAAGCAGGACACGCAATCCCCGAATTGGCAGAACTTGGCCCTGGTTTAGAGGAGAGAATTCCAGTCGGGTTAGAATCAATTGTCTTGAGATTAGTGATGCTGCCTTATCGTGATCTTAGTGGAGTCTGGACATCTCGCGTTGCGCAGCAACTGATTCGGGTGGAGCTTTGATGCCCGAGATCGTTCATGGCTGAACTGGTTTGGCCATGTTCAGGACGCTGATGATGTCAGTTTTCGATGCCAAGGGCTCGAGTTACATTTTTTTTTGACTACAGCTGAAAATTACTTGGAAATATTTGGTACAAAATTATCGTATTTCACAGAGACATGGCATTGAGGACACATTAAAATACACTTATTTCACTGACCACCTCTCCGAGTACAATGCAACAAGCTCCAGTCCTTTCTAATACAACCGGAAATAGAAATGATCACAAACCGAAGAGAAACGTGTGTCGTATCAATCAATAACATCAGGGTATGAAAACTCCAAGACAGAACGGGAAAGAAAACAGATGATTGATAAAGATGTAGCATCGAAAGGAAAATGCATGGTTCAGAAAGCCAACCAGCAAGGGGCATTGTCAATATGAATGGTCAATCGAGGAACATGTCCATCTGTACAGTTTCTGATAAGTGTGGAAGATCGAAGCAGGAATGCGTATGATGAAAATAAAACAAAGAAATAAAAATCAGTAATCAATTGTCGCTGGGTCCGGGGAATCTAGAAGAATGAAAATCGAGGCAGTGGATTGCCACAGGCGAGACCATCCAGAATCTTTCCTGCAGAATAGGTGTTGCAGAAGGAAGACGTGGTCGAGAATTATCCACAAGTACCATTCCGGGCATGATCTGACCAGTATTATGGTCAGAACGGACCACTGCGATGGTCGAACGAGTAAATTCGATTGGCAGCATCCCTCCCGAAGGATTGTAATAGGTCACAAATGAGGCACCTGATGGGCCACTGATCACAGGTCATGTAGCTTTTTGCAGGAGACAAAACAGCACAAGCGTGCGCGTCACGAAGGAAGATCGGGTGAGTTGATATCCGAGGTAGACCATAGTCAGCGCAACAAGAGTCTGCCGACCCATTAAGAGCGAAGCTTGTCTCTGGGAGATGATTGCCGGTCCCAAGTTGTTTTTGGATAGATCAACTGCTTCAGCTGATGATCTGTCGGGCGCCTTCCTTGCCCAAAACACCCGGCTCGGTGGGCTTGGGGCTGCGATCGCGGCCCTTCTTTCTGCTCAGGAACGAAAGCATGCCGCTGTTGGATTGCTTGCCCTTGCCCGCACCATCGAAGCCTTCAGCTGGGAGGGTAGAGCTGTGATCAGCGAGCTCGCTCCAGCTGCCCGCTTCCTCCAGCACCATCTGTACACCACCTCCTTTGCTCATCTTTCTGGTAGCACCACCAGGGCGGGGCGCAGGGGGCAACGGGCGGTGGAAGGATGGGGCGGGAGGCATAGGTGGAGGCGGAGGCGAGGGGGAAGCACGAGTCGAGGGTGAGGGTGGTTGATGACCAGACACCGAGTCATTCGGATCGAGATTCTCGCTGACACCTGTCAGGTTGTCATTGTGGGAAATGGCGTGGAAGGAACGCTCATGCTGTGGAGGGGACGAGTTTCGAGCGGAGGATTCGGGTTGTGAAAGTTGACGGGAATGAGAAGTAGAGGTCGCGGTAGCAATGGGAAGGCAGTCTTCGGGGTTACTAGAATGGGTGAGTATAAAATAACAGTTATGTATGTCGCGGTGGTTTCCACTCACGTTGATGCAGCGATAGCTTCCGCAGCATTGCCTTGGAAGCTAACAAGAGTGTAATCAAATGGCTCAAACATGGTCTCGATCAGACGATGGAGCTCATCCTCACGGACCTCCTTGGCCGTTGCATCCTCGCGCAGCTCCGCGCGTGGTTTTTGCCGACGAGCGCGAGCCTCCAGAGGTGCCTCTTCGAGTAGTAGTTCCTCGAGATCGTAGGTTGCGTCAAAGTTGGTTTTGTCGCTGGAGGGGCGGAAAACTGGGGAGTACTCTTTCCGCTCGAGCGCATCGAAATCGATATCTGCAAAGAACATGTGCGAGGTGAAACTTTCGAAACTGATGGCACCAATACGTCGACTGCGGTCCTTTTCCATCAATGCCGACAAGGCCCGTAGACAGGGGACAGAGACAGCGGGGTTGGTGACATAGTACTTTGGCTGCGCTCGCTTGATGTTCTCGCTGAGAGTCTCTTGGCTGCGGCCTTCGAACGGTCGCTACACATGGTGTTAGCCCAATTATAGAGGTAATGTCGAACGGGGACATACCTTGTTGTAAATGCACTCATAGAAGGTGACACCCAGCGACCACCAATCGACTTCAAAGTAATAACCGCCACCTTCATACACCTCCGGCGCAAGATAGGCCAATGTTCCCGACTTGCTCGTCAGAGGCTTTCCCGGTCGGAAGTCTGATGCGACGTTCTAGATGGAAGATTAGTGGCCGAGAGGGTAGATATTCAAAAGTTGTGCAACATACGAAATCAGCCAAGTGGACATGTCCCTCCGAATCCAACAGTACATTGTCGGGCTTGAGATCGCGATGGATAATACCCTGCGAGTGGATATACCTCAGGGCACAAGCCAGCTCTGCCATCCAAAACCGGACAGCTTCCTCGGTGAAACACTTCCGCGAAATATGAAACCGAAGATCGCCGCCATTCATCAGATCCACCACAATGTAGCTAAAATAGGAGTGGTCAGCTCATACACACTAGCTGAAACTAGGTAGACAGGCCGAGCTCAACTCACATGTATTCCATATCCTGAAAGCTGTACCGCAAGTTGCAAAGGAACGGATGGTTCAAGTGCTCCAGCATACGCCGTTCACGGATAATGTTTCGTACACTTTCCGACCGGACAACTAGTCAAAATCGAGTGAGTTGGGGCTGCAGATGGCAGAATATCGGGGAAACGCGGGGAGGATCTAAACATACCCTCTTCCTTGCGAATATACTTGAGGGCAAACGTTAGACCAGTATCTTTCCTTTCCACGATACGGACTTTGCCAAAGGCGCCCTTGCCGACCACGCGAAGGAGGCGGAAGTGGTTGAGGTTGACTAGTTTCCCGAGAGTCAGTATATTGCTTTTCTCAACCCGAGCCGTCGGGGCTTCTGGAGCCCTTCGACGCGTGTTCGGTTTGCAAATTGAACGGGTTCCTGCCAAACATACCCGCATCGTTGCAAGCCACCGGCTTCCCCTGAGAATTACCCATTCTGTCGGGGGACAAAGGATGGACCGAGATAGATAAATTATTTCCACCAAATCTTTCCTAGCAACATCACACTAAGTTTGTAGAACCTCGTAGATGGTACGTTCACGTCAGATACGCCGATGCAGGGATCTGACACAAGGTAAAGGGAGATTCTGAGTTTGTAAATGGCGAATTCAACCTCCGACGTCCATGAGAAAAGGTAGACTGTAGGATCCCGAAGGTAGGATCGCGAAGCGGGGTTTCAATGATTCGGGTCGAGCCAGATACGGGAAGAGTCGTGGACAAGCAAGGGGAGGCGAGTGGTAAAAAAAAATGTTAGGGTGGTGGACGGTGAATCGAAAAATGGTGCAGCGATGCAAAAATCAAATTGACCGGACTGCAGCAGCGGCTGAATTTGTATATTCGCGAACAAGGTGAGGGCCCGAGAGCGAAGGGGAGTCCCAAGCGCGCCGTTGGAACGGGATCGGGAGGGTTGGAAGTTGGAAGAGAGACCGGAAAGGCACCAGCCACGCGGGTTTCGCAGGAGTCGATATGGAACAAGTCGAATGGAAGGTTCGAATGTCTCGCAGCGCAGTTGTCTTTCGGCAGGCTTGTCAGTCTCGTCCGATTGCGTCTGAAAGGAAAGAAAGGGGAGCGAGCGGTCAGAGACCCGGCAGTAACAGTCTGGCAGTATTCGGGAGAACCAATCACCGCCCCCACGGAGAACAGAGGAGGGAAAGGGGGGAGAGAAAGCAATTAACAATTCAACCTGGTCCGACGCCGATCTACATGCAGTTTCTACACTTCTGGTCTAGGCTATACCTCCTTGGTTCTATCTTTAAAATGATGGTGAACGCACCATATCCGTTCATCCCCTGTACTAGCCTTCCCCGGGATTTTTTTTATAACAGGACTACTCCGTACACTACTTCAGATCCCAATAGGAAACCTGTGGTCGCTTCAGCCATCCCGAGGTTGTCGAGCATTACCGGAACAGGAAGAGAACTGGGGACCCACGGGAGGCGAAAAAAAAAGGGAGAAAAGCACGACCAGTGGAGGAGGGTCATGGTTTAGTTTTGACGGCGGCTTGACTAGGTGGAGGCTTCGATATCCAATCCACCACTAGCTAGTGCTTGCTACCAGCCAGTCCCCCAGCTCGCCAATCCAGACCATCTCGATTGGCCATGGGCTACGATAGTTTCGGATATTTTGTCCACAGAAACGGTTTCCGAGCATTGTAGTCTTGCAAATAACTTTTTTTCGCTCTGCTAACTTGTCGGGGTATTATTATTGACTACCGTAAGTACCTAACTTCAAGTGGGGGTTTCCAATGGTCAGGGAAGATATCGGGAGTGAGCATGACCTGCAGCTCTCCATAGGGTCTCGACGAGTCTTCTCCGTCTTACCAAAGGTCTGAATTACAGTTTACATTCTCCTAACGCAACAAAGGCTGGACTAGCTATCCAATGCAGCCCCCCGATCGAGCCAACCAGATCGTATGCATCCTGCAGCCCATCGGCCTAGCCAGAAGAGCCTGACGCCGTCAGATATAGTACCGCCCTTACTCCGGAGTACGTACGGAGTACATATAATTCAATAGTTGGGGAATGGATTGAACGGTATGAAGGTCAGTAGTGAAAAGTACACAATAAGAGTCCAAATTGTTACTACCATCCGTGTACTGCAAGCCAAGAACTTAGTTTCTCACCACGCGATTTTTTTGATTCTTCGAGACTTTCGATCCTTCGTATCTCGTGGCCGCCACGTTCTTGACCGCCCTCAGTCGCATATGCAACCCAACCAGACACCCAATTGCCTTGCACTTTGGGCTGAGTCCTGATAGCTGACGCTGTCAAACTTCGCTAGTCAGACGGATCAGGCTGCCATCTGGTCGACTGGTCACACAGGAACAGCCATAGAACTCCCACAGAACATTCGAATGGGCTTTTATTGTGGTAAAAAGAATGACTAGTCACCTTCGACACCTTCTACCCCGTACCCTTGCAGATTTCCGGTTCCACTAGCGCTAGAAACCATGCGATCTCATCTATTCCAGACCGAACTTGATGCTCATGACTCGTACTCGTAAGATTTCCATAGGTTCTACGGTATGATATTCGCCGTGCAAGGGCAGGATGCCCATTATCCAAAATAATAATCACGACGGTCGCTTGGCACATTTCCCATTAAAGTTACCAGGCCTAGTCACTCGTGGTTCCACAGTGGGCAATAATCGACAGGATCCCGGTCCGCCGTTTCATCTGCGCCCTGACAAAGAAGATGTGGTCCACGCTGAAACTGGCGGTTTCATGTTCGCCGCCTTTGAATTTTGGAGAAACCTTGTCAGCCTGGAGTCAGGGTCAGGGATTATGATCAATATTGCGGTAGAAAAGGGTAGGGCTGGTCAGGATTGGCTAGTGTCTTGGTCAATCTCCTACTCCCGCACCCAGAGTTCTTGCGTCGGCATGAATTCGCATGAATCAGATCCTCGTGGATGGCGCCACAAGCAGACATTGCTCCGGTTATGATCGGCCAATCTATGAGTCTATCTCTAACACCGACGTGCATGAATAGGTTCGAAGCTGAACAAAGAAAGTGGGACACTTCCGAGCTGTTTGTACCCAAGGTAGAGCTCGGCTTTTCTTGGCCTTTGGCACGGCCCACTGATCTGATAGTAAATTAATTACAGCGTATCGGGATTCGGGTTGATATGCCGTTTGCTTTTGGAAGACAAATTTTATATCGATATCCTTGGCAAACGTGTGGCGATAACGTCGAGAGTATAGAGCTGTGGGGTTTATAGTTCCTTTCGCGGTCCATAATCAGGGTGGTCGGTCCTATATGATGGAATCGCCATGGACGTGTCGTATAATTACGGAGACTTTATAGGCCTAGGTGGTTTCAATCAGATAACCGTCACTCAACCTCAGCACAATTTTCATTTTCATTTGAACGATTACTCGTGTTCATATTCGTGGTGTCGGGCAAGCATGGATCCGCCGCACGTACCCGAGACATCGGAATCGGACTGTTAATTACCGTTCCAATGCCTTTCCTCCAGACTCAGACAAGAGCGATTGAAGTATTCACTGTCGCTGTACCTGATTGATTCAATTCAGCTAAAGCCGATGACGTTGTAGTGTACGCGGAAATTCCGTTTCTCAGCAAGCTGAGAGCTAGGCTGAGGAGTCCGTCGTGATCGTTATTTGTGCATTGGGCGGCCATTTTGCTTCAAGTAATCCTGTCTCAATTTCAGTATAATAAAGGCATCAGCAACGCAGTTCTATTCCATATAGAGTTATTAAACAATTTTTCAAGTCTGTCAACTACAAAAAGTCCATGATGTCGGCGTGGAGGTTCGCGAGCCCGAGGAGTCACGGGACATCCGTACCTGCCTCGATTGTACTTCGAAATCCCACGTCAACCTACCCAATGTCTCTCAGATACGATTATCTCCTATCTGTCTTCAAAGCTCTCGATTAAAGATGGAGCCAGATTCAACCAATTCGTCATCGGAAGCTGTCTCCCCTCACTTCCCTGCTCCAAAGCGAACCCTACCTCTGCCCGAGGGCCAGCCGAACAGAAAGAAACCAGTGCTCATGCAGCGTCCCCAAAGTTCTGGCATCGACGTGACAGGCTTCTCATTTGCTAGACCAGCAAATCAACCTAAGGGATTTACCCTAAAGCCTATTCCTCGATTAGCTCATCATGGTCATGCTTCCATTGAGGAAGTGAGTGCGGCGGATTCGCAGAAGCATACGAGACGAGAGAAGCAAATGTAAGTCCAACCTGCAATTTCACTGGGGTATATATGATTAGCTCACTTTCTTGCAATGAAATAGTCCATCCAAGTCAATTGCCGAGCCGGGGCAGCAGAGTCTTGAGCAATACCTGGAAGAACGTACTCCATGTCCACAGCCCAAAGATCACACAGAGCTCGCAAAGGTCTCTCGCAAGGGTTCAAACATGCCGAGCGCTGAGATCGCAAGCGCAGGCAATCCGAGAAATGCCAATTTGGCGAATGAACAGGTCGTCATAGACCTGGAGCCGGAAAGTGGCACTGCCCTGACCACGCGGGCAATTGCTAACAGCAGTATCCCGGTAAGTCTTCAGCGCATGATATAACTTTGCAAGATCTGACAAGTCAAAGAACACTGCTCCCCGAGCCACCGTATCTCGCTCTGCTCAAGATCGGGTCCGAAAAGTATCGGCAACTCAGAACCCTCCGTTGCCACGAGGCCCCGCACGATCTAAGGATAACCTCCGAGTTTCCAAGCCTCGTCGCGAGAACCGCAAGTCTGCTCTCACCCGACAGCAGAGATCAATGTCTAGCAACAGATCAGGCCTTCATCAACTCACAGAAGATACCTTGTTCGAGATTCTCATTGGTAGGATCAGACAGCGCGAGGAGAATGAGATTGCGGCTGCCAATATCCAGCGTCGAGTTGAAGCACAAAATTCTAACTTGAAAGAGGCAAACGATGATCTCCACCACCAACTTGAGGCGAGTCGCACGCAGTTGCAGAGAAAAGAGGCGGAGATCAAAAAGCACCAAGCTCGACTGGAAGACTGGAAGGTGAAAATTCGCAAGTTCAAACAGGTTGTTGATGAATTAGGGCATGATCATGATGTCCTCAAAGAGGATAATGACAGGTTCAAGGTCACTACTGCAAGTTTGGAAAAGGAGAAAAATGACCTCTTCCAAGCTGTTGAGGACACCAAGCTCCAGATCTCTCGAGCGGAGGGGGCGGCAGATGAGCAGCGCAAGGAGCTCGCCGAGAAAGAAAAACGCATTGCTCTGCTACAGCAAGCTTTGGCCGCGGCTGAAGACCAAGAAGAGTGCACTAAAGCAGAGCTTATCAGCGAGCGCAATCGCAGTACCACGCTGGAGTCTTATATCCAGAACCACGCGCTGACCCAAGCAAAGCAAATTGGTCTGATCCGAGACGATCAGGCAAAGCTCATGCAAGATCTCCATACTGGACTGGATTCGATTTCCTACAATGCAGCCACTTTCAAAACCGACATTCCGTCAGAAGTCAAAGCAGCTCTCGATCAGTGTCATGCTTCCATCCAGACCTTGAGTGAAAAGTGCTCCACCGAAAATCTGCAGATTCAAGCATTCACAGCTAGCACCCGAGATGTGGTCTCCCAGTAAGTTCGTTTGACAAGACACAGAAGGAAAAGACCTAACATTTCAATCATAGGATCGACAACCTAGCAACAAAGCTCACAGAGAATGTCGAGACTAGCAACAGGGTCAATGTCGGCATGTCTAAAAGCGTCGAAGACAGCTTATACTCGATCGAGTCGCATCTTGGCCCCAATTCCACGTTGTCTCAACGGCTTGCTGACTGTGACACCTCATACGGATGGCTAAAAGACAAGCTTAGGGCTGTTGAGCCGACATTGGCCAATCTCGGTGCCTCTGTGGAGATCATGTTAACTTCTGGGAGCAATCTTGTTCGACAATTTGGAGACTTTGGCAAAAGGCTAGAGGAGGCGCAAATTCCAAAAGACAATCCGGAGCTGGACAGACAATTGGCAGAGAAGTTTGCTGAAAATACGCAGCTCCAACTCGGAGTCCAGAAATTATCCTCGGAAGTTGACAGTCTTAGGGAGTTTGCAAGCGCAAAGGACGCAACGATTGAACATCTGCAACAATCCCTATCAGACGCAAAGCAAAAGCAAAAGGCCTCTGAGGATCGAAATCAAGTATTGGCAATCGAGAAGACAGCTCTGAAAGGGGAAATGGAGTTGAGAGATCAGAGCGTTCGTCACGAATTGGCTATCGAGCATGGCATCTCCCAAAACCAGATGAAGGCCCAGTATGAGCAACGGTTGCAGGCTCTTCACGCAGAAAAGAATGAGCTTGAAAAGGGTGCTGATATTGTAATGACTCAGCTGAGTGGTGTTCAGGGTGCTTTGGTGGGTGATTCGGCGGCATCGATTGCAGAAACCTTGCTAACTACTTCAAGGTCGAGGCAAAGCGATTAGTGGATGATCAGAGAACACTGCGCGAATCAATGGTAAGTCACTCGCCCTGTTCTGCAGGACTCGGCTAATCCACCCAGGCCCAAGAGACAGAGCAACGGATTCAACAGCTCACACAATCTTGCTCCGAGCACATGGCTCGAGTGGACGCTCAGACTCTTGAAATCCAGAAATACCAAGAAGCCGAAGCAGCTTCGTGTCTGGAAAGAAATGACCTGCAAGAACAACTCCGGCAGGCCCAGGAAAAAGTCCACGAGCTCGAGCAGACATTTGTCATCCCAGCTGTGGAAGAAGAAGGTCCTCGAGTACCGCCGACCAACATTGTTCCCTTTTCGACTTTTGAAACCCGGCTTTCGCCATTGCGAGCTACCTCGCCCTATGGAGACCCAGCGGACTTTGCCATGCTCTTCATGTCAGATGAGCTTTTGCTCTCAACCCCACATCACAAGATCAAAGAGGACAAGGAATCCCCAAGCCGCCAAGAGGATGTCGTTGAAGACAGCCAGAAGGCGGTCGATGTCCCTGATCCTACAAAGGTGTTTGATATTCCTCGGGACATGGACCCGCCCCCATCGCGAGCCAACATGAAGCGCAAAGCAGTCAATTTTGCGGCACATCGAACAGATAATACGGGGAGTAAGAAGAAAGATGTTGCCATCACTCGTATTCCTTCCACTGAGATCCAGGGCTCGGCACAAGCGGAGAAAGAAACGGAGGAGCAACCTGCTACGGTCACAAAGCACATCAACAAATGGACTTACAGTCGGGTTCATGCTTCGGGGATCGAGGTCCAGCAGGAACAACCAACACAACCAACACGACCTACACAACCTACAGTGTCCACTCGTGCCACCAAGGGAGTGCAACGAGCCAGCCCAAAGGGTCTGGTCTCTGCCAGTAGCGCCAGCGAACCGGGTGGTCGGTCCAATACTCGTGGTCGTGGCAAGCGGCGTTCGCGAGGTAAGTATCCACCATTCTTGGCTTCGTGAGAGAATGTCCTGATGTTTGCATATAGGAGACCGCTATAATGCCCGATCTAGCCAGGAAGGCTAAGCACCTCAACTATCACATGTTGTCAGCCGAAGATGAGGTGGAAGATGAGGTGCTTCTTGTTGCCGACAGGGCTCTCGCCCCCTCCTTTAATGTTATGATCGACTCGGCCATTTCGGTTGCAGGAGACAAGTCCGTCACATGTTATAATAGCAGACATTTGTATATGCCATTGATATGTTCGAAGAAGGGATCCGTTTCGTTGCCCATATCTTACCACTGTGGTCGAACCGACCTGCTCAATGTCATAAAAGTGAATATGCACTTTGGAATCGCAGGATTATGTAGCGGAATGAAATATTTATTTTCAATTCAGAACCCAAAGCTGTAATGCTTGTAACGCCAGACACAATGCTCCATCAAAAGGAAGTACAAAGTGGAGCAGGTGTGAGAGAGTCGCTCTCTCATCAACACTTCCCAGGATATAATGTACACAATAGGGCCACTCAGCCCGGACATCCCCTTATCACAACCAACATAGCCTCTCTGGTGCCCCCTTGGGGATGACACCAGACCGAGACGAGTAATTTCCGATCAAAATCGCAGACGCGAAACAACTCGGCGAAGCGGGAAAAGTAATCGCATGACGGAGATCTGACTTTCGGCGCAGGAACACGATGACAGATACTCGGAATGATGGACGGGGTATATCGAAATCGGAAATCGCAGCGTCGAAACCACTTATTTCGCCTTTCCACCCTTGGTCGCTTCAAGGAAAAGCACCTTCTTCTTCACGACGGGGTCGTACTTGAGCATGGAGAGCGGGCGGTGCGCACGGGGCCGGATCATGGTACGGTAGAAACCAGTCATCGCCATGGAGATCAGGCGGACGGTGATGGTGCGTGACTTTGCTGTTGGGAGGTACTCGTTAGCATGGGTGCGGACTTGACTTCGGGGATTGGTGTTGCGATGCGGTGCCAGCTCCAGGCTGGAGTTTGGGCCATTGGATACAAAAGCCGGCGGATTGAGAATTTGGTGGGATTCATGTTCCTCTGTCACGTACCTTTCTTGGCCATTTTTGCTCGACGTCCCGTGGGGAATGGGTCGTTGTTCGATGGGATGGAAATTCGCTGCGCGGCGCCGGGCAAAACCGTCCTCTCCGCTGTCTGTGTCACGTGTACTGCTTAGTCATAGAATCTGCAGGCACGATGAATGGATGCCTGAGAATAGCACTCAACTTTCCTCGCTATTTACTCATGCCAAATGTAAAAAAATCACTTCAAATGAGGACTCTGAAGAACAAGTGGGCAAGCTAGCAGACCCTGATCTACACCGGCGATTTCACCGGTAAACTCGGCCGGTGAACAAGGAAGTTTGGAGTTGACGCCCGGCATCATCCACGAGGTCGCATCGACGATTGCTAGTGCCAAGCCTAAGACATTGCTTAACCTTCAATCGTGCCACCTGCTAGACCCAGGGTCCGTCATTTGACTATACTATAGTTCTACCTCGCTTAGGGGGGTGATCCGGCAATCCTGAAGGATTTGAGCTGCATTCCCGCTGCAGAATAAGTCCTGCAGGGATACATAAGGGTATAGACTAGGGGTGTTGCTTATACTGCCTTGGTAGTTGAACAGTGGTTTTCGCGCACTAGATTGCCCAATTCGTACTTGTTGGAGGGACCTCGATGTTCGGGAGGTTACTTCGTGTTTCCCCAGACTGCAAATAAACTTGTGGTTAGCCAATGGGAGTGTCCGATTCAAAACAGGGGGTCCCTTGGGCGAGAGGGGGCTGAAACAGGGTCCTCGTCGGAAGTGTAGCAGGTTCTCCCCTTGGGGTCAATTATAATGTACAGTATTCTCATAGCCTATACTGTCAAGTGTAATGTCAATTGCCTCTTGGGCCTGACTTTCAGAATCAATTTGATTGCAATATTCTCTTTCGTCTCGCGAGAATGTCTTCTTTTTCAGTCGGCCCCCAGGTGTGGCGCTTTATAGTAACGTTGAATGCAGGCTCCACCGTCATCAGCTAACTTCAACTAGATGCTGCATATACCCGAAAGGCAATTCTTCTGCACGTGTATCTCTCGCCCGGGTAAACCCCCTCCTGCAGGGGCCAGGGTCCCTTCAGTGCCCTATACGAGACGCGGTGCGGGCTCCTCGTACCCTTTTAGGGATACTGATACGGTAAATGTGACGTCCGGCAATCCTGATGGCTCGGAGGACTATTTAATTCCGACCAAATAGGTAGTCCAGTATATAAGAGCTTATGAGAACCTCTCAATAGACTATTCAAGCCAATATTTATTTACAAGTCTATTGTTAATTCTTTAATCACCATGGCGATCAAATCCTCCGTCCTTGCCTCTTTGGCTCTATTTGGTTCGACTCTGGCACAGAGTGTTGATGGCTCTCAGTACAACAACCCAACTGCCGGTCCTCCTGCTAGTTATTTCGCAGCTGCTTCTACCGTCCCCGTTGCGGCGTTGCAGAGCGCTGCTGCAAAGGCGAGCACTGCGGCCAAGGATGCAACCTACCCTATCAACGGGGACAGCGGAGCTCCCAAGTCTACTATCCACAGTGACTGGACCAACTTCAGCGAGGTATATTACATCTACAGTTTTTACGTGTATCTGAATTGATGATCTAATCAGCGAGGTTTATAGGGTGCTGCTTTCGTTTGGGTTGCAGACATGGATGTAGACTGCGATGGCCTTGACTACAAGTGCAAGGTAGGCAGTGTCCTTGAACTGCAAGTCAAATTTGACACTTACTCAATCTACTTTCTATAGGGAAACCCAGATGGCCAGCCTGACACCAACTTTGGTGCTCTAGCAGCTTACGAAGTGCCCTTCTTCGTGATCCCCGACAAGTTCGGCACGACTTATCAGAATGTCCTTCCCGGAAATAACGTCGGTGCAGTTATTTGGTAAGTTCTTTCCTATCTAGAATCAACACACAAACCCTCACCTTTTATACAGCAACGGCAAGATGTTCTACGGTATCTACGGCGATTCCGACGGTGACACGCCCCAAGTCATCGGCGAAGCTTCATGGCTCATGGCTCGCACCTGCTTCCCGAACGATGACCTAAATGGCAACAGCGGCCACGGTGCCGTCGATGTCACTTGTAAGCCCAAGACGCGCTCATCGTCTATATCCTCTACTAACGGGTTTATCAAGACATTCTCTTCACCGGCGACGACGCCGTCCTCCCCAGCAGCGCCCTTAACAAAAACTACGTCACCAACTTCAGCACCCTCCGCTCAATGGGTGACAAGCTGATCACCGTTCTGGCAAAGAACCTTAACCTCGTCTCCGGAGGAAACCCGTCTACTACTTTGACCACCAAGGTGTCTACCACTACTAGCACCGGCACAGGCTCGACCAGCACTTCGTGCTCGTGGGCTGGTCACTGTATTGGTAAGTGCTCCCTCCTGGTGTGTTGGTGTGGTTTTCTTTGAAGCTGATAGATACAATAGGAAGCTCTTGCTCTTCCAATGATGATTGCTCTGATGAGCTAGTTTGTAAGAGTGGGAAGTGTGCTTCGTCGGGATCTTCGGGTAGTGGATCTTGCTCGTGGGCTGGACATTGTGCCGGTATGATTGTTTTCTCTGTGAGGGAGTATTGATTTATTGCTAACAAACGCTTTTTAGGTGCTTCTTGCTCTTCGGATGATGATTGCTCGGATGAGTTGGTCTGCAGCAGTGGCAAGTGTGCCAGTGCTTGAATGGTTCGTTTTAACCTTTAAGATGTATCTATCGGGGTACATAGTATCATGGGGGAGAGTACAGATGTAAATATCGAATGAACTGAGCTGTTTTTTTCTCTTTGATTTCATTCGAGGAAGCGTAGCTCGCAGAGCAAAAATCGTATATGTAGAAAACTCTTGACCACGACGCCAATAGGAGTCTCATTTGCACTCTCTCTCGCTAGCTGAACCATGGATAAGAGAACTATAAGAGATGTAAACATGTGTGAACGTGGAATGCAGATCTTCTAGTTCAACGGCATATCCACCATACCTACTGACTATGAACTGGAGTGTGTATCCAGGAATAAATTGCTACAAAAGTTATTCCTCTACCTAACTGACACAGTCAACCCCCTCCACGCCAAAACTGATATCACAAATACACAATAAATTCTGCAAACATACTGATACACTCAATACATCTCCACTCACACTTCCCTTCACTTCATCAACTCCATCCGCACGCGCCACAGTCGGTATCCCCTCCAGGCTGTGAGTAAAGTAAGCGGGTACCCGATCGGGAAAAGGCCACATCCACCCGCCGAATCGATCTAAAAAGCTCGGACGGCGATCGTACAGAGAACGGGGGTCAAAGTGTCAAAGACTAAAGTGTATGAGGCTCCGGGAGAGTGGATTCTCTAGGCAGCCAGTCTGAGGCACTTAGATTGGGTTAGTGGGGTAAAGCACTGGGATAGGCAGCGGAGATAGTTGTCCCGCGAGGAGGGTAGGTTTGGTGTGGGAGGGGTAGATGGGGAGTATCGGGGTCTAGATTTTGAAAACCCCTCGTTACATGGCAGACTTTGTGGTACTAGTCTTTCGAGAGTGTTCGAGTATGATCGATGAATTGTGGCGGGTCTTATCGTAGGAGAACTTGGGATTAGGGATTAGCCTTGTGCGCCTTGTCGGGAGATCAGCTACAGTCTCTTCGGGAGACCCCGCAGGTGACTCACGGAACTAACTTTCGCAGTCTGGCCTGTCGGGGTCTTGAATTTTATTAGATCGAGCTGAAGTCGTTACAGTACTGCAGAGCCGAATATGGTGGGTGTACTTGGTAGCTGTATGCCCCACTAGTCTACTGTAATGTATACAATGAAGTCTGTGTTTTGAGTTTGAAACATGATTGTTTTTTTTTGGGTATTTGAGTGAACTAGGCATCAAAGCAAACATAATACATCGTAGCAGGCCACATTGCACATAACCACAGTATTCATCAATAACAAAGGAAAAATAATCATATCATAGCGGAGAATAATAGGAAATCCTCCAAGTAATGCAGTTCATACTGAATACTGTACTGCACACTTCTCCCACGAGAGTGAGTCACAAATCAATGTCCAATGACAAAACATAGCAGAAAACCGTAATGCATGAACACAAAGTTAAGGGGGGTTACAATACCCTTGTACTCTCATTGGCTAGCACACCCTCCTGCATTGAGGCAGATGCGGAGTGGTCGAGGTGCATGCCAAGAATGGCGAGAGCCAAGTATGTACTGTATTGATTCCCATTGAAGTATAGAGAGCTCCAGTAGGGGAAATTCCCGCATCGGAGACACCGGACCGAAGGGGGTTTCCCATCTGGGAGTCCGACGATTTCCCCGTGATGACTGGAGTCATACTGTATTGAACTGAACTGAAAGATGGGCGTCTTTTTTTTGGTGGGCTGCGTCCCAGAGCGCCGTTTTGTGGTAGTTCTGTATCGGTGGTTTCGGGGGAGTCCAGACGGGCACCCACTTCGTGTTTTGGGGGGTTCCCATCTGGGAGATGACCGGCTTGCGGTCACTTATGAGGGACAGTCAATGTCCGGAAATACATTGAAGCTTTTATAGCTAGCAACTGGATCTTGAAGCGTTTTGACGGATAAAGGCGGGCGTTCGTAGACAGATTGCGCGAGAACCGGAGTGTTCAACGGTAGTAGTCGGAGCGACGACGAACCTGAGTAGATTCGTACTGGCGCTCGACCCGGTCCTGGCGGTCCGAGTTGTACAGCGAGCCACGGCTGTTAGAGCTGCGGTTGGGAGAAGTGTGTGGAGACGGGTAGATGACGACTCGGGGCTTGCTGTTGGACGGGGATCGCTCGATGATGCGAGTGTTGGGCGAGGGCTGAGGGGATTGCGTGTTGGAGCGAGAACGAGGCTCGCGGTGTTCAACCACGGGGCCAGATCGACGGGGTCCAACGGGGTATGTAGCATCGTAAGAGCTGCGGATGGAAGTAGAGCGGCGATGAGAGGACTGGGGAGGAGTGGAAGGAGGCATGACTGGCGGGGCACGACCACGAGGAGAAGCAAGACGCATGCCCTTGTCAATGTTCTCGATCAACGTGCGAGCATGGGAACCCTGGCGCAGGAGCTTGACTCGCATAGGCTTGCCGTTTTCCTTGTCCACGACCGAGAAGTGTTTTCCATCCACGCTGTAGAGGTACTTGGTGACGACCTTGGCGCGGCGCTGGCCACGCTCACAGAGGGTATCACTGCTGGACTGGAGGGCGAGGGCGCAGGGAGTGCAGTGGCTCACATGGCGCTCAAATTCGTCGACGACCAGCTTTTCGTCGTCGTGGAGGTCGCGCACCACGACGGGGGGCTCGACGATCTCGATGGGGCCGGGCATTGTGTTGGAGCGGCCGATTCTGAAGAACCGTCTAGTCAAGCTGCGACGAGGAGGAGAGGAAGGGCTGAGAGGAGTGGTGGGGCGATTGGGAGACACCGTGACGGATTGTTGGAGGATCACTCGAGAGACGGTGGATGTACCGCCGATGACGTATGGTGGAGTGGGAATGAATTGGTGGTAGAAGAGGATGAGACTGTCGATGAGAGTATAGGAGGGTCTGATCAAGAGTGTAGATGTGGAAACCAGACAGTGGAGTGCGTTGAGGAAGTGAAGTATGAAACCGAGTCACGATGGGAGGCGGGGGGAAGGTGTTTTATAGTTTTTATATTTGTATACTTCGACGGAGTATAGAATAAATACTAGGGTGCTGGTCCTGGTCATGGCAGCCTGGCGGGTCTGGCGTTTGCAGATCTACTAGGTTTAGTTGTAATCGGAGTACCGAGTACTGCCTCCAGAGTAAGAATAGTCACGAAAGCAGTGCTTTGATAGGGTCATTTCCACTCCTAGCTCCGAACTAAAACTCCACTAAACTTCAAAGCAGCCTCTAGCGTGTGGCTCAGTTGACACCGCCGTGTGGACGAGGCCCGATCGCCTGATTGGCTGGCTGCCCCCAATGGACGGTCTGTTCTGGAGAGAAAGACGGCGTGTTTACATTTCAGTACGCAATATACATGGTTTTACCGATAGTTAACTATAGTTCATACTGGTTTACATTTGTAAATGACCAGATTCATCTCTCCATACCTTCTCAAATCCTCCGCCTTTTCCCCCTCTCCAGCCCTTGTCGTCATTTGTTAGTGAATTCTGCCCTGTTGCCTACGCCTTTTCCAGGCCACACATGTCATCCTTCATCCCCCCCCTGCTGTGGCTTGAGTCTCTCGTGTTCCTGCGCCGCAGACCAAGTCTCGTGTTCCCCCCCCCTCTAGACTCCGAATCTTGGGGGACCCTCCCAAATTCACGTCATCTACTCCTATCCAATCCAAGCCATCACCACAAGGCAGGTTCCCGTGGACTTGCATTGATGGCCAGTGATCCTATTCCATTCTATGAATTTCTATCTGTTCATGATAATTCTATCAAATCAGCCTGATTCTATCCCCACTGCCCCGTCCCCCGCTGATTTGCCCCGCTGCCGCTGTCCTCCATGGCCAGTGTCTACTGCGACGGCATGCAAAACATCTCCATTGTTTATTGTTCACCTCGGAAATATCACCCTCGTGAAGTTTGATGCCAAAATTAAACGATATACGAGTCGGTGTTTCGAATCTTTATTTTCGACCCCTGCTCTAAGAATAGGCCCGACGATCGGGATCTCTCTCTTTCGGACCCCACGTTCTCACCTTACACAAGTTACACTAGTCTCGACCATCCCCCCCCCTTATCCTCAGCAGCCGCAAAAGCCACCGTTTAACAAGTGCCCGGGTTGAAAGTTGAATATCGTGCTCAAGCCAGGATTCTGCTAAGCCCCAGCCACAAACACCGCTTATCTTCCCTTGTGATTCGACCCCGTATTCACCAGCCACGGTCTCTCCTCTTCCTCATTGCTGACACCTTTCTCGTTCCTGGACGAGCCACCCGCTCGAACCTCTTGTCTCTCCCTCTCTCTCTCTCCTGGGGCCAGACCGTGGACTTGATCAACCACAGGGCGCGATTTGAAAGTCTCAAGGTAATAGGCTCTTCTTGCATGATTCTTTAACATTCTAATTCCAGTCTCTTCTCTTCCAATCTCTTCCCTTTGTTTCAGTCTGCCTACCAGGCCCCCGCGAACGAGCCTCGTGTTTCTGGCCGTTATCTCGATGCCTGGGCCACTCGCAAACTATACACTCAAAGGACACCGCGTCCTCTCGACTTGCCCCCAATCGACTTGCAACCGGGATTGACCAATGCTCCCCCCCCCCTGTCTATACAGTCTCGACCCGGGTTGGACAATATGATTCTGCTTACCTGTCGGCATTGTCCACCATCCCTGGACCCTCCCAGTGACTCGGGACTCGAGGACTCGACCCTGCATTTAGGGCAACCCTGCCACACACACACACACACACACACACACACACACACACACACACACACACACACACACACACACACACAACCACTGCCCTATACTAACCATCTGCGCATGTGTTTCCGTATTCTCATCGACCCTTCAACCAGCCCTGCCGGGCTAGCTCAATCGGTAGAGCGTGAGACTCTTAATCTCAAGGTTGCGGGTTCGACCCCCGCGTTCGGCTATTCCTACAGAAAACCTGAGATCTTTCTTTTTGTCTTTGCAAATTTTTTTCAATTTTTTCCATTCCTGATGCTCTTGGGCCCTTCGCTGAGTGGCTGTGGTGGATGGGAAGGCCCACACTAAGTGGGGATCGGCCCGATGGGAAGAACGGATTCGCCAAGACGCATTGAGAACCGGACTGGACGGTACGTCAGAAGAGCAGATGACCAACGGTCCAAATGTCTGATTATCTGCGTAATGATGGTCAGATGAGAAAAAGCAAAGAAAAGATACCGTAGTACTGTAATCGGTAGTATGCTAGTATACTAGTATACTACAGTCGACTAACGGTATGAAACAGGCAGACAGTTCTGGGTAAATGCCCCGGTCAATGCGCAAGGCAGAATGTGCCATCCCCGATCTAGTCCTTGACAGTGTGCTTTTCAGCTGGACATGGTCTCTGTCTAGCCCCAAGTCTATCAGAACAGGCATCAATGTTGGTTACCAACAATGCATATCATATCTTTTGGGCAGAATGTGGTTGACTTGCATCTGCAGGTGATTATTAACCCGGTGGCCCAATGCATGAATATGTCATGCACAATCTGCGTGATATATCTCGGACACTCAAGGTAGTTTAGCTTATAAACCAATCTTCAAAAATCAGACTCCAGATTATTCACTCATTACCCGGCTAACCCGGGTTGCAAAATTATCACCCTTCAATAATTAATTTAATTTGTAATCGCAATGAACACGTAGTCATTGTTGTTTACTATCGTAGGTATGTACTTCCTCGTCCTCGACGTATGAATATCATCGGTCGGAGATTTAGTGTGGCGGTGCAGCATCAATACTGCATGTACTACACCTAATGCACTACACTGCAGCCCTAGCTGTATGAACAGAGCCTCCATGCTTATGAAGGACTCGGCATACATGTTTGGTTCTGATCTTGCGGAACCCTGTTTCGGGGAACTCAATTCACTCCAAGAACCGCTTCCATCTACCGACGGATCTACATTGACGTCGTTGAATAACCACTCCCGAGTAGACACCATGGATTTCCATCGACTTTTTATAATCATTACTATCTTATCCAGCGATCATGTCGCTACAAGGTACGTTAACCCTAGTAATCACCTCACTTCTTACACTCCAACCACCGGGCATCTAACATTATACAGAGCAATCGGATCACCCGGATGAGCTTCTAAACCATCTACAAACCATCATCACCAATTTCCTCCCCGACCTAAAACCCTTCGAAAAAATATATCGCCAAATCCACCAACACCCCGAACTATCCGGTCAAGAAGAACAAACCGCCCATCTAGCAGCCACCCACCTCCAATCCCTCCACTATGAAGTCCACACCAGCATCGGCGGCCACGGCGTCGCAGGAATCCTGCACAACGGCAAAGGTCCCACCATCCTCCTCCGCGCAGACATGGACGCCCTCCCCGTAGAAGAAAAGACCAATCTTCCCTACGCCAGCATTCGCTTCGTCAACGACGAATCCGGATCCCGCACACCCGTCATGCACGCTTGCGGCCACGATATGCACGTCACCAGCCTCCTAGCCACAACCAGTCTTCTCCACGCCGCGCGCGACCACTGGCGCGGCACGCTAATATGCGTATTCCAACCATCCGAGGAACGACTAAACGGCGCACGGGCTATGCTAGACGACGGGCTCTACGAAAAAGTGCCTCGACCGGATATCGTCCTCGCGCAGCATGTCATGCGCATGCGCGCGGGCACAGTCAACATCCAATCTGGACCGCTTCTCACCGCGGCAGATGCGTTTGACATTCGCATTTTCGGGCGCGGGGGACACGGGTCTGCGCCGCAGAATACCATTGATCCGATTGTTATCGGGGCGTCGGTTGTTATGCGGCTGCAGACGATTGTGTCGAGGGAGGTTGCTCCTGGGGAAGTGGCGGTTGTTTCGTGCGGGAGTATTCGGGGTGGGAATTCGGCGAATACGATTCCTGATTATTTGGATTTGCAGGTTACCGTGCGGACGTTTAGGGAGGATGTTAGGGGGAAGGTATGTGAGGCGATTTGTCGGATTGTTGAGGGGGAGTGTTTGGTTGCTGGGGCTGTGGAGAAACCTAGGATTACGAGGGTTGTTGCGTCGCCGGCGACTGTTAATGATGAGGGGAGTGTGGGGAGGTTGAGGGGTGTGTTTGGGGGGTATTTTGGGGATGCGTTGGTTGGGATGGAGGCGCCTAGTGCTAGTGAGGATTTCTCGTTGCTGGCGACGGCTGTTGGGGCGCCGTATGTGATGTGGATGTTTGGGGGTGTGGAGGAGAAGACTTGGGATGAGGCTGTTGCGAAGGGTACGGTGAATGAATTGCCTAGTAATCATTCGCCTTACTTTGCGCCGGTGATTCAACCGACTCTGCGGACGGGAGTGGATGCTATGGCTCTTGGAGCGTTGACTTTCTTGGGACGGAAATGAAGGATGAATTGCATAGGGTACTGCCAAACTCGAAATCAGATCCCCTTCTTGCACACGTAGATTATTTCCCAAACGATAAGCTCGATTAAATTAGCGACCTGCAGGCCCCTCATCTCTGGCCGCAATTTGCCGGATTTCATAGAGCGTCTTGCTGGAACTACGCAAGATATCTACATATATTCGAAGCTGCGAATCAATTCATTCAAAGTAATATCGACTCTAGCTACAGTAAAAATATGTAAAGACGAAACCCGTTCAACGATCTACCGTCACTTAGTTTAACTCGTAGGGCAATTTTCTTTGGGTTCACCTTGGTCTGTCAAAGTTTTTATAGAACACTACCGAGGTACGCTGTTAAGAAGCTAGTAGTGTTCCCTCTTGGACTGGATCTCTATATTCTTGAATGCTTGATTACGTCTGCAAGTTGGAAGATGCCGAAGTCTGTAAGTATTTACTAGTCACCATCTCAACAGAATATCGGCCTATCCAGATCAGTGAACTAGCCGCTTTTATCAACGTGCCTGGTACTGGCGGGAGAGGGAGTTACATAAAGATAACTGAATCAAAGACTCGATAATTCCCTGGAAAGTGCAGACGTGTACTTCCAGTATACCAGTGTAAAAGTAGAGGAGATTCTGCTTAGCTAACCTGTAGCGAAGTTCGAAACTAATCTCAGTTTTTATCTGAAGTGGGTTCTTTTGCCTTTTCAGATGTTCTTGCCTGTGGCGAAACAAAATCGCAAGTTAACAGTACGAGGGCTGCACTTAAAACAATATCGGACAGGTTTAATCAAGACGTCCGTCTGCATTGTTAAAAAAATTCATATAAATTGATCATATCTGTGCAAAATTGAACTCACTGCTTTAATCATTGAAGACTGCCCCTAGCTGATCAATATCTTCTCCTGCCCTTCCATAGAACCCATATAGCTTTCTACCATATGCAGGTTGAATACATTGGACACCGCCGATTCCTCCAGCCTCGAAGTAGTCCCTATCCTCATGTGTCATCGAGTCATGAGTCCCGATTCTTAGTGAATGCACACGGCCGGTTGATCCGTATATATACATCCAGTAAATGGGTTGATTGCCGGAAAAGAAGTCAAAATTGGTGTGCAGTATGCTCTGCTCTTCTTTTGGCGGGCAAGATCCAGCCTGGCCTAGTTCGACGTGGCCCAGTTCATCCTTGGCCCATCTGATTTTGATTCCCTTCAGGACAATATCTTTCTCAAAATTATCACTGCCTCTGCCGTACCATACGTCCAGTTGTTCCACAGGCCTATTGTCACGCCAGAGGTTGAATATCTCGCCACCATTACCACCAACAGTAGGGCCCATCTGAACCATGATGTAGAGTAATGGTTTTCCGGGTGTTATAAAGTAGAGATTCAGGTTTGATAAATTCAACAAAGTGTAAAAAGTATTCTTGAGGAGATAGGATACCTACCCATATTTGTACCTCTGGCTTTTGCCTCCTTCCACGAGAGCAAATTAGCACTCAGACATCTCGATCCTTTCTAACAGCATACATCTATTGTGTAGTTTCGTCATCCTTTACATGTTAGGTCCCATGACCTATTACATGGCTTAAACGAAGACGCATTCGGTTATGTTCCAACACAAATCATAACTATCAACATACTACCATGGGTACATGAAAGTATTGTTGTAGGTTCTAGAACATATTATCTAATAATAACGCGTGGGTTACCCGTTGAGTGGTACCGAAGATCAGTATATTTAAGGGTTCAGGGATGAAACGCGTAACTCCATTAATGGATTGCACTTGGCAGCGAAACCCTGAGGCGTTAACGCTTCATAGTGGAGATACGGACTAGAATAGTTATAATTCTAATAGTATCTAGAAATCAATTAAATTATTGCTAAATTTGAGATAGTAATGACAATCCCCAGAAGTATGTGCTTATAGTGCAATCGATCACTCGGTGTGGGATTATATGACGTGCATTGATATTGCACGTGTTTTCTTTTGAATACGTGTTAGAGGGGGAGGGGGGGGGGGGTTATTCTCTAGAAGAGTATACGGTGAAATAACCTGACAACGAAGGCAAATTTAGCCGCGTGATGATTTATCTCTGCGTCAACGGGCAATAAAAAGCATTGAATTAGCACAGCTTGGCAGAAATCTAACCCATGCTAGGAATATATCTCGATTGCTAAAATTATGCATCTTAGATGGTAAAAGCTTGCAATAATTATGGATCTATGTCTGTATCCCTTCCCTTGCCCAGTATCATTTCTGTGAGTGATCGTTGAGCGAAGGACGATAACGAGGAGCGATAGCGGAAAGGCGACGAACCACTCGCACCTCGTGCCGCCTAGTTTGTTTGGTTTGTTTACCGAGGTGGTTCTACGCACTCTACTGTAACATGGTCCATACGACTCTGATACGTTGACTATTATGATGTCACTATTTATTACCGTATATGGTTAGGGCTGGAAAAACAATCTGTGAGTATACGCCGGGGAATCTGATTTCGAATTCGGCAGTTCAATTAGGGTTATGTATAGTTAGTAGAAGTATCAACATAGTCAACACTCGATAGTGCATATTATCTGGCAGGACGCTTCCAGTCTCGAAATGAACCTCTGTATACTCTTACATCCCAATCCCAAAGGGCTCGTAGTTATTCCCTTTATCCTTTCCCACATGCACCACAATCTTCCCCCTCGTCCGTCCCAAGCGAAGCTTCTCAAACGCCTTCACCACGTCCTCAAACTCAAACACACTATCCACTTGCACCTTGACCACACCTTCTTGCAACCACTCTCCCAACTGCACCAAATGCCTTTGCACAGGTTTATACATCAACACGACATATCTCCTCCTTCCACCCCCCAAAAACGCCGGCCACGCCAATCGCCCAGCCTGCGTCGTCATACTCGACGCCCCAACCTGCACAAAGACACCCCCCTCCTTCAAGAAATGATGACACTCGTAATACATCTCCGCCGGCGTCCCAATATGATCAAGAATATGATCAAACACAACCCCCCTCGTCTTCAACGTCCCCACAAGATCCTTCTCCGCCGTATAATCAAGAACCTCATCTGCTCCCAACCTCAAACAAAGCTCCATATTCCTCGTCGAGCAAATCGCAGTAACATGACACCCCATCTGCTTGGCAATTTGAATCTCAAACGTCCCACATCCACCCGAAGCCCCATTAATCAACACCTTATCGCCAGCGTTCACATACCCCTCCAAACTCTGCAACGCAGTCTGTCCCGCAATCCCCAGTGTAGCCGCAGAATCAACCTTGACTCCCTCCGGCACAACCGCAATCTGATCCGCCGTCACCAGCGTATACTCCGCCAGGGAACCGAATTTAATCGGATGCGCGGCAGCTCCGCAGACAAGCTCTCCCTCGCGGAAGTGTCGCGCCAGGGGTCCTGTCGTAACGACCCGGCCGCAAAAGTCTATCCCGGGGGATGCGGGTGTGCCGATGTATAGGCGCGCGGGGAGTCCGAGTTCGGGGACTTTGTAGTCTGCTGGGTTTATGGAGGCGGAGAGGACTTGGATGAGGACTTGGGAGCCTTGCGGGGCTGGGGGTGCGCGAGCTGCTGGGTCGAGGTGGAGGTTGTTCTCCAACCCGCCCGAGGTATTTGAGTAGAGCCAGGCTTTCATTGTTGAAGGGTGTGGTGGTGGTGGGAGGATGTCTGGGTTGGGAGGTTGATTTGACATGTTGTGGATTAGGGAGGTGCTTTGGTTGTGGTTGATTTGCTTTTGCGTGGTGCCCGATGTGGCCTGATTGATGCGCTGGTTGGTGGATCGCTCTGTGGTTGATTGGCGGGATTCGGGGGATCCTTCGAGAGTGGAGGGTCTAATGCCAATCGTGATGGAATGGCGGAGAGAAGACCGAGGTTGTGTTTATTGGTGGTTGCCAAGGTTGTTTCACGTTTGATGTTTGATGGTCGGCGATGATTTCCAGTTGAGAATTGAGATGGTCATAGCTTCAGGAACACTGCGGGGCCGGATATTTCGGCCCGAAGTATGAGGTGTCCATCTACACAAGCTCAACTTGCAATGAGATAGTCTTGATATTGTGTCTATGGTCAAAAGAGTGTCATCAAGCAACCTCTAGCTGGCCTCTTAAAAAGACATCCACCTTGGCGATCCCCATCGTATCTCGCAAGAACCGCAATATCGTCTTGAACCACTGGGCTCTCTGCGCAAAGTCCTGACTCTGAACCAACTCATTCCGCAAGCACACCGAGCTAGTAAATATAGGCCAGAGAATTCTATATGCACATAGTCCAGGAACTTGATCTGGAGTGGCCGGGTCAGATGTGCCGTCGGGTGAGATATCGAGGGCGTAGGGCACCGAGCAAGCAATTTCGTCGGTAAGAGTGAGGATCATGTCCAGGCTATGAGACTTGATAGTGGTGAGAGCTAAAATCGGAGATTGAAATGTCGATATAAAGGAAATAATCTTTGAATGGAGTGAGAGTCTTGTCGATCGACACCCATTCCAGTCGCATGCAGCTAGGCGATTTGAATATCGGGTAGCGTACTCGGGTGAACCGGGGGAGTCGAGAAGTTCTCTAGTCCAAGATGGACGGTTGTTATTAGTGATAGGGTGTGTTGAAACATGTGACCATTCTAAAGGTAAAGAGTGACACCAAGATTGAAGCCTGAGATCTATCGAGAGCGCTTCCTGAATGAGGACGAGATCGGCTGCGATCAGCTCTTCGGAGGAGTTGGCTGTCCTGGAAATCGTGCGCTCTCGTAATTTTGAACATGTTGATGCTGCATCTGACATGATCACGACGAGTCGTTTTTTCAATTCCATCGGGAATGGAAATTCTTGTATCCACTGCCGCAGGAGTGCCGGAGGCGACTTAGCCTCGGTCAGGTAGTATATGACCTTGCAATAATTAGTCGAAGTTCCCAACCTAGTACTCTAGAACGATGCACAGATTCGTTTTCTTACCAAGTTCATACATAAGATAGCGAGGTAATGATCGCCATCCGTCAAATTCTTGTTATCCCGTTGGGCAATCACGGACTGTGTGCCTTGCATGTGTGTGATCCAAGAGCCATCACGCCGGCCTGAAGTAAGCATCTAAGACTCAGAGTTAGCTCACCATGAGCGTAAAGAGTTTGCTATGAATCAAGAAGCGACTGGTAATAAACGCACCTCATACATCCCCAGAAGCCAAATGACCATGAGAATCTCGTCACGCTGTACCTCCACAGCATCGTTCATCGTCGTTGCCAGCCTTTGCAGTGCCAGTCCATAGTGTACACTACTCGCTCTTTTCGCTTCTTGCGAGTTGCATCTCCCGTGAAAATTGGCATAAGCTACTGCAGCCACCACGGAGACTAAACAAGAATTCGGAGCCGTCTCCCGAAGTTGATGGCGTAGTCTGCTGAGAGTTCCGGGCCAGGGGATCACAAAGTCATAGTACAGGCGGTTATATGCAAGTTCAGACAACGGTGGGCCAAGTGCCTTTGGAATAATAATCTCTTTGGTATCCACAGAGGGCTTGGTATCCGCTCGTTGGCGCCATTTCTTAGTCGCAGCTACCTGGGCGATCGTGTTCTGATTTCGGTGGAAGAGGTCGAATTGCGATTGGTATGCACATTCGTGGTTACCTTTATGGCAACGATAGCAGGATGGTTTATTCTCGTCGCACTGAAAGGTCTGTTAGTATGCCCGGCGAATATGCCCAGTGAGGAGAAACTGGCAACTCACCTTGACTTTCAACTCGCGACACCTCCGACAGCCTTTGCTTGGGCCTCGATTGTTAGGCATTACGACCAGCGAGTGGGCTTCGAGCGCGTCAATTACCACATTGATTATTTCGAGCAGACCAGAGCTTGAATTTAAAGGCCAAAGGGAGTAATCTCTGCGCGGAAGCTGAAGCCAAAGCTGACATGATGATCGACAATCATCACCGCCTCACAGCCTCGCAGCCTCCAAACTTCCCAACTCAATCGCTGATAGGACAACCGCATCCGTTACTACAAAAGGCTTAGCGGCCGCCCCCATTCGATTCTGCAAATCTTAGCCAATCATCACCAGTTAAACTAGGGCCCAGGGATCACAGAACTTGCTCGAATTAGTTTAGCGCAGGGAGGCTTGTCCTAGGCCTGTTGTTATCAAGGCTGAGGTGTGAGAATTTGGTGTTTGGCTATACACTTTGAGCTTCGGGTGGACCGACGCTGCAGAAAGATCAGCAAAGATCATGAAGAATGCTCCACGCCAACGTGGCTGCGCTGTGTCAGATTATAGTTGTGCCTTAAAGATATAAAAGTATGGTTTTGCCCATGGCAATCCAGCAGATTCTCACGCCTTTTGCTTCTTCTCTGCGACGACACTACTTTGTTCAATTCGTTGTTAATCATTTTTGTATCAAGTCATTGATAATTTTCTCGAAAGTCTTGCAACATGGGCTTATTTCACGATAGCAGCAATGATGACACGACGTGTCCAATGCCTAGGCCCCTCGTGGCTGGTTCGTTCCTCTACCTTGGAGCAACGGGTAGTAACAATAAAGCTAATCAAGGGACTCTAGATGCATCGGAAAACTTCATAGGCGAATATACTTTCCACAAGTTTAACATGATTCTTTCCGGTGCTTGTACGGCTGCTACCTGCCTCGTCATCCTATTCACGATGATCAAACACTCTTTACGCTTCAGCAACCCAAACGAGCAGCTCAAGTAAGTCCAATTGCGGGATGATCCCAAAGTCTGACTCAAGATCTGACAAATTTAACTTCTAGAATCATGCGAATTGCTACCTTGTTACCCATCTACTCGATCCTATCTTTTATCCCTATCTGTTTCCCAAACAGCTATGTCTACGTTACCGGCTGGGTAGAAGTCATTCAGGGAATTGCCCTCTACACCTTCCTCATGCTGCTTTGCGACTTTCTTGCTCCAAATGACCGAAACCGTGTGTTCTTCTTTGCATCTCTAAGAATCCCCGGTAGGATGGACAACAACAAGACAACAGATGGATTGACATGGCTCCAAGTTGGTCATCCATACATCTTTTTGAACCTTCAAAACCCAGCTAATTTGGCATGATTTAGAAAACATGGTACTTGGTCCTCCAGTATCCCATTGCCGCCTTTTTGATCGCCATCGCAGAATGTATAACCGAAGCAGCTGGTGTCTACTGTCTGGAAAGCAACAATGGACACTTTGCTCATCTTTGGGTATGGATGATATATCATAGAGATGAAGACTCGGATACTGACATATCCATAGCTTAACATCATCCGAATCATATCCCTCGGTCTTGCAATCATGGCAACTCTTCGATTTTACACCAATCTCAAGTCTCATATGCAAGATCACAAGCCATTGACAAAGCTGCTTGCGTTCAAGCTGGTCGTTGGCCTGGTTTTCCTGGAACAGGTAAGATGGATTTCAGCGGAAATTTTTAATACGCAGAACTCTGATATGTTACAGATTATTTTCATGATCCTACACTCAACAGACGCTCTTAAGGAAACATCAAAGCTGAGCTATGCCGACGTATACATCGGAATACCGACTATGATCATTTGTATCCAAATGGTTCCCTTTGCATTCTTCTTCAACTATGCATACTCTACCAAGCCTTACCGAGTGAATGACAGCAGTGCCCGCCACGGCAACCCCCAGGAATATCTCGCTGTTGAAGAGAACGAGGCGGGCAGAACTTATAAGTCTCGCCAGTACCAGGGTGGCCCTCTCGGTATTTACGCTTGGCTTGCCTTTTGCAACGCCTTAGAGTTCTTCCGTGAGATTACATCAACATACCGTATGTTTCGAGAGGGTCGGATGAGAATGGCAGGTCCTATGGTGTCGCAGGAAAGCTATCCCATGCAGTATGGCATGTAAAGCTTTGGGTCCTCGTTTCTAACTTCCTTCATTTCTTGTTTTGGCTTGTTCTAAATTATGCTGTCTATTAGACTACTTGGAAGACCGGGAGTATGGCGTTGATCTTTGAGGGCATGGATTATAAGCGATTGCTGTTTATGTGTATCTACAGCGTTGTGAATCACACAATGTGCGAAATGAAGCATATCACAATATGATAAAACATCTAGGTTTCATCTTGAACTCAAAAGCTGCCACATCTAGATAGCTGAATATTTCCCCGACTGGTCAGGTAAAGGCGAAGAGTAATCATCATCATCTAAATCCAGCATCTGTATCCGATGATGGGTCATCTGCTCCTCGGTCAGTGTTTTGACCTGCTTCTGCATTCGACCCTCTTCCTCAAAGCCTCCCTCACTATTGAGCTTCTCAGCTGCAGCAGACGGATCCTCTTCTTTCACTCCGGCTTCTCGCTCATTGCGAATTCGCTCTTCTTCTTGTTTCTTGTCTTCATCTGCCAATGCAGCTTCTTCACGTTCAATCTCACTCTGGTCAAGATCTTGTAGCCCAATGGACGTGAGAATGCTTCCGAGCAGGTACTGGTACCGAAGGTGGCCACTAATCTTCTCACTGAAATTGAGGTTCTCGACACCAGGAACGCCTTCGATGGGCTGTAGCCCGGCAACACCATACTGAAGACTGCTGGTCCGATAGAGGAACGCAAGAACTGAATCATTCTCAGAGTAAACATTGACAACTCTGCCACTCACGACACTGCGAATACGGCGCCAAGCCTCACCATCTGACGGGGTCGGAGATCCCATGAGGATGACGGACTCGACGAGCCCGTATGCCCCCCGCCGACATAGACTTTGCAGACAAGAGTAAATCAGGCGAGATCCAAGGGAATAACCAATCAACGTAACGGGTCGTTCACCTTGGGCTTTATCAATAAGTGCGTTGGCCAGAACCTCGCCAGCCTTGTCAGCTCGAGACTTGGCAACACTGAAAGGGTTATCAACCACACGGGCGACTTTCATGAGACCCACTGGGAGCATCACCGCACTCATGATGGCCGCAAAGAATGTTCGACTAAGGATCTCTCGTCCAGCGACCGACCATGCAGCACTAGTTACCAGCGCAGAAATCGCATTTCCAAGATTCAACAGGGATTCAGTCTCCCAGCGCAGGGCAAACACCTCCGAGTCTGCCCCGACGACACGCCATGGAATCACAAAGTCTGACTCTTCTTTTACCCATCCGGTAACGCCAATTGTGACACGAAGACGGTGATCTTGTTGAGCAGCCTCACTTTCATTCTCCGTTTTTTGCTTCCGAGCTCCTCGAATTGGAATGAATGCAAAGTCTTCAACCTCGCGGGCATACTGGTCCATCATGCGACCAGTCATACGGCCGCCATAGGCACCAAAAAGACCGCCAACTAACACGCTGCTACCAGCAAGAGCACCTAGATACCCAGCTGCTGCAGTGGCACCAAGGCCGAGTCCGCCCATGATGCCTCCAATTCCCGCAGCTACCAGAGGCGCTGCGAGACCACCAGTGATGCCGATGAGAGCAGCACCAGCGACGGATGCAATGCCGACTTTCCATGCTCGACTATTGTCTTTCTTCTTAGGTTCTGCTTTGTTCTCTGGCTCTTGTGAAAGTGCCAGAACTGTGTCTAGAAGCCCTCGTGCCACTTTGACTTCATTCTCGTTGAGTACTTTCACATCAATCTCCAAGCTGGACGAGACATACAGCAACAGTACCCGAGAGTATGCGCTGTAGTGCTTCAAACTGAGCAGCAGTAGTAGAAGAGAATGCAGAATGAGCAGCCTGGTAGTTTTCGGAAGCTGGAGTAGTGGTGTCTCGATAGGGTGGTAAACTTGGCGAAGTTTGTCCATTCTCTCTTTGTCCTCCTCTAATGGGATATCATCAGATTTGGCAGCATCCGAGCTGTCCTTTTCTTGGACCTCATCGTCCTTGTTAACGACCTGACCAATTCGTAATAGAACCGCATCTCTCCAATTTTCAAAATGGGCGACCGTCTTCTTCTTAGCGCGGGCTTTAGCCGCCGCCACAGTAGCATTCCTCCTAGGAGGGGGTCGTTGTCGCTGTTCTCGCGGTATCGCGCTCTCTCCCGAGGCTGGACTTGATTCATCCTGTGGCCTGGTAGGTAGCGGTGGTGCTTCCTCCTTCTTTTCAGAACCGGGGCTCTGATCTGGAGAATATTCATTTGTTGTAGAGATTGGCTGGGGATTCTCGAATATCTCAAGAAGTCCAACTCGCATTGATTCCGCGATCTCCGCTACCAAGACTGTGAGGTCGGCGCGTTGCGACCGGTCCAGGATTGACGTCAGATCTTGTCCACGATCATCGCCCGCGGCAGCAGGTGTATTGGATCGTTTGGACTCGAATAGCGACGCATTTCTTGCTTTGAAGTTTTTGAACATTGAGATGGAAAAAATATAGTTGTTCTAGCATGCAACGGGCTTTTATAAAGCAAGATGATGTCCCGAAGCTTGGAAGTAACGTTGTAAAGAGGGGCTGATCATCTTGGCTGGGGGCTGGAACACCCTGAGCCTCAGGCACCAAGCAAGCTATCCCCGAAAGCAGCGATGGATGACAACAACGAAGAATGATTGAACTCAAGTCCTATAGTTCATGCGACCTAGTGTGAGCAGAGATTATTACCCAACATCTATAACCATCTCTTATATATCATATAAGTGCACTTCCGGGATAATTGTGATGGATAGCTCCTGTGAATACGTTACATAGATTGTGATTGAACGCAGATTATGAAGTCTTGATAAATTGTACTCTAGGTATCCTTCATGGTATCTTCTGAAAAGCCCTCTCCTCAACGGCGTACCCTCGTTTCTAGAACCGATTCGTTGCCCCTAGGAGAACTCCAAATCTGAACTAGCTCTAGCCCTACTTGATCGAACAGACTCTTCCATTGGGATACGGTTCGTTCAAGCCCTGCAGTATGAAGCCACATGAGGATATCCATTTCCGCAGCCCGAAGCTCAGAGCCAGTGTCTGGGAGGACATAGTCGTCAATCAACAGGGTCGAGTACTCAGGGTCCATTGCCTCGACAATTCGAGACAGGATTTGAGCGCTCTTGGCATCAGACCAATTATGTAGGACGTCGCGAAGAAAGTAAATACGGGATCCTATGCACAGTCATTAACAATCAGCTTTCTTTAGGGGGCGAGAAATCGGCAGTTGGTAACCAACATACCTTTAATTGGCTGAGGGGTGAAAAAGTCATACTCCATCGCCTCGACTCCATCGGGCAATTTCTCAACCCGCTTCAGGGTCAACGGGAGATCCTGTAATATGAATCGACCTGGAAGCTCGGGGTACTTTTCCTTGAGTCGGGCAATCTCTTGCCCTGGTCCTCCTCCAATGTCTACCATGAGGGTTGCTCCAGACTCTGTCCGAGCATCTTGTACTTTCTCTGCTGCAGGGTAAATGTCAAACCACTGTGGCATGTCTTCCACACGCCGCGCAGCCATGTAGTCATCAAATGCTTGTTTCTGTTCGGGATTTTTCTCGAGTAGCCCAAATATCACGTCTGTACCATGTGCGTATTTGAATAGGGTGACAGCATCGGGCTCGTCCGCGAACTGTTGGATTCCGGGGCCACGCATGTACTCGACCAATTTCCCGCCCTTTCACCATTAGTCCCGGAATGCGAATATGTACTTGGGTTAATTTAAATCTCACCATTCCAAAATCTAAATCAAAGCTGCAATTATGTCAGCGATGAACGCCGTGTAAAACTTTGGTTGCGCAACGTCACCTACTGGTGTTTCTCAGCCGCAATTGACCCCGGTAAAATCTTGAACCGAGTTTTCTCGTTAGCAGCATAGAGCTGATTTCCAACTTCATCGCATAGACCAATGGCCGTCAGGACGCGCATAATTCGGATCGTGAGAAGCAGATCCGATTTTGTCTCCTGGGAGATCTCCGCGGCGGAAATGGGCTGACCATCCTTGGCCGCGATAACATGGAGATATCCATATTCAACTGCGACGCGAATGGATATGTTCTGCATAATCTGTGTAACCAAAACGTTAGATGTGAGCTAATCGCTAAGCAAGTGCTGTCATCATTCCGCTTACTTGAAAGTTAAGCCGCGATGTTGTTTCGAGAGGGGTCTCTGCCGCGAGCTGTAACTCACGAATAGCTCTGAGAAGATCTGCATGGGCATCTTTGTCTCCTAATGCCTCATGGCTAGCAAGAGTCAGGACTTTAGCCAGCGCTTCGTTGAAAGCCAAAGGCATTTTGTCAATAATGCGATGCTATAGATGGGCCAAGAATTTGCAGTTTCTGGAGAGGAAAGAAACAAGAACCACGGGCATCAATTTGGAAGAACCCATGTTAGCCGTAAAGGCGTGAATGCTGTTATCATTGTCAATCATTTCGAAGAGCGGGGAAATTGATGCATCGAATCCCTTTGCATGCGAAGCGAACTACTGCAACCAACTGTTTGCGAGTCATGGAAGTGGAGTGTTATCGGGGAGATCATCCTTTGATGCGGGAAGCCCCCTGTTTAGCTTCAAGTTGGCACACTGTCACACCAGTTGGAAGCCTTGTGCCCTCTTGACCAAACACCCCCCCCTATGACCACAAACTTCAGGCAGAAGCATAATTGTTCGAGTGTAAACTGCCAGATCTCGGAATGGCGCCGCTTAACCACATGAACTAGGCGAGAATTGAAGTTTGGCCTGAGCCCTCCTTGCATAGAGCGGAAGCCACATCCCAAGCTAACCTTTTGCACGCAAGTCTATTGTGCATTAGTTGGGGATTTTCTATCCCTAGAATCATGACTTGCGTGTTCAATCTTGGGCGTGATTCCGCCAGTAGCCCCGAAGATAGAGGCATTAACATGGAATTCTTTATTTCCATAGTACGAAGTCAGTACCTTTTTTAAGGTCGGCCGCATGTCTTTACCCGTCGATATGAATGTGGCTGTGTATCATTGGAAGAGGCTCCCATGCAGCTACAAGGATCACCAAATTATTTACAAGCCGGTATCCGTCTTGAATTACAGTATACGCCGTATGGATGGACTCCGTCGGTGATCTTCGGCCATTTTGGACTTCTACACTTCCAGAGACGTTTCCTAGGGGTTCGTTTCCTAGCCAAATCACATACCTCGAGAATGCCTGAAGATGTGGTAGAAGAAGCATTAATTATAGGGTGAGACTGCTGCCACCCCCCAGATTTCCCGCGCGTACCCCCTAGGGCCTTAGATCTCTGCCTGGCGGGCTTCGAAAGATGAGTACAAGCATGTTAGCGGAAGGTCCTTTGAAATACCTTTCCGGAAGCTCTTTTGAGATGTCTTTCCGGATGGCCCACATAATACCTCTCCATCTAAGCAGGTAACTGTCTTTCAAAGTATGTCTAATAAGATGATTTTGATGTTTGGTCAAGATTTTGAACTTGCCACAAAACTCCACTATATAGTATACTACGTGTTGTTATCTCACGCAGAAATCTAAGACCCCCGAGGGTGCGAGCGGAAAATCCAGGGGGTGGCAGCAGCTTTACCCTACTTATATTACATCGTTCAATAAGAAAAATTCATGACTTCTGGTCTCTGTAATTGACAAACGCACTCCTTTCGTATAAAAACTTCATCTTAATCAACGTGACTCGCCGTGGCAGTGCTCGGACACCACACTCGTGTCTTTCGTCACCAAGATATGTCGGGTATCATTTGAAGGCGAGTCACCATGTAAATCGCACTCGGTGTCATGAGTTGCGTCGGCATAGGCAGAGCTCTGGGATGCCCAAGTCCCTGGTATCTGCTCATTCAATTGCACCCAAGACTCTCGCTTATTATTACTCCCATCGCTATACCCACCGGTGTTGCTGCGATTCTTGGAAGAGTAGCCAGTCACACTCTTGATGTCTTGTGTGAATCGAACGAAAAATGGGCGTAGAACAGGTATTGATCCAAATATGATGATGAACCACATTTCGGTCAAGACCCATGTGTTGAGTTGGTATATCGCATAGGTCAGGTCTTCAACGTGCGTAATGGAGGCAATGGCAATGGTTTTGTTGATTCCTGCTATACCAGCACTGCGAAGAAGTTAGATATGCGTTTTATATTTGGATCCCAATGGAGGACTCACATCAAGCCTCCTCCCATAATGAGGCACAGTCCGATTTTGGTCGATAGCTTCATCAATTGTAGCCGGCCAATGATGTATACAGGGTAGGCAGCCAAGAAGAAGTCTGCAGCCGCTCCGATACCTAAGCATGATTAGAAACCCATTATCACTTGATGGTGGTCAACACGTACTGCCTTGAACAAATCCAACCTTTGAGCAGATGTCAATCATATCGCACTTGCCGGGGAGATTGATATCCCACAATTTCTCAGTTGGTGTGCATTGTTTGAAGATCAAGATGATCTCGATAAAATTGATGAGAGCCTGAATCCCCCCAACGCTGTATAGTAAATACTTGCTCTTGCTCATCGTCCTGTTCTGAATTGTCATGAGGAATGCGATCACGGCTATCCGAGCAATTACTAGATCGATAATGGCAAGTACTTGGGCAATCCAACTCCATAGGTTTGTTTTGACGATATTATCGTAGGCGAGAAGATCCTGGTGGTTACCGAGTCCATAGCGGGCGCTCACTGTCATTGTGACCTGAGCCGACAAAGCGACAGTCTAATCAGGTCAGTCGGTCGGCCAGCCCCTCTTTGCAAGGTTGAGTATAGAGAAGAGTCCACATACAAACGCCAATATCACCCACACGAAATCCCATCGTAGTCCAAAAAAACCAGATGACAGCTGGCCTTGGGGGTATACCGAAGCAGTCTTTGCCCGTAAAATGAACAGAATAAAGGCAAGACTCATCTCTGCCCAAGTCACCCCTAGAATCAAGGGGCCTTTGCCTCCATAGGAGACACTTGGCGACTGCGTCATGTCTGCGCGACGAAAGTCTTGGGTAAAAGGTTGGGGAACATGAGCATGTTATGATCAGGCAAGTCTTGAGAAAAGGCAATAACTCTGTATTTGTTGTTATATCCTGGTCAATGGTTTGTTATCGGTGCGTGCAAACCATCCAAGGGTCTCCTTCCGATCGTCAACCCTTCCTAAATTCCTAATTAGGGCAACACATAATGCATGCTTAGCTAATAATCAGCGCCTCACGGGGGTAATTATCATTCTCAACCAGCTGGACGCTCTTCTGTGCTACGATAATCGTTTAATCATTGTCCAATTGCGAGATATTCTGGGCAGCTCAGATCAGTGGAGCCAGCCATGATACATCACGTCTCCACCCCGAACCTAAAGGCTTGGGCTTGCCTCCCCGGTCAATCTCCCACACTTAGCGCGCCCTAGCTAGTGGGGACTGGCCGGGGGTCGCCTAGCGTTGCCGAACCATCCCTTGAAGTCTTATGCACGGAGGTCTGTATGATCACGGCCTCCGAAGGCCGGCCCAAAGAACTGAATTTTACAAAGAAATCATGTAATAATGAAAGTACGTGCAGTTCCAAGGCAGGGGTAGGCCAAACAAGTCCATGTAAATTTGAAACCCCTTCTCGCCCGGATCACGACTGCTTGCAACTTCGCAATTCTTCCCAATCGTCAGCATTTGGCATGGATCGACAAAGAAGGATAGCCAGACACCTTTCGATCTTGAAGCTGCGGGGATATTATAATGCAAAGTAGGTAAGTCATGGCCATGAGCTTCGATGCAACTTACGCGTGGTATCGGAGATAAATGAATGCCCGAGATGCCCCTGGATTGACCGATCTCAATCCATTCAGAGGTATCTGAGGGCCAAATCATATGGACTCATTTTCGGCGCCACGTCAAAGCACTCTAGTTCTTTGACTTGTTCATTACTAGGGGTATTCATATTCCTGGCCTTGCCATGGCGTGCCCGTACGACCGTCATGGACTAGAGTTTGAAGGACCCTGCTATTCTTACTTTTCTTTTCTCATCTTCTTCCTTATTCATTGTTCATATCACCATTGCTAGTATCGCATGATGAGTTCTCAACTAATTGTGCCGGCTGAAAAGCCACAGATTCATCTTGGCGACACCGAGATCAATGAGGAAATGGAAGCTCTCGAAGGATACGTGGTTGATCCTAGTCATTATTCAGATCAAGCCTGCCAGCTAAAAATAAGCGCCGACGGTCGCTATGTCCTTATTCCACAGCCGTTAGATACACCCGATGATCCATTGAACTGGAGCAACAACAAGAAGTGGTTGATCGTGGCTATCATTGCCTATATCGCCCTTCTGGCGGACTATACGGGTGGCACGGCTATTATCACGGTTATCCCTCAATCAATGTAAGTTAGAAAATCAAGTATAGACCTCCTTAGGGCGTGACTGAAGCATCGACATAGGGAATGGGGATTATCCCAAGAAACAGTCCAGAGAGCCGTTGTAGGCAATCTCTTCACCATCGGCGCATGTGGACTGTTCGTTGTCCCATTAGCCAGCTACTTCGGCCGTTGGCCAGTCACCCTGGTCTTCCAGTGCGTCATGCTAGGAACTTGTGCCTGGTCCGCCGCAGCAACAAGCTTTCGCTCATATCTTGCAGCGCGTATAATAAATGGCTTCTTCTGCAGCGTCGGCCAAGGCGGAGCCCTAATGTGGATCAAGGATCTCTTCTTCTTTCATCAGCATCCGCAGGTCATCAACTATGTCGAGTTTTCTATTATCCTCAGTCCGTATCTGGGTCCGTTGGTCAGCTCGTTTATTGTATCACATGTGAGCTGGCGATGGACCTTTTGGGTGTGTACAATTCTTGCTGGGGTTGGCCTTGTTGCAGTATTTTTCCTGGATGAAACACTTTTCGATCGAAAGAATCCTCCTCCTTCTCGTGGATCATATCTCTCACGACTGGCCGGAGTTCAACAAGCTAAAGCTCCATCGAAGGACTTCGTTCAGTGCATGGCCCGTCCAGTGGTTGCTATCACTAAGATTCCTGTGTTGACCATTCTCATCTATTACTTTCTAAATTTTGCCTGGGTCATTGGCGTGAATACCACCATCGGTATCTGGTTGAGCAATTTCTACCATTTTTCAGCACGAGGAATTGGTAAGTTTATCTCTCGACTTGCAGCTCATGAAGGCGTTTGGATTGACTCTTGATAGGCTATTTTTATTTCTTTGGCATTGTTGGCTGCTTGATCGGCTGGTTTGCGGGTCATTTTCTACATGATGCTGTCGGAAGATACTACACCAAGCGACACGCTGGCCGTCTCGACCCCGAAGCCCGACTGATTATAACATATCCTGCAACCCTCCTCTGTTGTGCTAGTTTGATCATTCTAGGCTTTGCCTTTGAAAAACACTGGCATCATATGGTGCTTGCAGTATTTGCGGCAGCTCAATGTGTTGGCGTCATGATCATCACCACTGCCATCAATGCTTACCTGTTGGACTGCTACCCCGAAGGATCTGGAGAGGTCGGCGCATGGGTCACGGCCAGTCGCAATTGGGCAGGCTTCATGGCAACGTATATTCAGATTGACTGGGTGGCGCGTATTGGGCCTGCCAAAGCCCTCGGGATTCAGGCGGCCATCACATTCGGGTCGTTGTGTTTCATGGTGTTTCTGCAGATGTATGGGAAGCAGATGAGGCAGGGGCAGGGGCGGATGGTATTTGGGAAGAAATAACGGAGGTTTAGGAGGATCGTGCCTGCCGGTATGTCGTAAATATGACCGGGCGTGGTTGTATATAGGTTCACTATGATCACTACGATTTATGAATACGCATTGATTAGCTGAGTATAAGCCGAGTCAACGCCAAAATCGGAGGACTTTTAGTCAAATGCATTGCCAAGGAATAACGAAGGGCAGGGAAATAGCTGCCCGGGGTATAGCATTATATAGTACATGAAAATAGAACAGGCTAAACGGCATCATAAGCCGAATAGCATGAGGCTTGGTTAGGAATTCTTAACCAAGATGATCAGGAAGCTTGGCCGCTGCCCGTCTCAACAACGAAATAGGGTCCTTTCTTCTTAGAAGCGGACTCAAGGGCATTTCCATTCCAGATAGCTTCTTCAGGGCGACCATTCCTTGCACTGGGCACACGCTGAACTCTCCGCCTTCGCCCACTCACGAGCTCTTTGGCAAAGGCATCTTTGAGCCGGTCAAGCCCAATGGTCACTTCCTTCCTTGCGGCCGGGCTCTCATCTCGGATACTGCGCAGTGGCTCAATGCCCGTTGTATCAACTCGCTGCATTTCTTGCACGAAGTGTATTTGTGATTCGAGGGTCCGTAGCATGGACTGCTCTTGTTCGGGGCTGGATGGTTGGGGAAGAGCTGATAGGCGAAGGAGATGGCGCAATTGCTTTGGGGTGACAGTTGTTTCTGATTGCTCTGCAGCTTTGTTTGGAAGTAGAGAGCGGACAGACCAGCTTGGCTCAGCTAAGATGGATTCAATGTCGAGATTCTGGGGTTTGGACGAGTAGCGGCGTGGGAGACACGGATTGCGAGCGATTGACCGCCATAGCTGGGCGCCTGCACGATAGCTGGCCATTGTCATAGTTCCACCAAAGACCTATGATCAATAATCCACGGAAACTCGGTGGAGTTGCGACTAGTTTCAACCACCGATCGGTGCAGTTTGCGCGCGAGGCTAAGTTGAAGAAGCAAAGCTGCGGGATGCGGGCGACCAAAAAGACACCGCCTCGGACCCACAGATCGATGCTCTCATCAACATCACCGATCCACCTGGTCAACACTTCCCCTCTTCCACCTACAAATCACTGCGGATTTCCCTCTGCAGAATATCACAATTTGCCCACCATGGCCCAAGACCCTCGTGCCCTCCTGCAAAAAGTGAGCTCGCTTCGTGTCCTCCCCATCTGCTAGTGCCTCTAGCTAGGCAATGACGAAAGCCTAGCCATAGCTGACTATGTCTCGTACCCCGCGAGCAATCAGGCCGATAAAGCCCTTTCCAGCGCATCGGGTGGCTTTAGCTGGTTCGGTGGACGCTCAGAGAAATATGAAAATGCCGCCGATCTGTATACCCAGGCTGCAAATGCCTTTCGAGTGCAGAAGATGAGTGAGACATCCCCCTCCAAGTTGCCACGCCCACTGCCTGCTGGCGCTTAGTTGTCATATTACCTTTTACCATGTACTAACGACACCCCTCTCTTTGCGCAATAGATAAGGAAGCCGGTCAAGCCTTCGAGAAAGCCGCCTCCGTCCAAACTCAAAACCTCAACGAGCCCGATGACGCCGCCAACAATCTCCAGGAAGCGTTCAAGGTCTACCGCAAATCGGACCCGGAGGATGCAGCCCGCGTGTTGACTAGTGCTATCAATCACTATGTACTACGCGGAAACTTGCGCCGTGCTGCGACGCAGCAGCAGTACCTGGCAGAGCTGTACGAAGTCGAGCTCGGCGATATGAAGAAGGCTTTGGATGCATATGAGAAGGCAGCGGAATGGTTTGAGGGCGACAATGCCGAGGCGTATGAATTCCCTTTGTTGAATACTGTGAAGAACTAAGAACTAACCATCGCTCCCAATCAGTCTTGCGAACAAGCACTTCCTGAAGGTGGCCGACCTGGCTGCCCTCGAAGAGGACTACTACAAGTCTATCACAAACTATGAGCGCATTGCTCGTCAGTCCATCACTAACAACCTCATGAAGTGGTCTGTTAAGGACTACTTCTTGAAGGCAGGAATCTGCCACCTTGCAACAAAGGTATGTCCAGAGATCTACGGTAACCATCCACAGAAATCTCTAACCCATCTCCGTGTTCAGGATTTGGTTGAGACCACACGAGCTCTCGAGACCTACCGCGAGATTGACCCTGCATTTGCCTCGACCCGGGAGCACCAACTCCTCGTCGACCTGCTCCAAGCTGTAGAGTCCGGTGATCAGGAAGGCTTTGCCGATAAGCTCTTCCAATTTGACCAGCTCAGCAAGCTGGACAAGTGGAAGACCACTCTTCTTCTGCGGGTTAAGAACAATATCGAAGAGGCAGAGGAAGATTTCTCGTAGACGATGCTTGGATTGATTTTTCTACCTTTGATTCCCCGCCTATGCTGTGCAAAGGAATGTCTAGTTATTTGGAGGGCTCTTTTGTGCCAATTTTATGCTTTCTTGCGTATGTAATCGCGTTTTGACACTACTGTCCGGCTGGAAGTGAATGCAGGTTGTTGGCGATTTCCTTGATGCTGAAATGAGTGTGGTGGTTAGCAGCTGTGTAGACGGTACCCAGTGAGTGCAGAACGGGTTTGGATATTTAGACGAGATTGATGGTAAGATGAAAAAATCGTAATTCATTATGAAGTGTTTCAAGTCTATTTACTTTTGTGAGGTGCATCGTGACGCCAATCCTAATGATTCAAATATCGAGGTAATATGTCTCATCAACTCATTTACTTTCGAAAATATCATCCCATCCATCCGTTCAACACAAGCCGTAGGTCCCTTTAGAAAATCCGTTCCAGGGCCTTTGCGCGACGAGGGAAGACACGCTTGTACAGACTGATGCCAATAGAGTCCTGAGGGTTGATCTTGGCATCGAAAGTAGCCTTGAAGTAACCGTGTGTACCCAGGCTCTCCTTGATGTATCCACTGCGACCGCGGCGGGTCCAGAGCTGAAGTGCCTTGAACCACTGGATGTCCTCCGAGTTGAAGAACATGTACCGAACGGTGACGACCTTCTTGTGAATCTTGTACGGGTGTCCAGTGAGAATTGCGCGCTTGGCGATAACACGGTTCGGGTCGGGAGCGATGACCGTGCCGGTACCAATAAGCTCCAGACCATCCATAGACAGCGCCTCCGGTTGGGCATCGGCTGAGTCGAGTTCCTCTGGGTCCTCCTCCACTTGCTTCTTCCTGAAGACGAGAACCGGGACGGCACCCCAGGTCATGGGTCCAATCCAGGTAGCGACCGCGCTGCGGCCGGGGTGAAGGAAACGGTCGAACTTGTGAACGTTGTTGGGGGTGTTGTCGCCGGCAGAGAAGATGGGGTTAACAACCATGCGGCGGGCACCAATCTGCACGATAATCTCTTCCTTGGACTTGACAGGCTTCTCAATGCTGGAGCTCAAGGTCATGTTGACGTTGACCACGGTGTGCTTGTGCTCGTGGCGCAAGAGAGAGAACAGAGCGAGAGGCTGAGCCTTGTGACGGAGCAGGGAGGGAACAGCACGAAGATGCACCTCCACACGCACGCCGGGGTTGACACCGCCAACGAGGGCTTCGCGGATGATGCGGTTCTTGGTACCCTTGTAGTCGCCGAACTGTAGGAGTCGGCGCCAATCTTCAGGCTCGTATGGACGATCTTCGGACGTCTCCCACGGACTGATCTTCATGTTCTTCAAGCCTCGGAAGCGGGCCAAGCGCTCTCGGGCAAGCACATTGGGGTGCAGTTCAATTTCGTCGGGGAACTCAAGGTCATCCTCGGCCTCGGAACGGCGGCTCTTGCGGTACTCCGCCAGCTCTTGGGCCTCATCCTCTGGGGATGGATCCATGAACATCTCGGACTGAGGATACTCTGAGGGGCCGCCCTCTGTCATGGCATCTTCCTTGTCTGCAAAGAAACCGTCCTCGGGAGCACCAGAGACATCCATTTCCATATCCTCATCATCATCCTCATCAACAATGTCAGATCCAGAATCTGAAACATCCTCAAGGTACCAAGCAGACTGATACTCGGAGGTACCCTTCGGCAATCGCTTGGGCTTGGAGGGAATGTGTGAATCGTCGTCAGAGAAGTAGTGGTGGTCATCGAGCAAAACACCCTTCTTTTCAGTCTCGGCCACGGAAACCATATCGTCGTCCATCATCTCGATTTCCTCGGGGGCCACAATTGCCATATCATCCTGGTCGGCAGTAGGGGTTTCCAGGATCTGTGTACCGTCAGTGGCATCGACATTCATAGCATCATCACGCTTGCTCTTGGTCGCTGCCAAAGGAGCTGCAGTGATGGAGTCGATCTGGAAGTCACCCCAGCCAGGGATATGAGCGATGCGGTCGGCCTTCAGGCCCTTTCCACGGACAACACCAGTAATAACGACATCATCCACGACCTCCTCGCTGGCATTGGGCCACTGGACGTCCTCAATGAACATCCAGCTACGCTCATCACGCCAGCGGACACCCTTAGGGGTGGCAGTGCAAAGAGATCGGATGGCGTTGGAGCACTCCTGGCGGGAATCGAGGGACATGACCTTCTCCACTGTGGGGAAAAAGTGGTTGATGAAAGACTTCAGAGAAGAAGCCACCTGGGGGCGTCTTTTGACGGGGTTGACCTGGTCCAGACCCTGGACAACAGTCACGACGTTGGAGATACCCTGGCTCTCGATAGAACGCAGCAGCAGCTCGCCTTCCTCCTCAACCTCGACTTCGGCAGACAAGACCAGTACCACAAAGTCAGCCATGCGGCAGACATCCATAGCATTTACAAGGTCGAATTTGGACTTGATGTATTGGAGGCTCTGGCGGAATCGATCGACGCGCACACGGGTAGGTCCCTCCGCGGTAATCTCGCTAGTAATATCGACACTTTCGTTCAGCGCACGGATTGCGGCATCGGTATCAATATCGGCGGAAAGTGGAACAATGGCGACGTGACGGGGGGCTCCATTCTGGCCAGCGAAAATACTTGCAGCCTGAGCCTTCTCTTGATGCTTCAATTGCTGCCTCTGACGGGCTTGGTTGCGGCGGTCGAGTTTCGACTTTAACTGTTGGTGGGGGGTTTTGCGACTGCCCCGCTCGATCTCGACCTTGCCTGTCAGGGTGTTAGTGCATGAAAATCAGAAATATGTAATGCAGGGAGGCAGTCGATTATCCTTACCCTTTGCCTTCTCCTTCAAAGCGCTCTTGGAGGCATGCTTGGTCTTGAAAGGCTTGTGGGAAACCTTGGTGGTAGACCGATGGTGGTGCACCTGGGTGGGCGCCATATTGGCACTGGACCCTTTGAATCGAAAGGGCAGGGAGTCCAGGTTGAAGTGAGAAGAGAGCGTCTATCAGATAGCGCAATCCTAAAGATCTCACAAAGATAATCGACGAGATGAAAGCGTTCAATCTGCTAGACAGGAAAATAAAAAAATGGCGATAAGAAAACAAAATTCGGCAGTGGAGAGGATAAGCGAGCGGTGAGCGCAAATCTTGGCGCAATTTTTCTGCTTAGCTTTTTCTCCGCGCTCGCGACTTTTTTTTCAAGCAGATTGACGAATACCCGGAAATATTTGCGAAAATGGCGGATTCAGCCTCGAAAAAGGCTGTTGTCACAGCCGAAGACCGCGCTGCGAAACAGAGACTTGCTGAAGCCCAGAAGACCTATGGACGTGGCAAAGCAAACTCGATCAAGACCATCCGCGACAAGAAGATCCGCGGAACCCTCAAGGAGCAGGAAAACCGACACAAGGAAGCGATTTTGAAGGCTAAGGATGCAGAGATCCTGCTTGAGCATGAGGCTGGATTCCTTGAGCCAGAAGGAGAGCTTGAGAGGACTTATAAGGTCCGACAGGATGAGATCAAGGACAGTGTCGGATTGGAGACGGCCAAGAAAGGCTTCGAATTGAGGTTGACCGAGGCTGGACCCTATCGCACAGATTATACTCGCAATGGACGCAATCTCTTGCTGGCAGGACGAAAGGGACATGTTGCGACTATGGACTGGCGTGACGGCAAGCTGGGCTGCGAGCTCCAGCTGGGCGAAACAGTTCGAGATGCGCGCTGGCTGCACAATAACCAGTTCTTTGCAGTCGCGCAGAAGAAGTATGCCTACATTTACGATCACAATGGTGTTGAGCTACACTGCTTGAAGAAGCACCTGGAGCCTCTCTTCCTCGAATTCCTGCCCTACCATTTCTTGCTGACCAGCGCTGTAAGTATACCATGATTTATCCGCGGGGCTTGGGAATTGGCTCTAACATAAACCCTCAATTCTAGACTATGGCCGGCTTTATCAAATACACCGATACCTCCACCGGTCAATTGGTCGCTGAGCTGCCTACCAGGCTCGGTCGTCCCACCGCCCTTGCCCAGAACCCTTACAACGCTATCCTCCACTGCGGACACCAGAGCGGCGCAGTTACATTATGGTCACCTAACTCTCAAACACCGCTCGTCAAGGCGCTGGTGCACCGTGGTCCGGTGCGGTCCATCGCCATGGACCGTCAAGGCCGCTACATGGTCTCGACCGGACAGGACCAGAAAATGAATATTTGGGATATCCGCATGTTCAAGGAGGTGCACTCCTACTCATGCTACCAACCCGGTGCTTCAGTATCTGTCAGTGACCGTAACCTTGTCGCCGTCGGCTGGGGCACCCAAGTCAGTGTGTGGCGGGGCCTGTTTGAGGCCGCGCAGGCCGACACAACCAAGGTGCGGAGTCCATACATGGCCTGGGGTGGCGATGGCCAGCGCATCGAAAACCTCCGGTGGTGCCCGTACGAAGATGTGCTCGGTGTCGGCCACGACCAGGGCTTCGCCAGTCTGATCGTCCCCGGCGCCGGTGAGCCCAACTTCGATTCTCTGGAGGCCAACCCGTACGAGAACGTCAAGCAGCGCCAGGAGGCCGAGGTGCACAGCTTGCTGCACAAGCTGAAGCCAGACATGATCTCGCTGGACCCCAACATTATCGGAAAGCTCGACACTATCAACGACGAGAAGGTCCGGGAAGCCCGCGATCTGGACAAGAAGCCCGAAGATCCCATCGAGAAACTCAAGAACCGGGGTCGTGGCCGCAACAGTGCCCTGCGCAACTATCTCCGCAAGAAGGGCCGTACCAACGTCATCGACGAGAAGAGACTCAAGGCCGAGGCGCTTCACAAGGAGCGGATGGCACGCAACAAGGACCGTATCAGGCAGGAACGACAGGAGTTGGGCCCTGCGCTGGCTCGGTTTGCCAAATAGGATTCTTGATTCTGTGCTTTCTCTGCTTTGCTTGTTTCGCTTGTTGTCGAGCATCCAGATACCCAGCCGCGGCTTTTTGTGAAACATTCATTGCGCAGACTTCGCTGGCTGCTGCATTTCAGGCGTTGGAAGGAGGGAAAACTTCATCATCTTATGTTTCTTTTTTTTGTATAGAAGGGGGATTCTTTTACTTATGAACCGGAAAAAAAGCAATATCTTTGCAAATGTATCATCAGCAATGGACAATCCAAATATGAACCCCAAAGCCTCTATATAAGGCCTTCATCATCTCATCTACTCATCTACTCATCCACACTGCCCGATCCCTTAGGCGCACCCTCCTTCCACCTCTTCAAACTCTCCTCATAAGCACCACTCCCCTTCCACGCACTAATAATCAAATTAACAATATGATCCATCCCCTTCCCATGCTTCACAACCGCAAAAACAGTCGGACCCCCCTCCCTCATCTTCGCCGCATCCCTCTCCATAACCCCCAAATCCGCACCCACCGCCTCGGCCAGATCAATCTTGTTGACCACCAACAGATCCGAGCCCGTGATACCAGGGCCACCCTTCCGGGGAACCTTGTCACCGCCCGCAACGTCGATCACATAGATGATGAAATCAGCCAGCTCGCGCGAGTAGTTCGCGGCAAGGTTGTCGCCGCCAGACTCGATGAGGAGGAGGTCCGTTTTGAATTGGCGCTGCAGGGTTTGCAGGGCGAGCAGGTTGGCACTGATGTCTTCGCGGACGGCGGCGTGCGGGCAGCCGCCCGTTTCGATGGCGCGGATGCGAGATGGGGCCAGGGCCTTGTGGCGGGTGAGGAATTCGGCGTCTTCTCTGTTTGGTTGGATGTGGTTGTTAGCATTGGAGGTTTGATTTGGAGGGTGGACTCTCGTCTAGGAATCGGATCGTCATGGAGATTGGACTAGAGCTTACCTGGTGAAGATGTCGTTGGTAACGGCGGCAATGTTATACTGATCACGCAGAGCATGGCACAGAGCCAGCATCAGGGCAGTCTTGCCAGACCCAACGGGGCTGATAGAGAGGTACTGTTAGCTTCGTCAAAGCTCTCGAGTATACTTCCAAGCGGGGCGCGCCAAAGCAATCAAAGTTTCATAGACTCGAAATCCGCCTTTCGCATAATGGATAAAACCTACCCTCCAATACCAACGGTAAAAGCACGATCCTTCCAATCGCGACCCTCAATCAGCGGCATCTCCCGGTTGACATACGAGCCCGGGCCGTCCAGAATCTCGTGGGAGTGGCCGTGGCCGTTGAAAGGGTCATCGTGCGAGTGGCCGATACCGCCATCGTGGGAGTGAGAGTGGGCCATTGTAGTTGAGATCGCAGGTTCGGGATGTTCAGGTGGAGGGATCTTGGATGGGTATTTTCGCACGAGGATGCTAGAGGAGAACCGGGGAATGTAAGGAGGGGCAGCTTAAAAGCAAGGCGGGGGAAATCTTGCGATAACAGAAAAAGTGCCGAGAGCTTCGAGTCTCCACCAAAACTTGGCCGATACCGAACGGAGCTCGCCGGTTCGGCGAACTTAATTCTGGTCTATGCCAATAATCTGAAAGTAATACAGATATAATGATCAGCACAATATACAAAAACATACAAACTACTAGAGTTGTGGACCAAGAGAAATGTGCTGGTATGTATGGATTCGTCAAAATAGCGGCAAAAACGATGAGCCTCGAAGAGTCATCAAGAAAAACCTCCAAGCCCGCTGAGACTCGAAGGGAAGAACCCCCCAAATGCACGCAGACGCAATTCCAATAAACGCAAAGCCCGACGCCAGTTGCAATCGCCAAGACGGATATCAAAGGATTCGGCCAGTTCTTCCAAAATCAAAACAGTCAGGCCGTCAATCAAAACCAACAAGCAAAAGAATAGCAGAACGGGCAAACGCCCTCGAAAAGACAAGAAAACAGACCAATCCAATAAGTCGTCAAAAAAACCCCCGGGCATGGCAAAGCCGTTCAAGACTTGTAAAAGAAAAAGAATCACAGAAAAAGGTAAAGTTGAAGAAAAGCATGCAAAGTCAGGCGATGTGCCCAGACCATCCAAAAATAAACGCTGAAAGGGAGATAGAGTACATTAGGATCGGAGATGACCAGGGTCGAGGAGGATAGGCGCCCACGGAGATCCTACCACTTGTATAATATACCCGATGGTGGGAAAGGAGGATTCCATGGGCATCGATTAGCTCCATCATCGGCCAGTTTTATCGTCAGAATACCGAAAACCGTAAAAGACAATCCTTTGATGTGCAAAACCAAGGAATCCCAAAGATAAATGACAGAAAAAATTCACAGAGGGCGCAGGGAGCCCCTCGCCTTAGGTATCCAATGGTGCGCCGATTCCCCGCATCTTAGAATGATGTGAAAAAAAGAAGAAGAGAGAATGATGTGGCGTAAAAAATGTGTATGACGGGCTTCAATCAGGCCGCAGCCCCCTTCTGCCGTTTGGGTACTCGAGGACTGGCCTTGACCTTGCCAGCACCTTGAATTGCAGTACCGTTCACTTCGCCTGTACCATCTTCAGGTTCGTTCTTGACGGTGCTCGCACGGCGGCGCTTGTTAGCATTGACATTGGGGCTGTTGCTCACCCCAACCGGTGAAGGCTGAACGGCACCCTGCATGCCTGGAGGTCCAGCAAGCTGGCTCTGAGCAGGGCTCGCGTGTCCAGAACCGGTCAGATGAGGTGATCCTTGGGCTCCTGGCAGCCCAAGGTGAGCCATGGCAGGGGAAGCAAATTGTGAAGGTCCACCCATACTAGGATTCCGAGCATTGGGCATTTGCTGCATGCCAGGGTTCATCGGCGTGACAAACCCGGCGTTGGGGTTCTGAGGCGGGAAGGTGCCCACGAGGTTGTGGAGGGCTTCGGGGGGAGAGAATTGTGGGTTCTGCTGTGAGAACTGGAAGAGCAATTGCATCTGGGAGATGGTCTCGGCGACTTCCAGGAATCCCATGACCGGCGTCGGCACACCATTAGATGTGACCATTGACTCTGGCAGAGATATTTGCGGACTTTGCTTTTGGGCCCGCTTTGCCGTGTTCTTAGAGACCTTGGGGCTCTGTTTTTGCTCGGAGAGCTCCAAGGACTGGAGCAGACTTCGAGGAATAAACTCGTTATGGCTAGTGACATTAATGTCCAGCATCTCAAGTTTGTTGGCCATGTCGAAATGGGCGCGCAGTTGACCTTGGGTAAAGAGCTGGCAATCATTCGTGAACCAATAAATGAATGACGTCCGAGGGCTCTCAACCATGTGTCCTCCATTGGGCATATCTCGTTCGCGAGCACCTTCAACAACCATCTGAATCTGACGGATGCCGCTGGTATACTGAGTGAGGTAGTACCGTGCCAATGCCGGGGTCGAAATTTCGAACTGCTTGGACCCAACCTGGGGGTTCCATACACCCTGTCGCAACACACCTCCGGGAGCGTAGAATCGATCAACAAAAGTCTGCCAGTACATGAGATCCTGCGCTTCGCCACGGCTCTGTGAAATTGTTAGTCAGGAAGTCAAATACAGAAAACAACCTCGAAGTAATTTCCATACCTGGAATTGACTCAGGTGCTCCGCGTACGCATGCAAGCATAGAACCGTTGCGCCCTGGCGATTCATCCTTTGCTGCATCATTAAAGCGGCATTCTGTTGCTGCTGAGCCTTCAGCTGGGCTTCCTGTGCAGTCATCGGCTGGCCGGGCTGGCCGGGTTGCTGGCCTGGCTGACCCTGCATAACATGTTGAGGCTGTCCTTGAGGTCCCGGGTGTCCAGGCTGCGGTCCAGGTTGTGATGTTTGGGGCAACTGCTGTGGCTGCGGGTTTGGGGTAGCCTGAGCTTGCTGAGGTCCAGGCTGTGGCTGTTGGGGTTGACTCGACGGGGGTTGAGGGGTTTGGTTTGGTTGAGGGGTACCACTTTGCGGGGGTTGACCATGCTGGGACTGAGGAGTCGCACCCTGAGTCTCGTGCATGTTAGGAGGTTGGGCAGAGCCGCGCTGCGGCGTGTGCTGACCACCCTGTGCATTATTCGCCTGAGCCTGAGCCTGGGCCTGAGCCTGGGCTTGAGCTTGAGCTTGAGCCTGAGCTTGCACTTGGTGTGCTTGCGCCTGCTGGAGAGCAAAGAGCTGTTGCTGTTGTTGCTGTTGGAGGTTCTGCGGTTGGCCATGAGGAACCTGCTGTTGAAGATGCATCATTGCGTTGACTGGCCGCATGCCACCAGGATTCGCTTGCATCGCGGCCAGCTGAGCGGCGCTGACACCTTGAGTACCATTAGGGAGTGATACGGGCAGACCATGTTGCTGTTGCGCTTGTGCCTGTTGCTGCTGCTGCTGCTGTTGGATCATCATACGCTGACGAAGGAACTGTTGATGCTGCTGTTGCTGGTGAAGTAATTGCGGGTTATTCGCGACTACATCGATGAGATAAGAGTCAGCATGCGACTTCTAGAAGGTGGTGTCTTTTATAGTGGTTGCCGGCTGGGCCGATGATTGACGTATAACCGTCAGGACAACCGCGCGCGTTCATTGTCGGACCCGAGGATCGACAGGTAGAGATAAAAGACTCACAATTTTGCTGAAAGGCCTGCTGCTGCTGAAACATATGCGCCTGTGTCGGGTTCAAGTGAGAAAGGGCGTGGGCGTTCGGCATAGGGCCACCAGGGCCAGCGGTGCCAGCGCCCGGGGGCATACCACCCATCATTGGGCCCGCCTGGCTCACTTGAGGCCCTCCCGGTGCGGAAACTCCAGGATGCATCTGTTGCACCATCGCAGGCCCAGGGTGTCCAGCGTTCGGATGTTGAGCGGCCATTGGGTGGTGGCCGGGGGGAAGCCCGTGTGGCGGCATGCCTTGATGGGCAGGAAACGATTGCGCCATCATCATTGCTAGCAGGTGGAAGTCACCGCGGAAAGGAGACTTGGAGGGCGATGGATCGCGACCGCGACTAGAGGGCGACCGAGGGTAGCGAAGTCGATGGAACTGGCGCGTCTGTGGTGGGAAGACAACAGGCCGCTTTTAGCGTTCGGGGTGGAGGCCAAGACGAGGCGATTCTGGGATAGAGTAGACGCGAAAGACCAAAGCATCGATTCGTTGCTTCCACCCAGTCGGTTTCACCCGCTTCGCCTCAATGCAGGCCTCGATTCTGCTAGAGGAGTGGGAGTTCGGCGTCAGTGGGTGAAGTGGTGGGGAGTGGTTGATAAGAGAGATCGGGTGCGGTTAGGTGAGGGTTTGGGGGGAAGAGACGGGAAAAGAGACGGGTGGACAGGTTCAGGTAATAGGGAGGCGTGGAGGGGCTGGGTTGCTGCAGGCTAAAGGGTGGATCGGGGGGAGGAAGAAGAGGATAAGAGGTAAAAGGGTTTATAGATAGGCTGGATAAGGAGAACTCACAACTCTCAGTTGCCCAAAGTCGGTCAAGGGTCGAAGGTGGTCAAAGGGGACGGCTGTCGCGGGCGCCCATACGGTCAGGGAATGAGGATGATCGCCCGGTGGGAGCGAAGAGGGAACTGGGGACGGAGGATCCGGCTCCGAGGGTGGAGGATGTAACCGAGCCTGGTGGACAGATAGCAGATATCCAGAGTGCAACGAGCCAACTCTGGTGATAAAATATAGAAGACAAGAATTAAAAGAAAAAGGATAGTCTTTCTTCTTTGCTGACACCAGATATGGGCCTTTGACCCTTTTTCTTCACCCTGAGGCGGGTTTTTTTCGCGCGCTTTTCCCAGCGATTCCAATACTGCCGCGCTAACCCGACTGGGTAGGTCACGTGCCAGGCTGTGTATTTGAGCCGTTTTTTTTTTTCTTCTCTTCACTTTTCTCTTTCGCCATCCTTCCTCGCCACTGTCCTCCGAAAGACCGGCTTGGCTTCTCTATAATGACTGGAGAATTGCCATTGTCGGAATGAGGATGTCTTACGATACTGTGATCTCGCCACTAACCATCAGCTAATGCTGACAGCACCTCTTTTTATATGGTAAGTTCCGAGTTTGGTTTTTTTTTTCTTTTTTGCTTCTCTCCCCGGTTCGAGGATGACAACACCTTTTTACTTCTTTACCCACCAAATCGACCATGACGAGATAATACGGACCTCCCTTTCCCGGTTGGTCTGCTACTTGCCAGTATATTTTGTCTGAGAACCATTTTGAATCACCAGCTTTGCTTGGATGTTTGCAATTGCAAGAGACGTGGGCTGACCCAGCATTTGCTTTTAGGAACCAACCTCAAAGATGCATTGTTATAACAATCTTGGCATCGTCAGATAGTTCGAATATACACCAGTCAATTGATACATGGCTTTGTTTCTCATGAAATCTTTGCTATCTCGTATTTTATCGTAAAAGCTTTCAGGCCGTCATCCGATCCACAAACTTTATTGTAATCCTAGTCGAAGATCACCTCTAGTGCGAGGCGGTTTGTCTAGACCTGACAGTACTGTCCAAGGCGACCACCACTCGATGACAATTGGGTCCTCGTACAGTATATCTCCAGGCTTGACCGAAGGACGAGACTGGCAAGTCGCCTTTCGGAGTGATATCGACATATATCTAAAGCGTTGAAATTGCAGACAGGTCATATGTGACCTAGACACTGTTTTCGAATCGATTTAAGGAGTCTAATTCAATTCCCCACGGCTTCTTGAAAAGGTATAGACCAAAGTATAAATAAATTGAGAGGCTTTGTCAAAAGAAGATGTTGAAAAAGCCATGCTAACATCGATGCTGTCGAAGAATGAACGAATGGACCCCATACAAAGGGTCTTCCGCCCGGGCTTGGCTTGATACACATCACGTGATATGATATTTCTCCCGCGGCGAAGGCCCGCTGGCCGATCTTCACGACCGACGAGGCCCTTTCACTTTCTATGACATTGCCCCGGAATGTATCCGTCAATGCCACAGGTATGGCGATCCATTGCACGCCCCTGTCGCTTTGTCGCTCGTCGTCGCCATCCTGCACCCGCGCGACAATTTCACCTCTCGCGCCAATGGCTCTCCGTGCCGTCCAATGACCCCCAAAATGGATCCACGCCGCCTACCGATATAGGAGATGTGGTGGATAGCCGTCAGTCGCCTAATGCCAGCGAGAATGCTGCGAACCCTGATTCCCCTCCGGCCGCTGTCGAACAAACGGGAAAGCCCGTCTCGAGACCATACGGATCCGCCGTTCGGAGAGCCATGAGAAACAGACAATCCGAGCAGCAACAACAACAAAAAGGAACAACGGTTGCGACAATTCCTAGCTGGTTTCATGAGCGGAACATAGTCACCCATGGCACTGAGGGACGTCCTGATGCTGCGTGGTTCCCGTCCCAGGTTGAGGTCAAAACATCGAAGCAGGAGTCAAAGACGGACAGCACAACCCAAGCACAGTCGGCATCTGGTGGTGATGGGGAGGACCCATCTACCACAGGCGATTCATCTGAATTGGAGACTCGATATGCCGTGGCAGATGCACTATGGGATGAATTGCGCGCGTCAGTCAAAGCGGGTCTTAGACTGCCGCCCACGCAATACGCAGGAGAACCACCAGCCAAAAAGTCACATCTGGTCCTTCAATATCCTGGACCCGACGGTATCTTATTCTTGGATGCGGTGGTTCAACGACTCGCCCACGAGCTGAATGCCGACCTTGTTACCCTCAATGCCCAGGATTTGGCCCAGCTACTCAGTGAGCAGGATCTTGCAGAGGCTGGCGCGACCTCCGCGGTCCGATCTCTTGGTTATGAAGTCCACCGGCCTCCAGTCACTGCCTGGCCCGAGCCCAATGAGGGCGAAGGAGAGGGAGATGATGACATAGCGGAGATTGCTGGTGCCCATGGGGTGCGCCCCGAAGTCAGTACCCCTCGGTTCATCACCATTGAGGCCAGCAGAGATTCAGGTGATATTCCGCTGCCAAACTGGCTAGGGCTGAAGTCTCTTGTAGCATCTATCAACGGCCAGTCGGATCAAGAGCCAGGTATGATGCGAGGCTCCGGCCAGCGCCTAGAGGCACGATGGGTTCGCCTTCTCAACGAGGTCCTTTCCTCTGCCGTCCAGCCAACCCAATCAGCTCAGCCAGACGCCAAAGATTCGGAGGAGTCTTCTACGGCTGAGACTGACGCCAACAAATCTGTCTTATCGCGCGATACCATCGTCCATATACAAGATTATCGCGATATCCAGAGCTCGAGGGAAGGTTCAAGGGTAATTTCCCTCCTGCAGAAGGTTATTCAAGATCAACGACGCGCAGGTTCAAGGGTACTCCTGATCGGTAGTACATCCCAAGACCTCCATCATTCCGCTTCGCAAGATGGCTCAAGGATATTGCAAAATGTCCTTGACGATAACTTCTCCAAAACCCTCGTAATAACCCCGGCGATGGAGTCCAAGGCCGTCGAGAAAACATTTGCAGAGGACCAAAAGAACCGGACAATGGATATCAATATTCGCCATCTTCAAAACATGCTACGCTTCCGTGTCAGTGAAACATCATCTGCCGTGAAGGATGACATCTTTGGAGATCGGGCTTGGCCGCTAGACGCGCTCACCATCAAGCAATCCGGCATCAGAGATCGCTTTTGGTCCTATAACCAGGTGCACTGGGTCGCGACTCTTGCTCTTGGTAGCGCTGAGCCCAACGAGCCCCTCAGCTTTGAGCACATCAGACGTGGAATTGAACTCATGGATCGAGGAGATCGAGTCACCAGCGATTGGTTGCAGGGGAAATCCCCCAAGAAAACAGAGCCCAGCCGTGGGCAGAGCCGAGAGCAGCTGCTAGCCTCCCTGCGCAAGACCTGCAATTCTCACGAGAAGAAGTTGCTCAACGGCGTCGTGGATGCAAAGAGCCTCCGCACCACGTTCGCAGACGTGCATGTGCCACCCGAGACTGTCGACGCTCTCAAGACCCTGACGTCTCTATCACTTATTCGCCCCGAGGCGTTCACGTACGGTGTCTTGGCCACTGATAAAATTCCCGGCCTCCTGCTTTACGGTCCTCCCGGTACTGGCAAGACACTTCTGGCCAAGGCTGTCGCTCGCGAGAGCGGTGCGACTGTGCTCGAGGTGAGCGGTTCCGAAGTATACGACATGTACGTTGGCGAAGGCGAGAAGAATGTGAAGGCCATTTTCACCCTCGCGAAGAAGCTGAGCCCATGCGTTGTGTTTATCGACGAGGCGGACGCTATCTTCTGCTCACGCACCGGCGCAAGCAACCGCACTTCTCACCGCGAACTCATCAATCAGTTCCTACGCGAATGGGATGGAATGAACGACATGTCTGCCTTTATCATGGTAGCCACCAATCGACCCTTTGACCTGGACGACGCCGTTCTGCGCCGTCTCCCCCGGAGACTACTCGTGGACCTTCCAACCGAGGAAGACCGCCTGGCCATATTAAAGATCCACCTCAAGGGCGAACAACTCGACCCCGCGGTCGATCTGGCCGAACTGGCTCGTCGAACCCCACTATACTCCGGCTCCGACCTGAAGAACTTATCAGTCGCTGCCGCACTGGCCTGCGTACGTGAGGAAAACCAAGCTGCAGCACAGCACCAGGGCGATGAACCTTACGAGTACCCAGCCCGTCGTACTCTGACTCGCGCTCACTTCGACCGAGGAATGGAAGAGATCAGTGCGTCGATCAGCGAGGACATGTCCTCTCTGTCTGCGATTCGCAAGTTCGACGAACAATACGGTGATCGCAAGGGTCGGCGTCAGAAGAGTCCTGGGTGGGGCTTCATTGCGCCTTCCACTCAAGAGTCTACGGCTGATACCGCACGCGTCCGCACATGATTGTTATGACCTAAGATTGTATTATTTGTTGTTCTCTCAATAGAAGGACCGGGGCATTGGGGAGTTCTTTTGTTTTTATTGTAATATAGGGACATGTGAAATATTAGATGTGTTTATTTTTGCGGTTCTCAGCCAGCAACGCCATTTTGTAACCTCTCCCTCTATTACCTACGGTCATGCCGATCACTTGATTTCCATCCTTCAAAATAGGACAGGCAGCTGGCGGGAGCGTCTAAACCACTCTTCCACAGGCTTCGTGGTAGGATCGCTGACAGTATTAAATGGCGGTGAATCTTAACTAGGTTGTCTGTAGCAGTCCACTCAGTTCGCACTTTTCATAATAGTTCCCCCGTCCTTCTTCACCACAATGACGACTTATGTTCTTTACAGTCCTGACGGTGCAATCGACGAATTCTTCAACTCGAACACTACTGTCACTAGACAGCAATGTGATGAATTCGCCATTTCTCGCGCAGGTGGTGTTTCCACTGCTTTACAGATGCAAGGAGTGTGCAGCTATACCGTGGCAGCGGGGCCCAATAACAAGTCTAAGCTCTTCCAGTTCAGAGATGAGGATTCTATCATTAATATGGGAAACATTTCCCTTGCTAAAGCAATCCATCCCGAATTTGTGGCTAGCTGCCAGTATCTCGGGACACTGGGCGATACGCGGCCGGTCTATATCTACGAGATGGAGTATCTTCCTGGGACTGCTCACATAATGGCGCGTATTCCTTCAGAAAATATGTCCCGACAGCGTAACACTATCAAGGACTTTGCAAGGAAGGTACGCCCAGCAAGGCTTTTACCTCGTTTTCAAGAACCAACATTTTAGAATAGGTTCTTTGCACAGTCATGGAACAACGACCTACGGCCATGCTCAGATGTAACTACGACATTGCTTATGGAGTTTCAATCAAGCTTTGACCTTCTTGCTCGAAACCTACCATCTCGTTTTACACTTAACTTGGAAATAGTTCGCAGGGAGCTCCCGTCTATCTTTTCAACAGCCCTCCCCTTTGTTCTTAGCCACGGTGACCTTAACATGATGAATCTCCTCGTTAATCCTGACACCGGAAACATCACAGGGATTGTCGACTGGGCTGAATCCAGGATTCTGCCGTTCGGCTTCGCGCTATACGGGCTTGAGGACCTTTTAGGCTGGATGGATTCCGAAGGGTGGCACTACTACGATCACTACCGTGAACTCGAGAGCCTCTTCTGGCAAACCTTTCGAGAGGAGGCTCATAATTTCTCGGACGCTAGTTTGCATTTGATCCGCGCCGCGAGAATGGCTGGATTGTTCTACCGTTACGGATTTAATTTTGACACGAAAGGCGTAGTGCAAAGTGTGCGGATGGACCAGCCGGATGGTTCGCTCGCATATCTCGATGCTTTCTGTGCTGTTCCTCTTTCCTGAACTGAAAAGACATTTCGAAAAATCTTTAGAAACAGACGAGGTCAAAGTGTGTCTGGCTAAGCCTTTCTTTCTATCCTTCCTCAAAGGAGGCTTAGCCTTATCATGCGCCACGAATTTCAGGAGCAATTTTGCATGTTGTTGCCAGAAGGTCAGGAGTAATTTGTTAGATGTCTTCGGGCAGGTTCTACCAAGATTCTATATCCCTGATCCCGTCGGGCGTTTTCGAAACCCTAGGTGGGAATGTGCTGTCATATCCACGCAGGCACACAGAGTTGGTGTCACCTTGACTGTCTCGTGGCACAGCATTGAAGGTATAGTTTCTGGGGCAATGATTCTCCATTTAAATCATGAATCGATCGTCTACATTGACCGCATTCTTGACAGATAAGTGATCGTGTGATCGCGCAGTCATATACTGTATGGGTGGATAATTTCCAGAAAGCGGTTTTCTTCTGTCTAGAACTTTTAAGTACGTCCAGATGCCTATAAGGAAAAGGATCAGATTTGAGGTACCGATATCTGTTGTTTCAGTCGACGGAGAAAGTTCCCCGGCGTAGGCGCTGTGTTGTATTTATGACGTATAGGTAGGCACAGGTTATCAATATCATATCATCTGCTGAATGGCGATGAAAAATTTGGATCTAATTTCCTAATCTCGTTGACTAGCGTTGATGGGTTTCCAGAGAAATGGTGTATAGTTCACTGGCCGTGCTCGTATCAGAGTCTCCACTGGTATAGATCCTTAGGTGGATGTCAGATCTATAAGTGCTCCGACAACCTTGTACATCCCCACTGACTCGAGAAAATCAGACGAAAGACCCAATAATAATTGTCCAAAGCAATTATTCCTTATACTTGGGTTAATTTATTATCAGTCAATTGTCCTTTAGCCTCCTTTCGCATTTACATCCCTAAGGGCACGAACCCTTGAGCCAAGGCACGTGCCCGCCGATGACATCGCACTCCGTCTCCACCCGCCACTCAGAGCTCTTTTCCTCTTCCAACCCAACGGGACGAGGGTGCGGACTCCAGTGCCGTACGAGCCCTGCTTATAATTTCTACTTCCCTTGCTCTGTTCACTTCGAATCAGACTGCTTGCCACCGAGACGAGACGAGAGAAAGAGAGAAAAAAAAAGAGATCGGCCCCACCCCCACCCTCGAAATCATGTCACTCGAAAATCGCGACGAGGCCATTCGAGAGGCCAAGATCTTCGTTCGCCAAGTCGTGCGAAATGACTGGGAGTTCGACTCTACTCTATACGCCGACGGAACACGTCCTCCCCCTCGACCTCCTCGACACTCACGGACGGAACTCTCTGCGAAAACCGTGAAGTCGTGGAATGGCGATGCCGAGAATTCGATAGCGCAGGCTCGGAACTTGAGCCTCAATCGTCTGATCAAAGCGACTCCGACTGCCAGTCACCCACCAGGGCTGCAGGGGACCCTGGAATTGAACGGCGGCGCAGGCGCCGGCGGCAGATGGAAGACGAGATGGCGTGGAATGAGGGGTTGAGAATGTGGATGGCCAGACGGGACGCATGGTCTGGAGCCAGGACACAGCGGCAGATTCGTGCCAATGAACAGAAGCGCAAACATGCTGCTGCTGCTTCACAACATCAGGCAAACGGGTCGTCTGATGTGAAGGGCGTGGATGCTGCAGAAGACGGTGGTGCGGGGATTCCCCCGCCCACGGACCCTCGGGCCCACAGCGAGATCGGTGACACCAATATGCTTGCGAACAAGACGGAGTCATGTCTTTCAATCACAGAGAAGGAGAAGGTTGAAGAGCAACTGCGCCGCCAAGAGCAAGAGGAGGAACAATCCACTGCGCCAGATGAGGAGACCAAGCGCAAGGAATCCACAGAAACCTGCATCACCGAGCCCGACCAGACTGCAAGCTATACTCCACTGGCCACAGCAGATATTGATGATAAGGACTCGGGCGACGAGTCAGACGCTGAAGAAGAGGAAGAACTCGACGAGCCTCTGATCCCAGTTGCACCTCCGTTTATCTCCTCCACCAACCCCGTCCGCGCAACGATCACCCCCTCGATCTACCCATCCATCTACACCAAGGTCGTCGTACAGGGCATGACCCCTACCATCCCAGTTAATCTGGCCGACCTCACAAAGGCAATGGTTCAAGGATGGAAGTCAGATGGACAGTGGCCTCCAAAGCCGGCGGTTTCGTCCATCGTCCTCCAGGACGATGCGTCCGTTCCGAAAAAGGCAGCCGATTCTGCTGCTGCTGATGGAGCACCCCAGTCAAGACGTAAGAACAGTATCACCAATGCCATGCGCAAGGTCTTCCATATGGGAACGCATCCATTCCATCGTCGAGGATCGACTAGCCAGGATGCTGGTGCCGGAAGCAGCGCTGCTAATGGCACCGCTGCTTAACGCCGTGCTCCAGGGATCTTGGTGCCTATACCGCAAGAATGCGATTGACGAGTTACGACAGAGGGTTCTCTCTTGTGCTTTCATTTTTCCCCCTCACACTATGTCTGTGTGTGCTCTTTTACGCAATGCATTTGGCGTGGATTTCTAGGTGGTTTCAGTTTCTCGAGTCTTCCCGGCACTGTTCCTCATTTACTCACGACCTGGGCGTGTGGGTGGTTTCTATATTCTTTATCCAAGTACTCTTACGACCCTACCTTATCTATCATGCGACTATTTCATAATTCATGCATATCTCTCGCGGGTATCTAATATTTGAGAGACCCTACTTACAGCCTCAAATAAGCAGGTCTTAATGAACACTCCTTGAATCTAGTCTATTTTCACCGGTAACATCCATATGCCATGCAAATACAATACTGTCATAATATTATCTCCGGTCTAAACTTGTAACCGTCACCAGACGCCAATGCTAAACATGCAACAAACTGAGATATCATAATCTCAAAGAACAGTATATAGTCTTCATCACACCATTCATTCATCATTCCCTCTCATTCCGGAAGCAGATTGAACCGGTCGACGCGGTCCACGAAATCTGCAACGGCATCCTTAAACTCAAGTCTTGTCGAACACTCGTTCTCAACCAGGGCGGCGGTTTCAGGTTCCAAAGTGACAAGTTTCGAGTCATGGCCAGGGCGAGTGTAATAGTATTTCCCATCGTGGAAAGACCAATTCCTGAGGCAAGACTGATGATCCTCGAATGCAAGCCGCCGAGCAGTGGCCAGTTGTGGAGGCAAGTCATTGGTTGGGCCATCCGAAGAGAGCATAGAGGGCAAAAGACCTGTCAAGCTGGCGACCGCAGCATCCAATGTGGATTCAGCTTGTAGCGTGGATACAGCGACAAAGAATTCCCGGAACCATTCGAGGTATGAGAGTACACCTTCTGCGGCATCGGTTACACGGTCGATGTAGTCGACCACGACAAGAGATGAAGATATCATATCGGCGAGAGCAGTGAGCGTCATCAGGACGACGGGGTCTCTAAGTCGGACAGGTCGATTGGAGAGAGGGCGAAGTGCTTGATGGGTTGCTTGGAAGACGGCACCGAAAATTTTCAAGACGGAAGAGACACAAGAAGAATCCTTCGTGTTCAAGTTGAACAACATGTCATTAAAAACGAGCGATATGCTCTTAATGATGGGCAAACCAAGCAACCAAGCAGTCGAGTTGCTAAAGGCGAGTTCAATGTATGCTGGGAACACACACTGCAGGAGAACAGCCCGCAGGGTTGGTTTGTTGAGAAATCCCGACTCGTAGCTATCCTTCATAGCGGAGTGTAGCTGGCTGACTAGATGGTCGTGCTGGCCATCCATAGTCGCTCTCTCGACGATACTCTGGATGAACATGGTTAAGGTCTGCAATTCCTTACTGGAGGCCAACTTGGGCTCGTAACGCTTCAATTTGGCAACAATGTAGCGTGGGTCCGACGATGGCAAGGGGAACACAGCCGGGTCCGTGAAGAACGGATCGACGGGACGGATATCGCTGGTTAATTCTTGCAAGAACCTGATGATACGGTGCACAAAGTCGACATATGCGCCTTGGGCAGATTCCACAGCTCCATTGCCAAGTTCTTGATAGTTACTTCGCATAGCGGTCATCAGTCTCTTGAGCATCTCGGAATAATCTTGCTTGGTGACATTCAAGTCTGGGCTATCCAGGGCTTCGAGGCTCAGCACATGCTCGCGCATGTTCGACAAGATACATGATAGGAGAGAAATCCGCCGCTGACTGAGTTCTTCGAGGGTGATCGTATACCGCTCACTCTTCTTGTCCTTGGAGAAAGGAAGGTTCTGTAGCAACGGATCATGCGGGCTTTCATTCAACATTGCCTCGGTGAGACGATGTTGAAACTTCAACATTGAAGATCGCTCCACCAAGCAAGAAATCCACATGCCTATGACAAGGACTCGACTGTCGGAGAGAATACGGCCATCTTTCTCGATACATCCAGCCAGGAAACATGGTGTGAATTTCCGTGTCTGCACCGTCTCCCGAAGACTGGCCCAAGACTCAATGCTGACAGGATCCAGGTAATTGTCCCACTGTCTGAGCTTGTGGAAGACCATAATCTGGGCAACCGATGTCCAGCAATCCACAACACTCGTAAGAATTGCATCGTCAGGGCAGTGGTCCTCACCGAAACAATTGGAGAGCAAACGGGAAACAGCAGAATGAAGCACTTTCTCGACATGCTGCACACCCTCACTCGGTGGTTCTGGGTGTACCACGGCATGATCAAGACTTTCATCCCAGTCAACGTCCTCAAATTCTTGGCTATCATCCTCTATTGATACTGCAGGTGCGGGCGCTGCTTTCTGCGTAGCAGCGCCTAATGCAACGGCAGGATCCTTCCGGGTATAAGCCACAATCACCTGCAACGCATCGGAAACGACCACATTCACCCGTGCCAGTTTTGGGTTGAACAATCCGAGCAGAGACTCAAAAGGCGTCTTCGAAATAAGGCGCAGCGCATGCTCAATCGAAGGTGCTCGCTCAACGGCAGTCTGCAGGCCACTTAGCGCCATGGACATCAGATTCTCGATCGGTCGCTGATTCTGGGCGATAGTACTTTCAATGAGATGTTGAGAGACTTTCTCGCCATTCTTGCTCTGCGCTTCAATCTCCTTTCGAGCATGCGCGTGCTGTTGTCGAAGCTCACTCACGAAAAAGCTGTGCCAGTTGGCAAACGGCTCCAATTCTGACATGTCTTCGTTTGTTGACAACTTGAAACGGACAAGTCTTGTCCACGCGCGGAGATTGATGCTACACGTCTCATTGTGCGAGCTAGCTGGATGAACCAAATCACGAATGATTTCTACTCGAAATCGTAATCCGGCAGGGATGACCCAATACAACGTACAGAGAAGATCATGGTGGTTTCTCAATGCATCAAGATCTTCACGACGGAGGGGCTTCTCTTTCGGGTAGACGCGGCCATGGTTTGGCAGCAGCCGCCATGCAAAGTTTCGGACTTTCTTGTCGTTATACCGCTCAGATAAAAAGCGCAGACCACTTGCAATGATCTTAAGCAAGGTATGAAAGCACGGCTCCCCAGGCTGCAAATCCAAGGATGGGGTTTGATCGAGTTCGTCAAGGAACGAAGGAGACCCGCGGCTTTCCTCGAGCTTCAAGTTATACAGAGTGTTTTGTGCAAAGAAGTCATAGAGTGTGTCAAGTATAGGCCTGCATTCCCTCCACCCCCAGGTATTGATCAAGCGATGACATCTTTGAAAGAGTACTCGGCAGTAGACATTGTATGAGATGGGCTGGGTCGCAGAGTTGGTGCCGTAATTGTCCAGTGCGGGAGATAGCAGCTTCTGAACGAGCGGCCAATTGTCATGCACAACTTTGAAACGCGTCTCTCGACGGCAAATACCCTGATTATCGATATCGTTGAATGGAAGAAGGGAGAACAATCGACGCCATCCCGTCTCGTTGCGAGCAATATCCTTGTCGTTGCGAGCGATATTCTTGGTGCATGCATCGGTTTGGAGATCATTGAATATCCCAGCCAGCGCATCCGAGCTGTGGAAAAGGGTCTCAGTTATCAAGTAAGCTTCTGCTGTGGGGAACTGTTCACGAAGACCGGTCTCCCGCTGCTCAGGCTTCTTGTTCTCCTCGAAGAGGCGTTGGATTTCAGCCATGCCCGTTTCAGACTGGATTAATGCAATAGTGTCCGTGGCACAGGTTTTGACAAGATTCACGGCATCTCCAGCAAGCGCACTTCCAACGAGCTTGTGAGAAGAAATTTGACGGATCTGATTGGCAAATAGCAGATTGTGGCATGCAATCCGCACGAGACCAATCTTGTTGTATTCGGCTCCAGCGATAAAAGCAGCCAGCGGATCCCTCAACGAAAAGACTAGTCCCGTGGCTCGTGCGATGAAGCTTGTTCGATCAACCGGATCGATGAATGACAAATGCTCTGTCACATAGGTAATGATCGATCGGTATGCATGAGACGCAGCCAGCAAGCCTGGTCCTGCATTGCCTGCCGATGATGACGACGCACTCTTTTCCAGGTCTTCCAGAATCATACCGAAGACAGATCCCATTTCGGAAGAGATCCTCTCGTTCCACGCCCCCCATTGCAGTAAGCGATCTTTGGCGGTTATTGACGAGAACCCAGCCTCCTTATCCATGTCTCGCTTTCCGATGTGCAATGAGTGAGTGAGTTCGCCACTGCCTATGAATGTAGACTCATGGAAAAAGGTGCCGTCACGTAAAGGCAGTATCCCAAAGTCAATCGAATACGAGCGTTGCCAATTGACCATTCCCCCCAGACTGAAGGTCGACGTCCCAACGGGAGCGGAGTGTGTGGTAGTTGGGGAGTCCGAGTCGTCAGAGACTGTTGTGACCAGGTCTTGGTTCTGCACAAAGTCGTCCGATTCAAGATTGATGCGAGTTGGCTGGTGTTTTTTCAGACGACGCTGAGCTGGTTGCGATTTAGGATCTGTTGGAGAAGCCGCTATGCCTTTATCAGAAATGTACCGGTCGAGGGTCAGGCTAGACTTGAAAGCCCGAGAGGAATTCTCATGGCGGTATCTGCGATTGAGCAAAGTCAAAGACCTCCTGAACATGTCCTTGGAAGCCGAGTGGTTTCCAGTAGGTGCTGCTAGGCTTGTTGGAGCGGGCCGTGGATCATTTCGCCGCAATGATGTTATCGGCATATTTCTTTGAACGATCCACTGATGACCTCGTCGCTCCGACTGTGCAGGCGGCGCAGGATCGACATTTGCGCTTGGAGGAACGGCAAGTTCGACGGGAACCGAAGTATCCCTGATTGAAGCTGGTGCAGGCACAGGCGGATTGGCATGGTCGGATAGAATCTCAATATCGGCAGCAGGGAAATGATTCGTGATACGAGAGCTTCGGACAACAGGCGCAGCACGACGAGCGCCAGATGAAAGACCCGAGAGCGTCTGGCGCTTGCGAGGCTTCGGTAGAGCTCGGGTGGTCTTCGCTCGTGGTATTGCTCCTCTTTTCCAGTCCCGCAGGGACTGATTTGCATCCGCCGTGTCCACTCTTGAGCTCAGCTGCACAAACTTCCGAGTCGGGCTTTGGCGGCCCTGATCTAGACGCGATCGAGCTCTCCTTGCAGCAATTCGTAGGAACTGTGGCTGTTCTTTACGAGGCCTAGCAACCACATCGGGGGCATCCAAAATACCTAATCGTGGAGCTGACCTGGATGAAGTCTGCTTCGTTCGACGCCCTCCGTAGGAAGAATCGGTAAGTCTGGTCTGCCTTTGCAAGCGAGCTTTCTTCAGGCGACGTTCGGTTTGACCTGAATTTTCCTTCGATTTCACTCGTTTCAGACTTTTCTGCTTCTCGCGGGGACCGGTTTGTTTGCGTGAGACCGGTGCAAGCATGTAGTCAATCCGATTGTCTTCCATGGCGTCTCCATCTCGATCGAATGCAGTTTCCAATTCAAGCCTGCCCGTTGATATTTCTTCGAAGTTTGTGTTGACAGACACAGAGATATTGGCGCTTCGGTCGTCATCCTCACTCTCATCAAAGTCTGCAAAATCAAACAAGGCTCGACTCGGCCCACCGCTTGCTCTTCCTGCTTGTTCGGGCTTTCGAGTAATCTTCTTGGCAACTCCTTTGCCGTCCATCCTCACGGGAACATGTCGATTACTTTGTCCGGCTTTTTGCTTTTCAGATTGCTCGGCATTAAGCCGAACCCAGGATGCAGGAAGGACACCTCGAGTTCTCCGTTGCATTTCCCGAATCCGACGATCTGCTGCACTTTCTTCGGGCTCAGCCGAGGACTCCCTCGATTCTTGCGAATCTGATTCATCATCGATCTCAATCACCGAGACTGGGTGATCCGTATCTCTCCTGCTAGGTTCACCCACAACCCGTGTCGCCGAATTTGAGTCCCCGCCTGGGGTCGTGTTCGGAGGTGGCGTAAATCCCAACGAAAACCGAAGGCCCTCTGATGCTCGTGGTGTTTTTGAAGACGACGAAACACTCCGTGAATGCGGCGGGCTGGACGGTATGTCGAATATAGACGGATCCTGTCGATGACCAGGCGTGGTATTGGTGTTGATGACCACTTGGGGCCTTGTGTGGTATTCAGGTGAACGTCTGGCTTCACGCCCATGACCCGAATGTGACTTCTTTCTTCGTTTTTGTGAATGCACTCGGTGAAGTGGAGAGTGCTGATGATCACGCGGCCGGGTTGGCTGTCCAGTGGAATCACCTTCATGACGCCGCGCGGACCTGACCGGAGGGAGAAACTCTTCTGGAGGAGGACTGGAACGAAGTGTATTAGGGTCAAAATCATCTTGCTCCTGGCTTTCATTCGTTGTTTCGGGTTGCTTGCTCTTTTCTGCGGGCATGGCCGTTCGGACCGGTCGAATGCCTCGTTCTTGCATCAGTCGCTGATACTTGGCCATTTCGAGAGCGTATGGGTGCAATTGAATAGCATTGCGCTCACGAAAAGATCTCCGCACTGGCTGAGCCAGCTCTGTCAGAATATCTTGGGGAATTTCGAGATCTGGGACAGTTGGGTTCGGATTTTCTGGCTGTGGTGCTACCGGAGCGGTCTCCCTCTCATCCTCGTCTGCAGCCGGAGGTGGTGAGTGAAGGGACGATGGAGGCGACGATAATGGAGAGTCATCGTCTGAGATATCTTGTGGTGTAACGTTCTCGAATTGTACATCATTGGAGTTTTTGGTTGCAATGGATGCTTTTAATGGTGGGGGTGGTGGCGGTGGTAGAATGAAGTCGAGTTCGTCCGGGGAAGAACTTCGTGATCTCCCTAGATCACTCAATAGATGGTCATTCTGGACATCGGATTCCTTAATGACTGGAGACTGGGCAGGTATAGAGGGCTTTGGGGTAGCCTCCTGGCTTTTTGATTTCCGGCCAGACCTGACTTGCGTCATTGGCGAACTAGGAAGATCCCATATACTATCGTCAAGGTCTGCCAGGACATTGCGGCGTGGTTCATTGGCGTTTCCATCGGGTGCTTTCGTTGCTGACTGTCGTTTCCCATACGTCCGGGTTGCTCGTCGTAGCTTCGTGGGCTGTTCTTCCAATGAAACAGATTTCGGAGACTCTTTCGCTGCACTCGCAGGCTCTGAGCCTTGTTTGGTAGATAAGCCTTTCTTAATTGGAGGCGTTGAAACCAAATCCACCAGCTCTTGAGAGCCTTCAGCCAATTTGCCGTCATTATGCTCCTCGGCAGGTTCTATCGCATCCCGCAACTCTGAATCTCCGGCATCCGCAGGGCGCTGCTCGAGGTTCGACGTCGCCGTAGGGAGGGGGATATAATCGAGGTTGATTTCGTCGCTTGCGTCGCTTGCATTGTCAACCGCCGGTTGGCTCGTATCGAGGGAATCAAAGCCATCATCCTCGTCCGAGTCTGGGACAAACCCTCGTTTCCGCCATGGTTCCATTTGCATCCTCGGCGGGGATGTCCCATGTCTCTAAGGAGTCATCGAGTCACGTCGCTAGACAATGGAAGGCACACAATAAATTCCTCTCGAGAAAATGCACGAGAAGCAAAAGAATCGCAGTGGCCAGAGGGCCTTGAGTTTGACGTTGGCGTGCAGGGAGTGCTTTGACGCGTCGATAAGAGATTAACTTGGGGAGACGCGCCTCTAATCGGGTCTAATCAGTAGCCGATAACGCCCACCTCGCGCAGCATCTCCGAGTCCACCTCCCTCTCCACAACGGCACTTCTATTTGGCATTCTACCTCCTACGCGGTCTGTCACAATGAGTCGCAATTTCTTCCCTGTTGTCATGGCCATTGGTGTCGGTGTATTTACTGGTAACTATCTCTTACTGTCGCTTCCGGCTTCAATTGTTCTACGGCCACTGGTTCTGACGTCAAATTTCTCCGTAGGCTACTACACCTTCCAGCCAACCTTCCAACAGATGGCGATCGAAAAGGAACAAACTCCTCAGCAGTCACAGTCTACCGGTCTGTCTCATAAGGAGAACAATGCGCCCTCCAACCCCGCTGCCGATAACTCAAAGCCCGAAACTCAAGGTAGCAAGTGATAACCTGCAAGACGACGGCCACACTTGACAACCCGATTATAAGAATTGGTGTCGTGTGTCACTCTCAGGGAGACATCGATATCTGATTATACTCAGATATCAGACGCCACATATCCGGTACCAGTGAAAGATCGAATTCAATAATGCTGGTCGGGAGCTCTACCAATCTCCCAGCATCCGTTGAAGCCTCCCCATGACAAGGTTTCTGACCGGTGTTGAGTTAGCACAGCCGGAGAACTACAAGTTGGCTGCTTCTTCTGATTGGGAATCGAGTCATGCCATAACCCCGGGCTTGGTTGGCAGCCGGGGTGGTTGAGTCACGTCAAGTGGATTGGGAAGCCTCAGAGACGCGGTTGAGGTTGTACATAAAGAATATTGAGACCACGAACGTTTGAATATATGAATGTATTTTTATCTCCATAAGCACAATTCTGAACGCCATGCCTTCCAAGGTTATAACAGAGAAGCTCGACCATAGCCGGCTCTCGTCAGAAGATGTGACCCAATTTCCAAGTACCCCATTGTAGATGGTTTCCGATACGCCAAGTTCCCAATCTCTTCTCATAAGCACAGAATCAAATTTCCTCCACCATTTTGCCGTTTCCAGCTGCGATGGGTGCACCGAATATTCGGCCAGCAGGGGTGCCGAGCCACTCCTCTGGCACGTTGACCTTACAGCCAGATTTATTGCTGATCCAGCGGACCATAGTCGGATCGGCCTTCTCGGGCTCGGCGGGCTCTTGATCAGCGGGAGTGGCCTCTGCTCCGTCGGCGGCGGCCTGTCGGCCACGACGCTTGGGCGGCTGTTTGTTGAGAAGGCGGTTGATAGTGTCCATCTTTTTCGGGTTAGCAATGTCATTCAATCAATTGGGAGTGAAAGCAAGTCAGTTTTGCTATGGCATCAAACTTACCTTCTCTTCCTCATTCCGCTTCTCGCTTAGATTCTTACGTCGACGGGCCATTTCGGCTCGACGCATAGCGCGCTCCTCGGCCGTCAGGTGCTTCTTCACTTGAGGTTCTGTGTCTTTGTTAGCCTTATATCGCTCTGTGGTATAAAGGCATTTTCGAATGTAACTTACCCATTGGAAGTTGTAGGAAATCGTTGCCAAGGTTGCCGCGTTGACGCTTGGTGGTTTTGCCAGAGTTCAAGGCCATCGCATCGCTGTCCATGTCTTCATCCAACTCATCTTCTTCATCCTCTTCGTCGAGATCGTCAACATTGACATCTGGAATGGCACTCTCCTCCTGGTCATCGAGCTCACCCTCCGCATCGGTGTCGGTGTCGGAGAGGGCCTCGTCGTCGTCATCCTCGTCAATCTCGTCCTCTTCTTCCTCTTCCTCCTCTAGCTCCATCTCCTTCGCCTCGACGCTTTTAGCGGCCTTTCCACGGGTTGCAGCTGCTTTCGTGGCTCGCCTTACTGGCGGCTGAGGGGGAACATCGTCCATATCCATGTCGCCGTCGGCATCGGCATCCTCATCTTCTTCTTCTCCGGGAGCATCCTCATCATCGACCTCGTCTTCTTCTTGGTCTTCGAGGTCATCGTCGTCATCATCATCATCAGACGTGGGAACTTCCACAATCTTCCTCTTGTTGCGACTGGTTCGTGGCCCTGTCACAATGGGATTTTCTCGGAATACATTGACTGTGCGACGGGCGGCACGGCCACCTGTAGCCTCGCGCAACTTGCCAGCGGGCATTTTTACAGTAAGACGGAGAGTTCTAGTGGCCTCTCCAGGTGGATCCTCAGAAGATCGGGAGACAGTCACTGATGCTGGAGGTGCAGCTGCAGAAGACCGTGTGAGTCTTCTAGGTCTAGAGCCCATGTTAGCTTCGATATCTGGGGATTCTTCCAGAGATGCACGCGGTCGACGAGAGCGACGAAGTTCCATGGTGTTGGTGATGTTGGAAATGATTGAAAAGGGTGCAATGATTCAACCGTCCACGAGAAAGCGGGGAGGCCAGTAGAGTAAGTGGCAGTATAGGGGAGAAATCTCCGGGTGCTTGTTTTGGGTTGGTGCCAGGAGGAGGGGGGCCGGTTCGAAGAAAGAGGCACGAAGGCCGCTCAAATACGTCCGGATGACAGCTGAGCTGTGCAAACCGGGAAGGTGCAGGCCCTTAGGCTGTCTCAGGCGCCACGTTGGAGATTTCACGAACAAAGCGCCCCCCAGCTCCAGGGATCTCGAGTGGTCTCCTCCTGGCTGCCGTGTTCCCCGATTTCTCGGACGAACTAGGATAATAGAAGGGGGATCCAGATGCATAATCGCGGGGGAGTACAAAAGAACGCACGTAACAGGGTTGATTGAGGCACTTACGGGTACTTTTTTTCCCTTTTCTCTTCTCAGCTGCCAATCTTCAACGGTCCTGTCGCTGACGTTCAACGAGCGAATGAAGTAATCACCGCCATTCTGCCGGGCGGTCACTCCCAGTATATCTCTCGCCTTAAAATCAAGGTAGTATGGATGGATGGATGTAACTAGTTAGATCTTATAAGAATATTCAGCGATGAATAGGATATTCTGAGAAGATCTTATCACTGAACTTGTCAATATCTGATCCTCCTGGTTATCCTTGGAAATAAGTGTCATCCGATCTAAGCCTATGGTCTTATCTTTCTCTTGTGAACATAGAGGTATATTTGATACGAAATTATCAGACAAAGATTCAAATATCTAAACTATTCTATTAAAGACATAGAGACTAAGTCTAATATATAATATCAGACTATTATCAATAGCCGCTATACTTGTCCACGTTTACGACTCGGTCGTACTATAGACGGAGCCAGCCGAGTCAGTGCGACAGCCGAGGTCGGGCTCACATGGCCCCAACTCAACTGCCCCAAGTCCGGGGAAGTGCCCTCTTCTCCTCTCACTCCTCCGACACTTTCCCATCACATCCTCTCCTTCCATTCTGACGTTGCAAGTCAGATCACAGACACAATGTCTGATCCTTCATCAAAGCCACCATCCATTCCCTCATGGCAGCAGCAGTCAGGGTCTGCTCCGACCGACCAGTCCCCATCGTCATCGCCGAGCTCCGACGATGCGCCTGCATCCGCCTCACGACAAGACCTCCTTGACCAAGCGTCCAAGTTCTTAGAAGATGAATCGATTCGTGATGCGTCGACAGATCGCAAGGTCTCCTTCCTCGAGTCAAAAGGCTTGACCTCAGACGAGATCCAACAACTCCTCGGCGTCTCCCGAAATCCGGAGGCGAGCAGCGCCGAATCAACCGCGGCCGAACCCAAGGTGCAAGAAACATCTTCATCCCCTTCACCTTCGGATCAGTCTGAAGTGACTCCTTCTTCTCCTGTCACTGCGTCTACTTCATCCTCTTCCTCCACCATGTCGCAGCCACGCTCGACCCCCGCCACCTCCACAACCTCCTCCACTGCAGCACGCGACGTGCCCCCAATCATCACCTACCCCGAGTTTCTCTTCCAACCAGCCAAGCCACCCCCATTGGTGACAATGAGCCGGATTCTATACACAATCTATGGTGCCGCAGGTCTCGGTGCCAGTATCTACGGCGCAAGCGAATACCTCGTCAAACCAATGCTGGCAAATCTCACCAGCGCACGCCTCGATCTCGCCAATACCGCAAAGGAGAACCTGCAAAAGCTAAACGAGAAGCTCGAACAGAACGTATCCGTCATCCCCGCACATCTTCTCACCGCGCGCAAGAAGGGCACCGAGGATGGAGACGAGGACTCGAGCGACAACGATTCCATCATCTCAGACCCCACAGAGCTCTTCCACCGAGACATCGGTACCCAAACTACCCCCGACGTCTCGACAACCTCGCGATCTTCATCTTCAAAGGATCCGGCAGAGACGGCTGCGGATGCACCCACCATCGCAGTTAACAAACACCTAACCCGCCTTGAATCCATTCAATCCTCCTTGAAAGAAGTCACCGAGTTTGAGAAGGATTCTAGTAACCTGGATGACTCGATGCGCACTCGTCTGACAGACCTCCACCACTACCTAGATGGACTGATATACGCTGCGCCCAGTTACACTGCGACAGCAGGTTACGGTGGTTTGTACTCTGGAACCACCACAACAGGATCAGATAGCAGCTCCTCCGGTGTGCGCAAGTCCGAGGAGGACGCTATCACAGCCTTCAAGGCGGAGATTCGGGGCGTGAAAGGTGCGCTGCTGAGCGCTAGGAATTTCCCGGCCAGTCGGGGCGGTAGACTCCCCGGTGGTATGGCTGGGAGGTGATGAAGTGTTTATTTGAAAGACGGTTTCCTTTCTATGACAGGATAAGATGTATATAAAGCGTGGAATTGGAACGGGAATTTTGTACATCATCTATCATTCCCATTGTACCAATTTGTGTGTTGAATGGCTGAAATCCAACAATCTACTCATGTTAATTTCATGTCTTTGTCTATCTCACATCCTAATCCAGCAGGCACGGTTATCCAGAAAACACACCATTTTAGACAAAGTATGAAGGGGAAAATAAGAAAGGTAGGGGAATTTTCTTTTCTCATGACACAAGTACTTGATCAGACTAGACCCCCGGGGCACATAACGCAAGGAAACACGCAGGCATTAATAGTAACATGAACAAGGGAAGAGAAACGAAAAGATGAGGGTAAACAAAAGTAAAGCGTTGTATCAAGTTCCTGTCCAATCTTGCGTGAGGTAAGATGGGAGTCCTCCAACAGGGCTGTTGAACATGAACCCCACTCTATCTAGATTGGGAGGGGCTTCATGGGGTGGCCTTGCTCATGCTAATGAGGCGCTTGACACCAACCTGTATTACAATTATTAATATAGGATCCCAAGAAATATTCGAAGAGAACACTTACCATCCAGTTGCCACACTCTTCCGTTCGGTTAGTCATGATGTCGAGGTGGACGACACGAGCAGTCTCATAGTCCTTAGACTGGATAGCACGCGCTAGATTGGCCAGATCTTCGACGGTGTTGGGCTTGATCAGATCCTCATTGTTCAGGTGATCAAAGAGGATGTTCAAGCGGCGCTCAGCATCGTCAACCTGTGCCTTGAAAGACGAGGGTGCGCGGGCCTTGACGCGCTGCATGTCTGACGAGAGGATCTCGTAGACGGGCATTGCGTTGGGGGGGATGTGAGATCGGTCACCAGGGGCTATGGAATACGTCAGTTCGTCGAATACTAAAAATGACGTTTGCAGGAATACGTACGGTACTTGGGAGTCGCGGGAGGAGGCGGGGCTGCCCTTTGAGACTGAGCTGTGCCGGGCCTGGATCCCTGGGGTGGAGGGGGGACAGGGGCGGAGGCCATTGGGGGAGGCTGAACGGCTGCAGGCCCGCTCGGAGCGTACGGGCTTGCTGCCGGAGGGGGTGCCGCCATCTGGCGAGCGTACGGCGAAGGGCCACCCTGGGGAGGAGGCGCCATTGGTGGGCGACCCTGCAATTGCGGGCCAGGGGCCTGGGCGGCCGGGTTAGGGGCATACCGGTTCGTTGGTGGTGGCACACTTGGCGGGGCATTGTACGGCGACGGCCCACGCTGGATCGAGGCAGGCGGGGACATGGTCGACATGGGAGGAGATTGGGGCAGAGAAGCATAAGGGTTGACTGGAGGGGGCGGCGATGGTCCGGGCACGTTCGATGCAAGAGGCGACGTCACGCGGGGAGGAGCGCCTGCCTTGGGAGGAGGAGGAACAGAGGGCGCACGCTGAGGTCCAGTGGGAGGTGGACCTTGCGCGAGAGGAGGAGACTGGTTAGGGAACGGAGAGCTGATGGTCGCAGCAGCGATAGGTGTACCGCGACGAGGAGTAGGAGCCTTCTTAGCAAAGCCCTCTGGCAGATCGTTCCACGCAGGGAGACCAGTAGCGGTGGTGTACGTGGTGATAGTGTTAGCCGGCGACTGGGTGCCGGCACGGGGAGGAGGCGGAACGACACCAGCACCAGCAGATTGACCGCCGAACGTAGACTGGGGACCGTAGGCAGGCGCTTGCATACCCTGAGTTGGCTGGTATCCAGCTGGCGTGTAGCCGCTACGGCTAGCACCGCCGATTGAGGCGTATGGGTTGGCAGGCTGCAATGGTGCGGCAGTCGGGGGCGCATACGCATTCACCGGCGGCTGGACAGGAGCAGCGGCAGCGGCCGTGGGGGGCGCATAAGCGCTCGGCGCACCAACGGTGGGAGGCACTGATGAGAAGGTCTGCTGGGGCTGGTAGATGTTGGGCTGCTGAGGGAGAGGCTTGAAGCTCTTCGTGGTGGGAGCGGCCTGCGCTTTCTGGGGGACCTGTCTCATCGCGAGGTTGATGCGGTTGCGAGCCACCTCGGCCTCGGGATGCTTCGCAGGCACAAGGTCAAGGTATTTCTGAGCAACTTGCAGCCGTCCATGGGTAGCGACGACATCGGCGTACTCAATGTACTTCTCATACAAGGTGCTGAGGCGCCAGTCAGAGTCCTTGTTCTTGTCCTCATCCTGGAACTTGGTGACCTGGCGGAAGATGGTCACCTTCTCGATCAGGCCCTGCAGAGCGCGAACGTGGATAGAGAAGGTGGAGTTATCAGTGTCACTCTCAATTCCTCGTTGTTCGTTCTCACGAAGTTCCTCAACCCAAATGGACACAACCTTCTCAAGCTTGGAACCAGCGAGGAAGCAGAACGAGGCATCCTTGCGAGCAGTCTTATCACCAGAGTCACGAACCTGCTCCTCAAGGCGATCACCGAGAGCCTCGCAGAGGTCGGGGAACTCCTTCTCATCAGCAAAGGTGCACAGGGCAGCCATCACCTCCTTCCAGTTGGAAAGGTCGGCATTATGGACGACATCCCAAAGGTTCTTGCCAACGATAGAAGCCAAAAGGCGCATGTAGTTGGGGCCACCGGTCTGCTTGGAGAAGTAGTACTCCTGTGCCTTTTCAATGCACTTCTGGCCACCGCAGATGGCAATCATAAAGGCATCAGACATGCGGTCCTCGGCGAGGGCCACATCAAGCGCCTTCTCGAACTCACCGAGAAGCAAGGCGCGGGTGATCTTCTGCTCTGCCGGGTTCTCGGAGCCGTTGAAGATCTGGAAGGGGTTGTTGGTCTGAGCACCCTTTGACGCGGCCAGTTCCGTCAAGAAGTTGTCACTGTCGGGGGTTGCGTCGAACATAGATTGCAGACGCTTGTGCTTCTTGGCACTAGACTTGGGCTTCTCAGCCACTCCGTTGGTCTCTTCGTCCTCCTTCTTATCCAGGCCAAGCTTGGACAGGGTATCAGCCGCTTCGTCAACCGAGTCCTGGAAGCCCAGGTACTCCACCAGGCCCTTGCGGGGGTTCTCCGACAGCAAGGCCTGAATGACCTTCCAGTCGGCCTTCTCCTCATCGGTCGAAGCGCCAGCAGCGCGACTCTCGCAGAGAGTCTGGAGATCACCCTCCTTCAAAGCGGTCTCGAAGCTCTCGGTAGCATTGCCCACGCTTGAATCAACCTCGAACGGAGTGATTCTAACCTTGGATGCGCGAGAGCCCTTCTCGGACAAGCTAATAGAGACAACGCGACCACCAAAGCCGAAAGAGGCACCGCAGGGACGTTCAAGCCACTTGGGGGGCTTGGGAAGGGAGAACTTGGAAACCTGGGGCTGTGTTTGGGCCTTGGCAAAGAAGTCCTCGCCGTCCAGAGCCTGGTTGTGGTCGGCGATAGCTTGGGAGTTGTCCTTGGTGTTCTGCAGGGTCTGGATCGAGATCCGGCCGTCAAAGGAAGCGGTGGCAAAGAAGTTAGGGTTGTGCGGGTTCCAGCGGGTCTGGAAGGTCCAGTTGGTAACAATGGGGAATTCGCCGTATGCCTCGCCGGTCTGGGGGTTCCAGCAAATGTTGCGGTTATCTTTGCCGGAGGAGAGCATGAGGTCGGGGTCTTGGTCGCACCAAGAGAGCGAGAGCACACCGGACTCGTGGCCCTTGAGGGTCTATAACAAAGTTTGGTTAGTATATTAGATGAATGATGTTCACAGGTGAAGGAGACACTTACACGCTCCGGGGCATGAGAGTTTCGCAGATCCCAGACACAGATCAGAGGGTCTGACTCGAGAGGCGTGGCAGTGATCAGCTTAGTAGGCTATAGAGATAGAGTCAGTGACTGCGCCAATTCGTAAAGTGGCTCCACGTAAGATCCGCTCACCTTTGCAGGGTCCCAAGCAACAGCGCTAACAGCTTTCCGTCCCATGTTGTTGAGAGTCAGGCTCTCCTTCTTGGTCTTGACATCCCAGACGGTCACGAAACCAGCGCTGCTACCAGTCACCAGGATGTGTGCAACCTTCTTATTCCAGTCCAAGCATTCGATATCATCAGTGCGAGCCGCAGCCGTGCCCAGTCGGAAAGGGTTCTCGACATTGTTTAGATCGGAAATGAACAGCTCGCCTTTCGCGCCACCGGTGGCCAGGAGGTTGGAGTGCTTGGGGTTGAATTGGAGGGCTTTGATAGCGCCGGAGTGTTTCGTGGTTCTCGAGATCAGGGCATCACTATGCTTGGTTAGCCAACATGTCTCTAGATTAATCAGGATCCAAATACAACCCACCTAGAGCCAGCGAGCAGCTTATCGGCGTTCCACAGATCCAATGAACCATTCTCCAAACCACCAGCGATGACACCCCGCTTGGTATCATCGAACTCGGCCCAGGCCAGGTCATTAAAACTAATCAATGATCGATGTTAGTACGAACAAACCATCACGGAGCTTCGGGTGCGGCAGCTTACCCAGAGTCGGTATCGATCTTAGCTACAGGCTGTAGCTCTTCGCTGGCATCTTGACGATCCAGACTTAGATCCCAAAGCTCAAGGCATGTCTTGTTCGAGAAATCAACGTCGACGGCACCCGCCCGGGTTCCGGTAGCAATCAATGGTGATGCAGCCCCAGGAGACCAGGCAAAGGTGGCCGTCCTGGGGATCTCCCGCAGACGGACCATGTTAGCGGGGAAGGATGTTTGTGGAGGTAAATTCGAAACCAAGATAAATCAAGGATCCAATATAAGCAATAAATGCAAATCCCACCCCTGTACAGAATTGACAACGGGGGGTGTGATGCTCGATCTGGCCGCAGTAAACCAAGTGGCCTCCTGGGCTTGGAGGGACCGGGGAACCCGCGCTAAACCCTTTTGGGCCCTCGCCAAAACACCCCCCGAGGCTTGTCGCACGTGATATCAGGTTCTCTTTCGCGGGCATGCAACCAAACCTGGGGTTAACGAGCACAACCAGTACCTTAAGAGTACGGTTTATTTGATTCACCATTCGCCAGCTTCCGGTAAACATTCCGTGTTGCAGTCGTCACGTACTCTGTTTGATCGCCTCCCCAAGAAACTCCCAAGTTCCAATCTCGAAATCCAGTACACCATGAGCGAAAGCACTAGGCTGAAGAGCACGGTCTACGTGGGTGGTCTCGACCAAGCCGTCACGACGGAGACCTTGGCCGAAGCCTTTGTGCCCTTTGGAGAGGTGGTCGATATCACTTTGCCCAAGGCAGACGCACCCAACTCTGGCGACGCCCATCGTGGCTTTGGATATGTCGAATTCGACCTTCCCCAAGATGCCAAGGAAGCCATCGACAACATGGATGGCAGTGAAATTTACGGGCGCACCATCAAAGTCGCAGCTGCCAAACCTCAAAAGGATGCCAACGAGGGTCTGGGCAGCAAGACCGCTATCTGGGAGCAGGTATGTTGGGCGATATATTGCCTCTTTATATTGGTCGCATCACGACTAAACATGCATTCTTTTACAGGAGGGCTATCTGGCCAAGTACGCTGTCGATGAGGAGGACAGGCAAGCAGCCGAAGAGGCTCGACAGGCCAGCAACCGGCCACAAGATCCGATGCAGGGCCTAGAGCAACTCGACGTTGCAGGACCCAAGCCCGAATGAACTACTCTATTACGATGGCCACGATCATAATGAAAGACCACGAACAAATGATACAATTTGCCGACAACGCAACGCTCGAGGGTTCCCCTCCACAGGAAAAAAAGCCGGGCTATGTACACACGCTCCGGTCCCAGAGCACGTCTTGAATTTTTTTGGATTCTCCTAACTTTCTTACCGGAACTCAACCCGACTCAAACAAATACATGCGGCAAGAGGTTATAAAGGGTGGGATCGCATTCTCAGGAGCTCAGATAAACAGGATGGTACATTTAGTGATCGCGGCTCTCGGGGCTGTTGCGGTAGAGACGCAGGGTCTTGTCGGTCATGAGCTTCTTGGTGCTCGAGTAGATGGCAGCACCGACGGCAACGCTAGACAATGGCTGTTAGCATGGGAAATGGTCCGAAAGCTCGACTCGGAGTGACGGGTGAAAAGAGAGGAAAAATTCGGGTATATGCGTCGCGGAATAGGGCGGGCATGTGATATTAGATAGAAACGTACCCAAGAACGATACCTGAATATTCAAATTGTATTAGAGGCCATTTCAATTGCGGAGATGTCCAATATAAAAGACTTACCGAGAGGGATCAGCTCGGGAGGACACTTCTTGATCATGCGCAGACGCTGGGAGATGGTGTGGGCTATATGCGACCGATTAGTTCAATGGCCCCTTTCCAAACCACTCCAATGGGTCATTCAAGTCAATGGATTCACGAGAGGTCGTGGAGTCGTGGGGGTAGTCGTACCGCTCTGAGCCTCCTTCTGCAGACAGGAGTTAGCATTAGCCGAAACGGATCGTATGACCGTCCGACCGAGGACGACGATAGACATCACTTACGGGGGCGGGGCTGTAGAAGGCCCGGGTGGGCTGCATGCGCAGGACACGAGAGGGGTACATGGCGACGGGAGTTGGGGAGTTGAGAGATATCGAAGACTGCGGGAGAGCAGAAGAAGGAGTGGGATGGGGAGGACTGAGGTGACGGAGCAGCTTTCCAAGAACGTCCTGGCTCGGGTGTTTTGGGAAAAGCGAGACGCTCAGTGGCTCTCGCTTGACCGCCCGCGGTCATACCCGGCACGAGCAGCTTCGAATCACCCAACGTCCGTTCTTCTGCCCTCCTCCTACCTCCCTCTCCTCCACTCTCGAAACCCACCCCGCAAATCTCACTTGTTCTTTTCTTGTGTTCTTCTATAGAAGCTACACATCGTCAAAATGGGTGCCATTCCGGAAGTCGACCCCGATGAGCCTGTCGAGACCAAGCCCTTCAAGTTCGTCACTGGTAAGTCCACGCAAATCCCCCCTCTCCTATGAAAACTGGGGTCAATTGCCCTGCAGAAGAGTCAATGGCTAATTTTTCGGCAGCTGGTACGTCTTTCCATTCGAATTCCATGTGATATGAGCCCGCGCTCGAGATACGATTTCGGACGGGCCTCTCCCGATCGGGACTGGGATATGGTCAGACTAACATTTTTCCGACGCGATCGCAGGCTACGACGCTCGTTTCCCCCAGCAGAACCAGTACGTCCCTCGTCACAATTGCACTCTCGCTTCATTTCTAACGCCATTTGCACCTCTTTCAGGACCAAGCACTGCTGGCAGAACTATGTCGACTACTACAAGTGTGTCAACGCCAAGGGCGATGACTTCCGCCCATGCCGTCAGGTATCATCAACCTCTACGATTACCGACATGTCTCTCGCATATTCTAACACATCTCGCAGTTCTACCACGCCTTCCGCTCTCTCTGCCCCAAGGCCTGGACCGACCGCTGGGACGCTCAGCGCGGTACGTATCATACGATCCTCGGTTCATAGCTTGCACAAGTATACTAACTTGCCGATTCCTACAGAGGCTGGCAACTTCCCCGCTCACCTCGACAAATAGATAGCCAACGGCCGTTTTGGGTTGGTTAGACTGGGCTTCTTCAAATCTTGTGTATTGACAAATTTCCAATGTACTCTACCTGGTCGCACGGGGATACATTTCCTTTCTTCCTGGATGTAATCATCTGATATACCGGAGAAGGGGTGTCTATAAGTCGCCGTTTTGCAAAGAGAAACGTGTTTTATTAGCTGACACCTGCGCTTCTGATGTGTAAAACGCGTTGCCTCGTAAACGCAAAGCTCGAGTAGTATGTAGACATCGCTATACACCTCTGCGTGCATGCAGGGATACAATTCTGATGAAGGGCCCTGCGAACGTATAGCTTCAAACCCTCTACAATGATACGTGTATGCTCTTGGTCTTTAGCTTGATATCTTCCAAATAAGGTTTTGATCCAACAAGCTTCGTCTCTATATCTTTTCCCCCTAGTCTATCCATTTGAATTCTCATATATCTCAGAGACTACCGTACTCGAAACTCACCGAATAGTGTTCGTCTAAACTTCCCTTTGTTTCACTTTCAACTCAAAAAAACATTACATTTCCAAAAACCAGTATTCCTCGCGGAAATAGTCTGCATGCGATTCAGGGTGTATCTATGTCTATATGATTTCAGTCTTCCATGCGAAAAAATGCGACATCCTCGACACCCTGTACATAGGATCGGATATGACAAGCTGGTAATCCAGAGCCAGTCTGCTGGCTTTGGCTAGATATCAACCCGACCCTCTTCAAAGAAATATCCCAAAGAGAATGCAAATATGTACAAGCCAAAAAAAAAACAATGCTTGTATGACCCTTGAAATTGCTCCGCCCAAAGTCATAAAGGAAAAAAAAAGGTTCGAGTCATATATACGGGGAATAGATCGGACGGAATGATAGATGAACGAAACGGGAAGAAATGCCAACCTTACACCTGAGTGACTCAGATGCCCTTCAGTTTCCGGTAGAGCTTCTTATGCTCTTCAAGGAAGATGAAGGTGGCAATGGTGTGAGGACCCAGGCGAATGAAGCTAGGAACCCAACCGCGGAAGGTCCAAGCAAGACCCTCCTTGCGGCAGATATCCCGCAGTAAGCCTGCGATACTGTGACCACGGCTCTCGGCCGGGGAGGCAGTCATAATACGGGTCTTAATCACGTCCACAGGACTGCAGACGGTGGTTGCGACGAAGCCGGCGAGGAAAGAGGCTGTGAAGTGAGTACCAACATTATCGCCCATGCCCACCTGCTCAATGCAGAGGCGCTTGAAGATATCGTATGAAGTCAATTGTGAGGCTGTCATGAGGATTGCGCGGGTCGAGTTCGGCCAAACACCGCGGAAGAGCGAGGCGACACCTTCTGTCTTGGTCATCTGCACCAGACCGTGGAAGGCATGGCGGTAGTTACGGCGCTGGGCGGGGGGCAAAGCCGCGTCTGATTGCATTCGTACGTTGAGAACATCGGACGGGTTGCCGACAAAACCGCCAATCAAGCCCGAGGCACAGGCAATGCCGAGTAAGGTAAGGAAGCCGGGTGAGGTAGAGGAGGAGTCTGTGGAGGGTTTGGCGAAGCGAGATTTGAGCTCTTCGTATATACCGAATCTCGTTGTGGAATAGGTAATCTGGCGTAGGAGGGCTGCGGAAAGCTGCATTCAAAACAAACATAATGTCAGGTTACTGGTTCCAAGAAAGAATGCAAGTTCGGGGCATCATTGAGCATCGGGGCCTGAGTGGCGATGACTCTCGGCTGATGCTCGGCGATTGGCAAAAAACATACACCATTGTATAATCCAGTAAATCCATTATGTCTCAGAATATGAGCGAACGTGCCCACCATCGACTTGGGGGCATCCGGTGCGCGTGTTTGTAACCGGACCTAGTATGCGACAAGGGTCCATGATCAGCAACAGGGTCGGGGGGCAAATAGCCTCGGAGTTCAATCGGAGTAAAGTGAAGATACCTTGACTATAATGAAAAAGTGAGGTTAGCGTATGGTCAGATCTCAGAGTCCCCTCAGATCAATCTTGGAGACAAACATACCCAAATCTAAAGGATGCGTCACGGCAGCGGCGAAGCATGACGCCGAGCCTCCAAACCAGAATGGGTAATGCACCTTCTTCTGTTTAGACTGGACGGGTGTTGAGACGGGGGCGACCCGCGCATGAGCGACGGGGGCCTCTAGCATCTTGCCGCTGTCTGCCATCTCGAAGGGTCTCGAGGCTGCGGGCGAAAATAGTGGAGGAGGGTTGGGGGAGGCGTAGTTAAAGAAGAGCCAGGCCCTCTTTTTTTTTTGCAGGTCGGCTTTTTCCCAGTTTGACGTAATTTTGGATCGCCAATACCGACGGAGACAAATCAGGCCGCCGAAGCGCCGCTCGGCCGCCCCAACCGACGGCGAATCGTGGCCAATCATGGCCGATATTTTGACGGGGTGTGGTGGTGAAGTCCAATCATCGTCTCGGTTTTGATCGTGGCCGGTGGAGTCTTTAGTCTGTAAGGAACATACCGCCCCTCTGATGGACTGGGTGTTTGTAACCAAGTCTACGATCACTCGGGGACTTGAATTCGGGCTCGGTGGTTAATTTGGACACCGAGATGAGAGATGAAGAAGAAGTACTTGATCATAGGATAATATCAAGATCATATTATGGCAATAACTAGGCCTAGTAGTAGCCCAAAATTAGTGAGGTTGTTCTGAAAAGTATGGTTTGCGGGTATCCTCGGTGGAATTGCGGAAGTCGGGGGACAAACAATCGGAGTACCGAGGGAGGGGTCACAACCAACGATAAACCCCTTCGAGATAGGTATAACCTGCCTATAGTGGATGGTTTAATACTGATAAGGATAGTAAATTACATATCATTGAAGTATCAGACAATCTAGAATAGTTACAATGCAACTACCTAATGTGGGGTAGAAAACAAATGTTGTTACTTACTGTAAGGCGTCCTATCTGCGTGGGCACAACATATATACTTCGAACTGTGTGACACAATCTGATGCACACAGCCTATGTAGTCAGGTTTACTTACAGCGAACATTCAGTTTTGAATACTCCTCTTGTTTCAGATAATTGTCATGAATCTACATATTTCAATCACCCCGGGTCATCAAATTGCCTGCCCTTTCTCTCTCTACCATATAGCCAGTAGGCTGTACTTCGGGAACTCATTTCCCCGGCGCCGGAGATGTTTTGAGATTCCTCCGCAGTCCACCTCAGCCAGGCTCAATTGAGACCCCAAATTCGCCTCTGTAATGCGGTTATTTGCTACCGGTCGAGCCCTACGGGCTAGCAGTGGGCGCTGGTCAATTTCCACGATTCGCCCGAGAATTCCCATTCCCCGAACTCACCCGTTCCGCGAATCCATCCCAGTGATCACTCGCGACTGGAGCTCGACATCAGCTCGACGGACCGCTGATCAAAGCTCTAGCGCTGGCCAGCCCAAGCAAGCGCCGAACGCACGATCAATTCTTAAGATTGAAGGCGACAACTACTCGACTGATCAATGGACTAACACTCCCGACACAATCCTATCCCACGTGGGACGACGTCTGTACCTCGACGAGAACCATCCTCTCGCCATCACACGCAAGCTTATTGAGAGCCAATTCGCTGCGCCAGTCTTCGGCAACTACTTCGAAAAGAATCCCGTCGTTACAACCAGACAGAACTTCGACGTTCTGGGCTTCCCACCAGACCACCCGGGCCGCAGTCGCACTGATACCTACTACATCAACGACAAGACGGTGCTGCGCACCCATACGAGCGCACACCAGCAAGCATATTTCCAGCAAATCAACCGCAACGAGAAGATTCGCCCCGAGGAAGTTGGATATACTGTGATTGCTGACGTCTACCGCCGCGATGCAATTGACCGGAGTCACTACCCGGTCTTCCACCAGATGGAGGGAGCTATGCTGTGGAAGCGTCCCGATCAGAACCCGCTGGAGGCATCCAAAGAAACCGCAGCCCGGATCAATGCAGACGTGGATTTGATCCCGCGCCACGACGTTCCAGTCGAAGACCCCAACCCAACACTCCACCCTCAGCGCAACCCGCTGCAGGCGGAGCACCACAGCGAGGAAGAGGTTGAGGCTATTGCGGCGCATCTGAAGCGGTCGCTGGAGCGCATGGTTATCAAGGTCTTCACTGAAGGAAGCAAAGCTGCCGCCGCAAGCTCCGGTGGTAACGTTGACCCCGAGCCTCTCAAGGTGCGCTGGGTGGAGGCATACTTCCCCTTCACCAGTCCGTCATGGGAACTCGAAGTTTTCTGGCAAGGCGACTGGCTGGAAATTCTTGGATGCGGTGTCATTAAGCAAGATCTTCTGATCAACTCGGACGTTCCCAACCGCGTCGGCTGGGCCTTTGGCTTGGGCATCGAGCGCATTGCTATGCTCCTCTTCAACATTCCTGACATCCGCCTCTTCTGGTCTCGCGATGAGCGCTTCCTTTCTCAATTCCGTGCCGGTGAAATCACCCGCTTCGAGCCCTTCTCGAAGCACCCAGCCTGCTACAAGGATGTCGCTTTCTGGTTGCCCCCAGCTGCTGTTACCGGAGGAAGCAGCGCGGCAGGTGGTGCCGTGCCGTTCCACGAGAACGATGTCATGGAAATTGTCCGTGGCATCGGTGGTGACCTTGTTGAGGACGTGACTCTGATTGATGAGTTTACCCACCCCAAGTCTGGACGGAAGAGCATGTGCTATCGCATCAACTATCGTAGTCTGGAGCGGACTTTGACCAACGAGGAGGCTAATGAGATGCATGAGAAGGTGCGAGCTCAACTTGTTGATGACTTTGGAGTGGAATTGCGGTGATTGAAGGGGAAGTAAAACCTTGTACTATATTATATCTGCTACTATATTGTCTCTATAACGTGTACAACATCGGAGGCTGTTCGCCCCTCTCAAACTGGATATGCCACGGAGATGATATCTCGCGTAATTTGCCGACGCATGCTCAATGCATTAGCAGGACTCGGACAGATCTCTACACCAAGATGGAACCAATGAATGACAACGGGCGGCTTTGGTGCTGCCTGCCCAGGGTGTATATTGTATTGTACAAGAGATGAGAAGAGAGTTTATCCGGAGACTCAGATTGCGCGAAAGTGAAAAGAAAGATCCCCCAACACGAGACAATCCAGACGCCTCCAGTCACATGCAACACGAGAAAGGTGTATCATACAGATCCAAGAGACAAGCAAACATCAAGAAAGGTTAATTTTTTCCCGGGTCCAACAACCAGCCGCAACCGAGTGCGAATCCCTATCGTGATCGTGACGTATGATATATGGTACAGAGAGAGAGAAGAAAAAGAAGATGAGGAAAGGAGGTAGACGGGGAGGAAGGGGAGGCATTATGATCGAGAGGAGAGAAATTAAGCGTTCTTGACGACGCCGACCTTGGCAGCCTATAAGAAAGAATAGAGGTCAGAAAAGAGTTGCAAGAATAGTCAAGCATGGCAAAACTTACACGAACGACACGACCGTTCAGACGGAAACCCTTGCTCTGGGTGTACATCACATCACCATCCTCCATGTTGGGGGAGGGAGCCATGAAAGTGGCCTCGTGCAAGTTGGGGTCGAACTTCTGAGGCTTGCCCTCGACCTGCTCGCTGGGATCGAAGCGCTCCAGACCGTGCTTCTGGAGTGTGTTCATGAGAGTACGCTCGGTCATCTTGAGACCGTCAACAAGGTCGAGCAGTTCCTTGTTGGCATCGTTGCGCTCGGCAGCGAGCTTCTCCGCGGGCACGGCCAGCAGCGCGCGGTCGAAGTTGTCAATGCTCTCCAGCAGGTCCTTGGCGAAACGCTGAATGGCAAAGTTGCGAGCACCGTCCATGTCACGCTTGGTGCGCTCTTGCAGGTTACGGAAATCGGCGACGGAACGAAGGTATTTGTCCTGAGTGTTGTGAGTATAGAATAATCGGGGGAGGAATCCAAAGAACAATCATTGGAGTTAAATCCTCGTGCATACCTTCAGATCAGTAACTTCCTTCTTCTTCTCCTCGAGCTCCTTGCGGACGGGGTCTTCCTCGGCATTCTCAGCAGCCTCGCCCTCATTTGCAGCCTCCTTCTTCTCTCCGTTGTTCTCGGTGGAGTAGAAACGGCGAGCAGGCTGAGGAGCGAATGGCCTCATGGCCGTAGGAAGCTGTGACTGCAAACGTGTTGTCCGGCGGAGAGCGAGCGGCGCCGCAGATGTGGAGGTAGAGGCAGTCAGGGCCGACCGGGCGGCCTGTGCTTGTCTGAAGATGGTGCGCTGGAACATTGTGTAGAAATAGACAATTACAATTGAAGGTATGCCAAGAGTGGAAGTAGTAGAGGAAAGAAGGGAAGAGTCTGATCGGTCCGTAGGGTTGATTGCGATAGCTGATCGCCGGGAGAATTTCGTGGAATATCACCTGACCGCTCTAGCTCCGGGAAAACCGCTGGGCCGAAGTAGATCGTGCTCTCCTTCCTCAACAAGTAATATACAGTCAATTGTATCTACTTCTGAGCAGAAGTCTTGATTATGATTAATTGAGTATACACGCAAACACTCGGATTATAGTGTTATGTGGCATGCGGCATGATTTCACCTACAATGAGTTCTGGATTGTATGATTTTGGGATGGTTGGGTGGATGACTGGACTAACAAGTTGACGCCCTTCCATGGGAATAAGTCAGATTGAACCCATCAGATAATCAAAGAAAGACAAGCTTGATCTTATCAAAGCTTGATTAAAAACAGCAGAACAAACTATGCCGAGAGCTTCCACCTTCAGCCAGTGAGGATGAGATCGAGTGGGTGACGGCCTCGCTTAGAGCCGCAATGCCGATAACCATGGTTGTTTGAACATATTCGTACCTCAGCTCCGAGTCTTGGTCGGCTATTAGCTCTAAATAAGTGACACTATACACGCTAGTTGATCCCATCACTTCTAATTGACCGAAATCATCCAGCTAGCGATGGGATTGCAACGCTCTGACCCATCGCTGCCTTGCCCTAAGGTCCAATGAAGCATGGTGTGGACACCTCAGGCCCAAGTATCAGGCAACAGCTAGAAGTTGCCTAAAATGGAGTTGACTCAGACAATTCCTGAGTCGTGCAAAACGAAGTATAAAAGCTACGACTGAAGAATGGAATTGATAGCTAATCATCTTTATTTTCATTCCATATCTTGTCCAAAACTCAATTGAGCACATTGTTCATATCAATTACCATGGCTAAGCGCACTCTCGACTCTGATTCCACGGCGGAACGTCGAGTTAAGCCTACTCTTATTGAGAAGAGGCCATTAAATATCACCAACTTGAATGATGGCGATGTGGTGCACCAGACGTGTCTCGTTATCCATGGCGAATGCCAGGACTTTGATCATTCAGAAGAAACGAACTATGTCTCAGTTTCTACGTCCGAAATGCTCACTCGGTCGCATTCAACTCAACACTGGCCATTGAACAAAGGCCAATGGAGTGCACTCGTGATGCTATCTCCGGGATTGAATAAGCTGGCTTTCAAGCTTCATCATGTCGGAGGAGTTTCAGACTCTCTAGAAATCGCTGTGAACTATCTGCCTTTGTTGCAACTACCGCCTCTACATCTCGCCATTCTCGTTGCAAAGGACTCACCTTTGCTTATCGACTGCCCGCCAACCAAGTTTGGCAGCATATCCACTGCGCATAGCAGCATTGATTCCGCAGTTTCCAAGCTTCGCATGTCCGCATACATGTGGCAAGCTCTCACTGCCGAAGACTTCCGCCAAAAAGGACTGGGGAGACGCTCGTTCCGATTGGAAGAAGAATGGGCCCCTAATACAACCATACACAAGAACCATCAATACGTTCCCGGTGACAACATTCAGATGGGTTGCATGGCAAAGGTTCATATCATTCGGTCGCAGAGGACCGTCGCGGAACTGAGGGATGCCAACGTTGCTCAGCAAAATTCGCGAGGTCGGGACCGAGATGCCTTGCACCGTTATTTTGAGCAGGATTTGATTAGTTCTGGTGCTCCCTTTGAGCCGAAAAATCGGCCAGTTGTTGCTGGTTTGATTTTGGATTCGCATTACTCCTCTCAGCAGTCCCTGATCACGGCACACGCAGCCTTGGGCTGCCACAAGCCCGATGGTGTCTCCTTGGGAATATTCGGGAGTCATCTTACCTACTCTTGGCCTCGCTTCCTCGAGGAGATCCCTTCGTGCCTCACGGACTTGACTCCCCCCGGTGACACTGTTGGTAATGACAACGGCGAATGCGACACCATGCGTGGTGCATGCTTCGTCGGCCAAGGCGCCTTCCTGCATGAAGTAGGCCACGCCTTTGGCGCAGGTCATACTACCGGAATTATGGCGAGAGGTTACAGCAAGAGCTGGGCTATGAACTTTATTCAGCACAAGAATCACGACTCACTGAAGAATGACGCGAAATGGGACTTGCAAGACACGCTGCAGTTTAAATTATTGCCGCATTTCGCCCTCCCCGGTGATGAGCTCGTCACAGAGAAGTTCCAGAGGGCCAGTGTGAAGGTTGAGGTTTCCCTGGAAGGAGATGACCCGATGGAGTCTGAAGGTAAGACCGAGGGTCTGAAGATCTCGTGTTCTGCAGGACTTGCGCAAGTGAAGATTCAGAGCGGCAAGGATAACCCTGTTGTCCATGATCTTATGGACGACGCCAAACCTGCTTGTACCCTGTTCCAGGTTGTCGAAATGCGCGAGAAATACGACCAGACTCAACCACTGAAGATCACTGCTCTTGGATTGAATGGCAAGATCCGTGTCGTCAATGATTTCTGGGCCATGTGCAAGGATCTTCCTTTCATCCTTATCCCGGACAGCGACGTGGTTCTTCAGAAACAATCTGTTCGATCCTATAACCTCGAGTCCGCCGAGGACGATGACAACTTCCTGAAATGGGCCATGCTTCTTCGCCAACGTGGCAAGGATGGTCAACTGCATCGCGCTACCAGCATTGATCTCCGAGTCGGATGCACCATGGACGGAGCAGTTGTCCACTACGCTGACGGTCAGCACGCCAATTGTGGACCTGCACGGAGGGCAAACGGCCAGCTGCACCGCTTTGGTGGACACGCGTCAAAGTCAAATGAACTTCCTGCCGACGAACACATTACCCGGGTCAAGATTTGCAAGCAAGATGATGGATGGGGAAGTCTGTCGGGAATTCAGATGACCCTGAGCAATGGAACTACTTGGGGCCATCTCAACTTTAGTGGCAATGAGGATGATGATTCGGACGATGGCAGCGACAGCGACGAGAACTCTGACTATGAAGATGACCAGAAGAAGGAGTCTGTTGTTGTGACCCTGGAACCAGGAGAAGACGAGGTCATCGTTGGATTCTTCGGAAAGAGCGTCAAGGGATCCGGGTATACGTATGAGTTCGGTATCTTGACGGCTCCGAAGGGAGTGGAACTGCCGGAGAAGGTTTATGATATAGCGGAACTGAGGAATGATTGACTTCCTAATGTTCCAACATTGAGAACGTGGACATGGAGAACGTGGGCTACATGGAGAACATGGACTACATGGAAAACGTGGACTTGACATTTTCGTATATACTCATTAATTCTATTCATCTGTACATTCACCTGCCAAGAAAACATAGAGCCAAATGATCATAAATTGTAAACATCATGTCATCATCATAATCATGCCTTAACCAAAGTTGCAGTCACATTACTGCGGAAATCACGGCTACTGAATCCAGCCTTAAATGTGAAAGATCTGGTAGGCACACGCCAGTCCTGGGAGACAACGTCCCAGTAGCTGACATCTCTGCGCATGAGCTCAAAGGTGACAGTCTTCGTCTCCCCAGACTGGAGCCAAACTTTGTCGAACCCACGAAGTTGGCTTGGAGGAGTTCCAGCTGGAGTCGAGGTAGGGAACTCAACGTATAGCTGAGGCACGGCAAATCCATCGACATCTCCGGTGTTCGAAACCTCAGCCTCGAGAGTGTATACTGTTTCCCAAAGAGCAGGATTACCACCGGGCGCGGTAGGTCGCGAGGGTGGCAGGGCAGAGATACGAGCCGAAGAAGAGTTCTTCACCTTGAGATCTTTCAAGCTGAACGAAGTATAACTCAAACCGAAACCAAACTCATAGCGCACTGAGATATTTTGCGCATCAAAGTATCGATAGCCAACCTCGAGTTCCTCGTCAAACCAGCTCTGCCAATCATATGTACCATTGGTTTGCACGGCGGTAGTTAGGGGAGCGTTATAGTCGGACTCATTGTATGCAATAACATATGGTAACTTGGCAGATGGGTTTACATCGCCATAGAGGATGTCGACGATGGCATTGCCTGTCTCTTCTCCTGCATAGTGCTGAGCTAGGATAGCAGTCACGTTCGGGTGATCGGCGAATGGCATGACATTGACACCACCTGAGTTGGTGATGACGACGGTATTGTTGCAGTGGCTGGCAACGGTTTCGACGACGGCGTTTCCGTTCCAGTCGAGCTCGAGGGATGTTCTATCCTCGCCTTCAGCTGCAAAGGACTTGAGGAAGACGAGACAGACATCGGGCTGCTGTGGGATCCAGAGCGGCGAAGTCAAAGCTGTCGTGGTGAGCAGGGTGTTGTTCAAGTAGGATTGAACCAGGGAGCCATCCTTGCGGGCCCTGGTATTGATGGCATCCAGTGGTGTTGACAGGTATGAGAATCTGCAGGAGCCAGAGCCCGAGGAACCTGCGAGGACACCGTATTCAAAGTTGGCCTGAAGATCGGGACCTTGAGTGAGAGGACCAGCATCGTTACCCGCAATCACGATGTTACGGGGCTTGCGAAGAGGCAAGGCATTTCTCTCGTTCTTGAGCAGGACGGTAGAAGCAGATCCGTGTTGGCGAATCATTGCACTGTGGTTGGCACGGACATCACGGTTGGTTTCTCCGGTGAATTTCCAATCGTATAGCCAAGTATCCGGAGGTGAATCCACGTTAAGAGGGCCAACCGAAGCATCAACACTTGGGTAGTTCTTGTCCTGACCAAGCCAGAAGTAGGGAGTCATAATGCGTACAATCATGTCATCCAAACGAGACATCTCAACAGTGCCGTTCTGAACAGCCTGCGTGAGATTCTTCCCCAAGAAGGAACCCTCAGTCCATTCTTCACCATACAAGGTGAATCCTCCAGGCATAGTCATATCCATGCCACTCTCGACCGATGCCACACCACTGTGAGTAGCACCCCAGTCCGACATGACATATCCCTGGAAGCCAAGCTCTGTCTTGAGGAGATGGTTGAGCAAGTACGAGTTCTGGCACGAGTGGGAACCGTTCAGGCGGTTGTACGAGCACATGGCACTGGCCACATTCGCCCGGACAGCATTAGCAAATGGCCACATATAGATCTCATGAAGAGTTCGATCATCAATGTTTGCCGAGACCGAGTCCTGGATATAAGTGGTCGCATTGGCATCCGGGGCATAAGTGGGATTGCGTTGCGTTTCTTGCTCGTTGGCAATAAAGTGCTTTGCATTGGCCTGAACACCTGCATCTTGCATGCCATTGATAGTCTCCTCCATACAGACACCAGTCAGGTAAGGATCAGCTGCAAAACCCTCCCAGGTGCGACCATCATAGGGACTGCGGCCTAGAGGTCCTCCGATAGGTCCTAAAATGACGTGCGAACCCTTGGCCTTGTGCTCTTGGGCCAAAGCATATGCTCTGTCATACAGTAATTGGCGGTCCCAACTTGCGGCAGCCGAGACACTGCTCACGAATACACTAGAGTAATCTCCTTGTTGCACACATTGAGGGCCGTTTTGAAGACAGAGGCCACTGAAGTTGAGACGCGGGATGGGGAGGACGTTCCCAACGCAAGGGCCTGGTTGACCGGTTGCCACCCAGGACTTTTCTTCGAGCGTGAGCTTTTTCACAAACTGCTTGGCCTTGACCATAGCAGTCTGCCAGTCGCCATTGCCAGTGATATTTGCTGTTTGGCGTCAGAGAAAGCCGAGAAAGGAGGGATTATAGGCTGTCAACACGTACGTGAAGGAAAAACGGGCAGAGAATGGCCATAGGGGCTCAGGATAGTGGTGTTGAGGGGTTGCACATAGCTGAAGGGCTCTCCTGGATGATCAATAGGTGTCTGGCATGTATCGGCTGCCACAGAGGGAGCCGACAGAAGTAGCCAAGCCCCAAGAAGCGCCTGTGCAGACAACATAATGAGTTGGAATGCAAGCAAAACTCAGGAAAAGGCATAATCTGAAGCCTCTTAAATACCCTGGGCCTTGATCTTCTCCAGACATCCCGCTCCAGAATTACCCCGAGGGGCCCCACGGATCCACCGAAGGGACTTGGAGACTCGCATCGAGTCACCTCTTGCTTGGAAAAATGCTAAGCACTGTTAGTGCATGGTTAGTGCATAGAGTGGGAATTGCTTTATGACGGAGTATCGCCGATATCGCCGGCATGTCGCCATTAGTCTTGAGATTGGTCTTGAGATTAGAAATCGCTAACTAAGAATTTTGGGGAAGTTCCCTCTATCGTCTGCCGTAGCCGGCAATTCCCCTGATCGGGATGCCGAACGGTTCTTGCCAACAAACAACCTTCTTTCGGGGAGGTTATCATATCCCCTAAGAGCATTACTAGAAAACCAGAGCTCGACGATTAGAGTCGATGTAAGCTTGCTCAATTGTTGTTTTGAGTATTCCAAAGCCGGACTCGTCTGGAAAGCATGGTGAGATGTTTACAGCGTGACGTAGTGTTCCTGGACCAGCATCTTTTCTCGGACCAACTTCGGCTAAACCCCCACACTCTCCTTCCTCTACGCATTATGATTGTTGTATTGACTATGGAGAATGGAGCATTATTCATCTGCACATCGTCATATGCGGGCCCCCACGGGCCCATTTCTCCTCACTATGGTCGGCAAAATGCCTAAGCTTTTTGTACGCCTCTTCCGCCTCTCCCGCTGCCACATTTCTATTAAGACCAGGCGATATTTCTATCTGGCCTAGCTGTCCGAAGCTGCAGCCTTGAATGGATGATGAACAATATTCACAACCAAAGACCTCCACGATTGTCAACCTTGAATTCAAACCGACGATTGATGCCAATTAGCCACTCCATATGATCGAGAAGTAGCACACATACCATGAGAGTGTTTGCTCCTACCGGATCAGGCAATATCGGTGAATACCCGCCATCATTGAATGTACCGGGCCGAGAGTGGATACCGTGGATACACAAAAGACTCCTCAAGCCGTTGAAACTGCTGAGACTTGAGAGACGTCTGTGCAACACTGGTGGCTTCACGACCAGACTAGGTAGTGATCATCTCGCTAGTGGAGATCGAATCATCTTTGGAATAAGTTCTGACCTTTCAGCAAGGCTGTAGGACTATCCTAGCCGAGAGAACCAAATACAAGCAATATTCTAGAGGCTGGATAGGAAACCCCTTCCAGTTGGCATTTTTGGGTTGGGAAATGGAAGATGTCGCACAAATCTAGCGCAAACTACGGCTGGACCAAACATGCTTCATGAGAAACATTCTCAGTCTAAACGGTCATTTTATTGCTTTGGCAGAAGATTTCCTAGTATTCCCTGAAGCTTTAACTGGATTAAACCTAGAGCATTGTCCTCTAACAATTACTCATCTACTCCACTGACGATTAGTTCTCGCTGAGACAATATGCGGCTTGCCTCCCAGGATCAACTTTCCAGTTGACAAGAAGCGTCCTTTCCGAAAGCAGACTCATAGCATATAACCTATCTCTATTTCAATGTCTTGTTTTAGACCCAAGCTGTTCAAATCGGGGGTAAGACATTGCACAGCGGTTTTCCATGCCCAAGCATCACCACAATCAGCGCCCCTCTCATGAGGCAGTTTCAGCAGGGTAAGTACTTATATGAGCATATTTCCATTCGAAGATGGCTCCCTAAGCCAGTGCAATAACGGAACCTAGAAAATTTGCTGGCAAGTCAGGCAAAAGGAAACTTGAACCCGCTCGGGATACTCCAGACTATAAGCGTGTGAAGTTATGGTGACGCATTAATTTTCTCTTGATTTGAGATTCAGAATGTTACTGCCTTCACACCACCAGTTGTAGGAACGGAAGGCAAGGGGAAACAACGTTTGTCAGAGCATGAGAAGTCCATGATTGAACCGAGGCGACTGGGATTTCGTCAAGGAATGCCTTTCTCCTCCAGCATCTCCCCATATTTCGCTTCTCTACGGCATCGTTTGCCTATTGATGCGAATATAGTTTACCAACCGTTGGATGCTCAAGGAAACGAGACAGAAAAATGCCTGTAAATCCGGTTGGCTAACGTGCATATTGCTGGCGAAAAAAAATACTCCCGAGCAAATCTCATATTGTATCAGGTGTCATTGCTCGATTACCGACATCTTCCGACCCAGAAACTTAAATTTAGGTATTCGGCACTTTAATCTGCGTATGGAATTCTATCCCACCACTCTTACTCCCCAGGGAGTACTGTATGAGTCTCACACTGCCGAGTCAATTCTGCTAAACTCATAGAGGTATCTCAGATCCAAGCCAAACCCCTTCACCCATGAATAGCATGTGGTGACATACTTACTGCTAGTCAGAAGCCTTCTCGAGGGAAAAAAGGTTCAACCGCCTGTTACCTGTGCTGACTGATATTCAAGGTCCAGACTGGATGTCCTCGTAATCCCCATCGATAGACTCTGGAGAGAATGTGGGGTACCGGGGTACCGCACTCGGGATGTGGAGATGACCCGTGGGGATGCCCTCATTCTTTTTGGAGCACCCGGATAACTGTCCGATGTACTCAACCACGGGGAGAATAAATTGGACCTTATCCGCAGTGCGAGGAACTCAAATTATAATTGAGTATTAATCTCAACACCATCCAACACAGCGGCATCCCTCACCCTACGCGGTCGAGTTCCAAGATACACCGACACGGCGTAGCCATCATCGGAGCCAAGCTGAATCCAACAGTCCATACCCGTCTTCTCCATCTTCTGAATTCTTTCAAGATGGTTGATCAAACACTCGCCGGCAAGGTAGCCATCGTCACCGGTTCATCCTCAGGCATCGGCGCAGCAATTGTTCGAGAACTATCCTCTCGAGGCGCCAATGTCGTGGTCAACTATCCCTTCGCCGGACTAAAAGCCGAAGCAGACAACGTTGTTGCCTCTCTCACAACAGAATCTATTGCCGTGGAGGCTGACATGTCAAAAATTGAATCACCTCAGAAACTAGTCGACGCAGCAATTGCGAAATGGAATCGAATTGATATTTTGATCAATTGCGTTGCGCTGGCTGTCAATAAGCCACTGGAGGAGCAGACCCTGGAAGACTGGGATCTTTTGGTGAATATTAATGGCCGGGGGACTTTCCTTTTGACCAAGGCTGTTTTACCCCATCTCACCAAGGGGAGTGGCCGTATCGTGAACATTGCGAGTATCTCGGCTCGTGGGCCACCTCCTAACCAGACAATCTATGCCGGAACGAAGGGGATGGTTGATTCTTTTACTAAGTGCTGGTAAGTTAAACCACTCAATCAGTCCATTTGAACTCAATAATTGACCATATATCCAGGGCCAAGGAACTGCCTCCAAAGTATGGATGCACCGTCAACTCCGTTAGCCCTGGTCCAACAATGACCGAAGGCTTCGCTGCCGCTGGCGAGGAACAGATGAAGATCCTCCAACCGATTATTGACCAGACGCCCGTTGGCCCGCGAATGGGTCGACCCGACGAGATTGCATTTGCTGTTGCATTCCTTTGCGAAGAGCGAGCGCGGTGGATCAATGGGGAGCATTTGATTGCTTCAGGTGGATTGTTTATTGATTAGAGATTGTTGTTAGTTCGCATTAGAAGACTTCTGTTTGTGGAATTTATACTACCGAGGCTGTTAGAGAATAGAGAGGAATCTGGATTTGCGAGATACCCATACGAGAGGTCATCAGTAGATTCGATCTCGCTGCTCTACTTTTTAATGGTTATGAGTTACAATAAAACTCGGTCGAGATGAGCTCAATTCGTCTATTATTTGTATTGAATCTAAGAAATCGAGATTCTTAGATAATAAATTTCTAAATGGATCAAAATGCACCCTTTAGTCCCTGCATGAAGCGTTGGGTCTTAAAAAGGATCGGTAATGGTCCGCAGATGTCGCCGAGTCAGCCCCAACATCGGGAGCTGATGCCGATCCATATTGCATTAGATGAAGAAGAATGGTTCAACGTCATGGGCATATACACCGGATTTTGTCCAGCAACTTAGGTCCTGGCGTTCTCGCCACTTTTTGGCGTATTTGTGATTTGCGACTATGCTGGGACTGATGTTAGTGTGTTCGGCTCAATTTTTATAGACGACAGTGAGATTCTCCTACCGAGGCAAACAGCTGATTTTGGAGAGAAATTTGGGGCCATCGAGGTATGGAGAACATTCAGTGTGGCGGTGCGCCGCATTTGGGAAAATCAGGATAGTTTGTTCACCCGCGCCCGCCCCTTCGGCATGCGTCTATCCTTTGGATACGCTTGGCGAAATGCTTAAATTGTGGGTTCTGTGATAGGTCCAACAATTCAAATTCCAAGGGCGCGTCTACCTCACTATTTCTTTCTCAGCCCAAGTCATAAGCTTTAATACCCTATTGGAAGTTTTTACAGACGGCGCTGTACTGACATCGCCTCATACACCCTCCTGCCCTATCCCTTGACGCTTCAAAATATGCCAACCACCCCTAAGCAAATCTTACATGTCGTCACCAACACGGCGCATTACGACGACCCATCTCACCCGACCGGCTTATGGTTATCTGAACTTACGCACGCCTGGCACGTCTTTGAGGAGCACGGGTTCGAGCAAACCATCGTTAGCCCGGCGGGGGTCTCTCTTCCTTAGAGCCGCGGTCGCTGAAATTCCCCAACTACGATAAGACTGCGAAAGCGTGGAAGGCCGATCCGGCACGCATGTCACTGCTGGAGAACACTGCCAGGCCTGACCAGCTTAACTCGGCCGATTTCGATGCTATCTACTTCACTGGCGGGCATGGAGTGATGTACGATTTTCTCGACGACCAGGGCTTACAGCAGATCACCCGTGAGATCTTCGAGCGGGGTGGTATTGTCTCCTCTGTTTGCCACGGATACTGCGGCCTGCTGAATACTAGACTGTCCGATGGTTCGTACCTGGTCGCTGGGCGCAATATGACTGGATTCACCTGGCGGGAGGAGGTGCTTGCTCGTGTGAACAAGCTCGTGCCCTATAATGCAGAAGAAGAGGTGAAGAAACGAGGCGCGAAGTATAAAAAGGCTGTACTGCCCTTTGTTTCCTACACTGTGGTGGATGCCAATCTGGTGACCGGACAGAACCCGGGGTCGGCGAAGGAGACCGCGGAGAAGGTCGTCGCCGCTCTCAGCCAGCAATGATCGATGTCACCTGCAACCTAATAGGAAACAATTGGCTGGAAAACTTCCTTCGATGCTATCTTGGCAGCCGAATCTTAGTCCATGTTCGTTACGTTTATAATGTCTATTTTAGTTGGAGAAACACATGACCGTATACTTGACGAGTGTCGGGGCATCTTCCGGTGCCTTGTATACTTTTGTCCTTATCAATTTGAGCCCTCGATAATTCATATGCTACGGAATGAATATCTCTTTTATACCCATGAGCCGGATTTCTTTTTCTGCCTTCTCTGTCATTTTATCTTCCTTTGTTATTTTTTCTGGAGGTTCTCCTTTTGAGTGGTTATTATATTTTCCTATATTTCCGATTTTGAGTACCTCGGTACTTCAGGAACTATGTAGCATGTCATGTTATTCTGACCCGGTTATTGCAAATCCTTTGAGGTTGATACTAGTTAATACGCGGCTACTAAAACACACAAATCCCGCCATATGGCCTGACCCTGAGAGACTTGAACTGAAATTGCTCCAATCCCTGTCAAACTAAATAGAGAGCCACATGAGATAAACCAGAGCAGACTGGCCCGCAGGTGGGACGACCGGAGGCTTGTGAAGCCAGATTGCTGGTCAACTGGTTTTCAGTGGCTACCATGTGAAATCTCATTCGAAGGGAACATGACGATACCTCGCATCACATCTTACATTAACAATGTACACCCGTCGAATAAAGCGGTATACAAGGCGATTGAAAGCTTGATCGGCTCCGCCATTGCCCCCTGGAATGATATGCTTATCCAAGGAAGGCAAGGACGAATACCGATTCGAATTCGCACATACAACTACGTGGCAGAGAACAAAGAGAAGCCTAGCTGGCTCGGTCGCATCAGGAAGCGGAAACCGGGCGACCGAAGCCCAAATGCAGTCAGCGACGAGGAATGGGACCAACTTTGTTCCCAAGTCAGGGAATACCTTTCTCTTCCTGACTATCCCATGGAATGCCGATTTTTTCAGGAGCCAGATTATGACCTTCTTGCCAGTATGACTCCGGAGGATTGGGGATCTCCAGAGAAAGTAATTCACCTCGTACTCGAGAAGTGGAGTCGGCGATATGTTTTCCAATATCCAGAACCAGGCATTTCATTTACCTACTCTGACTGGAAAGCTGGACGCAATACTGGTCGAGCCATCCTGCCGAAATATGACAACTTGTCCTCAGATCATGCACTTCCTCAAGACCCAGACCATCAGTACTACTCTATCTCATTACAGGAGAGGTTTCACACCGAAGGTCTCCAGATTGCCGTGCGGGTGACAAGTATTGACCTCATGCTTGATCACCCGACTTACTCTGGCGACCGGGAATTCCATGTTGCTGGTATTCTCAATGAGCACATCGTCGCCAGCGCCGTTTATTACTACGATGTACAGAACATCGATGGTGCTAAAATCTCCTTTGAACAGGAGACAGTCATTGATAATCGGTCATTCAATGTCGATAATGAGAATTTCATCAACCATGTCTGGAATATCCCGGAATGCGATATTCCCGAGGATGACGAGATCTGGCAACTTCCACGGGCACTGCAGACTCTGGGTGCTATCAAAATCTCATCTGGTCAGTTTCTGGCATGGCCGAATACTCTGAGATACAAAGCTGAACCATTCAACCTGGATAATCCATCTTGCCCGGGACACTTACGTTTTGTTACTCTATGGTTGGTGGACCCCATTATCGTATTTGTTCCACACGAAACGTTCCTCCACGACGAGGCGACTGGGTTGCATCCCCTTCCGGGGCCTCAAATGAGATTGGAGAGGGACAATGTATGACCCCAGAACAGGCTCAAGAAGTGCATGAGAGGACGACATCCGAGAGAAAGTCAGCTATAGAGAAGCTAAACCAGTGTGGCGTTGGGGTGCATAACTATGTTCGATATTTTCATGATCTCGTGTGGCCACTCTAAAAGCCTTCCATACTTGCCCTCCGGTTGCGGCCTGGCTGAGCAGACTTCTCCGTACTGTATTTGATTTCCACTTTCTTGAAAATGCCATCGGGTTTAAAAATTTACTTCCTATTTTAATTTAGATTTGCGTGGTAATTTTCACTGTTTGGATATCAACGACATGCTCACATTACCGCCCATAAAGACACACACAAGACTCGAGAGTGCAGAAGAGCTACCATACACTAATAGACATCTAGCGGAGCAACTTGATTAGGGGCCACCTAATTAATGAGTTGCGCAGCGGAGATTTTGTGAGACGAACTCCTGTAGGCGAGCGACGTTGAAATGATACGGAATAGTTCGGTAGTTATCAGATGCAATTACTTCGCAAGGACTGCAACTCCTGCCGGCCCGACTCGCCTTCAAGGGTCTCACGCGCAACAGAGAAGTTCAAGGTTCGTTTATCCTCCGTTACCCAAATAGAAGGATGATTTTATCTTGATCTTTCAGAGCTTGATGGTATCAAACGCTTGTAAAGGTATGGGCATATTCAAGATCATCTGTGCATCCTTGAGTACGTCCATCCTCAGGATCGTCGAAACGCCCAATTCGGCAAGAAGTTCACTCAGTGGACCTTGGCCTCGAGAGAGCTTCACGTTCCTGGGGAGAAGAGTTTGTGCCCCCAGGAGTGGATTCGTGTGCACTGTCACCTGGCACCATTTCCCGTCGATCTCGTTGATTGCATTGTTGGTACCGATTGAAGATTCCGACGGTACGGCTCTCAAGGCTGGGAGGGGGAAATCCAGTATCAGATCGGATTTCCCGTCGATCGAGGTAACGTCTGCTTTGATATTGTATTCGTCCATCTCCAGGTTGATAACGGCGAGCCATTTTGGAAGTTGGTACCCGTATACTCCACGTACTCGGGCAATCTCAGTATCGACAGGTAAAGCCAGCACATAACCATAGAAAGTTCGGTTCCATATCGAGCTGAGTAGCTGTGTCGCACTGTAACTATTTTTACCAGGCTGGCGGACGATAATGGCAATCGAAACCTCATTATAAGGATCGTTGTCGCACACCAGGTACGAGTAAAATGTCAACGCAACCAAACCATAGCCAGGAATTGCTGGGAGGGGCTCCAAAGGCACTGGAAGCTTCGATTTCAAGATATCAAGCGGTGCAAGGAAGACAAGTTGGACACTCTTTGTGCGATAGTAGAAGTTGGGAGCGTATATCTGACCGACCCTCGAATCGACCAATGTCTTTGGGATTTTCCGGAAGAAATCAATGTTAGGTCCAACAGCTGGATCCTGGGATACCTCGTCCAGGTTTGGATTCATACGGTAGCGGTCGTAGTAACCGCCTTTAGGTACATCGACCTTCTGGCCTCCAAACTCAACTTGAACGGTCTGATGCCCTGATCTACTCGAATATCGTAAGGTTCAGCAAAATGGCAAGGGTGGATATAGTTTCACATACGAAATAGAGGGTTTTGGGGCCGTGAAATAAGACATAATGTTGGCGGTGTGCATGCGCAAAGTCTAGGATTTGATGGGCTCGATTCGTCAGAAGATGCGCTGTGAGAGGTGACAGTGGCTGCCCCCCTTCAACCGGGAAAAGGGCGACTGGGATTACTTGCGATGAAATTGTCAAAACGATGGCAAGAGAAGGATTTCCATTTTTTGAAGTTATATGCCAATCAACTTCTTCTACACCTCCCTCTACCGAGGCACACACTTGATCTTTGGTTAGGAGAGCAAGGGTCCATCCTGTGTGGAGTTATAGTTCGGCGCGGGCCCACATCATAGTTCGGGCCGGATAGTTGGTTGCTCCGATGCGTCGCCGCCGGCGTACAATCTTCTGATGCGGCACTAGGGTCGTCAATCCTCATGAACTATGTGGATGGGCTGTATCACGCCAGTTGAACTGTTATACCGAGGTCGCCTGTGATGGCTAAACGTGCGGGAACACACCAAGGCCACACCACAGACGTTTCTGACCCCTCTTTCTTTCATAAAAGAAGAATTGTCAAAGTTGGGTGCACGTTTAATTCGATTATTAATCCGGGGTTCAAGTTCTCCATTTACCATTACAGATCGGGGTTCGGGAATATGGGTGACAATCATACTGTATATGGAGACTTGGAAAGTCATCGGATAATAGCAACTTGAACATGATTAACAACCAAACTTGTAAATCAGTATTTCACCTTTCGGAACTATATTCCACCCACGCAAAGCAACTACTTAAGGAACTAGGGGTTCAAGCAGTAGGAGTTGACCATAATTAAAATGGCATTGATGATGCTGTGCCATGGTTATCTTTACGATCCTGAGAACTCTACGTATTTTACGAGGGGCGAGGAAGATTGATACACAGAAAGGGCCACTCATGTTCATAGAATGAGTACCTGGAACTCGTAGATTTTCCATGTGGTTAGATCACTGATTTTCAGTCTGTACAAAAGTGATCATGCTCCTAACTACAGGATCGAGATCTCAAAATGAACTTCAATTTCTGCATTAATAAAGTGACAATTATATGGATTAAAAAGATTGATTTATCGGCTTGAGACGGTAGCCGAATATCATGGCGGTTGTGGAGCATTTCCAGCAGCTACACGGTGGATTTGAGCTCGGAAGTATTGCTTTCTCATGTCAGAATCGGATGACGGACGAGCCAGAGTAATAAGTAACTTACTGTTTCTGCCCCTCCACCTAACATTCTGATTTTGAGAAGCCTCGCCAAGAGCGGAAGTGGGACTTTGGAAAACAACGCCTGGGCTTGTCTATCAGAATAGACATCATCATCCATCATGAGCCGTGGGAAATCTGCGTTTAGAACTGCCGGCCTGCCGATGCCGACGAGATCGCAAACACCACTCTTCAATGCAGCCTCGATTCCTTTGCGCGTTCGAAATCCTCCGGTGACCATAAGGATCAGTTTCGGGAATCGCTTTCTTGTTTCTGTCGCAAAATCTAGGAAGAAGGCTTCTCGAGATTGTGTTCTTGAGTTCTCGGTATCGCTAGTTTCGTTTTGTAATCCACGACCCATCATCTAAATATAGTAATCACTGTTAGCATATTCATATGAGTTCTTCGCACCGGTGTCCATCGCCAGTTATAGAAAAGAGTAGCATAGATTGCTCACTTCACCACCAACCGGACGTTTTATTAACTTCTAGAGATAGAGATCATGTATATACATACCGTCGGGTCTTCATAAGTTCCGCCAGATATTTCCAGAAAGTCCACATTAGCCTCAGAAAAGAGACGAATTTGAGTCATAGTGTCTTCGAAATCCGATCTGCTGTGATCGGCGGAGTTCAATTTGATTCCAATGCAGAAGGTCTTAGGCACGGCCTTTCGAATTTGGTGGATAATTTCGAGAATAATGCGGGCTCGCCGTTCAGCGCTACCGCCGTATTGATCTTCACGAGTATTGCTCTGTAAAAAGTAATTAATATTTGACTAAATATAGTTCGGTCTAGCGGGGAGAGTGGTGCGCTTTACTTTTTCAGAGAGAAATTGGGCTATATTAACAATTCGGATAAGTAACGCTAGACGATATATCTATCTTGAGTTGGAGACTTAGAAACTCACATAAAAGATAACCATGTGCCGCATGTATCTCAATCCCTGAAAAGCTACACTGGGCCAGAATACGGGCACAACCGACGAACTGGGCGATAACACGATCGATATCGAAATGGGACATGGCTTGTGGCACTCCGAAAACGATATTCCGTACGATAGTAGCAGCTAGCCCATTACCGATATCGAGAGCAATCTCACTCGGTGCAATAGTTTTCTCGAAGAAACCACGCTCACCTGCGCCTCTCGGGGACTGACGACCAGGGTGGCAGATCTGAGCAATCGCAGGAGTACCGTTTTGTTGACAGGTATTTGCGTATTTTCTCCAAGCATTTAGTGCGTCCTCTTCATCTCCTTGATACTCACGTGTAGCTAGATCGCCGTAGCCTCCCAGGTGACGAACATCAACCTGGACATTTCCTTTTCAAATGATCAGATACAATACTTGAGTCTACCTTAGGGAGTTATTCAATATCCTCCTACCTGTGAGAAGGGCACCCCATCCGCCCTTTGCCCATTGTTCGTAAACGCTAAAAATCCGTGTGCCTGGCAAATGCTTCTTTTCTGCCAGCCCTTCAGCCATCGCAGCCTAGGAAGACGCTATCAGCTGCTGTCATTAACATAAGAGTTGTGTGTTGCACTTGGCCTTACTTTCACTAAACGATTCGGTAGAACTAAACCGCATGGCAGTTCCAGTGGGTCTTTGATGTTTGATCCCATCCTCAAAACAATAGTTCGTCAGTTAGGGATTGATCCTTGAACCAGGATTTGGAGACATGAGATTATGTTTTATAACAAGGTGCATTCTAGTACATGGGTACAGCAGAGACCTGTGGACAGCTGCCGAGGTAGCTGTTAGAGAGGTCTCGATCACGACAACACCTCGGCGATCTGCGGGTCATATTAGATCGGGAGGAGTATGATAGTTCTAGATTATTCATCAGTGTGTGCTAACTAGGTAGGTAGTCAAATGACCTGCGTGCGACAAGACAATCTTTACATTTACATACGGCACAGAATGTTCTCGGAGAATGATCATCATCACCCTACCAAGTAATACGTGAAACTTTTACACTTCTGTCTCTAAAAAGGTACCCCATGGCATGCTTTAGGATACCTAGAAGCTTTCGTATGTCACGAATCAGGGGAGGCATGCCGAGCTTCTAGATGCTGGGTCCACACAGATAACCTTGTCAAGACCGTCGGGCCAACAATCTTTCCGCTTGGCCAATGAAGAGACAGATATTAATTCACCTACCCGGGTAGTCCAAGACTTCCGATGGCCGATCCTCTAAAGATCCGATCGGGGGTCCAGCCTAGCATAGCAAAGTGCCTAGAACGACGCCCCGACTTTCCCGATGTATCGAGCACAATATCCCCTCCTACGATGGACATATGATTGCGGTTCTCCGATTCCGCAAGAAACCCCTCGATGTGACTACGCCCGGCCCGGAAATTGTCCCCATGCATAGCAGCAGCATCATCTTAGGCAATATGCTCATGTTCCGCGGCTACCTCAGCCGACAGATCCAACAGCATCGTTGCATACCGCTTGGCGCCTGAACATTGCTTCTACACGCCCGTGGAGGACAGTACACGGGCCTGATATAGGCCAACTAGCAATTTTCGATTGATCCTCGTCGCATTGGGGTGATGGGCGAAAGTGCCGGGGTGACCTTGCCACGAGTATATATCCCTGGTGGCCCGCGACCGCGTGCTCTTGCCACAAGTAGTGAGGCAGAATCTGGTCTACCCCATGCTGGAGGACCGCAACACGGCCGCGTAACCGAACCTCCAGGATTTGGTTCTGTGGTCAACCGAGTCAAGTATCGTGTCTTAATCAGCCTACCTAGGGGGCGGAGTTTGGTAGCGACCGTGTATCACCCTAACTATGCAGCCCCGCCCGCGTAGCCAGCGTCGAGGGAGTACCCCCGACGTATTTGGAAATTGGCAATGTCGACATCTTCCGCGACGAGGGGTAAGTTTCGCCTCGCGAATTGCAGTAGCCAATATCGAGGTGGAAGTCCACGTTTATTCAGATGCGGCATGGGGATGATATGTTTGCGCCTGTTTCAGCGGCGGTGCAGAGGGCAGTCACGGACCGTGTGCATGCGGCCTCTGCCTTGTAGTGCGAACGAATGGGGGCGGGGCATTTGGCAATAGTTCATCAGATTAGGGGGCAGCCTCGTTACTCCTTCCAATGAATCAATGATAAATAGACTCATTGACCCCTGCACGGTGTCGCTTGCGCTTCCGAACCGAGACCCTGTGGCTGGGATGGTACCGTAAGTGATCAGGGAGCTGGACTTCCGCGTGGCATTGCTAGGCGAAGCTAAGCCAAGCTCTCGTGCGTATGGATCGATCTCTAGGCAGAGTCATTATTTCATAAGCGCGACGATGAGATGAGAGCGTTGGGTGGGGGCTTAGGCGGAGAAAAGGGGAGTAAGAATAGAGGCGGAGCTCTAGTGGGCCACCTACGTACTCAATCCAGTCAGTGAGGAGAAGGACGTGTGTAGAGTAGTACATAGTAGTACAACGTTGATTCGGACAGCATAGCCAGAAGGATCGCCCACTAGTGGTCTCTTTCTCGTGCTCGTCGGCATAACCGGACTGCACTTAACAAGGTGTGGCGCATGAAGCTGTGGCGCAGAGAGGAGGGCGAAAGACCTCCCTAATCGAGTCAAGTTGACGCAGTGGCCAATAACAGAGGAGGCTGAGGGAGTCATCAGTCATGAGGCTTGGGGGAGTCTCTTGACGGTGGGTCAGGAACAAAGTTGGAGAAGTGCGGCGTGGTCCGAGTGGACACGACTTGCACTGCCTGCACGACTCCGGCAAACGTCGCCGCTGCGCCTCCCCAGACTCAGACGAAGACAGGAGAAGCCAAAGAACAAAAAACTTAGATAAATATCTGCATGCGGTCGCCAGTCTCAAAGTTTTCTCAGACACACAATTACTAAGACAAAACGAGAAAACTCCGACACCGAAACAGAGTTGTTTTGCCTCCGCAACGTCTAGATTCTCCTTATCCGGTGGCAACTCTTCTCCCCTTTTATCTTTTCTCTTATCCTCCGCGCCGCTTAAAGACCAACACTCTTCTCCCTCCTCTCCTACACCCTAAGGAAATCCCTACAACACTCTACACACAATCATCACCATGGCTGAATCTGTATCACTCCCCGTGGCTCCCGCCGGCCACTCCGTGCGGTCACACTCGCGCCCGTCGCTCTCCATCGATCTCTCCAGCATTCCCCCGCTCTCGCAACCAACACCACCATCCAACACCCTCCTGATCACCGAGCTACACGATCTCATTCTCTTCCAGCCTTCCTCGCTAGAAGCTATCCGCAACCAAATCACCGTCGTGGCCCGCTTGAACTCCTTCTCTCCGCTCCCCTCTTTCCGCCGCATCATCTGCTCCTTCCACTCCGCTGAGGACGCTATCGCCGTGCGCAAGATACTCGAGGGTACCCGCCTGTTGAACCGCAACGTGCGCCCGCGCATCTACTTTGGCGAGCCTACCCCAATCCTGAGCCAGGAAGAGGCCCAGCGCAAGCAGCTGCTCGAAGCCCCGCAGTTGGACAAGCTGTTCTTCATCTCCCCGCCACCTTCCCCGCCCCACGGATGGCAGATGCGCAACGAGGACCCGCCCAACAAGGAGGTGCATGCTAGTGATCTGGCTAATGCCCTGGCCATGCTCAAGACCGATCAGCCCGAGCCGATGAACGTGGATCCTGCCACCCCGGTCTCGATTACCTCCGATAAGCGCACGGGTAGCTGGCCTCTTGCCGGTTCCCAGCAGCGCAGCCGCAGCAGCACTATCATCTACAATCCCGAGGACCACGGCCACAGCCCCAATCTGCCAGCTGTGATGGTTGAGGATATGAGCTTGCCGGTGGACGAGGATGTCGACATGGACGTGGAATTGAGTCCCGTCGAGATGTCGGTCAACAAGATGCCTCCCAAGACGGCACGGCCTCCTGTGGAGTTGATGAACTAGATGGGTTATGGGATTGCTTCTTCTTTGGCAGTTTTTAGCGATGGGGTATACTTGTGCATAGACCATCCATTGCATTGCGATGGCTTGTGAGCATTCGGCGTTGGGCAACGGATGGGCTCTTTTTTTTTCTCTTGCTATAGCATTATCTCGGATTCGGGTTTCGTATATTCTTTTAGCTTTGTTCTATTGAAAAAGCAAGTCTATAATAAAACATCTCGCTTTGACATTCCTCTATCTTGAACATCGTTAAACTCCCCACATTGTATTCACACAGTTGAACTTCTTGAGACTCTTCACATCATATCCACAAATCCACATCCACATCATTCGTATCTTCACTTTCTCGACGACTTGACTGCACATATAATTAGCATCATCCCAATCTCAAACACCCAAAGATCAATCCTTTCTCACCTTTAGACTCAAGCTCCACACAAGGCTTACACGAACACCCACCCTTCCCAAGACCCTGAAACTGCAACGCATTCCAAACCAATCTCAACTCCTCCAACTCGGCCGACTCCTTCCTCTTACTCTGCCTCTTAAACACCCTCTCCTTCTCTTTAGCAACCTTCTCCGCCTTCAGCGCCTCCCGATCACCCACGACATCCCCATCAAGCGTCAACCGCCCAACCTGCAAAACAACCAAATCCAACGCATCCGCGACCCTCTCCGCCCTCCACGGATCCCTGATATCCCGGAGCTGCTCACAAAGCCGTCTGCAATAGCCGAGGATAGTAATCAACCGGGACCGGAAACATTTACTGCGTCCTTCTTTGGGGTTGTCGATGAACATGTTTGTCAGGCATTTGATGTTTGCGGTGAGATGGCGCTGGGCGAGGTGTTCTTTGGTTGATTCGGCGGTTTTGACCGCGTCCAGGAGGTTGGTCATTGAGCCGGGGAAGGAGGAGCGGTTTGCGATTTGGTGGCAGAAGTCGAGGCGTTCGTTGTTGTCGTCGGGGGTTTGGAGGATTTTGATTATCGTGCGCATGTCGCGTTGGAAGGTTGTGCGTTCGGCGGCAAAGTAGGCTGGCCAGGATATTGATGACATTTTGGGAGTTGGCGGAAGGATGGTGGGCTTGGATTGGTAGATAAACAGAGGTGGATGGATGGATAGATGGATGGTGGCGGTGGTGGTTGGTAGGTAGGCTGGAGAGATCTGGGGGATGGAGGTTAGGTGGGAATGGTGATGGCGATGGCGATGGTATATGGATTTGGGGATATGGAGGCTGAGAATCTTATCTTTGTCTCTTTTGGATGAACCCCATGACTCCATGGACTGTGATCCAAACATAGAACGCTCTTTGTTTATGCCAAGTGCAAGTAGTGACTACCACCTTCCTGCCCCCTCGCTCATTCCATTGTTTGTAGATTACATTATTACCTGCTATATTTCGACAAAGAGCCCTAGAAACAGAGCAATGTGTATACAGTTGCTTGTCTCTGTGATCCAAAATATCCCTCGTGATATCCCAAGAGCTTCAATCTACGTAATGATCTTGAAGGGGCTCCAAAATTTGTAATGAAGCTCGCATGCGGGGATATCCTGAAAACCGCTCAGTCTATCTTGCAGGATGCATGTAAGTAATGATTTACTGGGGCTATAAACACAGAGCTTAAAAGTGTGTCCTTGAAAGTATTGAAAAGCTCTAGCATAAATTTCACCCCCTAGACAATAATGGTTCCTCTATTGTCTGTTTTCTTCCAGTATTATGTGCCCCCATTCCCTCAAATCTCGATTGTTCTCCACACTGCAAACATAGATTAGACAAGGAAAATTGACCAGCCACTTTGTGACACTCACTAATCGGTCTGGGAATGCCGGATGGCAGCACGGGCATCATGCTATGAGACAGTAATCGTGAAACGGCGTATCCCAACGTGGATATGACGACGGCCTTAGTGAATCCATTATGCGAGAAGCAAGTCTTGGTTCTACGTGTAACAAGTCCTGAAACTTTCTCTGTGAACGCAACTCATCCATGCTGGTTCTCTCGCCCAACTGATAGAGTGAAGATCATGTCAACATTGACAGTGGCATTGTGCGACAGCCAACACCCACGATGGAGAGTGTCAATGCAACGGCCAATGAGCAAAATTTATCCTTCGGGCAAAGAAAAACATGGCGCTTAGACTCATTTGCTGCCTTGCAATCTCCATTTGCTAACCGGAGGTGTTGGAACTGAATCGGATCAGCTAATGTTGAATTGCTAATATGTATGACGGAGGAAAGTCTGGGCACCACGGAGTACAACAACCAGCCCATTACAGAGCGCCACGAGAGAATGGACTACGACTCAGACGAAGACGCTGCTCCCAGCACCGAAGGCAAGCCGCAGTGCAGTGATTAGAAGAGTCTCTCGGAATTGGATAAGCCTAGTCGAAATAGATCATTCGCGCTTTCCGTCTCACTGGAGTTTTCCATCTCACCTGCTTTCCATGATGGTGAGAAGCAGTCGTCATACAGCTGACTAGAGGTAGATGCAGGTTATGACCGGGGTTTGTCCCGATGTCAACACTACAGCAAAGGGGCTCGAGTACACTTGAAGAGTAGCTTTTGTGTAGAAGACAGGGGCTTCTGTTTTACTGCCGCATTGCCAGGCTTATGCGCTTCGGACCCTTGGCAGACTTTTACAATCCTACCAGCGTTTACGAAAGGTCACATAATTTAATCCTAGACTGATTTTACCAAACAGCGAGATATGGTTTAGTAGCTTGCAAAATCAGATTGAATGTACCAAGTCATAGTCCGTGTATCGTTATCCCTGAGCTTCGTCGCCCTGGATTACCTCCTCACGCATCGGGTTGACCGATCGTCTGGGTATATTAATAGGACCTAGCGGGTTGGTGTCTTCTGAGACTATTGAGCTTACACGCTGGTTCACATCGGGCAGTCCAACTGACAGGTTGCGCAGAATAGGTGGCAGAGCAGAATCATGGGCTTGCGACTGAGTCTGGAGTGCTTGAAGTGCAAGCGCAAGATCTGGAATCCGAGAATCTCTCAACAGTGCTTGAAGTGTTTGCGGTGTATGGACCCCAGCAGCAGCTATAGCGCCTAGCCCAACATCATTATCTGACACATTCAAGCTAAACTGTGGCTGAGACGTGTCCGTGCCAAAAACTGCACGGCTGCCCTGCTTAGTTCGATTGCTCCTGATTGTAACTTGCGGACGAGTGATACTTGCAACCCCCTGAGCTCGTTCCAGACTTTCCAGACTTTCCAGACATCGCTGCAATCGAGCCTGATCCGCCTGAAGGCTATCACGCATTGACACGTCTACGGCACTAATGATTTGTCGCACATTATCTAACTGATCTTCCAAGTCTTCTTTGGCACCACGGATTGAATCTTGCAGATCGTCTAATGAATCCTGAGTGGCAGAATGATAGCGCCTGGAGGTGTCAGCTTTTGTGCGCTAGAGGTTGGTAGCCACCTACATGTTGATTGAGCCCAAGGTAATACTAAGCGTTGACTTATAGCTGGCGAGTCGTTGCTTCATATCCTCAAAACTCTTTTCATGATATCGCATTTTGAGCCAATTCCGAACACGGTCTTGCCTCTCAGCCGAGTGTTCTGTGCAGGCATCGAGCATATAACGTATATCTTGACATGTTGTCAAGCAACATTCCAATGGATGTCGAAGCGGCTCGAGTCTCTCAACTTCCTGCGAGGTTTGTGCCTGTGTTCGAATCGATCCGAGCACGGCGATAAGAGAGCTTAGGTCGGTTTGAAGATCTTGGATAGCTTTTCGTTGACTCTTGAAGCTGGAGACCGCCTCGTAGAGTGATTTACTTGTGTCCAAGGCGAAAACGGTTAAAGTTAAAAGACCAGATGCGAATCCAACTACCTCTGCCATCGTGTGAAATTCAAGGACAGGATTGAAGGTGATAAATCTGCAGCACGATCAGCAGATGATCACTCCTTCCGAAGCTGTGAAATTGCGGAACATCGTTACCCCGCACGTTATGGCGAAGCGAGAATGGTGCAATGTGTTGCGTTGTCATTGGCCATATATCCAGGACTTGTGGGTTTAGGGCGCTAAGAGAACCTATCGTATCAACAATCACCTCTCTCCTGATTTCAAGACTGTGTCACTGATCAAGCAATCGCGACAAGACGGAAGACGATCGAGACATATCAGTCTCATAACGGAACGTTTACATCAGCCTTAAAACCGTCGACTTTGTTCAATGTGGTCGTGTGCGAAATTGCAACAATGACGACAATCCATGTTGAGATTAAAAACAATACTGCTCAGCCCGGATCGATTCAAATAAACAATCTCAACCTTACCCCAGGTATATTCGACATTATGCTAGATAAAGCGACAGAAAGAAGCTCATGGTTATTCATAGTGTATTCCCCTGAAGACATCGATCGACTTTGCCTCCGCGCTCTACGATGCCCTCCTGACTCACTGGCTATAAAAAATCGGTTAAAGAAGAAAGACAGGCTGCTTCACGAGTCAATCGAATGGATTCTACAGGACCCGCAATATAAAAACTGGCAAACTGGAGACAATGTCTGTCTCCTTTGGATCAAAGGCGGCGCTGGTAAAGGGAAGACCATGTTATCGATCGGTATTATCGAGGAGCTCTCGCGACTGCAACACGAATCTACTATCGTGACTTATTTTTTCTGTCAAAATTCCGACTGTGAGCTCAACACCCTTAGAGCAATTATCACGGGTCTGATTCTGGGATTAATGAATCAACAAACCACGCTAAGACAATCTCTACGACGTCGCTGGGATACTATAAACGATCGTTTCGAGGAGGATGTCACTTCGTGGCGAACACTATGGAACATCTTTATGGAGATGTTGGAGTGGTGCAAGTGCCAGAGGGTATACATAATTGTGGATGCTCTTGATGAGTGCCAAAGCGACGGCATAGCCGACTTCTTCAAACTCATTGTCCGAAATGGACTAGATCGCCCAGCTAAAATAAAGTGGATGTTGACAAGTCGGCCATTGGATGATGCAGCCCGAGAATTGCTAACTGGACATGAGCAAGTTCTGGTCAGCCTAGAGCTTAACTCGAAATATGTTTCTGAAGCTGTGAAGACTTACATCGCTTATAAAGTGAACGAGCTTAGTCTTCGTCACAGATACGGAGAAACACTAAAGCGAGAAGTACAAACCGAGCTTACTGAAAAGGCGGAGGGCACATTTTTGTGGGTAAGCTTGGTGTGTAAGCAACTCGAGCGTGTCTGCCGAGACGATGCATTAACCACAATTCAAAACTTGCCACTAGGTCTAAATCCTCTTTATGATAGGGTGTTGAACCAGCTTAACGAGGGAGAGCTAGATGATGTACAGAGGTGTATGCGACTGCTCAAAGTGATGATGCTAGCATACCGACCTCTTGGAGTGGAGGAAGTTGGCAGTGTGACTGGCCTAACCGACGAAGAGGACGCTATTAGAACGTCAGTTAACCGATGTGCTTCATTCATCAGGATGCAAGAAAGCAAAATCGAGTTTGTTCATCAGTCTGCCCGAGACTACCTAGCAGGGGAAAAAGGACAATCTATACTCGACTCATATGAACACTCAGGACACGATGACATTGCACTGAGCTGTCTGTCTCAGTTATCCGAGCTAAACCCCAATCTCCTTGACCTACCACGACCTGATTCAACCAGGGAGACTTTAGAGACGTTGAAGGACGAGAAAAGAAATTTTTTACTGGCTAGTGTGGACTATGCAGCTACCTTCTGGGTGCAACATCTCAAGGACGCCAAGAAATCCACGGTAGTACGGAGTGCGCTCGCTGAAAAAGGCGCAGTTTGTAGATTTCTCCACACAAAGTTGTTAGAATGGCTAGAATGTTTGAGTCTGTTAGACAGGCTACCACAGGCCATCGAATCATTCCAAGCACTGGCAGAGGTAGTAAATGTTAGTATTAAATATTTGTTTGCTAAATTCCTTGCTGACTGCGTGTTATAGGACAACTATCTAGCATTGGCGCATCTGCAGGACGCTACACGTTTTTTGTTACGACATTACCACACTATGGCGAATTGGCCATTACAGATCTATAGCTCCGCTATCATTTTCAGTCCTGAGTCAAGCGTCATGAGGAGGGAAAATAAGGACAAAATTCCCCGATGGCTAAGAAAACTTCCTCCTATGGAAGATACTTGGACATCTTTGATCCAGACACTAGCTGGCCACTCTAGGGATGTCAACACCGTGGTCTTCTCACCAGATGGCAAGCAGATCGCCTCTGGCTCTAATGACAAGACCATCAAGCTTTGGGATGCGACAACGGGTGATCTTCAGAGGACACTAGCTAGCCACTCTAAGGATGTCAATACCGTGGTCTTCTCACCAGATGGCAAGCAGATCGCCTCGGGCTCTGATGACAAGACCATCAAACTTTGGGATGTCACGACGGGTGATCTTCTGAAGACACTGACAGGCCATTCACAGCTGGTCTGCAGTGTGGCCTTCTCGCCGGACTGCAATCAGATCGCGTCTGGCTCCCAGGACAAGACCATCAAGCTTTGGGATGCCACGACTGGCGATCTTCAGAAGACACTAGCTGGCCACTCTAAGGATGTCAAGACCGTGGCCTTCTCACCGGACGGCAATCAGATCGCGTCTGGCTCCCTGGACAAGACCATCAAGCTTTGGGATGCCACGACGGGTGATGTTCAAAAGACACTGGCAGGCCATTCACATTGGGTCCACAGTGTGGCTTTCTCACCGGACGGCAAGCAGATCGTATCTGGCTCCCGGGACAAGACCGTCGGGCTTTGGGATACCACGACGGGTGATCTTCAGAAAACCCTGACAGGCCATTCACACTGGGTCCACAGTGTGGCTTTCTCACCAGACGGCAAGCAGATTGTATCCGGCTCTCGTGATGGTCTCATCAAACTTTGGGATGTCAAAACGGGTAGTTTTCAGAAGACGCTAGGAGCCCGTACAAGTTGGCTTGGTTTTCGATATATCCGTGGGTATTATTCTACAACCATAGAACCTAGAACTTATGATGCTGTCTTTTCCGTGGTCTTCTCACCGGACGGCAAGCATATCGCGTCTGGCTTTCGTGAAAGGACCATCAAGCTCTGGGATTCCACGACGGGAGATCTTCAGAAGACACCACCAGGCCACGCAAGCCCGGTCCTTCTCGTGGCCTTCTCACCGGATGGCAAGCAGATCGCCTCTGTCTCTAGTGACAAGACTGTCAAGATTTGGGATTCCACAACGGGTGACCTTCAGAAGACATTAACAGGCATTGACAAATATTTGAAAATCCCGACCTACGTTCATCGCGCTGGCATTCCTCAGCTCTTCACAAAACCCCTTAGTCGCCATGTATTAGAGCCATTACATGGTATCAGTCTCAGAAATCAGTGGATATGCTATGAGGGAATTCCTTTCCTTCGTCTACCCATAGATTTCATACCATTATGTCATGATGTGCTTGGCGATCAAATTACTTTTGGATTTAAGAATGGTCGAGTTCTGATCTTTGACCTTGACCGAACTAGCTTACAGTCAACGTTGCGGATTTCTCTATAGGCACTACTAGGTCATCAAGAACCTGTGAAGAAATGAATGACATTCAACTCCACTAGTGATCGGCCGTGATCCACTCCTAGAGATGACTGCTTTCTCTACCCAACGCAATGGGTATTCATGCTTAAGGTTGTTCAAAGCCTCCGTTGCAAGTTACCTGTCAAAGATGTTTCTGTCATCGTTGTCGTCCTCTCTTGGGCCTACCAACGATCGCTGCGTTCTGATCCGCACACAGTTCTGGTCCTGGTTGAGACATCAGAGGACGGGAGAGTGTTACAGCCAGTCGAAAGGTCAAATCCAATCGGTGCAATTCCACTAAACAACTAAGTCTGGGAGAAAAAAGAGAGAAGTTCTATCTACCGCGAGAAGTTGCCTTTGTAGGCGTCTCCTGGAAAGTTCCATGAGCAAACACCTTCGTACTTACCAGTTGACCACCAAGGACGATTGTAACAGAGAGTCTCTTCTTAAATGGTAGGAAAGCGAAATGTGCGAGTACTTGGTTATCCTGTATCATCATGTTCTTCCAAGCATTTACATATATAATTTGAGATATATTCAGGCGCCTAGGCGAGAGCTTCAGATGTCTTCTACTATTAAACCTGCGTTTTGGAAACGACTCTCCACACTTGATCCCATTGATCCAACCATGTCAACGCACCACTCGAGAAAATATCAAATCCTTGGCTCAGGTTCACTTCATACTCATTCCAATTTCGTTTAACGAACTGCTTTGGCTCTCAGAAAAACTCCTCGATAAGTTTCAAATTGGGTGAATAGGGTGTAAGATTTATTAGCTTAACGTCGGAATCTGTGCATATCTGCTCAATTTTCATAGTATGATGAAATGAAGCGTTATCCATGAAGTGAACAGTTTTCGGCTCTGGCCATCGGTTGCAATGTTGAAGAAGCTGTTCGATGAAAGTCTCAAAAATATTGATATCGGTAGAGAGTTGGAATACCCGTCGCAAGACAATTCTATCTTGAATATACGTATGGAGTATCTGATAGTGTCTCTCCCGCTGAAAATTGGAAATTTGGACCGGGGTAACCCTAAGAGCGGACCAGCCTGTCCGTCAAAATCCGGCTCTTTTATCACAACCTGACTTATCCACGATCACCAGATAGTATGACCAAAAGGTAGATATTTTGTGGAGGTAAAAGTCCGTCGATCTCCATTTTGTTCCTTTGCAATCTGTCGAGCAGCTTTCTTGGACCACCCCACGGAAGCGAGTGCTTGGCTGATGCTTTGGATCGTTACATGCTTCCCAATTTCGTCCTAGAGATAGAGGGCCATCTCGTCTAGGTAAAAGGTCGGCTTCTCTAGTTAATGTTCGCAAAGAGCTTCCATCAGACATGGCATGATACTTCGCGGGCGACCAACGCCATTCCGAGGGAATCTAACGTTCCCGAACACTTCCAGGTTGAAGGGAATTCTATTTATAGACTGCTTGCTACAGTCCGCGTTATGAGCCATCTGAGAAGTCGTTACAGATTTGCATTGAAGCATATAATAGATTAGCTCGAGTTGTTGCGGTTTCAAATTTGGTGCCATTTTGCTTAGCTTTGATCTCAGTATCTTCTTCTAGAATATCTTCCACTTACTTGACGTCTCATTTTTGCTTAGGTCCCATTTCATTGATCGTCACACAAAGCTTCATCCATTGCTCCAGAAATGTGGTAAATTGCTGTGGGCATGAAGCTGGAATTATTACTTTAAAGATCAGGGAAATAAAAAAGGCTAGATAGGGAGGTCAGTCAATTGGAAACGTGATGGTATCCTAAAAACTATTTGTATCTGGCCCATATCATGAACTATGAGCTGTTCATAGACTAGCAACGAGAATCTCGCTAACCCGGTCACTCGATTCACTAGCCATGAAACGTCACGCGCCGGCAGTGAAGAAAACGGACAACACAGCACAGCCACAACCCCCCGTAGATGGCCCATTTCAGAGGCGCTTACTTAGATTACGTCTTGAGAATATGCGATGCATGGCGCAGAGTATTACATTCGGCCAGAGGGCTACCCTTGTCCAGCGAAACCCAGCCAACGTTTGATGACGAGCAGGGGCAGGATCCTCAAACTATGGTTCATAAAGCAAATTAATCCCTTGTTGAAACATACCCTTGCTGGCCGGCATCAGTCTCGGCAAAAGGGACCCAAAGGTCTTCCCGCTTTGGGTGGGCGGGAGGCACGGATAATCATAAAGCTCGATTAGATTAGAATATGGTAGACGCCATTAATTCATGGGCAGTCATCGATCGCCGTACCTTTAAAACAGGTATTGCGTGATCGTGTGATGTCCCTCGAAATTTTAGCGGCGACGGACTGTTGGGAAATGAAGACAGAGGTCTTTGACATGCGCACGGACCGTAAATTCGAACCGCTAGCCACACCTGAACATGCTTGTATTTCTTGGCCTCTTTTTATATAGAGTTGGCAGATCGCTAGGCCCGAAGCTAGATATCTTTGTGAGTGTTTGGCGCTGGTTTTTATGCGGGTACGGCGGCTTCTCTAAACGTCCCGCCTGATTCGATAAAATAGCGAAGCAGCTATGGTGCCTGATTACGGGCATGATGCAATGCAGGGCTATGATACGGGATGACCGTGGCGTGAATTGATTGGTTCTTTGAGAGTTTGTTAAATGGGGCCGAAGATCGGGTGGCTATTGAGCCTCAGCCCCTCCATTGAGAGGTATTTGAGTTATATGTGTAATTCTGAACTAGAGGATAGACTTAGAAGAAAGGCTTTACTTTCATTTATAATGGAAGCTATCGGCACGGTAGCCTCGGTTTTTGGAATCTACAATTAACTAGAGCAATGCGGAAAACGTCAACATTAATTAAAGCACAACTTCCGAGTCGCTAAACAAGAGGTTTTCCTTCTCGCAGACGAGGTATCCGCTTATTAGAGTCTTTTTGAGATTTTTACGCATATGACTTGCCCACGGGAAACCCGCGTAATGCAGTTGGCTCGCGGACAACAACTAGAGAAAATCTGCCACTCCCAAGCAACTTTCACCTTTGACCAGATTGACGGCGGTGTGCCGAAGCTTACGCCGTTGAAAAAAAGAACACCAGAGCTACTCGTTCTGAGCAAAAAAGTCTGATGGTATTTGATAAAAGACGAGCTCCAGGTTCCACTTATCATGCTAAGCAGCGTGAAACCAAGATTAACAGCTTTCACATGTCTCTTGGTCCTCGATTTCCCATGGAGCGCAACAATTTACGACTATAAAAGAAAACATATTTTCTCCGATGCATCACGTTCAAGCAGCTAATAGTGAGTTTCCGAAAACATTTGAGAAGAATGATCAGCCGTCAGGAGAGATTTCTGCGATGTTTGGTCTAGAAGCTGGACGGATATATGACGTCAGCTCCTAATCGAAATAGCTATAAATACAAGTCCTACAGTATGCTTCTCATCATACAAGAAACAAAGGATGAACCCATTACCGAGGCAAATACCTTGCTTAAGGAGAATATTTCAGATTCTCCTGTCCATATGACCCTCACCTAGAGAAACTTCCCTATCGTCGAGAATGAGCTTTATACAACATCTACCCAGGCCAAATAATATTTCTAGTTCTTTAAATAGATTCTATAAGGCATCCGAAACTGAAATAGAGCGACACATTGGGTAGTGGTTCGCAGAAAGAAGGAGGGAGAGACACAGGCCGTGTTTCATGGTTTTGGCGTCGGCAACAGAGAGACTTATGAAGTAGACTCTTCTGCATCTTTTCACCCTACTAGTTACAGCAACAGACCAGATCTATCTACGTATGCTTATATTCTTGCTCCCCATTCAAGGACCTCCTCTCCTTCAATTCTCTTTAACGCACGGTCCGCAAAAAGTAGCCCCACCAAGAAGATATAAGGACTAAGGGTAAGCGACGGATCTCGGAGTAGACTAACTCCGATATGGCAACAACACACGCTTAGCACTACCTAAGGGCGGTTGGCTATGAGGCCTACTAATTGCAAGAAAAGGCATAGCTCGATGCGATGCTGACCGTGTCCGAAATTCTTCATTGTCGTGCTAATAGCCGTTTCAACGACCGTAGTCAAGTCTTCTACAAATATAGTAAAAATTTCTCGGTCTTCCAGGACGGTTTATGCTTACGAGCCAACTTACAGATATCCTGCGATATCAGTTAGAACTATCTATACTATAGGGTAGGAGAAACCGTAGAGAGTGAGGAGTGACTTGAATCTTACCCGGCGTACCTATCGATTTATTTTTTCCCGATCTTTTCTAATGTTACTCTTTCGAAGATGAGTCGAAAAAACTTTTATAAAACGTCTTCTAATAAGCGTTTTCGTTTTGGAGTTTTGAGTGCTAGAGCGATTCAACTAGCGTTATTTGTGAATATCTTTCCAGCAGAATCTCTTCAGTAAATGCCATAATGACTATGCACATACTTTTCAAAGCAAAATCATTCATATCACTTATCTAGTAAAACATAAAACCAGCGACGGTTGTTCCGAGCCGCTATGCTATTCCTGCAATCCCAACGCTTTTGCCCCTGAACATCCCACGACACTAAACTTCCTCCCTATTCCACCAATCTCCACGTGATAACAACACTCATTGGACAATATAATCACTGGAGGGGTGGCCAGAAACTTAAAAATCAAAGTAACATATATACAAAGAATCATCTCAGCAACTTTGTGAGTTTTACTTCACCAATATCGTTTATCTCATCCTAATTCCGTCCAGAACGAGAGCCTCGTTACTGACTACTATACTTGGAAAATGTGTCTTTGACACTGACATTATTAGATCTGGGCAGACATTGTTCCAACAAAGAGGTCCTATTTTAGCCTTGATTCCCTTTTAAACCTCGGTATAAAGCCATTGGCTCGACAATGAGTATTATTCGAGCACAAAGAGTCTTTTCGAGCACAGCCCCAGTATTTAAAAGGAAATGCAATTTTTATGCCAATCCATCACAATGAGCTCAACAAAGGTTATATGCCATCCATATATACGACAATATCAATCCACGTGTGTTATAGGCATCTATAAAACCGAGCCCTGGCCCTGGCAATATCCATCCACCCATCTTGCAATTGTCTCGCACAATTACCCTCACTATCTAACAACTAGGTATGCCTTCAACCCCCGAACAATCAATCCCATTATCAGATCTCAAAATGATCAAACCCATTTTCTCACTCAATTCTTCAAGCGACCACCTGACCCAATCCGAAAAAGACACCCTCCTCCTTCAACGCCTCGAAAGAGCCATCTTCCCAGCTACAATCTACCTCACCGACGCCCCTAAAACATCATACCTCCCCACATCAGACACAACCCCCGCAACCCTGCCCATACTAACAATCTACCACAAACCAGAAAACAAAGTCTACAACCACGTCCTCCTCCCAAGATCCCTCCACCCTATTCTATCCATCAAGTACGCGCCAAGCAGGGAGCTTGAAGTTCAAGGAACTCTAGTCGAGAAAACGTACTGGGTAGGATTTGACCTGTCATGCATGCACAACTACAAAGAAACCAGTGATTTTATCACCGCACTCGATCAGATGGAAATCGGGGGTATGGCTTTTATCGTGGATGACCCGGCGCAGGCACCCGTGAAGGCTTTTATGATGGAGATTACGGGTGTGTTCCGGAATGAAGATGATATCTTGGCTTCGGCGAAGAGACAGGTGAATCTTTTGGATAAGATGGTCTTTGGTAAGTATGTTACCCTTGGGCCGGAGGTTTTGGAGTGGACGGAAGAGGAGGATGGGTATAAGGCTGCTTGTACTCCCGAGCGGTTTAGAGAGTATTCGTCTTGGGGTTGTGAGGACGAGTCTGTGTCGGGGTCGGGTTCGAGGAAAGCTTTCGGTTTGGGTATCTGGTTTCAGTAAATCTGGTGAGTACTTCTCCTACGGTTATAGTGGTTGTTTGTCTTTTCGCGATTCGACGAGCATAGTCGCAGTACCATTTAGGAAATACAATTCCGTCAGAGCGAGATGTCGTTATCAAGATTGTACATTGTAGCAGTATCATAGGTTAAGAAGCTTTTTTTCTAGAAATTATGGACACATTGGTTCTGAGAAACCGAATCAGGTTGGCTTATCACCTGCAGCGGTAGTAACACACTCGAGGTGAGAAGGGAAAAAGAAAACTCCAAATTGCGCCACCAAGTCATCAGTAAAGGACAAGCGAAAATAACTCCATCCAGCATGCTCAAGCCCGTTTTGTAACCTTCATAGCACCCCCTCGCTAACCACCTCACCACTGCCCCCGCTTAGTATCCGTATGAGCTCTGGCCGTATGGCGTGGCACCGTACGGGGTCTGGGCGCTGGCTCCCCAGGGGGTGTTTCCGTATCCACCCATGTTGCCATCCATACCCTCGGGAGGCTCGTAGGCGTCGGGGTCACCGGCACCCATCATCTCGGCGTCCTCGGGACCACCAGCGTGGCCATTCTCGCCTTCGCCGGTGAGCTCGGAGACGGTGAGTGCAAGCTTCTTCTGCAGCACGAAGATGCCCTGCTGGATGATCATGTCCGGCTCAAGGTTGCCGATACTCTCCACATCCATGTAGAAGATGTTGGGCTCGGCATCGTAGTCAAAGGGTTGATCAGGGTTGTTGGCTTGCTCCCAGGCAGCATTTTCAGAAATAGGCCTGGCAATTTCTCAAGTCAGTAAGAGACCAACCATACACCATAGCCAGTAGATGAAGACATACCATTCCTTGATGGGATCCTGCTCATACCAGTAATCCACATGCTTCAAGTTATTATGCGGATCATACTCAAAGCCCACAGCCGCAGTAGGCGCCCACTTGGCATGCTCCTTAGCAGTACCCTTCTTCGCCAGACAAGTCAACTTGATCTCCTGCCCCTTGGCCAACTTGCAAATCAACGGACCCTTGCCCTCGGGATCAGTAATAACGGGATCACCAATGGTATCATTCATCCGCTCGCCCTGAACCATCAAATCGCGCGCATAAACAGACATAATACCACGATCACAGCGCACATGCAGCGACAGCGTCACGCTGCAGCGCACGCAGTGATCCTCACAGTCGCAGTCACGGGTGTAGTCCAGATCCTGCTCGCAGTTCTTCGCGTTGAGGGGGATCAAGCCCAGACGGTGGGCCAGCATCTCATCGGGGATGACGGAGGTGTTGTTTTCGATTTCAATGAGATCGAGTGCGACGGTGGGCACCTCGGCGAGAATCACGCGGCGGAGGGAGTTGGCAAAGGCGAGATCGACTGAGCTCAGTCGGAAATCGACGCGGTATGGTTCCACCTAGAGAGGGTGATGGTGTTAGTTCCCCCAGTTCCATTTCCTTGATTGATCTTGAATCGACTCGTATGTACCTCGCGAACGGTGACTTGCGGCCCCGCGGGCTCGAGGTCCATCTCATAATCCATGCTGTGAAAGCGGGCGCGCTGGTCGCCGCCACCCGGGTCTGAAGCTCGGAATCTATTCGCTGCTCATGTGATAGTTGAACAGTGTGAGGGGGAATTGACACCGCTTGGAGGCGAGGTGAGCGTGGTGATGGGTGGTTTGTGAGAAGGAGAAGAGTGTTGGATCTGTTCGCTGCAGTGAAGATCGCGCGGCTTTGGGCCTTCGGAGCAGCAGTTGGCGCTTTTCCTATTTAGGCGGTCTGCCTGGAGGTATAACCACCACTTGTTCAGCCAGCTCAGAGGAAAGTGTTACTTTGAGTTGATGATTTTGGCAGGCAGGAATCAACTATTTCATTAAGTAGACCTATTTAGCTAGTCATTTTAGCGGACTTGTTATTATTTTTCTTAGGTGCTTCTTTAACGTTCCAGAATAGTTAGGGGCGTAGCTAGTCACGTGAATCACGAGCCATCCGCAATCTGGACATGCGGCTCGAGGCTTGAATCCCTGTAGTTAATTGATCTGCTAAGGAGTAGGATCAATTTTCAACGGACTACATGAGGTCACTCAAGGAGAGGATTTGATGAACGTTGTATATCAAGTCTGCTATATAGCCAATATCGTCTATCCTTAAGCAAACTCAACTCTATTCTTTTTCTGAAACGCTAAATGGAAAGTAAATTAGATGACACGAATCCAGCGAAAAATATCTTCGAACACTATGCTTGAGATATGATAAATTGATAGTAGAATATACATGTAGCTATTCCAGATGTATTGATATGATAGTACAGAATGAACCCTTGGGCCGGAGGAGATTGCTCTCCAGCTCATATAGAGGAACGGACTCGGCACATCCAGTGGAGGCAGAGAACCCTGAAGGAACGGAGTCGCATAGGTAGAAGTGAGTGAGATGGTAATATTTCCGGCTGATGGGCACGTTTGATCATTTGACGACGATGAAACACACCTTTTTGGTTGCTGCTCAATCAAGCCGGGTCATTAAATACAATTTGTGTTTACAGTGAGCACGAATCAATGAAGAGTAAAGTGTGTAGGTCAGATTAAACTTTCAGATACTAGCAAGAACTAGCCCAGGGAACAAAAGATATAGTACCCAGCTCTGCAAGTGACGGGCGTGGGCTCTTTCCTCTGCCAGTTGAGCAAAAGGAGAGCCAACACGCAGTCTGCAATATATCTGACCTGATGACAGCAGATCCTCTTCATCTGCTCACAGTCCCCTTGATATCGGGACGTCCGTCTATCAGGTATGACAGCAACGAAAACAGGATTAAAAAATCACGCGCAGGAGACGTCGGGGAAGGCAGCAGCCCAGCCACAGCGGCGAATGCGATGCAATAACAATATAGGTGGTGGAAGAAGAGGGGGGGAGTGGCGAGGAAGAAGAAGTCAAGAAAACACAAAGCCACCGTTCTTTTTTTGGGGGGTCATGTCGAGTCATCATAGGGATGGTGTAATCCACTGCTCCCGAGGGTTCCAGAGGGGAAATGTACGAGAACCACTGTATAAAAGACAATATATACGAAACGAAAGCCGGTTCGCTATCGCTTCAGAGAGCTGCGGTTCAGGGCTTCCAGCAGCTCGGGTCGATTGGCCAAGGCAGTGGCAGCCTGGGCATAGCTCACCCACTGCCGTTTCCTCTTGTGCATCTCTGGCCATTGTGACTCCTCCTTGTCCACGCTGACTTCAAAGAATTGGTAGGAGGCCTTGGGCGCTTGAGCGGTCAACAGGCCGGAGGGGCGCATGTCTGGGATTAACCCAAGATCGCGAAGAACGGTGCAAATGACACCGGCTTCTTCCCAGGCCTCACGGCAAGCCGCCTGCTGTGCCGTTGACTCATCCGTCTCCCATCCTCCTTTGGGGAGGACCCAGCCTCCGGGACCGGCGGATTGAATCATGAGGACCTTTGTCTTGTCTGCGGAGATGGGAACGACGCCGGCCACGAGACGTTCGCCTTTAGAGCCATAACCTGCACGAGGAGATGAGGTCAGCAAGAATGTCCGATCATTCCATATCTTCCAGGAACCGTCGAGAAGACGATCACCCATGCCGATTGGTCCCACATGCTTCAAGAAACACTCACGTTGGTTTTTGCGCCCGACACGGGACTCCATGGACCGATTTTGAGCCATTGTGAGGGTCGGTTCCTAATCCGTCTCTGCGCTAAATTCAATTGGCTCCCGGTGAAGCCGTTGGACGGTTCGAAAAGGGTTCAAGTAGAAGAGAAGAAAGAAGAAGGGTGGCAAAGACCGGGGAGTGATCGAAGGCCGCAGAGAAGAGAAAAGAAGAGCAAGAAGAAGAGGTCTCAAGCTCCCGCGGAGCCAGGAGGACTTCGGGGGAGTTTGGGAAAGAAGAAGCTTCCCGGAGTTTGGAGTGTTGCGGGTCGGATTTGGTTTTTGGGTGACCTGCTGGGCGGTCGGGGAAGGGAAATTTTTCTTCCCCTTGGGGCGCGAACGGTCGAGACTGCGGGGGAAAAGAAAAAAAAAAGAATTAAATGTCGAGATCAAGGTCGGTAACTCTTAGGTCTTCCCATTCATGCCCGTGGAGGTCGGGTACCTGGAATGAAGAGGAGTACTAAAAGGCATGATCGGTAAGAGGAGAAAAGAATGGGAGAAGAAAGAGTGGGAAGGACTGAGAAGAAGAAGAGAGAGAGATGGAAATGAGGATTGGAGAGAAGTGGGAATGGAGGGGCAGGCAGACCCGGCGGCGCAATCCGGCGCTGGAATAGGGACCTGACTAAGAAGGAGAATACCGAGTGTTACATGGGTGGAACGGAGGATGTATTAAATCAGTTAATTAGTACTTGGTTAGTAGTTGCATTGCTAGAGTTCTTTATTCTTGCTTTAGTTTTTTAACTATAGTTTAACGTTCAACGGTAACGGGCTACCGGGAACCAGGCTTGAGATTGCTAAGAAGATGGCTGCCTTGTGGGAGAATCGATATTCTCTACTCACTGGGTGTCCTCTGTCGTTGAATTGGACTTTCTTCATAAAATTAAGAGAGCTCGTTTCTTTTGCCAAAGCAATTATGTAGTTCGTGGACTGCCTCAAGCTACCTTATAGTTGGTCATGTGACCTGCTCTCGTCTTGCACGAGAGAAAGGAATACTTTACTATAGAATAGTATTCAATATTGATCTGTGTTTTGTAATTACATATATATATATATCATTACCTATATGAAATGAACTCCTACTGTAATGAACAATAATGGAAATGCAGATCCCATCAGGATAATTTCCCACGATGACCGCGAATTCCGGTATTAGCGGTGGTTCTGCCCTAAAGCATGTCTCGGGTCGCCTGGGACCCTCCGGCGGTACCGAGCCCTGAACAGTCCTAGACTAGAGTCTCGAGACTAGTAGAGTCATGAACAGTGCTGGGTCCCTGGGAAACTCGGAGCGACTCGATGCTGATCGCCGATTCGGTAAGTTGGCACGCCCATGAGATCATTCAAACTTTGGTGGTAACTAGTAGTAATCAAGATTACTATTATTACTACTACTTACTGTAAGCTGCTACTGACTAGTTAACTACTGTGTCTGCTAGCTGGTTAATACAGCATACTGTCAACTCTGACTAGCCCACTGGTCGATCTCGATCTCCATAGGTAATCGGTAACTATAAAGTACATATCTTTCTTGCTAAAAAGAAAACAGATCTGATCTTCCTTACCCTGACGTATGATTGTAATATGTTATACATCTCCTTACTACTAAAATAATAAAATCATCTTCCTTTTTCAATCAATCTATCTGCATAATGACTCCATTTTCCATCTCTCCAGTGTAATACCACCAACCCCGCCAACGCTTCATCCAACGTGGCCCATTCTTTTCTCCTTTCAGCTTCCATTTCCCCCCTCTTCTCCCACAGTTTCCACCCCCCGCCTTAACCGTCAACGCGGCCTTCCCCCGTTTCTTCCTGCAATAACAACACATACTCTACACGAGCTCCCCTGTCTCCCACGTCCCTCCTATCACTCCTCTTCGTTCGCCACACCCCCCGTGGTTTGCCTCCCTCGTCCTCACAGGCACAATTTCTTGCTTCCGCCGGGGCCGCCGACCATCGGCAGCCAGTCATCGGATGGAGCCCGTTGACGCCGAACGCGCGCGACAGCTGTCGCTCTTCCGGCCCCTAGGTACGTCCCACTTGTGCCCCCCGGCCACGAGCCACTGAGACCAACCCCCGAGTCCCCGTGGCGCGTCCGCGGGTTCTGCGTGGCTGCTCGCGTCTCAACTAGGGCGGGGGATCCTCGACTCGGCGTGCAGCAGAGCCGATCGCCTCAGTAAATATCATCAACAAAATTAACTAACCGGCCTTTTGCCCCTCCTTTGACAGGCTACCAGCGCAATTCCTGTGGTTACTGTAAATCCGACGATGGAAGTAGGTCTTGTTTGATCCACCGTCCTACTTTGGGAATGATTGTCTGACACGTCATTTTCTGTCTGCCCAGGCGTCTCATATTACACCAGCTCCGTGGTCGTGCGGCCCGAGCACTATGAGGAGCTCATCCATCGAGGCTGGAGACGGTATGCATTTGATCAAACTCCCCGATGACCCATTCCCATGACTCATAATCATCTAGATCAGGCAAGCTCTACTACAAGCAGAACCTGCAACGATCATGCTGTCCGCATTACACGATGAGGCTGGAGGCGGACGCCTTCCAGCCCCGTCGTGACCAGCGCAAGGCCATTAATCGCTGGAACAAGTTCATTCTGGGTCCAGAGTATATCCGCAAGGTGGCTCGGCTTTGCCCACGTTCTCGAGAGTAAGCGGTTCCCGACGTTGCTCAATAACGGGTGGATTGCCTGTGTCTCACAGCATCATGCAGGGAAAAGCGGCATCGGAAGTGTAACTTTGACCTACAGTCTGCAGTGCACGAGGCCGAGTACAGCAATATCAAGCGTCCCATCGATCCCGTAACTAAACGCCCGCTGGAGCCGGCGCACAAGTTTGAGGTTAACATCGAGGGGGACTCGGTTTCTCAAGCCAAGTTCGACTTGTTTGTCAAGTATCAGACGACCGTTCACAAAGAGGATGTCTCTCGCTGGAAGACAAAGGACTTCGAAGGGTTCCTGTGCTCCGGCATCAAGCGGTCTCCCAATCCGATCACGAAGTCGAATGCGTCCGAGAAGAAGCTGGGATCATGGCATCAGTGCTATCGGCTGGATGGCAAGCTGATTGCCGTTGCGGTGCTAGATCTGGTCCCAAGCGGAGTGAGCTCGGTGTATATCTTGTACGTGGTCGTGGTCCGTTTCAATCCATAAACTGCTTTACTGACGAATGGCATGTTCAGCTACGATCCTGACTACGAGCAGTGGGAATTCGGCAAGCTGAGTGCGATGCGTGAGATTGCCTTTGCCCAGGAAAACAATTATGCATACTACTATATGGGTCAGTGATTACCACAACGGGGCATCGAACAATGTCAATTGACATTACATACAGGATTTTATATTCACAGCTGTGTTAAGATGCGCTACAAGGGCAACTTCAGACCCCAATTCATTCTTGGTAAGAGGCTTCATCATACCTTAATGTTTCGCCCCGTCGTTGAACGAAGCTTTCCTTTGGAGCGCCACTAACTACTGGGCAATAGACCCCGAATCTTACGATTGGGACCCACTCGATGGCGAGCTGTCCAAAAAGCTCGACACTCAGCCCTATGTCTCCATGTCCCGAGAACGGGCCCCGCAAGATGCCAGACCGTTCCCAGACATTGACCCCGACGTGGATGAAACGGAACTGTCTCTCTTCGACATCAATATGCCCGGCGTGTTGACGTTGGAGGAGGTGAAAGCCCTGAACCTGGACCATTGGCATCTGCTGTACCACGGATCGTTCGTGCAGATGGATGTAAGTATTTCTTTTCTCTCGTGTCGAATGAGTGTCAAGCTAATACAATATAGGATCTTGTCGGCTGGGATAGAATGCCAATGGACAGTCCGCAGTCGGTCAAGGGCATTGTTGCTGAGCTTGCCGCGGTGCTCGGACCGAAACTCGTGAAAGACAGTGCAGTGGTGCTATTTGATTAAGCATAGCAGCGTGGGAGAGCATACAGAGTTGCAATTAGCATAGCGAATGCATATTCAGACTTGGGCGTAAAGTCAAAACTTTGCAATTGACCCTAGCTTTTCAATTTATCTTTCGGTTATTTCCAGAATATTTTGACGTCCTCTAACCATGGCCGTTTCAGAGCTCTCAGAAATGCCATGATCAGAACTACCCAGCTGCATACCTCGCAACCAGCATATCCTTGACTTTCCTTCCACTCGCAATACTATTCGATACAGACGCCCCCTCCCGCCCTTCAAATCCATTGACATAGAACATTCCCGGAACCAACTCCCTCCATTCACCATGATTACCGTGCTTTCCACCTTGCGTGATGACAGGCAAGCCATTCGGCCAGTAATCTCGATGAATCCAAGCTATCGTTGGCCGTTCCACACATCTAGAGGACCTATTTACGGCCCCGTTCTCCAACGCAAATTCATCTCTGATCTTATGATATTTCGGGTGTACTAAGTCAGGCTGTGCTTGTTGGGGTACAAAGCACGATTGACGAGGGAATGTGACATTCTCGTGGGCCTCGTGGAACAAAGCAGCAATGTCATCGTCCGAGAATAAGTCTGCCGATATCACTCTCGTGAGATCGTGCGGTCTTGAGTCATAGTCATAGCACACGGTTCGTTCACGGGCGACGGAGATAAGAGGGATACTCGTTGTGTTCAAACCGGGGTTACGATGGCGGAAATATGCAGGCCATAGAAATGCAGCTGTCGTTCTCCATCGTTCTCCGTGGGACTGGAGGAGAAGACTTTCGGGCAGTGATTGTGAAATAAGGCTCGTAACGTGAACTGGCGCGTACGTGATCTTCTCAGGTTCCAAGGGAAGAGGAGGTTCAATCTCAAGCTCTGCTTGGTGAAAAGGTGTCGCGATAATCACATTGTCGAACTGTTCCGTATGCAATTTTTGAGTCCCATCGTCTCTAGTCTGAGCCCAATATACTCCAAATGTCCTATTGCCGTAACTCGTCACTCGAGTCACCGCAGAATCGAGGTGCATAGTAACCTGTTCATTATCGTATAGATCACCAAGTAAACCAGTGAATATTCGATCATGCTGATTCCATTGAAGTTGTTTCTGGGGGTTGCCGTTTAATTCATCGGAGAGTGCGATTCGGCTTCTCAACTCCACGCCCTGGCCGGCTGCTGCTTGAGATCCGGCCAGCAGAAGAGGATTGGTGCGTTTTCCGCAGTCGTCTATTCGTCTTTCCCAGCGATTCAACCCGGCATTTTCCATAAATGCGAGGCGGACATATCCCAGATATTTTCTCCAAAAAGAAAAATCAGCCACATTCCGTCGCAAAAGTCTTGCTAGCTCCATCCACGTTATGCCACTCTGCTCCTCAGTCGAACAACCAGCAGCCTTCCCTCTTATAACTTTATTCATCCAATGCAAAAAGCTCCTCGATTCTGTATTCCAGCCATCATGCGGCCACTTTTGGAGTTCTATGCTTGTGACATTGGTCATCTCCTCGATCAGAGTGTCGTCCGCGTCAAAAGTGTGGCTGGCAGTGTTCACGGTAGTGCCGTGGTCGTAAATTCGTGTGAAATGAATTCGTCCTCCAAATTGGGGCTTTTTTTCGAAGATGGTTATTTGTGTGAGATTTGGTCGGTTGTTGTCGTTTATTAGAAAATGTGCGGTGGATATACCGCCGATACCTCCTCCTGGAAAGTTGTTAGCATGGAAGGCTTCTTCATCCTGGTATCTCAAAAGTCAATGACGCATCATTTCGACTTACCAATGATGGCAACTCTCTTCGACTGAGATCCCGTGATATCTTTCCCTACATCGAGAGGCTTTGGCGTTTGTCCCACGGCCTGGTCGTGGTAAGCTCCGGTGCTTACAACACCCCCATCCTCGGACGATCCTTTGTCGTGTTCAACACGACCGACCTCTGCTCTTACTGTGGGTACAACAAGCAGTATCATGAATATGAGACCTAATACCGAGATAAGCGACAAGCGGTGACGTCTGGTGCTCGTGCGCTTGCGGCGTCGAGCAAGCCTGACAGTTATTGTCATCGCGGAAGATGGAGCATTCTAGGTAATTATGGATCACCAGAAAGGAATATTTCATATTTATGTCATTTCCCAACACATCCGATCCTTCGTCTTATTCTAACGTGGCCTCTGAGACTTATCGGAGCTCGATTGAAGATTTCTGGTCTCGGCATCCTTGGCATTCGCTTCAAATGACTCAGGGCGGATATGTCTAACCTAGACCTTGATAAAGCCCGCTATGGGCGCAATATTTGAGGTTAGCCTATACACTGCTAAGAACCAGGCGATTCTTCTAGGCTTACTTTGCCCCTTTGGTCTCTATCAGATTATCATACAGATACACCGACCCAGAATTTTAGTAATATGAATGACACGATTGACGATTTGATAAATAATTAATGAACATATTGTTTTAAAGACCAGCTTTCTGCACTTCCAGATGTATGTGAATTCATATAGAACTCTACGGCATGGAATTTATGGCGTGTGGTGCAATTTCATTGGCTAAAAGTAACCTTAAAAGTAATCTCCATCTTGCTTGTAGGCCGTCTACCCAGACATAAAAATCCAAACATAGGACGGTTTCTTTTCGCTCACATATAATATTTATCCTTCAGGTAATTTTCTTTTTGGAAATAATGAGACCCATCCCGAAGCCATTGGTAAGTGCGATATAAATGGGCAGAGATGGCGGTGTTAAACTTGCGGAAAGACCTCTCACATTTCTTTCAACAACCGAAAACAAACATGTGGTATTTCGTCTTTCCAAAGGATCTAGACTACTAGAACGGCCCCCTGAATCCAGTCAAGATAAGCTGCAGTGCTAGCATAAACACCATCTCGGTTGTGCTGTCCACATCCAAAGCCCCACGAAACAACTCCAACCTGCTTCTTAGAGCTAGCATCAACAAGTGGGCCACCACTGTCTCCCTGGCAAGCATCCTTCCCTCCACCTTTGACACCAGCACAGATCATGGAGTCATCAACTTCACTGCGATCCGCATATTCCTCCACGCATTTCTCGTGGTCAACAATATCGACGTACGCGACTAAGAGGTTGGATGGAGGAGAGCCTCCAGCAGACGTACTCCCCCAGCCAGTGACAGAGCACCTGGTCCCCACCGGCGGCACATCGTCCACTGAAGATGGAAGTTCCACAGCGGAGATGGTAGGCCCAAAGTCTAGGCTTGAGGCCAACTTGAGGACAGCGATGTCATTCTTGAGTGTTTTCGCGTCGAACTCCGAGTGTTGCGTGACTTTAGCCACCTTGACCAGCTTCCCACCCGAGGCGTGCTGGTTGGAGCCCGCCCGAATTCTCAGGCGACCTGCGGACAGCCCATCCACGCAGTGAGCGGCAGTTAGGATATGATCGTTGTCGATAATAGATCCACCGCATTTATGGGAGGAGGTTTGAACGGAAACTTGGTAAGGGAATTCTCCATTTGCGGCCTGGGTTCCACCGACAATGGCTTCCTCAGCAATGGCTGATCCAGCGAGGGATAACAGGGCAGTTGAAAGGACGAGTCTCATGATTGGCAGTATTTAGTGAGTGAAAGGTTGGATGGGCGCATGGCTAGAGCTTCGGGAGAGCGGAATATTTAAATAGGTCCATATCGGTCCTTAACAGTAAACAACATCTCTTGATCTGTAAAAGTACCTGCAGTACAATGTCTTACTGTCGATTAATTGATTTTAGAGTTCGGCGTAGCCCATTCTTCACACTACTACGGAGTACAAGACTAAGAATAGGATTCATATAAGTAATATTACCTATGATCTACGATAAAAATGTATCTCAAGACACAATGCACCGCGCTATTGGTGCCCTGCAGAGTTTATTGCCGATCTGAGATCTATTATGTTGATGATCGACATTCCATATCCGCACGTCGACCCACTCCGAGCTGGACCGAACCCCCCGGATTTATCATCGACTTTCTGCGTATAAGGAAATAATTCCGTCATTCAATCCTGATATAGAATGAAACTGGGACAACACTATTCATTCAAAACTTCCTAGTGCCTCGACAAATTGGGCCCTAATTTGACCCCGGAAACTCGAGACATTTTCTCCAGAACTGGAGTTTCCAAATCGTCCGTCTCCCGATAGCAAGCTCCAGTCGTCCACTGATACGAACAGGCAATAGCCCGTTGCATTCCTCCTTCCGTTGCGCAAATAAAAACAACACTCGGTGGCCTTACGGCTTCGAACAAGTTAACTGTAATCGTATTGGTATCCACCAGTGTGAATATTCGCATCCCCATCAGGGCTGGTGTTCTTATAGCTTGTTTGATTTCTCCCGAACTACCGTATCTCCGATCGGATCAAGACCCACACACTCATAAGACCCATTCTTGTCGTGACGAGATAAGGCAGAGCCATATGGTCCCCAGCGTAGGCGACACATTCTCGCACCCAATACTTGAGATTCAATGGTTTCCAGGTCTGCATAGCCCTCGAATCCGAATAGCCAGGCTTGAGAGCCCCCTGGCTGGATCAGATCGCTCTTTTATCCTCCTTCGACAGTATTTCTCATGTCTCTTATTATTTGATAAGCTCTTAATACTGGCCTTGAACATCCAACCCTCCGAAATTCTAGCCCATTGTCTAAAAAAGGCCGCATACAACACAGCGAATCGAATCTCCGCCTGTGTTGGATTTCATTCATAGATTTGTTCTCAAGATATGCACTCGAACCACGATGATACGAGGCTGGACTCTGTGTTAGCAACATGCCAGGGGACGGCACACGCTAAGTGGTGAATAGACGGCGTGACGCCGTGCGGTTGTGCCTGGAAATTCATTTCCTGCAAGCCATGTTTGAGGCGCATCAAATGCTGTAGCCGAATCACCTACACAAGTTCTTTACAGTTTCAGCTTGAGGCTCTGCGGCCCTCCGCCAAGACGCTGGTTTGGAAACTGGCTGCAGATCGGCGGGAAATCGTTCAGCGCTTAAATTGCTAACGTTTCAGAACTAGTGCTGACGCCTTGCATATAGGGGGTGGCCCGGGTGTTGCTACATCGGCAAGTACTAGAGTCATGACATATGCCTCAATATCTCATTGAGAGGGTGAATTATTATCTTCCTTTTCACTTGCTTTCTGACCGCAAAGCCAGAGGACGCATCGATTACTTACGCCCAGTATAGGGAATCGAGAAGCGATATATACCTGTTCAGCACTTGGTCACTCGCTTCGTTTCATCTCATAGACCGGGAGATCCGAAGATAATTAGGGCTTCGAATGAGCTTCATTACGAGGAATTTGAGCTACTTAGTAGACAAAGCTCCCAAGACTCGTTTTCGCCCTATCAATTTTTCGGCGTGCAATGACTGATTCGTAAGCTAATCGGCCATTTCAAAATGAAGACTTGCGAAGTTAACTGAAAAAGATGAGCATAAGGGCAAACAGATGCCTCGATTTACTGTGAATGAGCTCTCGCAGTACCCTCCATGTCCCCTTCGAATCATGTAGGCCGTTCGGTTACCCCCAGATAACGTCCCACTAATCAATCTTACAGATTTGCACCTCCCAATGACCCCGATGCCGGAACAGTGCCAGATATACTCGCGTTATACAGGCTCTACTCGCTTCCTGGAGCGTTCGTATCGGAGAGTTTACGCGACGTAGCCATTTCATTTGGTACCACCAATGTGGATGAAGGACCAAGGTGTATGTGGATATCTCCTGGTGGTTGAAAGATTGACTGTTGAACTAGATACCTGGTTTCACTTTCTGTACAAAAGTTTACCAATTACGGACATGAACGGCGTCAAGAGAATCAAAAATCAAATACAAGCAAGGCGAAAGGGAGATCAACCAGAAGACTTTGGATGGGTTCATTCTGCCTACTGCCTGATAGAGAATGGGTCCTCAGAGGTAACTCTCATTATATTCAATAGTGAACCATTATTATACGAAAGATTCAGGACTATATCCGAACACACTCCTTATGAAGAAACTATGAAGGACCCTTACTGTCTGTTGAATGTTGTATTCGAGATCTTGTATGAGCGCATCGATATGCTCACATGGACCATTGCAAATGTCTTCACCCAGGAAGAAATGGTAACCATTCCATTTACTAACAATATACATATGATAGCACTTGCTAACGGAGTGTTTTCAGAAAATCCTGCATATGGCACGGGATCCAGAGCTCAATGGCGGCGATGTGGACTTACCTGAAATACACATGATCCAGAGACATCAGATCTACCTACGAGAGGCTATCGAATCTATTACGGTGACCCTGGACGCAACGATCGATCACCAGCAACGACTCAATGAGGGTTCTACGTCGATTTCACCCTCCCATAATGCGACACAGGCAGGGCTCCGTTATCGCAAAGTTCTCATCAAGTCCACGGACCTACGACTGCGTAGTATGGGAAAGAGAACGCAGAATACAATCAACATGGTATGTTTGCTAGCTCTACTCTCCAGTAGACATCCAAAAAGACCTAGTAATCTGATCCCTTGTATAGGCCTTTAACCTGGTTACCCAAGCCGACTCAAGAGTCATAAAAGAGGACAGTGGGTCGATGAAAAAGACCGCGATTCTCACTATGATCTTTCTCTCTTGTACGGCTGTAGCAGTAAGCCTTCTATTCGATTCCTATCTATTTCCTTCCCCTTGGTATTAATGCATTCAGACCTTCTTTAGTACACCATTAAAAACGGTGAACGCCCTCGGAAGACCAATGAAAAGGGATTCATGGGCTCCGATGCACAAGTTGAGGCTTTCTGTAATATTGATGAAAAATGTATATCATTGTCTACTTTCCATAGCCGAAGCCAGCTTCAAATTCATAGACGACAAGTACAAATGAATGCGGCCTTTCAAGGTGACCATGTAGTTCTAGCCCAGAAATCGGGCCTAGACGCTCGCAGTATTTAAAGCCTACGAATTTCTCATCAGTGCCGTGTCAGTTCAACTATCCTTGTTCGGAAAATGGTAGTGACCAACTCAAGCGTCATCAACAACATGCCGCGAACCGATCCGGATGGCCATTATCTTATACGTACTAGACGTAGATTTGCTGAATAAGTACGACCTGAATTGGCGAACTATCTTACATAGTCTTTACTTCATCTTTCTTTAGTCAAGTAAATCGAAGACTTCGGCACTCTTCAACATCAGATCTCGGTCTATATGCGCAAATCAACTATTATCTATTGCTCAATTCAGCATGCCTTCCCCTGAAATGGCCAGAAAGATCGCGCCACGTGGTCTTGACATGACCGACGTATTCATCATTTGGCTCATGGTCATTCTGATCATTTTGGTACAAACATTCGTGGTTATGATTTTCGCGAGCGAGTGTTGTACTCATCGTTATTACTAAGTCATAGTCATACTTAGTTGAATTCAAGTCCACCTCGACCTCTGTCTTTGTGGTTCCCTTCAGACGTCTTCCATCGCTCACTTATTAACTCATCGCCGGTAGATGTTTGGTCATCTTCAAATCGAAAACAAGGAGTTTCATACATATTGGTGGAGGGTGACAGTCTGCATCACTCTGTTCTCTTGTTCGAAGTCGAAACTTCTGAAACAACGACTTTTCTGCTCCTAATTGTTCCCCGACACCTTGCTGCAGCATGACAATCGGGATTTTACGTCTTATCATTACAATGGCTACTCGATTTTATGGATTTTGAGCGCTTGAAAATTGCGTTTTTAAGATTATATGAGCATGTATCTAGCTTATCATGTTGTACCGGTCCCTGTCTTTACCACAATCCAATCTGATCTTAACGCAAAGGCTCCCATGGGATCTTGATCTGGATACCGTGCGTAAGTCCTACAGTGTTAACACAGCAAAAATAGAGGCAAGATTGTTCTTTATGCCTATATTTCGAAAGACTCTATGTTCCATCATGCACCAGGATAAACCGCAAGTCCTAGGTTCTTTATCAAAACTCTAGTCATAATATGAGACTCTAATATTAGACATCAGGCAAAAGAGTCTTTCACAATAGCTTTGAATGCTCAAGTATTAAAGACTTCAACTCCATCATGAACAAAGGCCTGGTAGCTTTTTAAATACACGATAACGCATTATTGACATGGCACAATGAAGAACCTTTCAAGTTGAACAAAACAAGGAGATTCAAAAGAGGGCTATAGTCAATCTTCAAAGACCGTGAAGATATCTTAATCCCATTGTAAGTAATTAAACTCATAGAGAAACGGATTAGACCACAACCATGCAGTATAAATCTCAACCCATGCCCATCTATACATCCATCAATCGGATATCAATCATCCTTTAGCCATTAACCTCTATACCATCTTACTCCTCCAAATATCAATCTCAGGTATACTCCCATACCTCTATCCACTATGCCATTCACCTACACACACCCATCCTACGACCTCTTCCCAATCAGAGTCCCACCCCCAAACCCCCAAACCCCCCACCAAACGACGGGTACAACCCACAACAGGTAATAAACAGCCTCCTCACAGTATCCAACACCCTCCAAACGAACCCCACCGAATTAACCTTCACCCAATAGCGCAATCAACTAACCACCGACCTAGCAGGTCTAGTAAGTCACGCCCACCTCATCAAACCCTCCGGCCTACTCGCCCTCCTCCATGAAGGAATCGCCAAACCCCTTACACAGTTTAACAGCGCACTAGTCGCAAACGCGGCACTCTGTTTCCGTGAGCGTCGCGGGCGTATTGCTAGTACCGCGAGCTGTCTAGCGATATATTTACAGTCGGAACTTCGGGCGAAAGATGCTATTGTTGATGACAAGAGTAGCGGGATGGTTGAATGGCGACAGGGTATGCAACGTGAGCGGAGGAGATTAAATTGGGATCGAGTTCTTGCTAGTGCTTCCACGCTTAGAGAGGAGGTTGAAGTTTATGGTGTTCCGAGGTCGAGGAGAGGTAAGAACGCTGCTGCTGCTGCCTCTTCTTTTGCTATTGCTACTGATGGTGTTGTTACGATTCATGAGTCGCTGAAGGTCAATTTGTCGATGCTTGCTGCTGCTGTTGGATGTCTTTCGCTTCATGGGCGAGATGGATCGGATGCGTTTGCGAACGAGGTTAGGGCGACCAAGGTTCCCCTTTTTGATGAGTATTTGTTTTCTAATGAAGATTATCTAGGCGCGTTTTGGTCGCGGCTTAATCCTAGTGAGGAGACGTGTGCGGCCTGCAAGTGTTTGCTGTGCAAGGAGGTCTTCTAGATGCTTGGGGGTTGAGTTTGGTTAAAAGTGTGGTAAGTCTCATCAATCTATCTTGTGTCTTTGATCTACATCCAATCTAGTAGTCTCCCGTAGAAAACGTAACATGATTACATAGTACAGTCAAAGCAGCATTCAGCCTTATAAGATCAGAATACGTAGTCAATTGAAGAATAACCCAAAAATATTGAAAGTGTACCGCCAAGAATCTCTATCCCTTTTGTCTTGCAGACGCCTCGCCTTTCCTCCCTGTTCGCCAAACATATGCGCCAACAGATCAGGGCCGAGGTCAAGACCAGGGGGAAACGCCTTCCCAAGAGCAAACAAGCCCCGACACCACCAATCCCTCGTAAAGCCATTACCAAACGCCAAATATAGCCCAGAAACCCATCAAAAAGAAAAGTCAAGATGACACCGGTTCCGATGCTACATGACAAAGGAAACAAAGAAAATTCACGCAGGTCGGATTATAAGGACAAAGCAGAAGGAAAGCGGGGGACAGCAATGCTCTATCCGTCAATCTCCTCATCTTGCCCGTCAATACCACCTAACAATGACGAAGATGGTTTCCTCCCAGAGCCGTATACCATCTCCATCAGCTTGGCCTTTTGGCGTTCCCGTACTGATCGGAGGTATTCATAGGTCCCCTCCAACCCCTTGATCTGGCCATCGATAACGGCTTCGACGGGACCCAGCATGCGACCTGAGGCACCAGAACTTCCGGACGCAGATGCACCATCAATGCCAACAAAGCTGACCGAGTCATTCCGACGCACAAGCGGGCTGACCAGCTTCCGGCGCAGCGTCTCCAGGTTGACTTTCAATGTGAGAAGACGCCCCCGGTGATCAACCAGGAGATGCTTATTAGCGACGGTGCGACTGCGTACGTTCGCGAGAAGTTTCTTGTTCTTCTCGTACTTACGGACAGCGGCTGCGTCCGGTCCTAGTACACGGGTCCAGAGGGAACTGAGCATCTCGCCTTCAGCACGCTCTTGGGCGTCAGATTCGCGGACCACGGTACGTTGGAGATTGAGGAATTGGCGGTCGATAGACTCGAAGAGGGCGAAGAGCGCGGTTGAGTGGGATAATTCGCTGTTGATGGACTCTTCTAGCACGGAAAGGAACTCGGTGAAGGTGCGGGTGAGGGTTGCGCGGGTACGCTGGGCGGATGTTGGACCGAAGACGGCCATGACGACGTGGCCTAGGGTTGTAGTGGTCGCTGTGTTGCCGCCGTCGGGGATTTCTGTCGTTTGTTCTAGGGCACCGAGTCTGGATAGCATGTTGTGCACATTGTCGAACATGATAGTGGGTAACGTGCTGGGCGGTTGAGCAGAGAGTGTTTCTAGCTCGCGCTTGGCCCAGTCCATCACAATCAGGATGGAGTCGACATCCGAGTCGACGTTGGCGAAGAACCGCGTTAGCTCGAGGGACAATGACTTGAGCGAGTCGGACAGCTCGTCCAATTGCCGGACGATAATGGGTGCACTAGTCATATTCGTGCCACGGACCGACTCGCTGAGATCCCAAACCGCAACGCCCGTTTCTTGTAGGGTGCCAATCTGTTGGACTCCATTCTCAGAATAGTAAATCAACGGCTCGAATGAGCGCGCAAAGCCAGATAGCTTGACCAGATCGGGGATTGCCTGGGGGAGACCTGGAAGAAATAGCGCGCGCATAAATGCGACGGATAGAAGGAGGACTAGGACCGACAAGGTTGTATTAGACTTGGAGCTGGTGATCTTATCAAACTTGCCGCGCAAGTAGCCAAAGATGGCAGCAATAGGTTCACGATGCTGAACCTCTGCGCGTACGGCAAAACGAATGTCTTTTTCAGCCATGCGAACGAGACGTTAGTCTTTCCATGTCCCAGTAAGTCAAGAGTCACCCAAATTCAGACGAGGCCTACAGTTACTCAGATTCTCTGGACCAAACCCGGATCCATCATCCTCGGGACGGTTGCGCGCTGCGCCAGGGCCCTGCGGTGGAACTGGGCTGGGGGATCGTCCGGTCTGTGGGGTACCTCCGCTATGGGGTAGAGGTACATTGGCTGCGATCGTGACGTCGCCATCGTCACTGGCCTTCTGCCTCGTCGGGCCTTCGAGGGCATCTTCATACTGTGGACTCGGTTCGCGCGACATGGACGGGGACATGCTCACTCCGACAGTGGGTTTAAGTTCCAAATGGTCCGCATGGAGGTGCGCTTTGCGCCCATAGGGCTGATGGCGGTACCAGCCACTACCTTGAACGTAGTCATGCTGGTGCATACCTGGAGGCGACCAGCGATCTCCCGCTGTAGAATCATCAAGCTCACCATCAGACTCTTCTGACCGAAATCCAGAGTGCTGGGACGGTAGGCTAAAGAGTGGGGAGCGATGCGCATTACTGTTGTTCTCAAAGTCCTCGAGCGAGGCATCCAGGGACGGATGGTCGTCGAAGACGTTATCTAGCTCGTCCAGCATAGCGGACGGCGTGTATCGGTGTAGGCGCTTCAGAGCGAGGGGTGTTTCTGGAGTCACAGCGACAGCGCGCAGTGGTGAGTTGTCTTGCGATCGCGATCGGGATCACTTGCGACAAAGAAGTGCAGGCCGAAGGCTGGGGAAAACTGTATGGTTAGATCAGGGCGGTTAGTGTACGCGCCTTGAAAGAAGGTCTCATGCGCTGGTCCTTGATACCGAGAAGAGAGGACCAGGTTAGAAGAGACAGAAATGGCTGGGAGGCAATTAACCCCGCCCAAGTGCGATGCGATCGATCAGGATGCGATGCGATAAGTAACGGTATCCTGGCGGGGTGAGAGGGGAACACTTTTATGTTCACTCCTCTGGAATGCGGGTAGCTGGGAGCTTAGATCCTTGGATCTGATATTCAGTCTGGGGTATTCAGTCGGGGTCTGATTCAGGCACAATCGAAGCATCCACGATATTTAACAGAACCCAAGAGGCAAAGAAGGGGAGCGCCTCGTCCAGTAATGCGGGAATCGAGGGAACTCCTCACCTGCAGAGGAGGCTGGGCCAATCAGTTTAGGAGGTTGGGGTGTAGCCATCGCCAGGTACCTTGAGGAAGTACTTCCGATGTACACTTTGGCTTGGGTAATGCGGTGAGCGGGACTTGAACGGTACAATCAGTACACCGCCGGGCAGTGCCTGACCGCCATTGGCGCCTGACGAGTATCTCTCCCCCTTCGCTCTGGAAAGGGAGTCGCCATGTTGAAACACTGAAACACGGCATTTTCTCGACTCATCCATTGGCATTCCTCAAGTCTCCAGTCCCCAGTCTCCAGTTTTCCGTCCCCAACCCAACCAGTAGTGCCACCCCCTGCGAACCTTGTTGTAATCCTTGCAAACCCTCCCCCGTCCGCAGCGGGCGATCAGCCCTTCCAGTACCTGCAGTGATGTGCATTCCACCTACTGTACGCCAGATAAAGAAAAAAAAACGTCATAAGGAATCTCTCAAGACAAGGTTATCAGATGGAAAAGAGGAGAAGTTTTTTTTCAAATCTATTGCGGGTCAACCATTGAATAGTCTTGGATAATATTACATGACCGGTCCTTTCGGAGATCCGGAAAATCAGCCCACGGCGCCAAACCAATCCCCCGACGTCTATTGGAATTTCACGAGACGGGGTAACAGAGAACAGAACGAAAAGCCCGTGGGAGGGGAATAATAGCACATCAGGTCATTTAAGCGGTGGACTCCTTGAGGTAGCTGTAGAGGGACATGTGTTAGCGAGGGATCCGGGAATTTCATCACGGCAGAACAGGGAAAACTAACGTGATGAGGTCGTTGCGCTCCTTGGCCTTCTTGAGACCACCGAAGGCCATCTTGGTACCGGGGATGAACTTCTTGGGGTTCTCGAGGTAGGGGAACTGTGTGGAAGAATGGATGGTTAGCGATCTCTCTTCACTAGTCCCAGGGTCAATTTGACCACCACGGAAGTGTACTCACCAGAGACTCCTCGTTCCAGGTCACGTCAGCCTGCTTGTTGGCGTCGGTGTAGGCGTAACCATCGGAAGAGCCAGTCTTGCGGCCGAACAGACCGTGCAAGTTGGGGCCGACCTTGTGGGCACCACCGGCCTCGACGGTGTGGCACTGAGCGCAGCGGGTCTGGAAAAGCTTGGCGCCCTTCGCAGAGTCACCTGGAGTGAAGAGCGAATTAGTCGACTGAGGCTTGGAGGTGGTTGCCGGCTCTGGCTGCTGCGCTGGCTCCCGCGACGGGAACTGCAAGAGCGCTTCGATCTCGGCCTTTCGTTTGGCAGCGTTGGCAGCGCGCAGCTCGTCGACCTCCTGCACGAAGATGGGAATCGCACAGAAGATGTCGAACGTGCTCATAGTGGCAGGCGCGCAGAGGATGGAATTGGAGATTCAGAGAATGAATGGGTGTTAAGTCGAGAGAGCAAGTTGGAGAGAGATGTGGAAGAGCGAGAGTTGGAGAGAAGCGCAAAGTAAACGAGGTGTATAGAGAGGTTGGACGAAGGTCGCAGGTGAGATGAGTTGAGGTCAGAGGCAACGACTTCATCTTCCTGGATGGAAGCTCAACACCAGGCTCCGATCGTCGACCAGGCAGACACCTTGAAGCGTAAGGCTTCAACCAGTTCGCTCACTTTTCAACGTCTCGCGCATGCCTTCGAACAATGGCATCATGCTCTCTCTCTCGACCAGCTCACCCATTCAAAGATTCGCGGATTCGCCAATTCCAGCAATTGGCAGAGTGAAGGGGGAGAAAGATCTTACCAGGAGTGAACTTAGCAGCTTCCTTGCCCATTTTGAAAGAGTGTGAGAGGAATTGAAGAAGTGGAAAGAGACTGTACAGGAGAATTTGGAGAAAACGAAGAAGGAGAAGCAAGATTTTCCAACTTTTCCGCAGCGTATTTGTACCGTCGCCCCATTCAGCTCCCGTGATCCGCCCGTCCACCAATCACCATGCGACTATTTCACCCGACGGGCGCAACCGGGTTCTCCTTCGGTGAAGACGGAGTATCCTATCATCAATGCTGACCTGTTCAACATGGATGATTTCCTCATTCCACAGGTCAATTGCCTACGACAATATACGGAGTGGCTTAACACTGCTATGCTAACATCCGAGTCCCTTATAGACCAGCGATACACAGTTTCCTACAAGAGCCGCATGTGCTCTCTCCCAATGATCTCATCTTTGGTCATTTCCCCTTCGGATACAACGGCTCCAACGGGTGGCTTTTAGCTGTCCAAGAACGAGAAATAATCTAAACCAGAGCATCTCGGGACACTTCTCCGGGATTTGTTCATCTAGCCAGCCCCTGGATAATAACAAGCGTGGGCATATCTCCCATTCTAACCCCCTTGAAGACCTGGAGTACACTTGGCCTTTCCCCCCGAAACTGGTCCACCGAGGCTGTGAAATACACCCGTTATCATTCGTTCGTCCAGGGGTTCCGCAAGTCCACCAGGGCCGGTCTTGATCCGATTGTGGAACCCGAGGCAGGAAAAGCATAGAATTTTATGCTGCTATCTGCGGAGGAAACTCGGCACTCTCTGGAGATCTGGTCTCCCGGGACTCCGGAAAGTAAATCCTGGCGCCAGCTATCCTGGGGTGAGGCTATTGCTGGCCTATAGTTAGAGTATGATAAAATGCACCTAGTAGAATAGACTAGAAGCTCTTTAGACTTTCGAATAAATGAGTATTTCCATCCACAATGCACCTTGTAGCTCCGGTTAGATCAAAAAAAAAAAACCTTTTTTAGCGGAAAATGTCAGATTGTGACGACATTCTGCTTAACTACTGCAGGCTGATTTTCTCGGCACCATTCCATATCACGTGATATAGAAAATTCCCGTCCGCCGCAGAGACCAAACAGTAACAACTCCAACGGGGATAACATACCCAACCACCAAAACCCCACAAGAATTATCTGTGGTAACCCCCTCAATTACCATGCCTCCAGCATCAATCCCTCCCTTCCTCCTCCCCCGAGGCCTCCCAACCGCCCGAACCCTCCGCACCCTCCAACAAACAACCGAACACACCAGCAACGGCCTGTCCACCTCCACCCGCCGCTGCTTCTCCGAGACTCGCAGCGTCGCCGCGCGACCCAAGAAGATCACCGATAAATCGCGCGTGCTCTCCCAGCCGGACAAATTCCGTCCTCCCTCGCACCCACAGCGTCTGGTGAATCCCAGCCGTGTCTCGCCGACGGGCCAACCGGTCAATTATGGGCGGTCATTGACAGCGGAGGAGCGCGCGGCGCAGGATAAGAAGCAGTATCCGAACATGTTCCCGCCGGAGGGGACGGTGATGTTCAAGTTTCTGACGTCGAGGTGGATTCATATTTGGATTGCGATGGTGAGATTATCCACCACCACCTCCCTATCTACATGGATTTTATCGATTGGGAATTGAAGCCGGTCTAACTTGTGCTGTGTTTTATTTAGGGCACCCTAACCACCCTCGCAACTTTCACCTTCACCACAAACTTCAAGGCAACTTCCCCCTTCGCCCACCTCCTCCCTTCCTGGTCAGACCTCTTCAAGCACCCGATCGACACCCTCTCCCAAGCAATGCACGTCTACCGCATGCACGTGCAACACGAGTCCATGCGCGTCCGTGAACAGCGCCACCGCCGTGTCGAAGACGCTGAGAAGCGCCGCCAGTACCGTATCGCGCATGGTCTGGAGGAGGCTCCTGAGAAGGAGGGTGCCACTCCTGCTCAGGCGGGTGATGATGGCCAGTCGCCCGCTGCGGTGGATCTTGTCGCTGTTACACCCGCTGGAGATGCGGCGGGTGTTGGGGGTGAGGAGTTTGTTGATTGGGAGGGGAAGAAGAAGCCTGTGAAGAAGTGGCTTGGGATTTGGTGAGGTGTTGTATTTGTAGTGTGGAATTGGGAATTGGGGGAGTGGATGGTCTGGATAGACCTTTGGAAGCGGACTCGGACCTTAACCGAGTCGGAAGTGTATTGTATTGATATCTGCTGATATCGAGTCACTAGTTCCCTGTATATTAGATTAGATACTTGCATGTGGAGAGTCTTCAAGCTCCATTCTAACAATTACGATCATGAATCACCTCTCTAGCACCGAGACCATATCTCGAAGTCTAAAATGGTATTAGAAACAAGATCTTCTTTTTTGCATCTAGACATATACTCATGACACCTCCACACCCTCCAAACCTTCCAACACTTCTTCACCAACACCGCCCTTCTTGAGCGCCGTCTTGACCATCTCCGCAATGACACTGCGCTTGACACCTCCCCGACGAGGGCGCCAGACACCAGGCACCTCCTCCTCGCCCGTAGCTGGGTTCAGAACGGCCACATCTTCAGTAGGCGCCACAGCGCCCAGCATGCTCACGTTCTCCGAGTTAGGTACTCCCGGCTGGGTCAATCGGGAAGGAGGATCGACGGTGCGAATAGAAAGTAGCTTCAAGTTACCCGCCTCGCTATCGCGCGTGATAGAGATAGCCAATACGGCGTCCGCGACTGCAATTTCCTCCCGGTTGGGATCGAAAATGATATTCTCGCCGACGGAGATAACGAGCAGCGTCACAGGCGGGCGAACGAATGATGACCGGGCAGAGCTCTTTGCGCCGGAAGAAAGAGAAGGTCGTGGGTAGAGGTACTCGGCAACAGCCCAGTCATCGTCGAAGAAGGGATCCTCCTCGCCTTGAGACTTAAGCTTGGGAAGTTTCGTAGACAGAAGAGCGAGATGTGTGGTTAGCGAGAGAAGAGGGAGGGGATATGCGAGAGGTTGCGAGAGAAGGAGGACCTGTTATACCGGCAATTAGCATCCACCAAACTCGAACGCAGATCCAAAATTTGCAAAGCACCACGCAGACATACATCAATGTACAACCTCCAATGCCACCGTTTATTAATGACCAGCCGCCCCTTAAGCCCACCGGTCATATCACTCGTCTCATCCGTCCCAACGGCACCAACCAAACTCTCGCGCATCATCTCAGACAAGAAAACCGGCAGCGCATCGTCATCCCGGAACCCGGGGATCTCAATAGACATCTGCACCCACGATCCATGACCCCCGACAGCAGCAGATCCCTCCTGTTCTCCACCAACACCACCATCATTCCGCGCAAGCGTCTCATTCGATAGAATCGTCTTCTCGACCTCGGCCTTGACACCGACGATAGCCTGAGTTCCGTCTGCGAAACCAATGCGCGCACTGCCGTTCGTGCCGGGGAGAATGTTCGTTTCAGCGGTCAGGGGCCGGAATTGCGTTGGTGAGCGGCCGTCTGGGCGGATGGGCGTTTTGGGGAGGGAGAGAGAGGTGTAGAGGTAGGAGAGTTCGGCGGGGGAGAGGTGGGGGACTTGGGAGGCCGAGGAGGCCTGTCTTTGGTTGGACATGGCTGGGTATATGTGGTATTGTCCTGTTGAGGAGTGACGAGAGGTGTGAGGGGAGAATGAGCAGCTTCGCTAGTTGAGCTGCGGGATTCTTTTTTTGATGGAGGTGAAAGTTTGCGCAGATGAAGGTTTGTTCTGCGGCTTCGGAGAAACAAGGTACTGGGTTTAAACCAGTAAAAAGGTTTGAATTGCGCAGCGGACACCAACCACGGCACAACAGTTGGAATTGTTAGGATATCAGTCTTGAGAAAAAGTCATGAAGAGCAAAGCTGCTCGATTGGGAAATCTTGAGGGCCGCCGGATCATCATTGATCCGAGCTATTGGGTCACATAGAAGAGTAGAGACATCGCGAGGTCTACAAAGAGGTTCTAACATGATGAATTCCCTGTTATTCTCGGTCGGAGGGGAATTTGTAATTTGAATCTATTTTGGAGTTCGCTTTGATAATTCTAGCCTTCTTTTTGGGGTCGCACCTTCCTACAATGATATCAACACCTGCCTTAGTGAGGACTACCTTCCTCTATTGATGGTATTTTTCAAGGTCTCTATCGTCAACGATAGTCACATTACAGGCACAGACCAAGCGATCTTGACCAGATTTACAATCTCACCTTCTGTTCTTACCCGAAATTCGAAGTTGAGTGGAATGCCTGCCATTCATTCCTCTAAAACTAACACAGCCTGAAACCACATTTACAACCAAGTCGAGGCCAAATCTGCTGGCATTCGATTCTCAAGCAATAACCAAGTATTGTCATTGCGTTCCCAATCAACGATGGAGTCACTTCGAGGTGCCTAAGGGTTCCGTACGGATCTACATTGAAGGTAGTTGAAAGAGAAATCAAGAGCATATGTATAGAGGATGAATATTATGCATGATAGGTGTATATATAATAGCCCAATCGCCGTAGGAGATATATTACAAACAGATAGTGCCACCAGACCGGAAAATCCCAGCCAGTCGGGTGCGTCAGTCGAGGCAGAGCCCAAAAAAAGGTATAAAATGGTACAAGAATGTAAAAGAATGAACAAGAGATTCCAAACCCGATCGACGACGAGGAATGAAACGGAGAGATATATAGTGAGAGTGAGAGTGAGAGTGAGAGGGCGGCAGAGGGAGAGACAAGAGATAGACAAAAGTAGGAGGAGCAGGAGCAGGAGCCAGAGTCAATGTACAGTGTATGAAGCAAGTATGGACAAAAGAAAAAAAAAAGAAAGGACCATGTTCATCGGAGAATGAGGCCGATAGGCAAATTGTGCAATGCAGGGTGGTGTAGATTGTGAGGTGTAGGGAGTGGTATAGAATGCGACTTGCGCGTGGTGGTATCAAGATGAGTGAGAAGGAAAGAAATGGATAATGTGCAACGCCAGATGAGGATCGCAAACGAAAGGACTCCAGATAACCCGAGAAAAAAAGTGTGATGTGAGAGAGAAAGGGGAAATCAACACATAGTGCAAGGCCGGATCCATCTATATCAAAAAAAGGGCCTGTGGGGGTATGGAAAGAAGAAAAAAATGATAAGAAATGAGGGGAATCAAAAACCATGCCCGCCAAAGTAAAGATCAAATCAAATCCGGAAATAGCACAACCGTGAGAAGAGATGGAAAGGAAAGACCCCGAAACGAAAAAAAAGAAGCCCATACGCCTAAACTCGGTTTGTGTCCGCTTTTTTGGCGTATTCTCTCGCCTGATTTTTGGTGTTTCTCATTTCAACCTCGAGTAAGGAAGATGGAGATAGTGATGCAGATGGATGGTGGATGGTGATGGAGTAGGTATGAGGTAGTTGTTTCGAAATGATTGAGGGTATGTGTCGAGATGGTTCTCACTTAGATGTAGTTGGATGCAGAAGGGAAGTGCAAGGTGGTCGCCTTGTTGTTCCACTCGGCCTCTTCGTAAGGAGGAGTGGGCCATTGGCGGTTAGAGGTTTCGTTACCAGCCTTGGCCATGCTCTGCTTGATGGGGGTCTCAAAGTAGCCATCGGCCTTGGCGGTTGGCGAAGGAGTAGGATACGGGCTGGGAAGGGCGTGCGAGCCGTCAGTGTGTCGGTGGCTCCCATCGGAAGGATGGGAGGTTAGGGATTGTGCCTGAGCGAGACGTTTGGCGGCCTTGCTGGCAGAATGCAGGACCTCATCGAGCAGCTCATCCTCTTCCTCCGGTGTCTCATACCGGTGGACCGGGTGGCTCGTCATCTGCATTGCTCGCCGGGTGCGGCTTGAGATGGGACCGGGGTTGCTAGTGGGCATTGACTGCCGCTTCATGACATTGTCGGAGCTGTTCATCAGGTGAACGGGCACGTTTCCAAGAGTCGAGGTGTCCAATGCGTACTTGACACTCTGGAGAGCCTTATCCAGCTCACTCAGGTCGGAGTGTGGCTTGGGCTCGCCCGGGTTGGTTCCATCGAGAGCCATTGATGAGCGGTTAGACCAGGGAATGCAGCCAGCATTGGCCTCGACATCCTCCACAGCAGGGTTGGCCTGGTTACGTCCGGAAAGTCGGCGAGCACGCTTCCGCAGGTGGGAGAAGAAACTCTCCTTGGTGGTAGGGGTAGTCTGGCCAGAGCCATTGAGCATACGCTCGGCCTCCTGTCGGTGCACATCCGAGTAGTGATTTCCATTCGAGTTGACGGACAGTTGACGACCAATTTTCTTGTTCTTGCTCTGGTCGGCATCGGAAGGCTTCGAGGCCTCGCCGTGCGCGACGGTTGCGTTCGCTTGGGCGGTCACGGAGTTGGAGAGAGGAGACACGGGGCGGATGGAAGGAAGAATGGGCATGGGGGCACCGTTGGCCCAGGTCGCCCGCTTGGTGTTTGCTGGGCGGGGCTTGGCCGGTTGGATTTCGGGGACGGTATTGTAAGTCACAGGAGCAGGTCTGGCAGGGCTGTCGCCATCAATAGTAGGGACGGGGCTCTCAGACCGACCAATCAATGAGCGGCGGAACCACGAGGGCTTGGAGGAAAGGGTAGGAGAGTCGCTGGGGGTGAGAGTGGGAGACTTGAAGCTCCTGTCGGAGGGCTTGCGGCCCAGCAGACGGGAAGAAGTAGAGGACTTGGGCCGCAAAGGGTCAACCGCATCGGCAAAGTACTCATGGTTCAGTGCTTGGGTCGAGGTCGGGCGGTTCTTAGGATCCCACATAAGACACCAAGTCACAAACTCGGCGAGCGCAGCTGGCCATTGTGGCTGCTGGAGAACGGTATCCATAGAGTGCGGTGCCATCTTGGGGAACGTGAAGCCGAGCTTGTGGGCCAGTCGAGAACCTTCGCGCCACTCACCACCGCCAATCTTCGCACCAGACTTACTGTACCAGTTACCAGGGCTACCCATGATCTCACAAACGCGCCACACTTGGTCGACCTCATTGCCGCCGGGGAAGAGCGGCTTGAGAGTAGCGATTTCAACGGCCATGGCGCCAACGGCCCACATATCGACCGGGGCAGAATAGACGCCCGCACGCAGGAGCACTTCAGGAGCCCGATACCAGCGGGTCGAGACGTAGGTGGTGTAGGGTTGTTTGGAGTGCGTCTCACGGGCGAGACCAAAGTCGGCGATCTTCACGGTATAGGTGGGAGGGGTGGATGGAGGGGTGACGAGGTTGGAGTAGCGGCTGAAGGTAGAGTCATTGGGGGCGGAGGTCGATACCAGAATGTTCTCGGGCTTAATGTCGCGGTGGAAGAAGTGGTGGGCGTGGATGTGGTCCAATCCGGAGAGGATCTGGTACAGAATGCTCTTGACGTGCTTGCCTTCGAAGTACTTGTGATCACGGGCCTTCATCAATTGGTACAGGTTACCATCCATATACTCCATACAGATGTGTAGCTTGCGGGTGAGAGGGTCGAGGAAGATATCGAGCGCGGGGACGAGGTGAGGGTGAATGGGGAGAGTGCGCAGGAAGATGACTTCTCGGAGCTCCAGACATGGGCCTAGTGAGTCGAAAGTCTTCTTCATCGTTTTAATAGCGACCTATTAAATTATAATTAGTATTGAGCCCTTTGGTCACCCGCCAGAATTATTTGTGTTTTGGTATCGGGATCCATACCATCGTCCCTCGTCGCGCAATGTGAGCACCGGCAGTCCGTACACGAGCCAAGGCGACACTACCGAAGCTACCATCGCCGACCTCTTTCATAACCTGAAATCGCTCTTCCAGGCTGGCCAAGGATGCGTTCGTCCCCCGAGAGGGAGGGTCGTATGTGACGGTCATAGTGGACGGGATCTCTTCGGATCTGCCAGCAGATGAAGAGGGAAGGTCTTCATTATTGTTCGAGTCAGCTTTCTGCAAGTCCCAAACAAATAGAAACACATGATAAGCGACATGTCAGGACGGGGGGCCTCATACATTAGAGGTGGGTTGATTTTTAGGGCGGAGATCCCACGACAGTACGGGGGAGCAGTCAATTGGGGCCAACGCGCATCGAGGAATGCAGTTATAGCGAGTAAGGAGGCAGGGTTGCTCCCATTAGTTGGAACCGGAGACGGTGTGTATTTGGGACGAGTAGCCGGGATAGGTATGTAAGGAGTGACGGAGTAGTTGGTGAGTTGGTTGGTGGTGGGAAGGAGGAGAGGAGGGGGAGAGATAATAGAGAGGATCAAAATCAGAGGAGAAGGAGGAGGGGGGATTCAGTCATTGAAAGACCGGGCACGATGTAATAAAAAGGAATTCTCGCCAGAATAGGAGAAGGCCCGTAGACCCGTTCGACCCGTTTAGGGAGAGAGAGAGAGTTAGGCGTGGAGCGATCGGAGGGCCGAGGGAAGGGCCAGTTCGAGCCAGTCGAGCCCCTGACGCGGTGACAGCTCTCGAGCTTGCGGACGGGGCCGTGGGGACGGTAAATTAAACCACGTTAAGACGCAGATCAGTCCACTTTACGGGCTTTGGATTGGCCCTTGGTTTGCTGGTTGGGACAGAAGTAGGGATAAGATGGTCCGAATAGAATCAAAGGGGGTGATGCAGAGTGTATAGAAGTCAAAAGAGAGAAGTAGCGAAATGCTGATAGAAAAGGGCCAACAACCAGCACGAGGGGGAGAGGGGGGAAAGAGGAGCAGTTTGGTGGAGGCATCGCGTTAAACATCCATTAATTCTGGATTCGTAAAATATATCCTAGAATAAAACTAAAAAATAAAAAAATAAAACTAAAAACTGAAAAGAAAATGATTAATCCCGCGAAAAACCAAAAAAGTACGATGGAGGAGGTAATTCCGCGGTATAATAATCTACGTGAAGAAATACGGGCCTCATCATGACCCGCCCATATTATTTGATCCTGCGTAGTTATTGTGACGAAAAACACTCCTCGAACCAACTTACCCTAAAACCAACAACACCAAAACACCAAAAAAATAAAAGCCCAAACTCAGTCCCAAGAACGGGCAGCTCCCGCGTCATCCAATGGCACCTTCCGAGTGGATTACGCGGGTTCCTGATACTGCTAGTATACACGCTTCATACCAGAGCGACCAGGAATGAGAGGGTTAATTACAATGATTGCCGCCAATCATCGATGGTGGTGCTTGTCACGTATGGTAAGGTCGAGCCCACTCAACACCACGCTAGGCACCTCTCTGGAGTAGACTGCTTCAAACGGTCGCTCTGGTTCATGAGTTAGTGGCGATTAGTTAATGGATTAGTGAAGGCGCTAAAGGGAAAATGGACACACTTCTTTTCTTTTGGAGCATAATAAACAAAGTTATTTAACTAGAAGTAGGAAAAGCAAAGTCGAGTAACTCCGTAGAAGATAGGAAATACCGCATGTTGTTAATCTCCATCCACTACCGAGTAGCGGAGGACACATTATTGACCCTCCAAGAAATCGTGATCAGTTGATCAAATGACCCAAATGGCCATGGTAGAACTCCAAGAACGGTATTGTATCATCTGCCTCGGTCGCAGAAACAGACCTGCACGCTCGAGCGCCTAATTCTTAGGGAGGTTGGGCATTCACCGTGTGGCCTGTCGCAGTCGCCCACGCAGTCCTGGGGCCAAGTAGCGGTCGCTTCGTTGGTTATTGGCCCCCGAGAAAGAGGGCTTGCCCCGTTGTATGGAAACCGTGTAATTTATACATCCTCATAGAGAGATGGTGGTATTCAAATTACAGTACAGCCAGGGCTTCGGTTGTTGTCGCGGCCAGTTGGTTTTCGGGTATACTTTCACAACCCGCGTGGTAGAACTCTAGAGTAGTGGAACTCTATAGCACCACCCCATTCCTACAGGTACCCGTGCCCTCGACACCGACTATCATCATGAAAAGTACGGAGTACAGAGGTTTCCCACGACCGAACAGACAGAGATCAAAAGTCATGACGTTGGATAAACACATCACAATCAAACCCTCAGCCCTCTCACACATACTCCCCGTATTCCCCCCTCCAGCCCTGTCCGACACATCATTTTTGGCCCAGGGTCTCGACCGCAAGCCGCAGACTCAACTGACCAGGTGATGATGACTGCTCTGATATGTACTCCGTGCCTACTCCGTACATATCCGCAAGGAGCATCCCATTTGCCATAAATGTGCCTTATGTCATGTCCTACTTTACATGGATTCGGGTTTCGGAGACTGGTTCTCGAATCGGTCGTAATATTAAAGAATCCGTTCAATCATCATCTTTATCGGCGTCATGATCAATATTATACATGATGCAGTACATTCCTCGCATCGGAAATCCTGCATCATCTCCCCTGTTTCACCCATCACGGCGATTGTTGACACTCGTTGACCGGGCATCCGGCGCGTCTTGCCACCGGATCTTCCCTTGGTTGGATCCCGAGATTTTCTGGGGGGGGGGAAGAGCGGGAATAGCACTTCAGTTATTCGCGTTGTGTTTTTTTTCTTTTTCCATTTTTTGGGGGGAGACGGATCTCCGACTGGTCCGAATATCCACCAATGATTGTTTATAATCGGTTTGAAGCAGATACATTCAAAGCTCGGTACTACTCCATAGTTCCATGGTTACAAGACGACTTTGTTTTTTTTGGTCTTTGTGACGGGACAAAGGCCCGGAATGGAGGAGGAAAAATGAGGGATATTAGGTTCGGATAGACGGAGGCGTTCGCATAGACCTGGGGGAGAGTAAGCTTAAGCCGGCCAGTACCATGGGTCCGGGCAATGCATCCCACCTGCATTTATTTGCTAGCGATTGTTATTGGCAGCCTTGTTTATTTAATGGTCTGCTGCATTCGTTGATATGCATAGATACATTGGAAGTGTATCACGACACTCGTTACTGGATTCCAAATCAATTTCTTCCCCCCTTTGCCTTGCTGGCGCGGGGGAAGAGACAGAAAGCCTCCAGCCCCCGACAGGCTGGTTAATACAAATTGGACACACCGATGCGACGCCCAGCCGACCTGGAAACAGATGGCGCGACAGAATCTAATTGACTGAGATTGGCAGTCTTCCGAGACGCGACTCAGACGGACCTTCCCCTCCACCTTTGATTTGATTTGATGTGGCTCGGTTTAGTCGGTTTTCTTTCTTTGTTGTGGCCGTTTTTAATCACTACGCGAACCTGGCCCCCCTCTCGCTTGTATGCCTCTGTCGGGACTAGTAGTACGGTAGTTGATAAAATTTCTCAATTTCTCAAGAAAACCCATGTTTTTTCCCGTGTCTCCGAAGGATCATGAGGAGATTAACAAAAAAAGCGATCTAGGTCCAATCATAATCCCGGTCACCAAACGGCCAGTTCGACGGATGGGCGGCTGGGGACAAAGAAACCACACAAAAAAGGTCATTTCTAATATCCCGATATCGCCAGAGATCATCACACATCCGCCTATAGATTTACAGGGCACATACCCTTTCCGCGAATCCATGACTCTGGCGCTGCTCCACTTGCCAGGAACCCGGAAACGCAGACGTGGGTGGACGATCACCACAGCCCAATCTACCTGTCAGGTAACTCAGGTAGTCGACGGTATGAAGTATGAATCGATACGTAACGAGCCCTACAGGTCCAGTAATTCGTCCATCATTCATCTGATGCACAACGTACCGAGCGTACATATGCTCCAGGACTGGACAATGAGTGGTGGATAGTAATCTCAAATGTTAGAAAGCAATCTCCTGTATATTCGTACATGTCTACAGATACTAATCAATCATCTCCTGGGTGGAAGTCATCAAAGATTATACATCACAATTAGTACGGGGTGCATACCTATCAACTCCGTAGGCCCCCATCTATCACCCCATTATTCTCTGAAGGTCATTATTACGTGCAGCCCAGATATACTGAACGAATGCACCTGTCAGACCAGACGAACCCTGGGGCAACCGTTTGGCCCGCAAGGATCCTTCCTGACCGCAAATCACATCTCGGTCAAGATCCTGGGCTGCTTCGTCCACTCCATGGGTTGACCCCTTTCATGTCACTCCTCGACTGTATCGCATCCATCAAGCTCACCGGTATCCCTCACAAGTTGCGACATATCGACTATGGACATTGAGAATGAGATACATGAAACAATGGAACGCGGATCTGCTTCCCGGGCGCTCGCTTCCCCCGATCTCTGCAGAAAGTACATCGTACATCGTACATCCTGACCACGGTTCATAGTCCACCAGCCCACAGTCCCTGCGGTAGGCTCACAAGGGCCGTACCGACGCCATACGGAGTTGTCCCAACGATGAATTACCAGTGGTCCGGTGGGCCAGGACCCAGTGTGAATTGACTCGAAAAAGCAAGAGTCCCAAAGCGAAAACAGAAAACAAAAAAAAACAATCCTGAGACCATGTCTCCACCATTGTTGGATAGCGTAATGCGCTTAAGCAAGAAAAGAGAAGCTTGGGCATCCGCACAGTAGCCACTGCAGACCATTCCAATCACGATCATCATGGGGAAGCACCGCCAATCCTCCAGTCTCCATCCTCGCCACGCCATCAAAACCACCTTCCAAGACTTGTGGCTCTCACCGCGTCTCCCAAAATACCGTCAATCCCCTCTTCACCGCGTATCCTAACAGACGCCTCCGCAGTCATGAGTGGGCGGCTGTGGAGTCGGGACTTCGCGGGTCCGACTAAAAGATGCTCGTCACTGGCGAATCTCCCCGGTCCACTGTATCCACGGCACTGACCAATTCGCCAATTATCAGACCCAGGAAATCATAGTGCGATGGATCTCTTTTACATGCAAACAGAGCCATTGGGTGGACTCGAAAATGAGTGGGGAGAGGGCAGTTAGTGACCAGTTCGTCGGGTTCATAAAGTGGACACCGATTCACCGCGCCCTCCAAGCATCGTCGTCGCTACTCCACATTGCACGCGTTTATTGCTGGATGACCTCGCGGATGTGGGACTAGCGTCGCGCCGTGCTCTCGGGGGACGACGGATGCTCCACTTGCGTGGGCCTCGTCCAGGCCCGTCCCTTTCGTACCCGAGAGCTGTCTCTCTCTCACTACTTTCCCTCGACTCGAGCATGGAGGGTCAGGAAAGGAAGGATCGCTCTTATTCCCCTTTGCCACTCAAGACCCGGCGCTATGACAGCAACTATGTGTACCGTTGCCAGAGTGCCGGGAGGCGCCGGCGTGTTTTGAGGTTCCTGGGGCCTTCGAGAAGGTTGTGCTGGGGCCTTTCTATCACGAACGCAAAAAACGGGCACATATCTAACTTATGATGCGGTCATTGACTTCCTATGGTCACTAGGCAACTCTCTTACACAATTGATGCTTCGAACTTTGCCATTGTTGCTACTACCATGCCATTATTGCTTTGCCATTGCCACCGCCGCGCCTCCGCTCAGAAAGGCAAACCATTGAGGTCACCTGTCCACTACCTCAAACCATTTGTCCAAGAATAGCCTTCAACGGGGCGAGGCAGACTCGCATTGCTGCTCCTATAGCCTTACGCTATAGCTGTTGCCTCGAGTTCTCCATTATTGTTACTATTCTTTCTCGGCTTCTTCTTCTAGGGGCTCCGCTTGGCCCTCTATCTCGCCAAACCCATTCCTATCCCTCGGCTACCCTTGAGAGAGAATCAAAACAACAGACCCTGTTGATATTAACAAGATGTTAGATTAAATCAATGGAGGCAGCAACTGACTACCTCGACCCACAGCAGACGCCGAACATAACAAAGTGTTACAAATTCCACAATTTAGTACATCCCCCTCCCCCTTTCTTACAAGTTACCCACGATCTGGGACGCTGGGAGCATCAGCGCACGTATCAGGGAAAGAACACCCACGTCAAACCCAAACTTCACCCCCCATTTCTCCCGCTAATCGACCCGATCAAGGGTCGCTCATCCCATGATGCCAATGATTTGATGATCCTATCTCCCCCTGATTGACAACTAGCTCTACGGAAAACAACCACGAGGCAATCCTGGCCCCTGGGACCTACCGTTTCTGTAGTCAACCTCCGCGCTAAGTTGTATACGGAGTCGCTCTTCTCATAAATCTAACCATTCTAGCTATTTACAGTAGACTTGCACGACAAAATCCCTGGAACAGCGCCGGGTGCGGTCCGCGGGTCTCCACTATCACTGCGGAAACGACCAACGAGGAGCTCCTATTCGACGCTTTAGCATTTCTGGAAGGTCGGAACCGTGGCTTCTATGGAGAATGACGAGGATGCGTGGCCCCTCCCCCCCCCCCCCTTCTTCTTCCCACTTCCCTATCCCTGGGAATGTTGTAAATATGCCCGGAAATTAGAATCGTACACCCTAATTTACCCTCTCCTTTCTTCTGCCAGTGCCGGGGAGGTCTGACCGTCAACGTGGACCGGCTTGGCTTAGTTTATTTCCGACAGGATGCGCAGCTTGTCGTAGCTTTTTTTGTTTAGGTTGGTTGCGTGGGAAATTGGGAGGGTCCCCCCCCCTTGTGAAGTTTCTGGAAGGTTTTGGCGTACGAAGTGGGAGCCAATCGGGGATTTAGTAGATAGGGGTGTATGGGTCATGGAGAGAGGGAAGTGCCGTTGTGGGTTTGATTTTGCTTTGTTTTGAGGTATTTTGGGAAGAGTTATGGTGCTGTTGCTTATGATGGACTTGTAGAAAAAGGAGTCATGACTGGAATTGGGACGGAGTACTCCGTTGCTCGCCGGAGACCGAGATAGGGGGATGACAATGGTCTATCTCATTTATGATTTGATAGCGGTTATATTATGAATGGAAACAAGTTGACATTATTTATCGGCTATGTTTTGTGCTCATATAGTGCAAGCTCCTTTTGTCTGCTTAGCTATGCTGCAAGTATCAATTTGATAGACATAAACTGGATTATGATTATATAATGCCTTTCAGGAAGAGAAAGAAAGAAGTTTTCTTACTCTTCAGTAGACATTGTACATCTTCTGTCTTTATGTGATTGTTCCAGAAACATCAAAGCATACTTAAACCTGCTTTGTAGTGTTGCTCACTGCTTGTGTTTACGGAACTGATCTATGGCTACATGAAAAGCTTTCCTCGGTTAGCTTCTAGAAAATTCCTCTGCATGATATAGAGTACACATGTTCTTATCAATCACTATTACTTGAGAAGATATACCACGCTTCTCTCACTCTGGTTTGCATAGTGTATGGGATACGGGCTCGCAGACTAGATGGTTATGTTATGTGAGTTAAATGACCAAATTGTCTAGATCAAGACTCTAAATAGCAGAATAGTAAAACATACCTAGCGCTTCTAATCACATATTACGTTCTCTGCAATCAAATTTGGCATGTCGCTCCTGCTTACAACATACATTTCGAGTCTAAAGCTCTCGCATCTTGGGTTTGTATTAAGTAAACCTTCCAGCCCGCGGTGAGTAGTACCATAATTCAGCGAGAGCCATCCAAATACTTCTTATGAGAATTGATTTGCATAATAAGATAACTTCCTCATTCACGATAAATACCATAATTGGTCATATCCCAGGCCAGAAAAACGACAAGTTCCGCTCCGTATCTAAATCGCTATACTTCGTGATGAAGAACAATCCCCCGCTTGCGCAGGTCTTACCATACGACCACACGGACATCGTTTGCCTCTTAGATAAAATCAAATCATAAATTAGGTCCTCGATTTTGTTTACTTCTTGCAATCCGCGAGGTTCATTCTCAGGTACTTTCCTTCCGCGCAAACTGTCGCCGGAGGCGAAGTACCTTCCCACCCTGCACCCTCCTTCACCCTCAACGACATTCAACCCCAATCGCTCGGTCCTCTCCCGGGCATCCTTGAATTTTTCATTCCATAGGTTTACAGGCTATCCAGAATCGAGCTATGGGCAAAATGAGAAAGAAAATCCGCAAACTCACAGAGGGCTGGACGACGCCTGATGGATCGCGGAAAAGGGTCCGAGAAGCGTACGTGCTCCTTGACTTCTGCTTTTCTGAATGACTGGCTGATGAACTGGCCCGGTACAGAAAAGAGTCAAGCCCTCTTCCGGATACGTAAGTATATCTCGGGTCCTATGTTCTGGGCTATATCGACAGCTAACCTATTCCAGCATCACCTGTGCCCTCTGCGAGAGAGATCTGCCACGCGCAAGATTCAGCCATTCGGCACTGCGACGCCTCACGTCTGAAATCCGTCGGAATGGAATGGATGTGTTGAACAACCAGCAGGTTGCTCGCTGCGATGGTTGCGGTACTCAGTCGCGCCCCGAGCTTCATTGCATGTCTTGCAACGAGGTCCGACCAATCGATGAGTTCGCTTACACCCAGCGTCAATATGACCAGCCGGTAAGGTGATTCTTTGACTTGATTTTGGTTAGATTGCAGCTTGCTGATGCAAAGATCGTGGAATTGGACAGGTTTGCCTTCCATGCCAGGACAACTTGCAGCTCGACGAGCGAGACAAGGCTCCCGCTGGACAAATCCCGCAGGATGCGGCTAAACTGCTGTGGGAGGACGTCACTGCAGAGGTCAGTCTTTTTGTTCGTTCCAAAGTATCGATTTGTTCTCTTGTCATAGGTGGTTAACATTATTGTGGTCTTCTAGAATATCGAATCCCCCGTCGCTGCTCCTGAGGCCAGCGAGATGACTGAACATGGGATGTCGAAGGAGTCCAGTCCGGCAAAGCAAGAGGAGACACCGAAGCCGATGAAGCCATATGACCAGAAGCTAGCAGAGGAGGTATGTTTCACCGTTTCCGAGAAAGATAGGTTGTCCTATCGCTAATGACTGAGATGTCCTTGCAGTGGATGTACGGCCTCACCATTGGAGACATGTCCTTTGATGATCTTTTCGAAGATGATGAGGATGAGGATACGTGGACTGGTGCCAATCAGTGGTGATCTTCCAACTTTCTGCTGCCAATACGCGATTGTCCGACACGAACGGTGATAGACACAAGTGGACATTATCATCTACGGAGGATTGGGGTCTTGAAAGTGCTTTTTCTTTTTCCTCTCTCATACAGGGGTCTATTTTCTACATAGGAGATACGAAATATCATGAACATGAATCATTATCTCTTCCTTGGGGTAGAATTTAGGTACACTGTATATCTTGGCATGATGAGTCTCGCGTAATGGAGTTATCAAATATTTAAATCTTATGCGAGTAGCATAGCTCATCTTCGATATCTCATTCTTATTCGGTGCCATCTTTATCATGAAGCAAGGGCGCCCCTTGCGAGAACTATAGACATCCATGGATATGACATCAGTGGTTGGACCCCACTCGAGCCAGCGGTTCACCAGGTTTTGTGTACTTTTATCTCTTTTTGTACTACTAAAAGTAAGGTCAAGTCCGAGACAATCATCAACGATGTTTGATTTGAGCCAGGTAAAGAGTCCTTCAAATTTGATGGTCTATCTGTATCTGGAGTAAGTCTCAAGAAAGTACGAGATGCTGCCAAAAATATATCTTGGCCCCGCGCTAACGCCGCCCGGCTATTCTGAACCTGTGGAATGATGACATCCATTTATCCTGCACAGGGCTGTTACCTACTAACAGCTAAACACAGATCACCACCCGTTCTCATTGATTGGATGCTACTAATCTAACGGAGCGAAGCCGACTGCTCATATGCAGGATGGCCGTCATGACACGCTTTCCACGCTACTCGTGAGCTGAAACGTGGTCGCCCGGCATGCTGATAGGCGTGGAATGCATGGCAATCGACAGAGTCGACATAAATCGACGACATGACATGGCATGGAAAATGGATCCTTGTCGATGGTAGAAATGCCGATCATGACGGGGTTAACCAGACAAGCAAAAGACGAGCGGACCCCCTCTTGTGGCACTCGAATAGATTAAAATGTGCGCCACATTTCAACAAGAACCACCAGACAAGATCGTAGCGGTGACGTCGAGTCTTTGGTTCTTGTGTTCTGGTTGTCCTCCCTCCTTGCCAGTGTCTGTACCTTGAGAAAAAGGAGGATAGTAAGGTTAGTACCCTAATATCCATCTTTTTAGTCAGAAATCATCCAAAACCTGTGACGCCAGACGTGTTGGAGATCGCCACCCGTTTCCCCACAGCCCCCCCCAGCGCTGACAATTTCTCTGCCTGACAACCTCGTTCGGGCGTCTGTTTTGTTTCTGAGCGTTTCTATTCTCTATCTGTCCAGCTTCTGTGTCTCTCAAGTGTCTCTGCTTTTTGCGGCCTTTATCGTGACTCTCCTCAGCGCATCGACGATCTTGTTCGGTGCGCAGAGACTCCCCACTGCTCTCCCCGCTCCTCCCGCTACTCGTCTCTGCCCAAGGGTCTGAATTGCCTCTCCGATGGCTTATGATGGGTACCATTCCTCGGCAAACCCCTATCAACCGGGAAACATGAATCCGAACCTGAACACGGACGCGAACGACCCTCACGGGTACTCGCCCATGCCCCCATACCCGTCGAATAGCTACGAGCCCGACCGTTTGAGTATGCCTCAACCGCAGATGCCCCCGCCCAGCTCGTCCCCTCAGAGTATGGATTCGGATACACCGCGACCGCAGAATTTCGGACCGGGTCATGGATACATCAACGAGGCTGTTCACTCGGCAGTGCACCATGCAAACTCCTCCGAATACTTATCCCCCGAGGTCCTCAGTCAGATTACTGCAACCGTTATCCAGCAGCTCAAAGCCACGGGTCTAGGTAATATCCAGGGCTCTGGCTCATCCGGCGCTCCACCACCTCGCTCGCAGTCGCAGCAGCCTTCATGGTCCGCAGGTCCAGACTTGGCGCCTCGTCCACACTCGGAGTCGCCTCCTAATGTATCACAGCGATTCGACTCTATGCCGCAGGTCAATCCCATGTCCAGCAGCTTCGAATCTACACAGCCATATTCCGCTCCGCCGGTACCACCATCCTCGGGATTCTCGAGCGATACCCGCGATATGCGTCCAACTCCCAAGCCATCACCGGATCCGCTGAGTAGTAGACGTGGATCGATATCCAGCCATGAGAGTCAGAAATTGGAACGGCCGAAACCGCCTTCGAGAGACGCGACAGTTATGGAGATGACCACGCTGGAGAAGATATGGGGGAAATTGTTTGTGGATGGGAAGCCGACAAAGAGGCTGGGCCAGTTTTTGCGAGGAATTGCAATGCATTTGGTAAATATTGAATCTTCGGTCTGGTGCGGCCATTATTCAGGTCAGATAGCTAACTATTCGGCTAGATTGAAGATTACCCGCCGGGAAATACCATCGTGATCGTTCCGGATAAGCTGCAAAAGTTCTATGCTGACACCGATCTTTCGTGGGACCCTTATCCGTGGCAAGGTTAGCTCAATCCGAGATATCGTCTTGCTTTGGTCCAAAACATCTAACATCTCTGTCACAGATATCTTCGACGACCGAACATCATCAATCTCAAGACTATTCCGGGAGATCAAAGCTCAGCACCATCTGGTCCAGCTTGACGATCTCAAGGAACGCCCTGATATACCCGGTCTAACACCCAAAGGCTTCGAAATCTGGGCTACGATTATGATCCAAGCCCATCCGGAGCGCGAATACGAGCGTCTGCAAAAGGCAGTTCTGAATATGCCTATCAGCAACCCGGACGACAAGAAAGAGCGTTTCCCTAAAGAGATTCCACGCAGGCTGTTCCCCGAGGTAGCAGACCTGAAATTGAGAGAGGAAGTCGAGGAGCATATCATGAAACACTGTGGTGTTGATTTGCCCCGTATAACGGACGAGGAGCGCACACAGGCAAATCGCTCAAAGAAACCTGCACCGTCTCACCTCGAACCCTCTCAGCCTACAACTTCCACGTCCGGATCGACGGAGCGATCCCGATCATATGAACGGGGCCGACCCCCTCCTTCAGCATCGTCTTCCTCCGCCGTGATCGATGACGAGGATGAGCCCATCCCATCTAAACCCATTGAGCGTGAGAGAAAACCTTATACGGCTCAACCAGGTGGAGGAAAGAAGTATGAAGCAGGGCATTCGCGCAGTCGCACAGAATCCTTTTCGTCCGGTCGCCCACTAGATGTACCAAGCTCATCCACAAGTCATCGACACTCGACCTCGACCGCTGACAAATTCAATCCCGAATCGCTCTACACTGCTCGATCTGGCTCAGGACATGGACATACACGGCGGCGGTACTCGCGAGGATCGCGTAGCTCGTCACGCGGAATGAGCCACGATTATAGACACTCGGAAAGTGACCTGCTCGGTCGGGATGCGGCCCCTCCTCGATATGGTGGTGTTTCCGCTGGTGACTTATACACGGAATCGCCTACCTCGATTTTGCCTGACGAGGATGTCCGTCGGTACAGAGAGCACCATCGCGGTGGAAGTCGTGCTAGCGAGGAGGACTACTACCGTGGTATGCTGGGGGGACAGGGTGGTGGACCTGTGCATGAGCACAAGCGATATCACTAAGTGGTGGTATCTTGTATGTTCGTTACTTTTGATTCTGAAGCTTGTCTTTTGCGGGCTTTCAGTTCCTGGCACCCTCTGTTTTCATAGCTATTTCGGCTTGGCGTTTTTTGTGTGGCATGAAGATACCCCCCAGTCTCTGGGGTTGACGATGATGACCGACGAACACTGTCTCATGCTTCTTGGCTCCTTTTGTTTGTCATATTATGTTTCTCATATACATCTGTTCTGTTCTCATATATGTTCTATTTCATGTCTCAAAAGCACGCTCATATCCCGTCTTGTATTTAGCGATAAGCTTAGCCTTGCTTTCCATTTGGGAATATAATGACTCGACCGTTCAATGTTCAATATCACATATTTAACTCGCCTTATACCCTTATTCATTCTCGTCGTCATCCGCAGCTAATATCCTCTTCCGCCGAATATCACGCATAACATTAACCCCATCTTCCTTACAGACCACCGCCTCTTTAGCCCTCTTCCTCTCCTCCCTCTCATACCGTTTCTGTATATGTCGATAATCCCTCTCTTCCCGCTCAGCCCTCCTTTTCACCCTCCGCTCAGCCCGTTCCCTATCCTCAATAACCTTGAGATCCCCCCTCTCCGCCTCGGCCCGTAACTGCTCGATTTCCTCATCGAGTATAACCCACGGCACAGCGAGAACCTCGACTAGAAACTGCAACCGCTCATCGACGAATTGCATTTCGGCATTCGTGTCTCGGATCAGCGTGAACCGCTCTAGATTCAATTGCATCGTAGATCGGAACCGGGATAAAGTACCCTTGACTCTGACCGTCGTGCCGGGTCGTAGACAGGTAATGTCGAGGACTGTACGGTCTGTAGCAGAGACGTGCTCTGTCTGATTGACCTGTGCTGTCGTGTCGGTTTGTCCCGATGCGTCCAAGGACGTCTGGGCATCAGCCTCGGGTTTTGAGATAACCGATGCCTGGGAGCTGTCTGGCTGTGTCTTTTCCTTCTCTTTCGGATCAGATTGGAGGATGCAGACGTCTATTGTGGCACCGCTGCTATCGTCTAGCGTTAGGATGGTGCGTTTGGTGATTTCCGTTCGGGCTACGATCACGCCGACGAGGCTGACGAAGCGGATTGGGTGGTTCTTATAGAAGAAGATTGTTTGACCTGGAGGATATTAGCAATAATCCATTTAGAATGTGGTTTATTTGTGGAGAAGGACGAGAAGAACAAGGCGTCATTCGTTACAATAAAGACCCAGTCAAGATCTCTAGCTGGGGCCTCGGGAGAGGCTATCTGCGGACAAGGGTATGCATAAAGAAAGTCCCAACGCGCTAGCTGGGCATATATCTACCACCTCGGAAAAAGCAAAGTGATGAATGAAAGAAATAGTGGGTCCATACCTTCAAAGTTTCGTGGTCTCTGTAGTCGATGGACATCTGCAGCTGCCATCTTCACCCAGGTGAAGTGCGTTGGCGATGCTTTGAAGCAGAACGCGGGGTAGAAGACAGGGTCCGCATCTTGGTATGTCGCCATCGGATCATTTTCTCGTTTGCAATATGGTTTTCATGTAAAGGCTTGAGTTGGATGGAAGGAGGAATAGGGTTTCATGAGTCGCTGGCGATGTCGTGGAGGAGGATGCGCGGGGTCACGTGGGGCTGAGTATATCCGACGCGTCTGACTTCATTAGCGCTGTCACTCTACCATCCTGGAGTACTTTATGATTGATTACATGCTGACCCTTGAATACGATGACTGGCGGGGAAATATAGTCTACAGAGTAGTTTCTTCTGAAGAAACCGATTGTATTGCTGCCAAGGAGCAATGATCTCATTTATTCCTAGGGTCCTCTATCTAATATAACGGCGTCTCCCCTTCCATCATCCTCTTCTTCGGATTCCGCGCAATCTGCTCCTGTCTCCTCTTCTCCTCAGGGCTAATGTCATCTACATTCGTCTCTTTCTGTCCTTCCCCCAACGCAGCCCTAACCTCCGCCTCACCATCCTCATGGCCAGCAGTAGCAACCGTCAAAATCTCCCTCTCAAACCCACCCACATGCTCCCATTCAATCCCCGCCGCCGTCAACATCTTACACCCCTCCGACTCCCCGACAAACGTCCCAGGCTCCTTCACCCCAAAAAACACCTTATGGATACCAGCCCGCCCGCCCTCGCGCGTCCGCGTAATGCGCTGCACGCACGGCGCATTTCCCGACAATCGCTTCCCGCAGGGCTCCATCGTAACGTACATGATGAGCTTTCGGCCTGGTTCGGCGGGTAACACCGAGGCGACTTGGTCTTCGGGGACGTTGTGGACGGCGGCGAAGTTGGCGAAGCAGCATTGTTCGGCGTGGGTGTTGCCGGCGAGTTCCATTGTGTACCCCGTGGAGAGGATTTGGTCCTGCGACCCGGTTGGGTCGTCGTCTTTACGGGAGAGAAGGATTGCTCCGACGCGGAAGTTTGTTGGACGTGGTGGGGATTGTTCGGCCAGGGAGATGCATTTTTGCATGTAGGTTGCGTGAGGGGTTGGGTTCGTCATTGTGGTAGTGGGGGGTTTAGTTCGTTGGACTGCGGTGGTAGTAGAGAAGGGTGTGGCGTAGATTGGTCGACAATTGTAGGTCCTTTGAGGCAATGACCTTTTCGAAAGGTATAGAGAAGTATAGAAGATCGTCGTATGGAGATACAGTTGGGCTGAGATTCAAAAGTGGGATGCTTACAGCTCCCAAACGGAAAGCGGGGAGCTCCAGCAGAACGATGACGGAATGGGTCCGGCGCGTCGGATTCGCGTAAACTTAACCCGCGCCGCTCACCTGCTAAAGTGCTACTTTATTTTTCCAACCAGTCAATATCACCCAATTTATTCCCATTTAAGCACAGATTCTCAATGGCGAAAGGCGCAAAGACAAAAGACGTCGACGAGCAGCCGCCGTCAGTCAAGGAAGATCTTTACAAGATTCTGGGCGTCGAGTCCAACGCAACTCCGGAGGCAATCAAGACTGCTTACAAGAAAAATGCTCTAAAGCACCATCCTGGTAAACCATTATCTCTGAATGCTCTGACAAAATATGTATAGACACCAGCTAATTACTATAGTATAGACAAGGTCAGCGAAGATGTCCGCGAAGAAGCTCATAAGAAATTCCAGCAAATCGCCCTCGCCTACGGTGTCCTCTCCGACGAACGGCGCCGAAAGATTTATGATCGCACCGGCAGCACCGACGAGGTCCTGGGCGAAGATGGCGACTTTGACTGGTTGGATTTCTACCGCGAGCAGCTTTCCGCAATGCTCGATACCCGCGCCGTGTCTGATTTCCAAAAGAAATACCAGGGCTCCGACGAGGAGAAGAAGGATTTGCTTGAAGCCTATGAGCAGCACGAAGGTGACATGGATGGTATCTATGACTCTGTGATGCTGTCAAACGTGCTGGATGATGATGAGCGCTTCCGGGCCATCATCGACCAGGCCATTACCGACGGCGAGGTGGAGAAGTACACAAAGTACACCGAAATGTCCGAGAGCAAGCGCCAACGCCGAGTGAAGCGTGCCCAGAAGGAGGCTAAGGAAGCCGAGAAACTCTCCAAGGAGGTTGAGAATAACAAGAAGAAAAAGGTTGCCGCGGCGGCCAAGGCATCCAAAGCTACGAGCGGAGGCGGTGATGATGATCTGCTTGCACTTATCACCAAGCGTCAGCAACAACGTGGACAGGGCTTCCTTGCTCAGCTGGAGGAGAAGTATGGTCAACCTAAGGGCAAGAAGCGTGCTCCTGTTGATGAACCATCGGAGGAGGCGTTCGCTGCTGTTGGTGCCCGCAAGAAGTCCAAGGATGCGAAGCCCAAGGCCAAGAAATCTGCTAAGCCGTAACTGATTCCACTGTACTGCACTTTCCCACCATGATTTGTATGACGTTTTTTTGAGCGTTTTTCTTTTGTTTTGATGGTATTTGGGTGCTGGGGAGTCTGTTTGAGCTTGCATTTAGTCTGGTCTGATCCACAATCTGATTCCCTTTTTGCTTCTTGAGTACCTGGTGCTTGGTAGTGTCGTAGGAGAAACTCCGTACTTTTTGTTAGTCTTCGTATATTTCTGATTTCATTCCACAGTCTGTATTCGTGAATGTAATTCGCTTTCTTCTCGTCCCGATGAATCTGGTGCTTAGTATGGGATCGGGTCAAACTCCATAGTCCTCAATTGAATGCATTTCTCCAACCAATCCATGGAGATATTCCATTTTCTGTTTTCTGGTGTTTTGTTTGGAATTGCATTCAGCTTGGTTCGAGTCTTTTTGGCGCACATTTTCGTCTGTGGTCGTGCCAATGGCCTATATAGAGCCCGCTAGGATAGTCGCAATGAAATGCGTATATTCCGGTGCTTCAAAGTCATACCCTCGATGGAATAGGAGCCATTGAATCCGATCAACCGTCGCAATGGATTAGGCAAGTGTACGGCCTGTTATCCGGGGCCGCGAAAAGAACTGGTGATCCGCTTTGTCGTTGCCTGGTCGTTGGGTCCCGTTGAGACGGGGTAGCTTCACTTCATAAGGCGCCTTCTTGAACTGCTTTTCTTCTTGACACCCCCATTCAAACGTTTCCCCCAACCTCAATCGCTTCTCCATATTCTTCCAGACGTGTTGGCCATCATCAATCGCTTTGCCACACCCTTCCAGGCGTTGTCCCCATCCTCAATCGCTTCTTGACATCCTTTCAAAGCGTTTCCGACGACAGTGCCGTCTCATTCCAGTCAATCTTCTCATTCTTCACGGCTCCCCGCGTTGTCCCCAGTATTCTGTGCCTGTGCATGCCAGCCGCGAGCTGCAGCCACTGAGTGTTCTGGAATCCTTCGCTTGGCTGACCTAGCGCAGCTGATCAGGGTTCACCCCTTGGGTGCAAAGACCTTATCGTTCATAAGCCGGGCGATCAGTCTCCACATTCCTCTGCCACGGAGGCTTCTCGTTGGCTGACTGGCGTACCGAGCTCCCCACAGGTCAAGCCCGCCGCAGGCGGAACCGCACGAGATGTCGTACCAAGCTGACAGCCGAGTCTCCCCCACATCTTCCTCTTCTCCAGACGCTGATACTGAGACTGAACACGTCGAATACGTTCAACTCCAGGATAATCAGCCTTCCCCAGCTGCTGAGACTGAACACGAGGAATACTTTCAATTCCAGGATCACCAGACTTCTCCGGCTGCCGAGACTGAACACGAGGAATACGTTCAAACCCAGGATCATCAGCCTTCGTCGGAGTCCTTGACCCTACCTTCCCGACCGTGGGGGTTCCTAAGCTTGCCCCGTGCGGTTCAGGACATACTCGTGCCCCCGCCGGTTGAAAGTGGCCATCGTCTTCGCCGATCTGGCTCGCGGTCGAGACGTGGAGCTCGAAGCCCTGTTGAGCCATTCGTTCCGTCGCCGTTACGGATTGTATCGTCTGCCATGTCTGCAGCAAATTCTCCAGAGAGAGAACAGGCTAATACTGAGGATGTTCGGCGTAGATCATTCGATCAGCCTACGCCAGACGACCGTCAAGCTCCCGCTGCTCAGGGACCTGGAATTGATGATGATGATGCCAAGTCAGATATCTCAACAGTTTCGTCGGAGAAGACGGGGTCGAAAAAGAAAACTGCAGGACGAAAGGCAATGGCCGCTGTGATGTCGGGTTTGGAGGGGCGGTTGTTTCCTCGAAGTTTGAGTCGTGGGCGAGAGTCCAGTCGGGGATCGTCAAGTCGGGAGGTTTCAAGTCGCCGGAGTTCCTCGTTGGACTTGCATTCTCCCTCATCCGACGCACGGCTTAGTCGTTCTGTTTCCCCCACCAACCGTTCCTTTCAACCTGAATCTCAACCCATCACCCCCACCACCTCCAACACAGGAAACTCACTCAAGATGGAGAGCACTCACAATAAATCCGACGAGGCCCTGGTTAAACCCTCTGGTAGTATGCCTACCTACGTGAAGCCAGCTGAACATGGCGAGTCTGGAGAGCGCCTCGCGAAGGACGTCTTCGATCGTGACAACAACCTCATCGAAAGCAGCAGCGATGACGACGATGATGAAAGCGACGATGAAGATGACGACGACTATGAGGGTTCTGGAGACGACGAGCCTATTCCCGGAGTGACCTTCGTGACCGTCGGTCGAGGCCGCAAGGACAAGAAGCGTGACGACATCACCAGCATCACCGCCAGCGACTTCAACAAGCCAAAGGACGCCAACCTCAATATCACCGAGCAACGTAAGTGCCCATCACTCTCTACCACCCCGCATTCTGCCGTATACTGATACAATATTTTAGAGCCATCGGCCCCCAAGCACAACATCCCCGGCATGGACAAGAAGCCGCGAAAGTCGGTTCTGAAGACAGTCATTCGTCCTCAGACCAACTACGAGATCCCCACTCCACGCGCCCGATCTGCAGCTGGTACTCCATGCGGATCAGATGACGAAGAAGAAGAGGCCGCTATCAACCGTGCCCAGGGACTCAGCATCTACGTGTCCACGATCGACAACCGCGTGCCCAACCGCTCCATCCGCACGATCGTCCGTGGTGAGTTTGACGAGATCCAGAAGGAAGCCGACGAGGGTCGACGCCGCCAACGCAAGTACCTCGTTGCCACCGATCTCAGCAAAGAGTCTGAGTACGCCCTGGAGTGGACGATCGGCGGTCTGTTGCGCGACGGCGACACCATGTATGCGATCTACGCCATGCATGAGGATGCTGCCGCCTCCGCCGTCCAGGTCGGTGAAGGTGCCAAGGCCATGCAAGACACCATGGCCGTCGTTGGCAGTCAGACCAAGGAGGTCTCCCGTGCCGGCACTCTCAACCTCTTGGGCCGGTTGAGCTCCGGTGTTGCCAGCAAGGCTGGCTCTGTTGATGCGCGTGCCTCTCCAGCTGCGGAGGCAGAACGAGTCCGAGCAGTCGAAAAGATCTCGGATATGTGCATCGGGCTCCTTCGAAAGACGGGCTTGCAAGTCCGCATTGCCGTGGAAGTCATCCACTGCAAGAGTCCGAAGCTGATGATCACTGAGGCCGTAAGTAAAGACCGAATACCTCACCTTGAACTTATATAGCTGCGAGCTAACACTTCTTTCTAGATCGACGAGCTGGAACCGACCCTCGCAATCGTGGGTGCTCGCGGCCAAAGTGCCTTGAAGGGGTGAGTCTCTCTGATCTAGATACTTGGATATTACCGGAACTAACCAATTACAGAGTGTTGCTCGGCTCCTTCTCAAATTACCTCATCTCCAACTCCTCGGCTCCGGTGATGGTTGCTCGCCACAAGCTCCAGCGCCAGCTGCCAAAACAGCAGGCGAACGCGAGACTCGCCAACAACCTCAACCCCTCCAAGAGCCTCTTGGAGAAGCTTGAGGCTGAGGCTAAGGCTGAGGCCAAGGCCAAGGCGAAGGCGAAGGCCACCACCGGGGCCGCGGGGAAGGCGGTGGTAAAGGTGGAGGAGAAGTCGGAGGAGAAGGCCAAGGAAAAGGCCAATTAAGCACGACACATAGATCGTGCTCCAGCATTGTTTTGAAGGATGGGTGACGAGGCACCTATCCTTCTGTATGATTACACGACACAAAGGCATGGACAAGGGGTTCTGTTGAGTATTTTTATTTGTTTTATTTCTTACCCCCATGTTCGACATATCTTGATACCCTGATTGTCATGCCCTGATGACCTCGTTTCATCATGATTATTATGATTTCTGCCTTTCTTTATTCGAGTTTTAGTCTCACTACGTAGCAACCATAGTCCAACGTAGCCAGATACCGTCTTAGGTTCTAGGTAAGGGGCACCGCGCTTGCAAGTATCATTAGTAGATCTTTCGACCTGCGGTCAAGATCAATTTTGCCTGGAAAAGGGCTCCCTCACACAGATCCTGCACGCTTCCCGGTTATGAAGTGGCCTACTATTCAGTAACAGAGGGGTATGCTTATGCACATAATACTGATCATTTACTTGCAACTCATCTTCAGTAAGTTGATGAGAGATTCAAGGGTTCTATTCCCAGAAACGTAATGCGAGCATGCATTGAAGCTGTTGTATTTAACAACATTGCAAATTCGAAGCAGCTTCGAGACAGGACATGGGAGCTGTCGAAGCATGAGCTATCAACTTAGAGTCCTCGATTCTAAAATTGTTCACTACTGTTTAATCTAGTTTATAAAGGAGTTGCTACATTCTGCGTATTGTTGGATGGTAATAGATTGATCGTAAAATGTTATGTTATTTATGTTAAATCACAATTTCCCGTGGCAGCCTCTGCATTCACATAAAGACCCAGGGAAAAATAGCCACAGAAGTAGCTACAAAAAAACCTGAGCCAAGGCTGCCGATATGTACGAAAGTTTCGATATAAGAACGAATCTCATACTAGCCACTGCAAAATATGGTCCGATGCAGAGTGCTAGACTCATTTAGAGGAAGTGCTGAGGCACGTCAGTTTCCATCACACTCAGTTAAGCGAAAGACCTCCCTTAGAGGCAATGGGGGAGGGATTTCTTACAGGGATGATTCCACCAAAGTTGCAGGCCAAGGAAACAACTTGTCCAAGACCAGCAAGGACTCCACCTCGGCCGTACGTAGCAGCATTATCGTCGAGGCACTTGAAAGTGGAGCAAGAAACCGAGCTGCCCGTGTTGCCGGTGTTGAACTGATCGAGCAACCGGTCGATGCACGAGTGCCAGGCCTGAGCTTCAGCAGGGGAGTACTTGTTCTGCTGCTGAGAGTATTGCCATGGCTGCTGCTGGTACTGCTGGGGCTGCTGCTGGTACTGCTGGGGCTGTTGCTGGTACTGCTGAGCCCCGCTGTACTGGGCAGAGGCAGCAGCGGCCAGGGTGGCAATAGCGGCGATGGAGAACTTCATTGTGATAGCTGTTGGATAATTAGAGAATGAAGTACTGGATAGTTTGGACTTGGACGGAATCGTACAGTGTAGATTTGAAAAAAGAAGCTTGAGCTTGCTTGGAGTAGTGGATGATGATTGAGGATGAGATGTCTGTGATGATGGACATTCGAGGGTCATTGACGAGGTATTTATAACATTCTGTTCAGCCAGATGCTTCTGATCAATGGCCATCATCGTCCTCGGTGAGACCGATGTGATCAAGTCCAAGTTTCTCATTGCATAACGTGAAGTCACAGCTGCACCAAGCTACATGGCTCAGCTCGCCACAAAAATGCAAGCTATTGAAGCCATTGAAGCGCTTTATGCCGTGTCACTGGAGATCTTCTGCTTTCCTTGGAAGTTTGAAGTACGTTAATTGCCTTTGAGGTGAGGATATTGCTTCTGTACCATCAGGATTCATCACAATTCCCCCCCTCGAGGCGCCGTGTTGTCACGGTATGCCTCTCCTTGCCGAATTTGAAGCAAGCTCATGCATTTTTGCTGTGAAGATACTGCTTCTGTACGACCAATATTCATCACGGGGCCCATGTGAGCACAATATCGTCCCGGTTCGCTTCTCAGGCAAAAGGATTCTATCTCAAGGCAGGGAATCATGCAGTTTCCAGGACTGTAGGTTTCAGCAAGCCACCATTTGTCTCACCTTGCTCTAGAATACATCTTGACCTAGCTCGTACATCCACGCACCTAAGAATGCATAGCTCCCATTCGATACTGACTGGACAAATTTTGTAGCATTCTACTAGGAAAAGTCTTGACGTACAACGATTATCATTGTATAAAGGAGATTGAAAAATCATACAGATTAAGTACAAACTTGAGCATCTTACGAAGTTGAACCGTTTCAGAAAGACATAACATGGTGGGCAGCTTGGGATACCGTTGGGGATATCATGCTGGAAATCGCCACGGCACATGCTTAGGTGCACATAACCAACAAGCCAGAAGACCAGATGTGACATACGTAATAAAGTTCTGTCACAATTCTGTCATGCTTGATATTGGCATAAATAGCGCACGTAATGTTAGGTGGACGCGGAGTAGGACCATTTACGAGGGCAATTTGGAGGCTGGCTGTCTTGCATAACATGCTTGCCCAAGACTAGGATCTACATAGATGTCCCTGAGAACCTAAAATAAGATCTACTTTACATCTCAACCGCATTTTCCTCGTATTGATCAGTCACTCGGACTTAGCATCCAGCATCGAAACCGAATGATAAGTGCTTATTGTGTCATCTTGCTCCCACTGCAATGGAACCAATCCTGGGCATGATCCTGTCGAAGGACATTGTTTGGGATAGACAGGGTAGAAATTAAGAAATTAATGATCCATTTTATACTATTTTAAGTAGTTCTCTATTCAATTTATAAAGATCCTTCTTACATTAAACTATTACTACTACATTTCCTTTTGACACCACTTTTAACACCTCTGATTAATACCTCTCATTGGTTAATTTATGGAATGATTAACGAAAGAAGAAATCGATCAATCCGCTTACCTTTACTTGTCAATTATCATTGTAAACAAAGATGAAGTTAGCTAGCCCCTCCGAAGATTAGTCTGCCCCCTCAGTGCCCGTTGAGGAGCTGAGCTTCCTGCAATACTGTGCATTAAAGAGAGTTTAGGGGATTCCTGAAGAAGAACTAGGTTCCACTGCGCGTTTGCTGTCACAAAAAAAAGCAAAGGTTCAATTTGCCTGGGGCCCCAGCTTCTGCAGCGTTACACAAACGACCCTCTTGGCCCACCATCGTTTAGAATTGACCTATCTAAGCCTTCGAGTCCCACCCCGAGATCGACCGAACGCTAAGCCATGACTGTTGCAGAACCCCGCAAGGGGCTTTAAGGTACGGCACGGGTATACCCGTCCACCTTGTGATGGGATGGCTGAAATGATGCTCGTTTACGAGGTGCATACTTACTGCATCGACTGCGACCAAGAATGAGCTACCATTTCGAAAAACTAACTATGATCCTTTTTGCTCCTTGCTCTGGTGGTTGCACTGGAAGTGAATTTCTTTTTCTTTTTCTATATCCATTACTGGCATGGGAGGCAAAGTCTTCCTTCGAGAATGGGCTGGAGGACAGCTGATGCTCCATCTGGAGATTTACAGCAAAGAGTTTGTACCAAAATCTTCGCTATAAATACGCCTTTCTAGTCTAGAAAGTTGTCTCTTTGATCAGGGCATTCTCATTTTAAGTTCTTCTGCCATCATGGCAAGAATCACTGCGGCGCTCGCATTTTCATTTGCGATTTGCCTTTCTGCAGCCCAAACCACTCCGGCTCCAAGTAACTACCGAAGGTACACCCTTGACGATATTATTCCCACTACCGACCCAGCTTCTGGCCACGTCAAATGTTGCCCACAAGGAACGGAGTTTGATGGTCAGGCTTGTGTTCTCAGTACCCCGATTTGTCCCAATGGTAGTACCCAGGATGGCGAGACTTGCGTCTTCAAGACAAAGCCATTCTGTGATGCCGAATACGAGTTCAAGGATGGATTCTGCGTCACCGTCAAGCCTCCTGCTTGTAGTGGTAACACGATTCTTAAGTACAACCACTGTGTAGTCGAAGGTTCAGCAGAATGTGGTCCTGGTTATCTACTGCAGGGAAACGTCTGCGTGTCCCTGAAGCCGCCCGTGTGTCCCGATGGCGAGCACTTCACTGGCACCAGCTGTGCCTCTATCCAAGGTCCCAAATGCCAGGATGGAGCCCGACTCGAGGGGGGCGTTTGCGTCGACAGTCAGCCTCCAAGCTGCCCCAAGGGGACCTCTCTCGATGTCGCATCCTCCCGTTGCATATCCGAGTCGGTGCCGGGTTGTCCTGAGAACACCGTCGTCCAGAATGGGCAGTGTGTCTCCAATAACAAGCCCTTCTGTGGTGATGGGGCCGTCTTCAATTCCAAGATCCAACTTTGCACTATCAACCAGCCCCCACAGTGCCCTGCTGGAACAGAGTTGGATGACAAAAAGTGCGTTTACACTGGCCAGCTGGCTTGCCAGCCTGGTACGACTGCTTCCATCGACAAGGCTCACGGTACTGCTCGCTGTTGTCCCCTTGGCATGACCTGGGATGGGAGCGTGTGCTCTACTAAGCCGGTCCAGGGCAAATGCCCCGATGGGAGCGAACCGATCAACGAACGCTGTGAGAAACACTCTAACCCTCCGCCAGAGTGCCCGCAGGGATACAAGCTTGACAGTTCTCGTTGTGTCTGGCAAGAGCCACCGTCATGCCCTCAAGGCTCTCGTTTCGATGGTGGTCACTGCATTATTACTTCGAAGCCACAGTGCCCTCAAGGGTTGGTATTGCTTGGTTCCGACTGTATCATCCAACAACCTCCATCTTGCCCTGATCAAACCAAGCTCGAAGGCAACAAGTGTGTTAGCTTTGTCTCGCCATCCTGCGACCAGTCCGCAAAGTGGGACGGTAAGCGCTGCGTTGTCAGCGGTCATGCATCCTGTGAGAATGGCATCCACAAGGGTGATGATTGTATTACTGGAACGCCGCCCTCCTGTCCTGACGGTTCCACCTTTGATGGTGCGCGATGCGTGTCAAACTCCACCCCCCAATGCCGTCAAGGTACTATCCTCGGTGAGGATGGATCATGCCTGACTCCAACACCCCCTCAATGTCCCCCCAACACCCACCTCCAGAATGGCTACTGTGTCTACGGTCTGCCTGTCTGCGCTATAGGGCAGAAATATACCAACGGACGTTGTGAGAGCGTCGAGTCCCCACAGTGCGCGCAGAACTTTGTTTGGAAGAGTGGCCGGTGCATCCGTATTGACGAGGTACACTGTGAGCCCGGATTCACCCTCAAGGACGGTCAATGTGTTTCCGTTGCAGTCCCTGACTGCGGTGATCTTGTTTTCAATGGAAAGGCGTGTGTTCATGGCAAACCAATCTGTCCAGAAGGTACCTATCTGGATGGAGAACGCTGCTCTTCGGTCCATGAGCCACAATGCCCTCAAGGATTCAAGTTCGATGGAAAGAAGTGCTCCGCCTACCAGACTCCTCAGTGTCCCCCCGGATCTGTCTTCGACAAGGCCACCCAGGATTGTATCTCTACCAAGACGCCCGAGTGTCCCTCAAACCAGAGATTCAATGGCAAGCATTGTGCCATCATTACTGGAGAGTGCATGGAGTTCGAGTACTGTCCCACTGAATCATACGGAAAGGGATGCCGACGTACTCCGCTGGGAGTTGTGTGCGATGGATCTCAATCCCAGGAACGGCAGGATCCAGTTCTCCAAGGAAATCCGGGCAATCTTCAAGGTCAGGGCAACATTCCTGGAGGGAACCAGCAGCCAATTATTGATTCCAACCCAGGCCCATGGCAAGAGCGCCCACAGTATGGTACTGGAAACCAGGGTGGACAAGGCTGGACTCAGCAGCCTGCCACCGGGCCGACATATGGTGGCAATTGGAATGAGCGGCCTGGTCAAGGCAGTCAGGGCAGTCAAGGTTGGGCCCAACAGCCGAACATGGTGCCCAACTATGGTGGTAACTGGAACGAACGACCGGGGACCGGGGCTTCTCAGCCAAACTATGGCGGTAACAGGAATGAGCAGCCGGCGCCGCGCTAAGGACAGTCAAGTATTGGGTTGAGCGGCCAGCTGCCTCTTGAACAACTCGTTCAGGCCAGTAAACCAGGATAAGGTATCCAATGCTAAAGATTAACAGACTGGTTTCTGCAACAGAGGGTCGTTTCTGAAGTAGCAGAGGGCATTCACGTTTTCGCTGACAATTGTCGCTCTTTTTCTGGCTGAATTTGGGTTTACTTTGTTGATCGCAGCTTCGCTAGGATTGTTCGCTCCCTCTTCAGCCTTGTTGTTGTCTTTACCTTCAGGACTAGTCACTCGTTCTCAATTCAGATCCTCCAATCATCTCCATGGATAGTATGGATCGTAAGGTCGATTATTCGATCACCCATAAATCCATGAATATACCTCAACATGATAGTAACATCAAAATTCTGTAAAGCTCGGCTTGAGCAAAGTTCTAGTTTATGGGGAACCGATCTATTCTATTCTTTCTTTATCTAGATTACCCAATCTCCTAAATCACATTCTTCAGCTGCTGTCCAGCCAAGAACCGTCGTAGATTATCCGCAATCAACCCCTCACAACCCTGAGGTCTGCCACCAGCAGCGTGAGGGGAGAGGATAAGGTTCGGCGTCTTATAAAGTCTGCTAGATTCGGGGAGAGGCTCTTCCTTGAAAACATCCAATGCTGCTCCGGCAATCTCACCCTTCTCCAGGGCATCCGCGAGAGCATCTTCATCGACCGAAACGCCACGACCCACGTTGACAACCCAAGCATGCTTAGGAAGCAGCTTCAATCTCTCGGCATTCAGGACGTCGACCGTTGAATCGGAGCCAGGCAAGATCATAACAAGAGCGTCCGTCTCGGGGAGAAGCTCGGGAAGCTTGTCCTCGGCGTAGACTTCAACGCCATTCCGCACGCCCTGACTCCGGGCAATTCCTCGAACGTTGGCTCCGAGGGCTGTCAAGTAGGGAGTGAGGGTCTTCGCAATACTTCCAAAGCCCCAGATGAGCACGCGAGAACCGCGCAAAGTGGTGAAATCAGAACGCGGGAACGAGCCGCCCAAATGGCCGGGCCACTTGGACTGCAGTTGATAGTCGCGCATTTCGTAAAAGTGTCGTGCTCCGTTGAGCAACAGGCCGAGAGTGTGCTCTGCGACGGGGTAGTCATGTAGACCGACACCGGTGGTGATGATGGTTGTGGAAGCGTCGAAGCCAGCGGATAGGACATCGTTGGGACCGGCGGCAAGAGACTGGATCCATTTCAGGTTCTTCAGACGCTGTGCGGCATCCTTGAGGTTGTCTGCGCTGTTGGCCCAAGTGACCAGAATGTCGGCGTCGACGTGTTCCTCTGGGATGGAGGACTTGACATCATAGGGGTGGAGAGAGACGGAGAATCCCTCCAGACTCTGGACGTCGAGTTTCACGGAGGTAGGGTAGAGGAGCTTCATGATGATAGAGCGAGGGTTAATAATGATAGGTATATTTAATGATAGACGAAGATGAAGGAGAGGAAGATCATCTCACGACCCTTTTTTTCCCATCGGGTTTGAATTAGTGCGGGGATGCGTGGGGGTTCTTCGTGTCTCTCGGTTTATGTAAGTCGCTCCCCCGCGGGCATTTCCCGGCTTCGGGGGAGCTCTTCGGTCTTCGGTCCATCGGGATAGGACGAGCCGATTTGGATGTGAATGTCTGGCTGGTGCATTTTTACATGTATCTTTGGCTGGCTGTACTTAATCCGTTGAAGACCTTTTGTATAGGCTGAAAATCAACTCTCTCAACGCAACTATATTCACGATCGACTGAGACAGTAAAAAGGTCGGAGAAACTCCGGGGTCGGGCTTGTGGCGGCACATCTGTGCCACCTTTTCCACCAATGGTAACGCAGAGATTCCGGTATATAGTCAAAAGTATTCATCTGGGACTGAGCGAATGTAATATATGAATTCTTACCTCGCAAAAAAAGAAACTCTATCTCCATGAGTTGAACTCACGACCTCTCGCTCCTTATGTACTTCACGACGATGCTTCATGAGCCCGCGACATCACATCATTGCCGCACCGAAGAAACAAGACACATTAAAGCCATCAGATTACCTTTTGAATAAATTTTAAAAGAAGGGACATATTCTACATGATCTGGTGATCACTTTGATTTAGATAAAGTATAATCAAAAGGCTGTTAAAAAGGAGAAATCCCGTAAGGTAGTCAGACTTAAAAAACTTCACCCGCGCACCTCCATAGAACAGTTACGTCGCCGAACCCACCGAAGTGACTACTAGTCACCTAGTGATAAAACACTAGACAACCGGGCAGGATCAGTTGCTGACTCCAACTGGAAGTAAATGATAACACCTCATGCGATTCCTACCCCCCGCTACCGCCACTGGTTGGAGGTGGTAACTACAGTGACGACTGGAAATCTGCACTATTATCACCTTAGGAATTAAAGATATCCGATCCTCCAGTCTATGCATGCTTATGCATTATGCTATCTCCAAGTTACGCCTATTGGCCACCATTCTTGCTGCTGGCCGTCCTTCCAGTTTCTCAGCCTCCTCGCATACCCCACAACTATTTTAATACAAAACATATGGTATGAAGCCATACATTGCGAAGAGCCGCTAATTTAACCCTTCTCTCGACTCTTCGCCCCTGATCGCACTGGATTTTTAACTGAATGTCGCCCCCTAAAAACTGGCCGCGAATGAACAGATGATCATGTTTTAAATATACGGGCCATGGATTCCCGGCAACTATCCACCGCGGAGGCTGCAGCCGCCCAGCTTCATATCGTCAGCCTGGGAAGTTCATTTGCCGCTGGTCCTGGAATACACCTCCAAGAAGACCCTTGTGCTGCCCGACGATCTACAAAGAATTATCCCCATCTCCTGGCAGCCTCTTTGAATGCCAAGCTCACTGATTTGACCGCATCGGGGTCAACTTTGCTCAACATCACCACGGAGCCACAATCTGCCCCATTCTCCAAAGCCACATTCGCACCACAAATTTCAAAGATACCATCCGACGTGAATATCATCACTATAACTGCCGGTGGAAACGACTTGGGTTATATCGGTGGCATTTTTAAAGACGCCTGGGATAATTCGTTACTGGGGAAAACAATCAACCTGTTCATACATGCCGTCCGAAAGATCGCTTCGGCCTTTGGGTCCTCCAAGAGTGAATCAGTAGCGAACTTGTCGCCAGACGGGCTAGTCACCCGACTGGGTTCCGTTGTTGATGAGATACACGAGCGATTTCCTGAAGCCCGTATATTCCTAGTTGAATATCTCGCTGTTTTCGGCCCGGCGACCAAGCCCAAAGTGGATGTTGGGTTGAGCCAGGAAAGAATCGATCATCACCGCAATGCCGCTTCTGCACTTCAATCAGCATACGAAATAATCGCCTTGACTCGCTCTGAATGGTGTACGAGGGTACCAATGCATACGATCAGTCAAACACATGCTCTGGGTAGCGAGGAGCCTTGGGTAGAAGGGTTCAGCATGCAGTTGTTGTTCCAACGCGGTCCCATGTTCCATCCGAATCTGAGGGGAATGGAATCTGTGGCAAGTCATCTACTTGATTTGATAAAAAAGAAGAATTGAAGAAGGCTTGTTTTCGATTAAAGCCATGAGGATGATTTTGCGATAATTGATGGCGAAGGGAAGATATTACCAAGGACATTGGCGCAGATACTAGGGTAGGGTCAAAGTTATATAATCTACGTCGATTCTCTTTCACTCAAAATAGCCCGTGTCGCGCGTTCCAGCCGACTGGTCACTGTGAGTGGAGCGGCCTGCGGTTCTACTTGAAGGTGACCTGTGAAGTGCAAAGTACTAAAGGTGGCTCCTAGTAAACTAGGCCTTACGCCTCACTAAATGTAATGACCACTAGCAATAAACTTAGGGATTGCAGCTACGAAATACGGCGTTAAGATCGAAATAGGGGTATGTAAATGGCTACACGCTTTAGTATCTTAGAGCGGGAGATCAAGCAATGATGTAATCGAGATTTGCGAGTATGATTCTCACCGTAATGTAGCCACCAAAGGCTCCTATAATCAGCTAGCTTGCAAGGAGTCCAACTGTCCCCTGATCACATTAATTACCTCAACGTTCACGGATGGCTTCCCGTGGGCTTCCCGTGATCGGCTTTGGGGTTGGCTGATAAGCCTGTGAAACGGCTCAACCGGCTCCTCACCCGATGGATTTCCCCGCAGTGGCTTACGCTTTAACCCCAAGTAGCCATTCCGGTATAGCAAGTACCTGAGGGGGTGGCTATACTGGTCAACAATGTCGTCGGCTCTCCACACTATCAGCCGTCCACGCCGTGAATGATTCACAATGGAATCAAATATCTAATCCCCTCTCTTCAACAGTTGTCCGAGGGGTTCAAATGAACTCAATATGATAAACTCAATCTGTCCCCGTTCCATCGACATGTTATTAGTCTTCGCCACGGATTGCCCGAGCGGGAGTCGGGACTGAGTACCGGAGTCCCAAGGACGGCGGAAACGGCCATTATCAGCATGGCTTACGGCCGATTTAACTCCAACTTTCGTTATCGCCTTTCAAAATTAAGAGAGAGGAAAAAACCTCATATCAAGCAATCTCACTTCTCTTCGTGAACGTCTCATGGACCGACAATCTACGGGTCATTATCTTTGAGAAAGGGAAACATGCCCTGAATGGGTTAAGGGCTCATCGGATGGCCTCCCGGTCATATCTCATCCGTTATCTTGGCCACCGCCCCTCGTAACCTTAGCGTGGTCAGCCAGGTTTCCCGAGTCAGGAATAGCGAGAACGCCAGGAAGATTGGGCTATCATATCGATTGCACGCGAGGCTTTGACAAAGTTGCGGGGGAAGTGGAGACTTTGATTGGTGGAGTACCGCCTTAAAGTTGATATGGCGTTTTAGTCCGAAGGCTATCATGATAGCAAGACGAATAGGGTGGCGATTAGATTGTCGCCAGCCAACCATCCTGGTTGGAAGGTAAGGCTCAAGCGTTAGACCGTAGACTTATATGCAATTGTGATACCGGGATTCCATTTAAATAGAGGGCCATGTCACCGCGAATCTTCGGCGATCTTTAGTCACTTAACATCCATCCTGAGCGATCGGATTCATGATTTTCTATTATGGCCAGTTTCACAGAGAAACAAATACCAATGTTTGAGGAAAAAGGTGGCGACTCTGCCACTGAGTGTCAAGATGACCAACAAACCACTGGCGTTGTCATTGACAACACCGATCAGCTGAAACGACACCTAGGTAACCGTCAGATTCAATTGATCGCTATCGGTGGCTCCATTGGTACAGCGACCTTTGTGAGTATCACGTCCGGTCTTGTCAAGGGTGGTCCCGGCAGCTTGTTCCTGGCATACACCATCTATTCCTGCATGATGGGTCTGGTCAACAACTCCATGGCCGAAATGGCTGTCTATATGCCCGTCAGTGGTGCTTTCATTCGCATGGCTGGCCACTGGGTCGATGAAGCCTTTGGTTTCTGGGCCGGCTGGAACTTCTTTATTTACGAGGCACTCCTCATTCCATTCGAGATCTCGGCACTGAACCTCGTCTTGACATTCTGGCGGGATGATATCCCCGTCGAGGCAGTGGTAGCTGCCTGTATCGTCATCTACTTGTGCGAACTCACTTTCTTTCTCTGATTCTTAGTCTCTACCTTTCTTAGTTTCAGAGATTATGTGCTAACATAGTAGCGAATCACTAGTGTCCTTAACGCATTTACGGTCAAGTGGTATGGTGAAGCTGAGTTTTGGCTTGCAACTGGAAAAGTGCTGCTGATTCTCATTGTCTTCCTCTTCACATTTATTACCATGGTCGGTGGCAACCCTAAGCACGATGCTTACGGATTCCGCTACTGGAACAACCCCGGTTCCTTTGCCGAATATATCTCAACAGGTCCTTTGGGTCGCTTCGAAGGCTTCCTAGGAGCTGTTTGGAGTGCCTCGTTCACCATCGTCGGTCCAGAATACATGTCGATGGTGGCAGGAGAAACGAAACTGCCTCGACGCTACCTCAAGACAGCATTCAAGACGACTTATGTTCGCTTTGCCTTCTTCTTTATTGGCAGTGCCTTATGCGTGGGAATCGTCATTCCATACAACGACACAACACTGTTGGATATTCTCAGCGGGTCTTCAGGTGGCTCGGGAACGGCTGCCGCATCTCCATATGTCATCGCCATGAACCATCTGGGCATTACCGTGTTGCCCCACATCACGAATGCTCTCTTAGTGACCAGTATCTTCTCCGCTGGAAATGCCTACACATACTACGGCACCCGCAGTCTCTACGGCCTGTCTCTACAAGGCCAGGCACCCAAAGTCCTTCGCCGATGCACGAAAGCCGGTGTGCCTATCTATTGCCTCTGCATTGTCATTATATTCCCCTTCCTTGCCTTCCTGAACGTTTCCAGTGGATCCGCCCAGGTTCTCACTTGGCTCACCAACATTATCACCGCCGCCCAAGTCATCGATTACATTATCATTTGCGTGACCTATCTGTTCTTCTATCGTGCCCTCCGTGCGCAAGGCGTTGACCGGCGTACTCTGCCATACTATGGCTACTTCCAGCCATACTCCGCTTGGATTGGCCTGATTTGGATGACTTGTGTCGTATGCTGCTACGGCTATTCTACTTTCCTTCCAGGAAAGTTCACCGTGGGTGATTTCTTCACTTATTATACCATGGTCCTTGCCGCTCCGGTTCTTTTCTTCGGATGGAAGATCATCAAGCGCACCAAGTTCATCAAGGCGCACGAAGCTGATCTGATCTGGGACCGACCGGTCATTGATGCGTATGAGGCGACCTTCACCGAGTATTCACCAGGCTTCTGGACGGAGATTCTGCAGATGTTTGGACTTCGGAGGAAGAAGAAGATTATGCAGGAAGCCTGAAACTGGAGAACGTGAGTTCTTCTGGAAGCTACTTGTTGTTTGATGGGTCATGATGCCACCTCATGGTGGCTATGCTGTATATTGTATACTGTTTGAGCAGGATCTAGGCAGCCTACAATTATTTTGACAGGTTTCAATTTCTTGTATTTATTCACCTTGGTCGTAGCAATATCGTAAATGACGATATGGTAGAAACGGGAGATAAATTAAATTCGTAACGAGAGTCATAGGGCCTATAAAGGGGGTTCTCGTAAGCTGATAGATCGAGTGGTGCCCGAGCTGTGAACATCCAAGGTCTGCCCCAGGCCATACAAGTTTTGGGACGAAAATCCATAGTAAAACAAGCTTTGAAAAGCATAAAAATTGGTATATTTGATGCGGAGTTGTAAAGGTAACAAAGATTGATCCGGATGGAGCCTCCCCAGCCATTCGGCGGAGTCACAGTCGTCACCCATATCACGTGCCACGTCACCGCCCGAGCTCCAGCGTCCAGACAGCTTGGCCAACCCCCCGTCCCACCCTCTTGCTATCGACTACCCCCCATCCGACATTCTCTGTCTTGTGCTGTGTCCGTGGAGGATCTGGACCTGATTCGCCCGCCATGGCCGACTTCGTCGACCCCCGGATGACCTCCATCAAGCCCCGCATTCGCTACAACACTATCGGAGGTATCAACGGACCGCTGGTCTTCCTCGACAATGTGAGATCGGCCCTCAGCTCGGCCTAGAACTAACCGTGGAACACTTGCTAATCATGCATTGTCCCCAATAGGTCAAGTTCCCCCGTTACAACGAGATTGTGTCCCTGACGCTTCCCGATGGAACGGAGCGCTCCGGTCAGGTACTGGAGGCTCGAGGTAAGCTTGTCCCACTGCTAGTATGAGCTCTATTTGTCAGTCGGAGGCTAATATTCATTTCGTTTGATATAGGAAACCGAGCCGTTGTGCAGGTACGCACCGATACCGAACCATTTCCCATTCCCTTTACGACAGAGGTGTTAACATGACCAATTCGCGATTAGGTGTTCGAAGGCACTTCGGGTATCGATGTTAAGAAGGTATAAATCCCGGTCTGTATGGATTGCTATATTGATGAGCGCGCTGACTTTGCGATCAGACGAAAGTCGAGTTTTCCGGCCACAGCTTGAAGCTTGGTGTGTCCGAGGACATGCTGGGTCGTGTCTTCGACGGTTCGGGACGTGCCATCGATAAGGGTCCCAAGGTGTTGGCGGAGGACTACCTGGATATCAACGGACAGCCTATCAACCCGTACTCTCGAGTATGCGACGCCGTCCAGATCATCAGAAAGCTATGGAAAGCTAATTCAAACTGTTTAGGTTTACCCCGAGGAAATGATCTCCACCGGTATCTCCGCTATCGACACCATGAACTCCATCGCCCGTGGACAGAAGATCCCCATCTTCTCCGCCGCCGGTCTTCCCCACAACGAAATCGCTGCTCAGATTTGTCGTCAAGCTGGTCTGGTCAAGCGCCCTACTAAGGATGTTCACGACGGCCACGAGGAGAACTTCTCGATTGTCTTCGCTGCTATGGGTGTTAACATGGAAACCGCCCGCTTCTTCACCCGCGACTTCGAGGAGAACGGTAGTATGGAGCGTGTCACCCTGTTCCTGAACTTGGCCAACGACCCCACCATTGAGCGTATCATTACCCCTCGTCTGGCCCTGACCACCGCCGAATACTACGCCTACCAGTTGGAGAAGCACGTCCTGGTCATCATGACTGATCTGTCGGCTTACTGTGATGCCCTGCGTGAGGTTTCCGCTGCCCGTGAAGAAGTGCCCGGACGTCGTGGTTACCCCGGTTACATGTACACGGATTTGTCGACCATCTACGAGCGTGCTGGTCGTGTTGAGGGCCGTAACGGTTCCATTACTCAGATTCCCATTCTGACCATGCCTAACGATGGTATGAGAAAGCTCCCTCGCCTCGAAAAATCAACTTGTGATTGAAACTCTCACTAAATGACCGGTCGCTTCTCCAGATATCACTCATCCCATCCCTGATCTTACAGGTTATATTACCGAGGGCCAAATCTTCATTGATCGTCAACTTGCCAACAAGGGTGTCTACCCTCCCATCAACGTGCTTCCTTCGCTCTCACGTCTGATGAAGTCCGCTATCGGCGAGGGCCGTACCCGCAAGGACCACTCCGATGTGTCTAACCAATTGTACGCCAAGTACGCTATTGGTCGTGATGCCGGTAAGACAATACCCTGTCCTTCACCACTCGCAATCTGATTTCTAACGTATTTTGTTCTCTCACAGCCGCCATGAAGGCAGTCGTCGGCGAGGAAGCTCTTTCCTCCGAGGACAAGCTGTCTCTGGAGTTCCTCGAGAAGTTCGAGCGTACCTTCATCAGCCAGTCTCCATACGAGTCCCGCTCGATCCACGAGTCCCTCGACATTGCTTGGAACCTTCTCCGTGTGTACCCCAAGGAGTTGCTCAACCGTATCCCCAAGCGTGTCCTGGACGAGTTCTACGCCCGTTCCGCCCGCAAGATCGCCAACAAGGATACCCGCGACAACTCGAGCGAGCAGCAGCAGAGCGGCAACCTCATCGATGCGTAAATTTAGAAGTGTCGGCAAGTGTATTTTCTGGAATTTCTCGGGGGTTTTGAGTTGCTCGCGCTGAGGGGGAAGAAAGAAGCGCGTGGGTACCTGGGAATTCATACTCCCGTGGTCCCTGCATGATCATCTGTTCCCATTGCATATACTCTTCTGTGCGGTTGTATCTGTTTCCAGCTTTCTTTTTTTCGCTTTTATTTCGCGTGTCCTGGTCTACCCTCCCAATACAAATTTTGGATCCACATTATGACACATCCATCTCTCTGTTTCTTTTGAAAGACCCTTGTAGTGTCGTTTCAGTCGTCTTTCCTGACGACTTATGTATCATCTCGTGACGAAGGATAGAGTGATTCCACTATATAGTGGGAGAACGTAGACTTTTCTGCTCTGACAACACCATCTCTCTATATGGGACATCGGCCTAGCTATGAAGAGTAACAAAGAAAATATCAAGCATTTATTTTAGAACCCAATATGTACATGAAAGTTTTGATATCCGCATATCCATACCAATAGAGTGGGAGAAAGAAATCATAATACACGCTTTTCAGAAACCCCCGAGCAAAATCATCTAGAAGGGCTTGAAAAGTCATCAAAAAACCATTAAAAAGGAAAAATAAGACATAGAGCCGATATACCCAACTGGCCTCATAATAAATGAAAGACCGAGAGTACTCTGGCCCTGGAATCCAAGGGACTATAGAGGGTGCTGCACCGCTTAGAAACGCAGGTCCCAGCCGATCTTAGGACCCAGACGGGGCAGCTCATCGGCAACGCTCTGGACATCCTTATCACCGCGACCACTCAGGTTGAGAACAATGTTCTCACCCTTCTTCATGGTCTTGGCAATCTGCATGCAGCCCCAGACAGCATGGGAAGATTCCAAAGCAGGGATAATACCCTCGTGCTGGGCGAGGGCGCGGAAACCAGCAAGAGCCTGGCTGTCGTCGGCAGCGATGAAGGTGGCACGATCAGCATCCTTCCAGGCGCTCAGTTCAGGACCGACACCGGGGTAGTCCAGACCAGCGGAGATAGAGTGAGTCTCGGAGATCTGGCCATGTTCGTTCTGGAGGACGTAGGTGCGGACACCGTGGAGGACACCCTTAGAGCCACCGGACAAGGTAGCGGAGTGGCGGGGAGTATCGACACCATCACCGCCAGCCTCGACACCAACGAGCTTGACGCTGTGATCGTTGGCGAAAGGGTAGAACATACCGACGGCGTTGCTGCCACCGCCAACGCACGCGACAACTGCGTCGGGGAGCTTGCCGATAGCATCCTTCATCTGTTGCTTGGTCTCTTCGCCGATGACAGACTGGAAAGTGCGGACAATAGTGGGGAATGGGTGAGGGCCGATAGCAGAACCGATGATGTAGTGTGTAGAGTCAAGTTCGACAACCCAGGCGCGGAGAGCCTCGTTAACGGCATCACGAAGAGTACGGCTACCAGCATCAACAGCAACGACGGAAGCACCGAGTAGCTTCATACGGAACACATTAAGGGCCTGGCGACGGACGTCCTCGGCACCCATATAGACGGTACACTTCATACCAAACTTGGCGCAAACGGTGGCAGTGGCGACACCGTGCTGGCCAGCACCGGTCTCGGCAATAATTTGGGTCTTGCCCAGACGGCGAGCAATGAGAATTTGACCAAGGGCATTGTTGATCTTGTGGCTACCGGTGTGGTTCAGATCCTCACGCTTCAACCAGATATTGGCACCACCGACATGGTCAGTCAGGCGCTGGGCAAGATGAAGGCTGCTAGGGCGGCCCATGTAAGGATAGTATGAGCGGAACTCCTCCCAGAACTTGGGGTCGTTGCGGGCAATATCGAAGCCCTTCTCGAGCTCGGCCAAGCAGTCCATAAGGGACTCGGGGACATATTGACCACCGAACTCGCCGAAGCGGGATGGCTGTGCAGAGGGGTCCTTAGTAACATTCAAGGCTTCCAATTGATCTCCGAGGCCAGGGCCGGCGGGGGTGTCAGCCTCGGTGATAACCTTGGTAGGGGCAGACTCGGCATCAGGCAGGGCCTTTTGCACAGCTTCAATGATGTTGATCTCATGTGTCAGAGAACCCTGAGAATCACGCTCACGCTTACGACCAGTAACGCTAGAGAGGTATTCCTCAGCAGCCTTGGCGGCCTGACCGGCAGGAGCATTACCAACAACAGTGATGATCTGACTGCCAATGACGACACCCTCGGCAGTGTCCTGAACAGCCAGGAAGTGCTCACGAGTGCTAACGCCAAATCCAAGAGCAGCGGGGACGTTACCAGAGTATTCATGAACGCGCTTCAGGAGCTCAGGAATGTTGGCGCTCAACGTGCCGGTAGCACCAGTGACACCCATACGGGAAACGACGTAGATGAAGGAGTCGGCAATCTTGCACAAAAGCTTCATGCGAGACTCGGAGGTTGCAGGGGCGATCAGAGGGACGTAAGAAAGACTGTTTTTAGAAAGGTAGACAAATTAGTTACCTTTTCCAGTTCCAACTGCAATCAATCCAATTGACTTACCCAGTGCTAGCGCAAAGGTCACGGAAGCGAACGGCCTCCTCTGGTGGCAAATCAACCATGATGAAGCCATTGACACCGGCCTTCTTGCAGTCCTGGAGCATACGCTCCTCGCCATAACGCAGCACCGGATTGTAGTAACCCATGAGCATGATCGGGGCCTTCAAGCCTCGGCTTCGGGCAGTGCGGACGAGCTCAAGGACTGTGGTGACAGTAACTCCGTTCTCGAGGGCCTTGGTATTGGCCTTTTGAATAGTGGGACCATCTGCAATGGGATCTGTGAAAGGGATACCGAGTTCAATAATATCTACAATGAGACTTGGGTGGTTAATTACCAATATCTATCAAGTTCCAAGAATTGTCGATCTATGAGTGAGAATGACATACCGGCACCTCCATTCTCCAATCCAAGCAGGATATCAACAGCCTCTTCAGTAGTGGGGTATCCAGCAGTAATATATGCGACCAAAGCGGCGCGCCGTTGCTCCTTGCACCTGGCAAAGGTCTCCTTAATCGAGTCCATAGCTGTAGGCGCGAAGGCGTTGTAGATCGTGGGGTATAAATGAGCGTGTGGTCAAAATGTTCGAAAAGATGGTCAATTGAGGTCAAAGGTATTAATACTATGACCAATAGAGTCCTTCAATTGACTCAATAAATAGAGCTAGACCAATATATTTGGGAGAAAAGTATCTTTGAAGATAGTTGGTATTTGGTGAGTCAATGAACTTGCCTCTTCCACCAATTTCGCCGCTCTAGATCACGTGGCGATAAGACAATGCTTAATCAGACCTGTAGGTGGCGAGTGTCTATATAGATCGGACAATTTTCTGCGGTCAAATAGAGAAAAGGAGCAAGGTATTGAGATTGGAGTTGAGAATTAAAGGGTGATTTGTGTGATGCCGAGATACCGGTCTAGTCGTCAAGAGGAAGTGACGAAGAAAGCGTGGGGACAAGGCCATCGACGTCACATCCGTCGTGGACCCTTAATAAACAGGTTATGCCTGGTGTAGTTGACTCGTCATGTGTAATAGCTTAATTGTCTTGCATCATATGAGTTTTACAACTTAGTCTACAAAATGGATTGGGCACTATCTTTGATGCCTATGATTGCAGGCCCAGAACCATGCTTCATACTACTCAAGTTAAAGGTAGGTATGGGCATGGAAATTGGTTACATAATCATTGTAGCCCTAAAGAAAACCAACGACATAGATGTTTTGTATTCCTGGATAATAAGAGGGAAAGATATTTTGCATTATAGGGTCAATACATGAAGCCTTGATTAAAATGTTCAGAGTCAAGTCAATAGAAAGACAATCCTGAATAGGATATTGACATGATGTTGCAAACAGGTCCAGGACATCCAACACACTATTAGGTAGCTGTGACTTCCACCACTGAAAGGGGATGAAAAAAAATACAAAATACATTGGAGAGAATGGAAGAAGAAAGAATAAAGTATGATCAAAAAACAGCAGATCAGTTGAACGAGATAAAATAACCAAGATACAAAATCAGGCACCCAGCACAAGGGGGGGCTATCTTCCCAAAACGCCACAACAATGCAGTGAACAGTAAAAACAACCCTCAGCTCAAAACAAATAACAATCAAAAAGATGAATCCCAAATTAATCCAAACGGAGAGAAGGCAGTCTACAGAATACAGGATCCAAAAACTCATGGAGTCCCCAGACCCTGCACTGGTGGAACCACCAATCCCCGATACGCCGGAAGCGAAATAGACAAGCACAAAAAAGGCAAGTCCAAAACACTCCAGAATCCCAAACTTCCAAAATCAAAATCAAATAAATCCCAAAATCTATCCCAATCCGTCCTGCGAATGCATAAGGAATGACTGCAGCGCCCATGCTATGCCAAGTACTCGTACAGTAGCCCAGATAAGTAGTGTAAAAAGGAGAGGAAGCCCAAAATGCCCGGCAGATGGAAGATGCAACCCAAAAAAAGGAATGAACAAGACACCCGTCTAGAGGAAAACAGAAACAATGCAAGATAAACAAAGGGGTGTCAAACCGCTGTGAAAACAAATATGCAAGTGTGTTTTGGGTCGATGTGGGCATTTCGGCATCATGTGTGTAAGGAGAGACGTGAAAATCGTAAATAAGCTGTCGACCGGGACTTCGAAGCAGAGGGTAGAAAAAAAAAATCTTTCCGAAGAAAGATATTCTTTTCGAACCTGCTCAAAGTGCGGCGACGACTGGGCTTTGCGTAAGGAGTGACAGGAAGGAAAATCGTATCTTCAACGGAGCCAGAGGGGGAAAGTATGAAGACAGAAAGGGGGTAAATAAAAGACAAACAGCAACAAACCCGAAATCAACAAGAGTTCAGAGATCAGTGACCATGCGCTCCGTCATGGATCGGATATACGGGGTCCATGTAGCCATAGGCGGCGCTAGTCGAGGGGGTTGTAGCACCAAGGCCGTGCATCTCCCATGATGTCCGCGAGGTTGGAGCAACCAGACCGTGAGGGGTTTGAGGGTGGCAGGTGGCAGGATAGGAGTACGCTCCGACGGAGGAGTATGGCTGGCTGATGGGAGGCATCACGGAACGGAGGTCGGAAGTAGCAGACATCGGGGCGCAGGACTGATCTGGCTGTGAGGCGTAGACCGGAGCAGGGAGTGCGTGGTGGTGGCTGTAGGTGCTGACGGGGCCGGCATCAGAGAGCGACTGGGGAGAACCAGTGCCGTGAGGCTCGGTGCCCGAGTCAGACCCGGTGCCGTGGCTCGCGTAGTTTGTCATCGGCGTAGGCAGGACACCTGCGGTGGATGAGTAGCTAGCAGACTGCAAACAGTTAGTCAATGTGGAACGAGACAGAATGTAATGAGTACTTACGTATTTCCCAATAATCTTGCGCAGAGCCTCAGCGAGGATGCTCCAGGGGAAAACCTTGACGTCCTTCTCAATGTTACGCGGCTTGGGTGCAGGAAAGCCCATGATAACCTTGAAGAACTCCTCGCTATCAACCTTGGCCTTGGAGACGGTAAGCGGGCGGAAGCCCTCGAGGTTTCGTCGAATGCGGTTCTTCTCCTCGACAGTGAAGCGGACAGCGACCAGCGACTCCAGCAGGTAGATGGTGTCCACACTGGTAACGAAGCACTCATCCTTGCCTTCCCAGTGAATGCAGCTAATGCAAATGCTGTTGGGGGCGCGCTCCTCGGGGGTCACGGGCTTGAACTCGGCATTGATCGTGCTACCAGTCTGAGAGCGAGTGAACTGCACCAAGCGGCGCTGAGACTCACGCTCCTCCGAGCTCCAGCCAACGGCCATCGAGTTCAGATCACCGTTCAGCTTCAGAACAGCCTTGGTGGGGTACATGGCGTACGGGTTGAAGGTGGCGTTCTGGCTAATGCCGCTGGCCTGCTGCAGAGTGGATGTGCGGATCAAGGTAGGGTTGGCAGGATTGGAGGCGCGTGCTGGCGAAGGTCCCCGGTTCTGTGACATAGAATGGACCATTGCGAGGCTATGGTTTCGCATCTCAGGGGGGCCAGGCATGAAAGACGGGCTCCAGGCTGGAGTCAGAGGAGACGGAGCACGCAGAGCCGGCTGAGAAGTGGCTGAGACACTCGTGAACTGAGTAGGGCCAACACGGGGAGAAGAGGCAGCGTGGTATGGGGTGACGAATCCTGTCATAGCGGGCAGGGTCTGCAGGTAGGGCGAGAAAGAAGCCGAGCGGTTATCCCGATAGGTGTAGTTGTCCTGCTGCTCAATCTTGGGCACAGCCTGGGGGGTAGCCCGCTTGGCTGGCACTGTAGCAGCGATAGCATTGTCGGAGTAAGAAGAGAACTTTCTCTTGCGCGACTCGGCACCGGGCGAGGGGTGCGACACCTGCTCGTAGGTATATACGCCGACTTGCAAGGTTGTAGGCTGGCAGTCACTCTGGGTCTCCAAGACAACTTGGAGTGGGACCGCGACGGAGGGGGAACCAGTTGAGATGAATGACGGGGCATCAGCCGAGAGGCAGTACTGGAAGTTGGTACCTTGGAAGCCCAGGAAGTGTGGGTTGCACTCGCACTTCTTGCTTCCAAAGACAATGTACAAGGCGCCATAGGATGAGCTATGCAGGTCAAATGGAGACTGGATCTGCACCACTACCCGAGTTCCCTCGCAACCACGCTGAGGGCTATATGTAACAATCTCGGGGACTTGACGAGGTCGGCTACCCATCATGGGAGACTGTGCCTCTTCGTACGAGCTAGCATACTCGTTGTTGGGAATATATGGGACACAGTCCGAGATCTGGCTGGCTTGGTCGGCCATGGGCGAGGGGACGAGAGAAGTAGTCACGTAAGGGGATTGGCCGTATGTCGAGTACGAACCAGCATCCTGCAAAGACCGCGTGGAAGCGTAGTCTGAATCGAGGGTATCAGTACGAGACAAGTATCACACGAGCCTGCAACCATCGTGGGGTTAAACCTACCGAGTACGGAGCCGGCAGCGGGCTTCTGGAAACTAGACATAGACAGGATCGGCTCAGACTTGGCCCACAGGCCGTCTGAAAACGCACCGACAAACTGTGACTCTTCAGAATCCGAGAAATCCAACGACTCGCCCAGAATGAGAGGCGTTTGGAAATCCGGGTCGAACTAAACGGGAAAAACAAGTCAGCCAGAGATTCGAGAAAACGAAACACAAGAAAGACCGCACAGGCTAGATCAGGACAGTGGCCGAATGTCACACCCGAATGAGGGGAGGAATTCAAACAAGATGAACCAGGATGGAGAGCAACACGCTGCAGGTGTCCAGAAGGAGAGAACGAAGGCAAAACAGAAACAGAAACAGAAACAGGAGGGCTCACCAAAACACCGTGAGTCTTCGAGTAAGCCAGCTTGAAGGTGTTGCAGCGACTGCAACAAGACTGAACTCTTTGAAGTAGCGAATGACTGGGAATTTATCCACAAAAATTGACCACGCGGAGGACACGCGAAAGGGGGTGTTCTCCGAGACAGGCGACAACGAAGACAAAAAAACGAGCGACGAGCTTGAAGCTTTTTGCGGTCAGGCTCAGAGAGATGGCGGTACCAACGGGGCTCGAATCACCATCCAGCAATGCAGAGGGAGGCGCAACGAGGCGGAGACTAGACGATGGATGGCTGCAGCGACAGATTTGTAAAATCAGGCAGTGGTCCAATGAATCAATGGTTCATCAAGCCGAGCACGAGAGCTGATTTCCAAAGACTGGCGAGGTTTCTGATTTCTTTTATTCAATTCCCGTGAGGTTTCGGGAAAGGCTTGACGTCGATTGGGCTGGAGGGGAGGTGTCACTACTCCAGCAATGAGTACGAACACGTTCCAAAAATTCCCCAGGCTCCAGGGTCCAGGTCCGTTCTTTGGGTGTCTGATTCAGGCTCTGAGGGCAAAGGGGCAATGGCTTAGGAACCGATCAATGAGAGAGCAGGAATGGTTCGTCGGGTAGAAGCAAAGGCACCGTGAGACCGGATCAGTGCATCAACCATAGAACCCCCAAAGCCCAAAGCCCAAGATCGAAAATTCCAAGATCCAGAATCC